ACCTCCTCTGCCCCACGCCCGAGCTGCATGACCGCAACCCACATCGCCGCACTGTTCCCACCTGCGACACCTCCTTTATCCTCTCCGCCTCCGCCTCACGCTCCATCACCCGCTGCCGCTCCAGAGCCACCATAGCCCTCGTGCGCTCCACCTGGAGGGAGGGAGGGGTTGATCTTCCGAGTCACAACAAGACGCGCCTTGACCCCACACCACACTTGAACCGGCTAGCTCCCTCTCGTGTACCATATAGGCAACATGGGGCTGGAGGAGAACCCCCATATACGGACGGAGGGAAAAGAACTCAAAATGCCAAAATGCCAAAAGTCCAGAAATCAAAAGCCAGCAAACGGGGGGGGAGAAGCTCGCAACGGGGGCCCCGGAGCCCCCCCCCCAAGCACCCGAGGTAGGTGGGCAGCGTGTGTGTGTGTGGGGGGGGGGGGCCGGGAACCGCCAGATGATGACCGGATGACAGAATCCGGGCGCCGGCCGTTCCGATGCGCGGTAACACCAGGAAAAACGGTAGTAGAGCTTTCGTTCCCAAAGCCAATACATGAGATGTGCCCCTGCTCCCTGCTCCCTGCCGCGATTTCCCCCCTCACAACCCCCCACCCAGCCAACTCCCCGTGGGCTGTACCGCTGTACGGCGCAGCGGGGGAGGGCGCCCTGTGTATTGATGGACCCGCCGCCAAGGCACAATGCAGCGGCTTATTAACCCACCTCCACCACCACCTCCACCTCCATTTCCAGAAAAACACCTCCATTTCCAGAAAAATAACATGGAAATCATACACCGTGCCGTACCTCCATGGCCACGTAGTTATCCAACACGGACTGCGGAATGGTGGGCTTGCTGACCCGCACCGCGATGATTTCTATGCCGGGCGCGTAGCGGTTGCAGTCCGCCTGCAGAGCGTCCTTGAGCTGGCCCTCGATCTGCGGGCGCACGGAAGAGATCTGGTCTGGCTGAGAGCACCCGGTTGAGGACCACAGCCAAGAGCAGCTGTGGTAGCTGGCCGCTGTTTAAAGGGCTCTCTACTTGATGGGCGAGTTACCTTTATGCTTGCGGCATGGCACCTTAGCGTGTATTTAAAGACGATGTGTGCCGTACTGTACGACAGCTACAAGATCAACCCAGTCAGGTCATGGCGCCGGGGGGGGAAGACGTGCTGCGCCCTGACTGCATGATAGGATTGCTCCAGGTGTGGGTCGGGGGTGGTGGTGGGGGGTCGGTGGGGGTTTCGGGAGGGAGGGCTCGCGGATGAGCGCACCTCTCCCGGGGGGGGGTTGGTCGGGCTCTAGCCGCGTCCTTGCATGACCCTCCACAACGCCCCCCACAGGGCGCGAGGTCGGGGCCCCTAGGTCACATCTTGGGGGACGTGACGCAGCTCCAGGAGGGGCAATACACACACAGACACACAGACACAGACGCGCACATACATTATATACTACATACATACTTATGCATGTACGCATGTCACCTGGTCAAACTGGGTGATATAGACCTCCTCCAATGTACGACTACTGCAGAGCTGACTAATCTCGTGACGGGCCTTGTCGTATATCCAGATACGGTCGTACTGCACGCCATAGTCCCGTATTGTCTCGTATACTAAATCGCGCCGGAGCCGGTTTACGACCTGCGCGCGGGTGCCACATCATCACACCGAACGGTGATAAGAGTGCGGCTGCGAGTGCGAGTGCGGACTCATAAGCATGACACAGACGGGCGTGAGAGGAAACCCCTAATGGCAACAGCGGTCATGGTTCAATTGATGATGGTACGACGACACTTTTGGCACGACCCCAGAAGATGCACATACACCGCCCGGGGAGTGGAAAGCCAAGTCAGGCACACGCTCCTCCGCACCTCTACGTTGTCGAACGTGATGGTGACGCCACCCTTTGTACCGCACAAAATGTCCGTCAACCTGTCTGTCTGCAGTACGGGCAGTACGAGGGGGTGCGGTTGCGGGCGCAGCAAATTTCCCCCCCCCCCCCGAATTAGCCCCCGATTCCCCCCCTGTGTGCCCCTATCATCATCATCCCGCTCGGCGGCGACGACGACGACGCTACGGGTGACGAGAGCAGCTGAGAGCCCAGGACGCGTCCATCCTGGTTTGTGCGCATCTACGTGAGTGGGCCAATAACCCGCATGGGACCTCTCCCGAGTGGGGCTTATCTGGGTCTTAGCTGGGTCTTAGCCGGGTCTTAGGACGACATTCCGCTGATACAGAGTCGGTGATACACTGCGGCATGTCGTGGCTTCGACCCGCCCTGTAAAAGCTGTACAACCGCGCACGATGGAGCTCGCGGAGTGCGAGGTGAACAAACACAGGCACGCTGTGAGCCACCTGCCCCTAGCCTACGCCCTGCCCAGTCAGACGCTGCTGTCCTGATGGGCGCCTGGTGGACACACCGCCTGTCTGGGCAGGTCCGGGAGGTTGCCCGATATGCTACTGGGCGGCACAGCAGCCCCAACCACCCCTCGAGAACGTGGAACATGGAACATGGGAGATTACTCGCACGGCGCATTGGTCCATTCAATTCCTTGACACCTCCCTTGCCGTGCCGTGCCCCCTGTGCCTGTGGCCCCTGTTTCGCCCTCTTTGGGACACAGTTGCCCTTTCATCAGCAATAAGACCATAACGTTCCCCCTGCACATCAACTCATTCGTTGTCGTAGCGTCATACCCGGCACGCGACAATCAATTGGATACTGTTTTCCCCCCAACCTCCAAGGCCCTGGCAGCCACCCCCATGGTGGATGGTTGTGGCCCTGAACGGCCACCCCCTGAGGCTGGCTGCCTGCTCCGACACAACGGAGGTGCTGCCGCATGTCCCCTCCCTCCTTCTCGCTGACACGGGAGTCTGTACATGGTCCGTACCTGCATGGTGGTCTGTATCGCCTCGAACGTGTCCAGGAGCGGCAGGCGCACGCGGATACCCGGGGAGGTGGTTCGGTGGAGCAGCACGCCGCCGCGCCAGTAGACACCCACATGGCCCTTACAGAAGTGGCAGGTCAATCAACGGGGCGGATTAGAACGGGGGTTTACAAGGAAGCTGGAAGGGAATGGAGCGCACAATGGTGGATCAAAATGCTGAATGCCATCGGCCCAGGCACACATCGGTATGTAGTAGGTTGGCTTCGTTCACGCTCCTTTCAAGCACGCACGGTTGGTTTGCATGTGGCATCTGCTATAGGTGTGGTTGCAAAGTGAGAATTAAGCCCTTTCCAGAGAGCTCCAGAGAGCCTCAATGATAGACATCAGCGTCGCTGCTCGCTGGCAAACATACAGACCGGCATGCGGCTATGTCGGAAGCTTGATTGTTCCCTACCTCAGGAATTTGATGGACAGCCGTTTTGATAAAGAGGGCCACAGCTATAGCGATTATGGAAATATAAATGGGCAGGTTCAAATATAGAGGAGATGGCGCCGTAACCCGCCGGTCCGCCGGGCCAAGTCCATCTCCAGTCAGAGGCACCCGGTTGCTAGGACCTGATTGCGAATTCATCCCCTCGTGTTGCCGCGCAGCTCCCTCGGTAAAGAGTCTTTTAACCGCGACAATTGCATTGTCGAGACTTCCCACACGCCACAAGAAGTGCGTCTGCCATTTTCAATGAAATAAAGGACTGTGTGATCTTGAATATGGGACATTCCAGTACCACAAAAGCTTATCGAAACCGTTGGCTGGGACGAGACATCCAGTACGGTACAGCACGAAAACCAACGCAGCATGTAAGCTTTCCGCAATCCCAGCCTCCTTGGCAATCGCGTCCATTGTAACTCCTCGCTCATTGAAATGGCCATTACAAAACTTTCTGTAGCAGCGTCTAAGGTAAAGGGAGAGATTTTAACAGCTTCCATTATAGAAGCAGAAACTACTAATAAAGAACCAGTCCCTAGCACGAGTTTATCACTAAACTCTTTTTTGTAGAACTAAGTTTGTGGCGGTCAGCCCACTGAGCGAACTGGTCTCGGTACCATGACGTGCAGATTCCACGGGATCTCTAGTCTCCTGCCTTATTAGTCTTTGCGTTTTATCTCCCAATTCTGTAACAGAACGATGTGCGAAGGTTGCATGCAATACGTGCTCAAGCAACAGAATTGTCACTAGCGCAAATTTAGGTTTGTATACACCGGCATCTGTCCTACAAGATAGAGGCGTGGGGGGAGGGCCATTTGGCACCACACTGGAAATCTTCTTTTACATGGCGGCATAAGCTTTAAATTGTTAGGGGGGAGAACAAACAACACCAATAAGGATAATATCAGAAGCTTGGAAACGACCTGATGATAAGCCACAGGAATTCGCTCCCCTCGTTTCGGGCCCCAGCTCCCGACCCCCTTCCTCCTGGCCTTCAATAGTCCCCATCCACCAGTCCCGGTGTCTTCCTACCCGCTGCCCAGCAGCCTTAAGAGACACAACCCAACTAGGTGCGCTGATCGCAACTAAATGTTTGCCTCTGCATGCAGAGCATGCCGAGTACATCTCAATTTCCAGCTCGCCACCAATCATCCTCAACTCTTTTCACGCTCATGGCACCCCACGACAACATTGCAAATACACAGCTCAGCTGCGTATACACACAGCTAGTGCCGTCAGCACAGGCGCTTCGGTCGGTGGTCCCACTTACTGGTGCATCATTTACTTCAAATTCAGCGCCCTAGGCCCCCTTGGGGCGCTGGTTAATCCTCGCGTTGCAGCCGCATACGTCACTCATCCTGACGCATAGGCACCCTCCCTCTTCGCACGCACATACATACGCACATACGCACATCCACACGCATCTCGGACGCAGCCACCTCGTTTTCGTTCCTCTAAAGGCCCTGTGTTTCTTTCCGTCTTGGACTACCCTGGACATCCCTCTCTCCGGGCAGGATACGACACGTCCGCAGCGGCACCATAGCGCACCACCAGCACAATGTAGTGCAGTACAGCACAATGTAGTGCAGTACATGCAGTACATTACAGTACATTGTGGTGAAGTAGATTGCAACACAGTGGCCAACTCCTCGCCCGCGATGCCCGTACTACACTAACGGAATGAACGCCTCACGAGGGGATGGAAGAACCTCCATGAGCTGCACCCGCCTAAGCGCGCAGGTCCTGTCACCTCTCGAGGACACCTCTTTCAAGGAGGCGGTCACAAGTGTTGGCAGCGCCACCCTTCCCTCTTGGACCCCCCCTCTTCGTCCTTTTCCAGTTCCTGCCTCCCACATCCCTTAATGTGTCGTCGGCTGTCCAAGCAAAAGGACAAACCAAGGGTCCCGAAAGAGGAGCCGAAGAAAAGAAAACTCCTCCACCAGCTCCTGCATGCTTGAGCTTTACCGCCAGCAGCTGAAACCCTAAGTGTTCGGAGAAAGCAGCGCCGCCTATCACGCGCTTCCCTGGCTGAGTGCTCGACGGTGCACAGCTGCAGCCTAGCTATCTAGCTGCCAGAGGCTCAAGTCAAGTAGCCCAGGCAGGCGGTGCGCTGCTGCCGGCACTGGCGCCGGCATTTCCACGGCTGCCGACGCCACTGCTAGGGCCCGCATTAGCCGCACCCGGATTAAGACCGGCCGCTGCCAGTAGCAAGGCCTGAAGCAGCTTGGGGCCATCTAGCTGGGGTCGCATTAGCAGTGGAGGGACCCCTGATGGGCCCGTTGCCGCAGGTAGGGGCTGAAACAGCAACGCCTGCAAGACGCCCTGCTGCTGCTGCTGCTGCTGCTGCTGGTCATGCAATGGCAGCTGCTGTGGCAGCAGCGGCTGCAGCGGCTGCTGCTGTAGTTGCAATTGCTGTTGCGGCTGGACTTGCTGCAGCAGAAGCGAGGCAGGTTGCTGTAGCAACCCTAGACTTGCCGACTGGCCCATGTACCGATTCCAATCTAGCTGCTGCTGCTGCTGCTGATTCTGTCCCGCTGTCGTACCTATCGTACCTGTCGCTGTCGTACCTATCATGGGCAGCGGTGCCAGGTAGTGCTGTAGGGGAGGTCCAAGCGGTTGGGTCGACTGCAGACCGCCAGCGGCCGTAAGCTCGGCGCCGCCAGCTCCTACACCTCCTCTGCCGCTTCCGCCGGCACCGGCGCTGCTGCTGCCGTACCCTCCAGGGTTTCCGCTGCCTGGTGACCGCGCCGCGTCGCCCACCGCCGTCGCCGCCAGGTCTCCCTGGAACCTCGGCCGCGGCCGCACCGGTGCCGTGGGTTGCTCGAAGAACGGCGGGTACTTCCTGAGACGGAGCCACGGATACCACTGTCCAGGGCGAGTCAGGGTGATCGGCAGCCGCCGTACCGGAGGGTGGGGCGCAGGCACCGGCGGCACCATGGGCAGTCCCTCGTACGGCTTGGCGCGATGGCGGTTTGCAGCCGACGCTGCGGCGGCGCCGCGAAGGGCACCTTGAGGTGGCGGTGCGCAGACTGCGACGGCTGGGATGCGACGGATCGCTCCCCGCCGCTTCGCCGCGCTCCGTGAGCTGCTGACCACTCCGTCGTCAGTTTCGTTGTCGTAGTCCGAGTCGGAATCCACTTGGGACGGTGGCTTGCTGCTGGCGGCGGCACGTTTCTGACCGACGGGCAACCGCCGCCGGGAGCTCTGAGGCCGCTCCCGTGCGGGTAAAGATGACCGGGGCGCAGGCGGCGGAATTAGCGGCATTGGCAGCGATGCCGGCGGTTGAGTTGGTTGGGGCAGTTGGAGCGGTTGCGGCTGTGAGGGCAGTGACAATGGTCGGGGAAGCGGCGGCAATGGCGACAACGGCTGCCACCGCTGCTCATTTTGCCCTATCTCCTGATCTCCTTTCATCTGCTGCTGCTGCTGCTGCTGCCTTGTTTCCATGCGTTGCCTTCGCCGCTGCGCAGCACTGGAGGAATCCGTACCGTCCGTACCTTCCAACCGTACCTCAGCTGCGTGGATTCCAGGCATTGCGCTCGATTCGTCAGACCGCTGTATGCGGACCGCATTCCATTCTCCTAGCTGCAGCAGCTGCCCGTCGCCCGTCGCCCGCACTTTAATAGGCAGCGGCGGCAATAGCAGCGGCGCCGCTGCGGCCGCCACCGCCTCAGCCGCCGTTGGCCGCAGCGCGTGCCTTTCCTGCTGATCTTGCTGCTGCTGCTGTTGCTGGCCCAGCCGTCCTAGCATCTTCCGCTGGTAGTGCAGCCGATGCGTATTCGCCCCCGCGGCATGGTTGCCTGCGTCCATTGCAAGAGCCGCCGCGCTGCCAACGTCGGGACCCACTGCCATCTCGCAGCGCTCCGAAGCCGCCTCCCTCCAGCCCCTGTGCGGCTCCAACGCCTGTCTCAACAGCTGCTGCATTGTCGTACCCTGTACGGTCTCCCAGCTCAACGGCTGCGGAGCCGCGCCGTCGTTGTTGACGGTGGCGGCGCCGGCCCCAGCATTCTCCGCCATCACCGTCGGCTGCTGCTGCTGCTGCAGCTGCAGCTGCAAAGGCAGTGACAGCTGTGGGCACGGCAGTGGCATATGTCCCATAATGGGAAAGCTGTTGGGCGTCGTCAGCAAATGACCCATGGGTCCTACAACTATATCTGATAGGCCCATATGCGTTACGTCCAAGCTGCCTGCCAAGTGCTGAGCAGGAGGACACGCGTCATGGTGCGGCCCTTGTAGCAGCTGCAAATGATGAGGTGGCTGCTGCTGCTGCAGCTGCTGCAGCTGCAGCTGTAGCTGCTGAGGTTGTGGTTGTGACGGCAACGGCGGCTGTACACTAGCTGCTGGGCAGGGCACTAGCGGTGCCACGAGCAAGTGGGGAGCGGAGTGCTGCGAGGGTGGAGGTGGTGGCTCGAGGGACGGCTTGGTGGCAGCGGAGGCGGCGGCCGCAGCCTCCGCACCGGATTCGTGGCTGGCTGGACGCATATGCTCGTCCAAGACGTCCAACCGATGGCAGTTAAAGTCGTCCATCTGCCGTACATACTGCCCCAAGAGCCGCTCCTGAGGCTGTTGCTGCTGCGGCTGCCCAAGCTGCTGTTGCTGCTGCAGCTGTTGCAGTTGCTGCAGCTGCTGTTGGAGCGCCATTCCAGGTATTCGCATCGATAAGGGCAGCTGATGCAGAGCGCCAGCAGCCTGAGGCCACAAGGTCGCCCCCTCGGCGCCGCTGCAACCCTCCGCAGGTGCCGACAGTGCTGCCGCTGGACGGGCGGCTGCCGGCAGCGGCTCCGCCAGCGCCCTTCTTCCCACTTCGTCGTCCAGCGGCTGCTGCTGCTGCTGCTGCTGCTGGTCGCTAGCACACGGGACGGCAGGAACACCAGACGGCGCGGCCTCGTTGTGCTGCTGTAGGAGTTGCTGCTGCTGCTGCTGCTCTTGTTGTTCTGACAAGTGCGGGAGAGGTAGCTGCTACCAGCCACCAAATCACAATGACGGATTTCAACATGGTGGGAGGAACGGACAGGGGTTGCAGGGTCAACAGCACCAGCAGCAGCAGCAGCAACAACATGGCACACATTGGCGGCGTTTTTGCTTCTACTGCGGTGTCAAGATGCCCAAGGAGGCTATCTGACTAGGACGTATTGGTGCGCCGCGCATTGTACTACTAACTCATCTATGTACCTGCGTAGCCCTAGGGTAATGTCGTACGTCACAAGTACACACAAGTGGTCAAAGGCGCCGTGTGTGACTACCAAACGTTTCATATCACGTAGCTCTGACGAAATGTTTTCCTTCGTAACATCAATGCTTCGTGAAAGAGAAGAAACCCGGTAGGTTGGTAAGTCTTCTCGTACAACCCGATGCACGTGGTGACGTTGACACCACGAGGACCACATGCAGGGCGAAATGCAGGGCCACTCGCGCTGCAGAGCTCCCAATAATCGGCCCCAATCAGCCTAGTCCTACCTGAATACCATTGCAGCCCTCCGTGCTGCACCCTCTCGCCAGCCATACACCGTTGTCGCACAGGTCAGCTCGGTCCCTAGCGTAAACGCCCTTGTCGCCGCCATCACCGGGAAGCCTACCGCCGTTACCGCTGACGGCGGCAGCGGGAACCGGCGCCGTGACCGCCGCCGCCGCTTCCCAACTCAACGCCGGGCGCGGCCATCTGCCGCTCGCGGCATTTCCATCCCCCGCCTCCGCCGGGCATGTTACGGCGCTGGCGGCGACAGGGCACGAGGGCCCCGCCGCCGTCGCCACGCGCCTGTCGTACAATCCAGTCTGCAGCTGTTGGGATGTGGGCATCGCCGCTGCCTCAGGCTGGCGCGGCGGCCGCGGCAGTGTTCGCACTCCCACCGCCCGGGTGTCGCGGTCCACAATCTCTAAAGATTGCCTCCCGGACTGTCCCACAGGGTTGACAGACGCCAATGACGCCGGCGGCTCCTCCGGCGCCAGCGGCGACGCAAAGAGCCGCCGTACAATGCTGCCCACACCACTCCAACCACGGTCACCGTTGCCGCCGTTGCCGCCGTCCACGTGATCATTGCCGCCGATGGCTTCTTCGAGCGCCTCGTCCGCCATCAGGTCCTGCTCAGTTGCGACCCGCGGGTCTGTTGAGGCTGCCGCAGCGACCAGGTCATCGTCGCTCGCACTACAGGCGGTACCCGTCACAGAGCGGCCGCCATGGCGCTCCGGGCTCCTGGCCCGCTGGGCCCAGCCGGGGCGACTGCCGTCAGCCTCCCGATATGGGCTGCCGTACGTACGGGGCTCCCCTCGTGATCGTCCCCCGGGTGACAGCAGCATGGCCCTGGGCATGAACGCTGCGCCGCCAGCTGTAACAGCGGACATCCCCTCCAGCGGCGGTAGCGGACGCGGCGCCGTCATCGCATCCTCGATCATGCTCGCTGGTGGCCGTCCCGTGGGTCGCTCCTCAGGCGCTGTGCTCCCAGGTTCCCTGGCCTCGGCGACCCCGGGCCCCATGGCCCCTGCTGCTACTGGCGCGACTGAGATGAAATGCGGAGCCGACGGTCCGGCTCCATATCCACCTTCCTTGGATGTGGCTGTGCTGACAGGCCCAGCCGGCGAAGACGCGCTGCCAGCTTTGTACAGCTCCGCCGCTGCCGCCGCCGCCGCGAGGGGTGGTGCCGCCGGGGTCCCCCCCGCCTCCACATCCCGGGATCCCAGGAGGCGTGGCGATGCCGGCGACGGCGGCGCTGATGGCGGCGCTCGCGGCTCGATGGACGTCGTCACCTCGGATCCCGTCTCGAACGCCGCCGCCAGGGCCGCCGCCGCTATCAGGGCGGACGCTGCCGTTGCCCCCTGAAAACCCCCCTCCCCCGTTACAGCTGACACCTCATCTCCGCCGTCCCCCGTCACGCTGCGGCTTCCCTGCCGCGCCTGCGCCCTCGCCGCTGGCTCCACGCTGACCCGTGGGCCGGTTGCAGCACACGCTGCGCGCACCGTTTCAGTACATGTGCGCTTCGCGCAAGGTTGTTGCCCCTGCACCCCGCCGCCAACCCCCCTTGCAGCCCTTTCCTGGAGTCGGCAGCTCCTGCGTCGTACAGGTAGTAGATTCTGCAACGACCCTGGCGGCGATACCGGTGGTTCCGGAGCCGCATCCAGTGGCGTCGACAGCACCGATGGTGGCAGCGGCCTGGCTGCACTGGTACGCGTTTCCAGTTGTGCTTCCTGCCAAGGACCGTCGTCCCTCGGGTTGTGGCCATCCCTGAAATCCGGCCGAGCCGCCCTGGCTTGGAAAGCGGTGCCGTAACCCGCACCGATTTCTGCCGGAACCGCCGCCGCCGGCGCACCGCTTCCCGCGTATCCCCGTCCAGGGAGCCATGTTTTGTTGCTGCCCCCGTCAAAGAGACCACCTGGAGCGCCGCCGAAGACAGCCTCGTTGGGGCTACCGCCGCCATTGCCGCCCTTCGGTAACCCCCCCCCCGCCGCCACCGCCGCCGCCGCCGGCAGCGCAGCTTCTCCCCCGAACGGCCAGGACCCCGCTAACTGACCGGCTGCGTGATCCTGTAGACCGCCCTCCTCCTCCTCCTCTTCCTCCATCTCCTCCTCCTCCACCTCTGGATCGTCTTTGCCTTCGCGGGCAGAAGGAAGCGTGGCGACTCCGCCGAGGTGGTTCGGGGCGCCGCCACCTGTGCCGCGCCGGTCTGTGCCGCGGGGCCCGGTCGCTTGACGCGGTAGCTGCCCGGATGCTGCCGCTACTGGTGCTCCGCCAGTAGTGCAGCTGTTTCTGACGCCGGTCCCGACGGGGTCGACGACCGTATCCAGTACTTCAGCGCCGTTCTGGCGGTACAGCAGCCCATTGCTCTGGTCAGGTCTGGGCAAAGGACGTGACGCGGGTGATGGCGGCGGTTGTGAAGGCTGCGGCGCTGGCAGAGGCGGCGGCGGAGGCGGCGGATGCGGAGGCTGCACGGGCGGACGCGAAGCCATCACCGGCGACATCCCCGGCATGAGCCGAAGAGTTCCTGGACCCAGGCGCCCGTCTGGATATCGATAGCACGGCGTGGGTGGCACTACCGCCGCGTGACATGTTACGAGTAAACGAGGAACCTCTGCGGCCGCCGCCGCCGTCCCCGCCGCCGGCGGCGCCCTGGGGGTCGTAGGCGGCGGCCCACCAGCCTGACCTTCCCGTGCCCCCACGTCGCCCGCAGCAGGCGTCCTGCCACTGGAATGGTTCCGGAGCCCTTCGGCTGACCTAGCTATCTCGCTACTCGCCGCTGCCGTCGTCACGCCTTCCGCCGGCGGTGTTGATGGCGGCGGCAGGGCAGTGGCAGCGGCAGCGGCAGCGCCGCTGTCGCTGCCGCCGTCGCGGTCTGCTCCCCGCGATACCGAAAGCAGCGCCGTTTGCGGCTGCGGAGAATTTAAGATGGAGGAGAAAGAGGGCAGGAGATCGCCGGTTCCGGAGGGCGATGTGAGCAAGAGGGAGGGCAGACGCAAAAAAGCTGGCAGCGGCGAACCAAGGGACGGCATCGTCACCATGACGACGGCGTCGGTGTTTCCGTCCCCTGCTGCTGTCGCCGTGGCCCCGGGCTTATCACCCGCTCCAGCAGCACCAGGCATCAACGCATCCACAGCAGCATCCTCATCAGCTACCTTTCCACGTGTTGTGGTAATTTCTGCAGCTGCCGCTGCTGCCGCCGCTACGGGGCCAGCCGATACCGTCGCCGCTGGGGCAGCGCTGTCGCCGGGCGGCTCCATCGGCGGCGCCGCCCCAGCCTCCAATGCCAACGCCGACGGCAACGATGGCCGTGGTGGCCGTGAAGGCGTTACATCGTGACGTCGCTGGCGCTTGCAGGCAGAAGCCTCAGTTCCCGAGTCTGCATCGGTGGGGGCTTTCCGCCGCTGGCGGAGGCCTTGGTACGGCATGTACGACGACCGTTCGAGCCCATTGCCAGGTGAGTCTTTGATAGTTGCAGCTGCAGGGCCCCGGTCGCCATCGCCGGTACCGGGTACCAAAGGAACTCCTCTTCCTCCTGTCCCAGCCTCCAAGTTAGCCGACGGCGATGTGGCTGCGCCATTTGGGGCCGCTGGGGCGGCGGCGGCGGCGGCGGCGGCGGCGGCGGCCGGGTGCCGCAAACAGCTGCCGAGCTTCGGCCGTCTTGCGGCTGATGGCGCAGCTGTGTGACCGGGGGTCGCCGCTGCGGCGGCGGCGGCAGCATCTCCACGTAGGGATGTCGTCCCTCTCTCTGGCTGCAGAGACGGCTGCCGTACTGCACCCTGTACGGCATAAACCCGACGGGCCGGTGCCTCCACCAGCAGCCCCTCAATTGCAGTTACTGCGTTTAGTAAAGTGGCGTTATGAGTTGGGACGCAAAGAGGAACATGGAGTGAAGCAGCGGGAGGGCGTTGCGCCCACTCTCACCGGGACACGAGAAAGGTGATGATAGCAGATGGCCATTCGCAGCGACCGTCGAGCCGCCGCGCATATTTGCCGTACCCATCGATGCCGCTGTGGGGCTGCGGCGCTCGCTATTAGCATTACTGGCCTTAGCAGCAGCAGTAGTAGTAGTAGCAGTAGCAGTAGCAGCAGCAGTAGTAGCAGACGGGTGTTGAGGTGCACTGCCGCTGCCGCTGCCAGGTCCTTCGAGCTCTACGCGCGGCGCTGCCGCCGCCGCCGCCGCCGCGTCCGTGCCGCACACGAAAGGAGCACCGCTAGGCTCACGGCAGAGGGTGCTCAGATACAGACTAGAAAACTCCAGCCCGCTCCGTAACCGCCCCGACAGACTAACACCGCCGCCGTCGCTGGGCGCTCCAACGTCACCAGCGTCGCCGGCGACGCCGGGGGCCCCTATCAGCGCCGCTGGGGACGCGAGACCGGCGGAGGACCGGAACCAGTCCGACGGCAGATGAGGCAGAGAGAACACCGCGGGGAGGGACAACACCCGATTTGAGGGCATTCTGGAAATTTGCAATGGTGGCGGCGGAGCTGACGTGGGCGCCGGCAGCTGCAGGCTGGGCTGGCGCTGAGGTGGGGCCGTGGTGGCAGCGTCCGTCGTAGGAAAGCCGTCCTGCCAAACCGTACCGCCCAGTAACGCCGCCAAGTCAGCGGCGACGCTGCCGCCGCCGCCGCCGCTGCCGCCGCCGGCGCCATTCGCGGTCATGTTACCCGGACCGCAACCGCTGCGCTCTGCCGCCGCCGCCGCGCCATCGCCGCCGCCGCCATAGGCAGCCATCGGAACCACGCTGCTATCCGCTGCTCCATGGCTCATGGGCCTCGATAAGGTGTCTCGGCCGTCAGGCTGCACAGACGCATCCATCAACTCGTCTGTTGCTGCCGCAGGAGTGGTTTCGGGGCCGCGGCGGCCAGAAGTACTTACGTGCGCTGGCGCCGGCATTGGCAACGGCCGTGGAGAGGTGAACCCGGGTGTTGGCGACCCGGGCACGAAGCCGTACATCCGGCGGATGAGGTTGAGGTCCAGCAAGGGCCCTACATCAAGAAGGAAGGCCGCCATCAATCGCTGGATGGATCGGGAGTGCCGGGCGCTGGATGGATCGGGCGGAGTGCCGGGCGGTGACGTCATCACTATATTGCACCCTCGAGAGCTCTTGGGCTTCTCGGTTCCTAGGTCCAACTTCAAATCAACATTCAGGCAATTCCGACAATCCGTCCTTCGGAGACACCGCTGGGGGGCCCCCTGCACACCAGACAAGGCCTCCAGAAGTGGCGCCTCCGTTTTCCTTAAAATCCTAAAAAAAACCTAAAACCCTTCTGGACTCACCCCCGGGGCTGAGTACGGGCAGCTGCAGGGATAGCACGGAGGGAAGCGACTCCAGGGAGGGGCCTTCCCCCCCCGGGGCCGACAGCAGGCTCCGGGACGGAGTCCACCCCTCCCCTAGGGAGGCGGCGTCCAGCAGCAGCAGGGGGTGCAACTGGGGTTGCAGAGGTGACGGCTCCGAAACCTGAGCAGGCAACTCCCGCGCGGCCCCGTTCAAAGCGGTGGCGGTGTTGGCTGTGGCGATGTGGTTATCAGTCAAGACTTCTTCCGTAGCACCCAGTTGGCGTTGATGGTGCATCTCCCCCGAGCGCTCAAACGAGCCGGAAGACGACAAGGGAGGCAGGCGCGGCGGTGGAGGCTGGGCCTGTCCTTGCGGCGGGAGTTGTAACGGCTGTACGGCTGCCGATGTGTACGGAAGGCTGCCGGGTAGCGCCTCCGCTGTCGTCACCTCTGCGGGTGGCGCCTCCGGTCTGAGCGGCCAGGGGGCCCCCGGGGGCTGGGAGGGCGGGGCCGTATCAGGCGCCGCTGCCGCACCCACCGTCTGCGAAGAGGAGGGGGAAAAAGACGAACCACGAGCGAGTAAAGCTGATGCCAAGGCAAGGCTGCTGCGGCGGATGTAAAGAAAGCATAACTAACCAGCCGGAAGGGGGGTAGGGGATAGCGCCGCATATTCAAGAAGCTAAGGGCCAAGTGTCGGCGCCCCAGGCGAAAACGGCGGAAGCGGTTGTACCAGACACGTCTTCATATTGCCGCAGAGACGAGTCTTTCTACTTGGTGCGGTGTCAACAACTCGGCCGCAGGGGTAGGAAAGGTTGCAAGGTTGCAAGGGGCTTCCCGGTTACCGGAAGGGGGGGGGGAAATATCCATCCCGCGTTGCTGGCGGTGGTGGAGGTGATAAGCAAACAATTCTGTGATCTAACGGAAAGCTCAAGGTGGCTGACCTTCTTCAAGAGAACAAGATTAAACGTCGTGGTGCCGAGCAAAGAGATGGATCAGAATACGGCGAGAGTGAGAAACACGCGGCTGTCGTGTCGTGCCGTGTCATGTCGGGGGTGCATTTTGCCATTCATCTAGGCAGTGCACCAGTCATCCAAGCCCCACCCAGGGCCCCCAACCCAGGCATTGCCAGCTGCCAGCTGTCAGGCACCCACCCTGGGCACGGGGGCCGCACTGAGGGGCTCCAGGACGAAGGGGGTTCCCGGGGGAGAGGCGAGCTCGGGCAGCAGAGCCTCCCTGACCCGGGGGCGGGAGGGGGGCGAGGAGGCCGCATTCCGACCTGCAACGCCACGTACCAGTAGGACGAGGAGGAACGGGACCAGGGAGGGACGGTTTTCATGTTTACTTGCGTCCACCGCCGTGCCGTACTGTCCAACCGACTCTGTACGGTTAGTAGTGCTGGGTGGCTAGCGTGTCAGTTGCAGTGCTGGGCGGCGAGTGTTATATAACATAGTCTGGAGGTACGCAGGAGGTACGCAATAGGTAAAACACACGAGCTCACACCACAGGCGTCGTGCGGGTTCATCATTCCTGCCGTCCCCCCGAGCTGTTATGGGCCCCCTCTCACCGCTAAGCGATGGGGGGGGACTTAGCAGGAATTGCAGCTCGGTGGACTTCGTGAAGGTCCCCGACGGGAAGGTGAATTCTGCGTCGTCGTGGAAATCAAAATGTTGCAATAGTTGGAACGGCTGATCAGTCTGCGGTGGCAGTGGCGGGGACGGCGGCTGCAGCAACTGCCGTTCCCCTCGTTGTGGCGCCATGACCCACGGGTCGTTGTTCCGCGTGTGTCCGCCCGCGGCGCCATCGGAGTCTTGTAACACACCACCATGCGGTCGTGCAGAGCCAGAGACCAGTGCGTCCCGTGTTGCATTTTGGGTTGTATCAATAAGCCTTTGCAGATGAGGACGGTGTACTGCTTCTGTGAGGGCGTACGGTGATGCGGTACTGGTGTCGGCGGCGGCAGCGGCCGCGCCGTCGCCGATTCGCGTGCATGCGGGGCCACCATGCTGTGTTACATCTGGGTCGTTGTGTGCCTTCGCCGCATGCTGCCCACTATGGCGACGGAATGACATGTAGCTATCAGTATTGAGCGATTTCGTGTTGTCTGGTGGACCGAAGAAGTCGTGCCGAACTGCTTTCGCGACGAACGGACGATATTTTTGCGCCAAGCGGCATCCAAGACCGCTCACAATTTTGGTTGGAAAGTTATTGGTGTAATAATTTGCTGCGAGCTGCTTTAAAATTACTGGTCCTGTCGCTAACGATAGAACACCTCGGACTAAGTGAAGCAAAACGGCACGGAACTACGCAGGTGACATGTGAAATGCTGCGAGAGCTCCTATAACCATGTGGCGCGTCAAAGTGTTAATTACACGCCGACGGTGTAGAAAATAGAGGCCTGCAAAGCAAACGGTGCATGATTTGAGCATGGATCGCCGTCAGATGCGCCCTGAAGGAAGAGTCCAGGGACCCCGACGAACGCTGCTGCGCCGGGGGTTGCGAACATACTTTCTGTACCTTTCCATCCTTGGAAGGGGAGGGCCGCTAGGGGACAGCGCAAATCGTTTCAAACACGTACTTTGGCGCGCGCGATTAAAAAGTCTGCTGCCACCAGCTGATCGTCGGGTCGACCGCTTGCATCATAAGCCTTTTACAAAAGAAACAACTCTTACCTCAACACGTGCAGCATGCCAAGCCAGGATAGAGCTTGCATGGAGGTACGCGGGTGGCGCTCTCTCTGCGACCGGGCTGGAGCCGAAAATGCTCTGTACAGCACAGCGCAGCGGGGTTGCTAGGGGATAATGGGGCGTAGTGGCTTCCAGAGTAACTTGACGTTTGTCATGACGGGGAAAACGAAAGGTAAGGGACCGTGAATGCTTGTTGCATGGGTGACCTTCAATGCATGGGCGCATGGGCGCCTCTTTGGGCGATCGTCTCATACGGCCTCATCGCCAAAGAAGCCAAACCAACGTGGAGACTCTATGACTCTATGACTCTATGACTCTATGGAGACTCTATGACTCTATGGAGACTCTATAAGGAAGGTCTCCAGACCAACATGCCTATATCAACGCCATCGCTTAACCGCATTACATACGAGGTTATCTCTGACTTTTGGGCCCGTTTAACTGCTTTTGCGGCACGGGATTACTTGCCAAAACATTGGGATCATGTACCTCACAATCACCCTTTCTTATATGTCAATGACGCAGACATGGTTGCTTGCCGTTTACCGATATACAATGACGAAGTTTGAGGGCGCACGTCGGAGCCTCAATTTTTTGTTTAAGCGTACTAACTGAGGCCGTGTGTCCAGTGAAGTTAGTACGGCCTGGCCGAGTTCTTTTTGAATAAGGCCCACAGTGTTGTGCGGGAGGCGTTCCTATGGGCGCTGCACTCGACCCGTTCGGGGTCCACTGTAACAATCGCATCTCTATGACGCTTTATGCGTTAACGTTATGAAAGACAGTCGATTAACTGTCAAATTCGGCGTTCGAATTGCCTCTAGTCGTTAGTGAGCTTTGCGCGGTAGGGCCTTGGCTCCTTCCAGTTTGGGATGCGATATACGTCGACAACCCTCTCCAGGCCCTCGCAACCATTCGAGCTCCAAGGAGGCATACGCTTTGGGACCGGTACAGATCCGGGGCCGCGGGATATTCTATCACTGCATGTCAACGTTTTTTCTACCTCATGTGCACGAAATTCCTGGCCATCTTCCATCTGCGACAAACGCTAAAGCTAAAGATCACTTGCAGACAGAGCATGGACTGTTACGCTCGCATGCAGTCCTCTGAGTACAGGCGCTTCAAGAGAAGGCCACCGGCTGGGCTGGGCCGTCGTGTTCCCTCTCCTTTCCTCGTTCCCACAGTACATATGGAGTTTTGCATTATGACAGGATCTGTGTATGTCGTCGTCTTCATCCAAACAGGAAATAAAAGTGAGCGTAAAAGCAGTGGCATTATTACTAAGCAGCCACGAAAAGCTGTCGCTAAACTTCGCCGAAAACGCTGACGGTGTCAGCCCACTTCCGTCCTGTACTTCCTACCTTTTACTATTATATAAAAATTGTTCCCAGAAGCCATGTCGCCACGCCTATCATTGATCATCATCGTGGCACCACCGCATTGGACTGGGCTTCGCGACATGCCTCTCGGTATGTAAACCTTTTTTGGTAAACAACCCGTCCAAACTATAAGATCATGCAGGAACACAGCGTCGCCTTAGGTGCCATATTGTGCCAACATGCGCCAGCTGCCCAACCCCGCTATCTCGGCTCCACCGCATGATGCATCCCATGGACTCGATGTCTGCACCGGCCGGATCGCGCCCGGCGGACCGGGACCAAATATGCCTCAGCCGGAGCCGCATTCTAGTGCCTCTCACTCCAGTGAACTCTAGTGTGAAATTCCGGGAACAAAGACGAAAACGTCCGGCCGCTGGATACCTTATACACATGTAGCTAATACACCATAGCTGGAGAACGTATACACCTATCCAAAATGGCGAGAGGGGGACAAAGGAAAGGCTAAGGCTAAAAGGACTGCATAGTCCGGCCGCACATTTCCGATAGCATCCCTCCCTCCCTCCCTCTCCCTCCCTCCTTCCATCCACCCCTCCCTCCCTCCCTTTATACATCCCTCCCACCACCCTATGGCATAAAAGGGTTGGTAACCGGCCGGTTAGTTATAACCCAACAGGTAGGGTAACCGACATCTCGAGATAACGACCCGGCAACCGACCGGTAACTTTACCGGTCGGTTACCTTAGCGACCGGTAACCTATCGGCCGGTGACCCCCAATTACTGGGTCGTTAGCTCGTTATGCCGGCTACCCTACCGACCAGGTACCGAAGCGACCAGTTGCCGACAAGTTTGGTAGGGTTACCGACTGCTGGTGACAAGCAAGGATAAGTCTGTCTGTGGCCCTGACGGCCAGGGCCGACCCAAAATTGGATAGCCCTGCTTCCGAGATGGAAATAGACCAACCAACCAAGAACACGATTGCATCCCTTCGCAGTATGCTGCACACGTACCCAGCAGTTTCACACTGCCCTGAGCCAGACTTCGTTGTGCCGGTTGAACAGCCTGAAAGGGCTGTCGTACCCGGCGTGGAAGAAGGTGCTTGCATCGTACGTCAGACCTTGGTCCTCCAGAAGCTGCATCAGGCTCGCAGCCTTGTCCACGATCTCCTTTTCATTCGTGCGGCCGCCGTACGACAAGACGTAGTACTTGACGGACGGTGCGGGGTCCACGAACAGATCCTTACTGAGGGGCAATGGTGGCACGTCCTGGCGCACGGTGAACCGGAAGGTGGGTGAGTACGCAGGAGCCATTTTAAAATTTATAATATTATAATAATATTATTATTTATTATTTGTATTTTTCGTATGAATTGTTAGTTATTTTTATTGTTCGTATCTCCAATATGAATATCAAAACTGCCAGGTGTCGCTTGACACCACAAAACCCCAAAAGTTATACCACGAAAACACGCACAACACCAGACCACGGAGCCCTACGGCGTCACATTATTGAGGCCAGATGAGAGATAAGACACAGTGCTGCGAACATAAAGCCACATCACGCGGCGGAGCCCACCTGCAGGTCGAAGGGCACGTAGAAGGACACCTTGTAGTGGTCCTCGCAAAAGGGCCCCGCGCCGGGCGTCATCTCCACACGCACCGGCGCTGTCATCTCGATGCGCTGCTGCCCCTCGTTGGCTCCGCTGATGTAAGCAAACAGGCGCTACGGGAACGGGGGGGGGTAGGGATGGAACACGCTGATCAACCGGCGCCCAGAGGGGACTTGGGCGTTCTTAATTCCCATGGAGGCAGGGAATTGAAGCTCGTCGGCTGCTTGGACACCCATGCCGAAGGGCCACCCTCCCCCCCTTCTCTCGCAACGTGCGTGCATGAGTTCAGGCACAGTAAGCGGCCAGCAGGACGAGGGACGTGTACCCGTCAGCCAGTACATCAGCCATGCGCTGCCCTTCCAGATGCCTCACCATGAAACCGGTCCGCACAGCCTTGTCGTAGTCCATGCCGGTCAGGTTCGTGGACATCCACACGCCTGCACGTAAGCACGCAGATGAGGAATGCGACACATGCGGCGCAACAAGGCATGATTGGCTGGTGATTTTGACTTGACGGTGAATGTGCCACAGATCTTCTGGTGTACAAACATGCGGTGGGACAGCTGGGATGTGATTAGCATCGTGTGAATTAGATAGAGCGGGCACAGAGGTAGGAATCATGCTGCGGGAAACTCGACTTTCGGAGTGCGTGGTGAGTACTGAGGTTTGCGAGCTTCACCAGGCGGCCGTATGGGTGGGACGCACAGAGACGCGGTTTGGCAGCTTCCCGTCGCGGAGTGGGGAGAAGCCGTGCAGTTCTTAGAGGGTAGGTAGGCATCGGTGCGACTTTGATTTGGGTCCATTTCAGGTGGAATAGCTATGAGGGCTCGAGCAAGTCTGGAGGGCAGGGTAAGCACACTTCGCACTCCATGCAGTTCAAGGTGTATAGAGTGTGGCTCCAGAGTCAAGTAACAGCTTGAATGCGGTTAGGCTCTTCCATGACGGCATCCCCGAGTCTCGGTCGTCATCGCGTCACAGTCATCGGCTGCAGTGCCGGTCCTAACCGCCGCACCCCGCGGATCGCGCAATATGTTACCTACCCGCGTCGTATGACCTAAGCTCGACATCCTTTCCAAGTGTTTCAGTAACTTCGTAGGGTGGACAGTCAAGGTCATGGCAGAACCAGGGAACATGGCCAACAGAGCAATGCTCTGGGGCCTTTCCAAGAGCCAACAATGTAAGGATTGTGCACAATATTCCAGCCATAGTTCCCGAATATCCCAGCCTCGCACAAAGCATAAGTTGTGATTGTGATGCCCTGACCGTAACGGTTGTACGGCGTTGCTAGAGGTGTCATGTGGCGTAATGTGTAATGTTGGGCAGAACACCGTTTGAACGCCAAATTTGTCGTGCATAATTGTACACATCTTATGTAGCAACGATTCTTATCCAAGGCAGGAAGGCGGGTATTAATTATCCGCACAAGAAAACTACAGCTTGCCTAAGAACAAAGAGCCCAAACAGCATGACGTTGTGGACCCTATTGCAAGTGAGGGCGAGGCCTACTGCAATAGGCGATACGCCGAGCATTTAAACAACTTGGATTGACCTGCGTTTCGACAATCATTCACATTCCCGCAGGCAGTCCTTCTGATGTTCAACGGTGTTGCAGTATTAAACAATGATCGATTTCTGGAAAAACGTGAGCTTATCAGGAGGATGCTATCTGCCGTTGCCAGATGGACCATTACATCCTGACTGTCGCCGCAGGGGGCTTCGGGTTTTCTCAAATGCGGGAGTCCAATTCGTTAAAGATGTCTATCATAGGCGGTATACACGCCGTCCACTATTTTCGAGGTAAGGGAGTCCATACATGCCGTGCCAAATACCCTTGCAGGGCTTACCCCCTTTCCGCCGCCTACCCCTGTCCTTCTGCCTGTCTCCAACCCGACAGGAGTACTAGTGCCAATAAACGTCCTCGTCATCTTAATCAAATTAATATTTGGCTGATTGCAAACATGCACTCAGAGCCAGGACGCATCCAAACGTTACTCGAAACCAAACGGATGAGGCAGGGAACGTTCTTGGACGTCGCGTGCTATAGCCAAGGCCATTCGTCCTCACCAAGTACGAGGTGAACGTGTCCGCACGCGAAGTTCTAAAAGGTGGCGCCGGATTCACGCACGGAGGGTACAGTGCCTATCTTCAAGTTGCAGAGCCAGGATTATTATTGTAACATAGCGACCGCTTTGTGGACCTGCATATGCTGCCGTTAATTCCACACAGCTTGCTCTAGAGACACTCACGACTTCCACCATCCACCCATGATACGCCCCTACGGGGTACTTGTGCATGAGCGAGCATCACAAGCGGAACGCATCATGCGTTTCGACAGACACCAGGGAAAAAATACATCGAGTACACGCACAACACTTGTAGACGTGCGGTTCAATATCTGAACTGAGGATTGGAACATATCGCCGCGCATGGGTGCCCGGCTTGCACTATACACGCGTGTTGCTGGTATACGAGCTTGAAAGCGACCAATGCAATCCTTTCTAAATACCTGCAATGTCAGGGCGAAATATTCGCCGAAGGATAACGAAACAGAGCCCTCCTGGGTAACCAACAAATACGCTCATCAGTCCACTCCCTCACTGCACTAGTCGCTACGCAGCGAGATCACCTCACAACTAACCCCAGAGCTCTACGCCCAGACTATATCCCCCTCCAATCCCTTCGTGGTGGACGGGAGACAAGAATTGGGCAGTTAGGTACAGACCGGACACGCTGAGCATTGCGCATTCCCAAAATCCAGCTCAGCTCTCCCTTGCCTCAGCCTCGCAGCCTCGCCAGTAGCGCCTCTGCCGTGGCCGCGTGCCGCTTCATGATCTCCGGTCGCCGCGGCTTCATGGTGCGGGTCAGGGTGCCGTCGTCCACGCTGAGCGGTGTACGCACCACAGTGATATGCGCCACGTGCTCGAAGTGGTGATAATCAGGGCGCGAGGAGTTGAGCCTACACGAGTAGTGGGACCCAGATGTGCAGTGCAGGTCAATATACTGGCATTGCAACGATAACCAAAAACAGTTGCAAGCGAACAGTTCACGATTCCTCTCAGCGCCGCCGATCCAAACTCAACCCACAACGGCGGTGGCCTGGTGACACGAATCGTGGGTGCGAACGGGATGCCCCAACTCAGGCGGCGCGACACAGGCAAAGCCCCGCCAAAACACCGGTGCAAACCCTCCAGAGAGCGACTCGTCGTCCAAGTCGTCAAGTATCAGCTGACAGGCAGGCAATGCACGCACGCACCTGGCCACCTCGTCCAACAGGCGGTCCTCCAGCTCCGCCGGCGACAACGAGTTCTCCGGGGTTGCCGACAGAGCGTCCTCATCGGGCCACACAAGGGCCCCCAGCTCGCGCTTGTCCTGCATTGAGGGGGGGGAAAGGGGTTTCAAAGGATCGCAACGAAGAACCCACGGGGTGGGGTAAGGTTGAGAGGAATTCAAACATGAAAGCAAGGCAAGAGCCTGACAGGGCCGGGGTCTACTACCGCAGCTCATATCCTACCTGCCCGACCAGTACCACATGCTTGATTAGGCCCGACGCTGCCACGGCGTCCTCGATGGGCTGCGGCTCCACGTTCTTCCCGGAGCTGAGCACAATGGTGTCCTTGGCCCGGCCCGTCAGGACCAGGTGGCCCGCGCAACGGGAGCCTGTCACGCCCGTTGGGGCTACCCAGCCCAGGTCACCTGCTCGATACCAGAGGGGCCGGGAGGTTGGACAGGGGGAGGTGGAAGGCATGAAAAGCCAGGCCTGAAAGTTGTATTAGGAGGAAAGGGGGCAGGTATGGGGAGATGGGGAGAAAGACGCACCACGAGCAAGTGAAGCATGGGAGATGGGGGATGGAGGAGAGCAGGCAAGGAGGTGGCGGCCCTGTTCAGGCGCGGCAGCGTTGGCAAGCAGGACATCTCAAAATGAGGATAGGACGAGGAAAACGCGGACCACTCTGGGGCCCACCCACCCATTTGGAGCGAACTGGAGCGATTACGACAAGCAGCGCCGGATTACCCCGCTGTTCAACCCCGCCAGGCGGTAACCAGCCCGCTAACCAGCCACAGCGCACCCGTGTCAAACCAGCCGTCGCCCGCGCGGAAGGCCCGGGCTGTGGCCTCCTCATCAAGGAAGTAGCCAGCCATAACACCAGGGCCGTTGGCCAGCACCAGACCCTGACGCCCCTCCGGCAGGGGGTCCAGAGTCTCCGGGTCCACAACACGCAGCTGTGTACCGGGAGTGGGCACACCCACACTGCCGCGTATGTTCTGTTTGCCCGGGGAGGGGGGAGGGGAAAAGGGGGAGGGGGAAAGACGCACCACGAACGAGTGAAGCTCGGGGGAAGAAAGGGGAAGGGGGAGTAGTGCGTGTGCGCAAGCGGATCACAAGGGCTGGTATAACTTTTGTCACCCGTAGAATGATAATAAGCTGGAAGCGGATAGAACTTCGGCAACATGATCCTGGTCGGAGGGTCGGAGGGTGGGTGGGTGGGTGTATAACGGTATCTCACCAGACACGGCCAACTTGATACCACGGCACCACGGCAAGGGCCCCCTGCTTCCCAACACTCCTTCCTTAGTCGCAGATAGACCTGGCGCCCGGAGCCGCATCACCACCACCGCCACTGCCTGAGCCGCACGCACGCCTACGGCCGAGCCGCACCGCCACAGCAGTAACAACAGCAACCGCAGTCCCGTACATCACACCACGCGTCTCCCCCCACCACCACCTGCTCCGGCGGGTCGGACCTCCTGCAGGCCAGCACTGGAGACGTCTCTGTCAAACCCCAGCCGTTCAGCACGGGGAGCCCCAGAGCCTCGTAAAAGTCGTCCAGGTGAGCGGCCAGGGAGCCGCCCCCGCTGACCACCGTCTTGCGGATGCCGAGCGCCTCGCGAATCTGAATGCCGCGGTGCAGTACAGTGCAGTACAGTACACCGGGTTGTCAAGGGAAGAGGGCACATAGATCCACACCGGTTATGAAGCCGCGTCCCGGTGCCGGTGCCGGTCACAAGTAATTGAGGCCACCTGTGAACGTTGGATGACTGAGGCCCTACCGTGCCACACGGCTATTAACTTCTTCACACTTCCTCAAACATGTACCGCCTCACCTTTACCGTACCGCCTCACCTTGCCGTACACCAGCTTCGACGCCAGCCAGTGCAGCGGCGTCAATAGCGCCGCCAGCACAGCGGCACCTAGGATCTGTGCCCAGCGCCGCGCCAGGCCGGCCGCCGTCGCCACCAGTCCATCGCTCGTTCCCCGATCCGCCGGCGGCAGCGCGTGCTGCACCGACAGCCCCGTCGCTACGCGGCGCGCGCGCACATAGGCAGCGCCCGCCGCCAGCAACGCTGTCGCGATAGCGGCACGGTGTCGGGGCCCCGCTGCCAGGCGCTGCCGCACCCTGGCGTGGAGTGTGTCCAGCACCAGCGGCACACAGACGAAGTGGTCCGGGGTGAAAGCTGTTAGGTCGTCGCGCAAACGCCGAATGTTGGTGTAGACCTGCGTTGGCGGCGTACGTGGGGTTTTGCCAGAGGGCGGGACGTGTTCTTGTGTCAAGACAAAGACGGCAAGAGGTAAACCGTATCACGGGAAAAATGGAATGGCCCCGAGCCCGGTCAGAGGTCAGTTGTAGGTAAGGGCAAGCTACGAAGGTGGCCTGAGAGCTCGTATGCGAGGAAGAGATCCGGTTTATTTTCCTCATGCCCACGTGCCGGTACGGCATTCAAGCAGGTTATGAACCCGCAACAATATACATGCATACATACATACATACATGTACATACACACATGTATGTGCAGATGTACATACACAAATCCATGCGTTCCTGCTCGACAAATGAACCCAAGAACGCGTACACATGCGTGCCAATAGCGCATACACAGCCCATCGAGTTCACGCGCGCATTATCCTCGACATCCACGCACGCTCCCGCCTTGGCCTTTTCGCCCACTAGGCCTCCCTCCCTCGCCCCTACCTGCTGGCCACCTCGGCTCAGGACAAAGTAGGAGCACGTGCGCTCGTAGATGTGCCAGGGCGGCAGCAGACTGAGCACCCTGTCTCCGGGTTGCACGGCCAGGAAGTACGACAGGTTGCGAACCTGGTACGTCAGGTTGCCGTGAGTCAGCATGACGCCCTTGGGGTGGCCTGCAGGCAGCAAAGGTGGGGCCCGGGTTGGGGATCCGTGTATGTATGTAGTATGTATGTATGTATGTATGTATGTATGTATGTATGTATGTATGTATGTATGTATGTATGTATGTGTGAAGGGGGGTTTGAGGGGGGTAAAGACGAACCACGGACGAGCGAAGCAGATACCAGAGGTATACGGATACCCCAGGATTAGACGACAGAATCTTCGAGGAGTTTTTATTGAGTTACCGAGCAATAGTGACTTGGATAGTAGTTAAGGGGTAGTAAAACAAACTTAACACTGGCAAATGAAGTTGAGGGGGGAAGACGAACCACGAGCGAGTGAAGCTGATGCCAAGGAAAGCCTGATGCGCCAGAAATAAAAAAAGGCGCAACTAATAGCCAGTTGAGGGGGAGGAGAAAATCAAACTATGCAAACCGCAAAGAGGCAACTGCCACAAGGATCCCCAGCGGTGATGTGGGGGTAGGCCATGGGGAGACACGCGCGGGCGTGTATGTTTTGTGTGTACATGTATGTGTGTCAGGCAGGACATCGAGGTTACGGTAACTGCTTTGTGGCGGAGGCGGAGGCGGCAGCAGCTGCGGACCCATCCAGTCCATAGCGGATGTACGGACGGCACGAAGATAGACAGGTTGCCCTCATACGCAGGCGGTTGCTCTCACATGTACACACACGGCGAGGAAGCCGCTCTTCCCCGAGGGCAGCCAAGCCGCAGCGAATGGAAATCCTGGATGACTCCATTACGACCACCTACCCCTACGTGTGACAATCACCACCAAGATAGCGACGGCGACGCTAAGCACCCGCATGCAACCCCCATCCACAAAGCAAAAGGCGCGTGTAGCAGGCAGCACTGACCCGTGGTTCCCGACGTGTACACCAGGGTTGCCAGGTCGTCTGGAGACACCTCAGCGGGCGAGAAGCTACCCGCCTTCAACGACGCCTCGCCTCGCCGCAGTACGTCATTGTACGACAATAGCGGGCATGTCAATGATGACACATGCGCTGGCTCGGCTTCTCCCCACAGCAGCACCACGAAGCGGAGCGCGCGGAGCGGGTTGGGCTCCTGCACACCCAGCACAGCGGCAATGCGAGGGCAGCGCCGGCGAACACGGGAATCGATAATGCCGTCAATAATGTCATCCAGGCCGTCCTAGGCACCGAAAGTGTGCCGGGCGGCATGGCCTGGGCTGCCGCGTTACAAGACACCGGCAGCGACCATTCAGCGACTAAACCCGCGACCCTAGGGAGAACATGACCCCCCTCCCCTGCATGGCGCCTGGACGCTGCTGCAGGGAAGGCACCGGTGTGCCACGCAGAATGCAGCCCTGGCAGCAGTACAGAGTCCTAAGGACCTGGTCCCCACCCCATGGCGGGGCCCCCTTGCAATAGGGCGCCATACCGCGCGGGTTGCTTTCCAACACGAGACACCTCTGTGCCTTCCCGCGTGTTACCAGGGTCCAGCGGTGTTGGCGGGGGGGAACCAAACTGGCTAGTCCTAGTGCGGACCTGTCCGAACGCCCCGTATGATCTGCAGTCCGCCAGAAACACATGGCTCCAATCAAGATACAGTACCCTGTGACGCGCGACGACGAAAAAGCCACCGCCACCACCACCACCACCACCAGGGCGGTGCGCTAGGGTACAGGTCCCTTGGAGGCGGCTGGCCATACGGCAGTGGCAGCATAGGCCACTGTCCCTGTGGCCCGTTCCTTCACCCCTACACCTCTTCCACTCCCTCCTTGCTCACTCCTACCTGCGCCCGCTCATGCGCCTGTCCCGCGGCCAGCAGCTTGCCCAGCGCCGCGCCATCTTGCACAACCAGCCCCACGGCTCCGCTGTGCTTTGCGATGTAGAGCAACTCCTCGGCCGGCGCGGAGGCGCCTCTCACCACCCCCGCGGCGCCGCACGCCATGATGGCGCCGTCAGCCACCAGCCAGCGGCTCGAGTTCTCACTGAACAGCGCCACCTGTTACGTGATGGACACGCAGCCGGTGAGCAATAGCAGCAGCAGTCGCAGTAGCTGCAGCAGTAGCAGCAGCAATCGCAATAGCAGCAGCAGTAGTAGCAGCATGATGAGGATGTGGAGAGGTACGGCATGCTGGTGTGGTCCCGTGCCGTGTATTAGCAGGGGGTGGGCCGGGACGAAATAGAACGGGGGAACGGCAGCGACCAGGACCTGGCGGCTACGGGTGTTGCTCACGTGCGAGGATTATCTCAATGGGGAGTCAAAATGCTTGCAGGCGATTATTTCGGCGTGCAAACATACCGCTGTTAAGCCGTGTGCCTGGCGACAGCAGGTTCGTGTGTGGAATGGGAAAATGAGCTGGAAATCAATATATATACCTTGTCATGTTTGGCGACCCCCAGCTCATGGAAGCCCGCCGCAAAGCTTTGCATGGTGTCGTACAGATGCCTGCAAGCAGGAGAGGCCCAAGGGGTAGCAAGCCCGAGGTCGCGGCATGCCGTGCACCCGCGAATCATCCGGGGGCTGTATGATAGTTTATGCTGCGAGGCACATCGTCGAAGCAAGCCGCGCGCGCATCAAGGAGGAGAAATCTGCGTGTAACCTTCATGACCGAAAGATCAAAGCTTGAATGCTTGAATGTCTCACCTGAACGTCATCTCGGGGCTCCCGTCCTGGTGTGGGTCACGCACCGCCACCAGACTGCCGTATTGGTCGGCATTCCGTGACCATCTGCTCGGCATGTGAGATTGGTTTCGAATGTTACAGCTGTAACGTTGACAGGACCATTTCATGCAAGGCCAAGGCTTCAGAGAGCTTTTATTTTTGAATTAAGGCCCACTAACCAAGTCCATGAACCGCGCGCAACAAGGGCACTTATCCCCAAAACGTTGATGATTGCCACAAAGGGAGAACTGGAACCTCCAGCGTTAAAAACATTCCAACCTCACAGAAGTCACAGGGACTCTTGACGAAAGACCCTGCTCCGCCAAGCAAAATTCACACAATACTTACATGTCGCACAAAGTCTGTAGTGGTTCCAATTCCACATATTGCTTAGGATGAGATTCTGGAGCAGTACTTTTAGGTTCGGCATGAACTGTTTCAGTCGGCTCGGCTATGGCGACCTGCCAGGGAAGGCAGACGACGTGTTCTCCAAGGCAATCGTCAATACTACAGACACTGTGACAGACCTGGCGGTCCACCTGAGCGACCCGCAGTAAGCGCGTTCTCAGAGCAACCCTGTTAGCCGATATAACTGAACGCCGACCAGCGAAACCACCATGCTGCTGGCCAATAGCTTTGTTAGATTTTGGGGCGTGTTGCCGCATCCTTTGCAAAAAGTTTTAAATGCAAACGACTTCTGCGGTTAAAAAGTGCTCCAGCAGCGGAAAGTGCACAAGCCGTTGCACTTCTCTGTTCTGTCACGCCTTAGCGACCATTAACTTTTTTGCCAAAGCTGCGGAAAGTTAGCTGTCATCTGTATGCATCTAATTGATCATGCCACTGGCCGTAATGTGAGATTGTAGTACTTTTGACGCCGTACTGTGGTGTAACTAACACCAATTACCTGTTATAACATGAGTAATCACCCAACAGCTTCCGGCAACCTATGGTGACCCAGAGTTATGGGACCGTCCGTACCGGGCGCTTGCAGATGTTAACCAGCTTAGTTACGGTGAACCTTTCTGACGAGTAAGCACGTTGAGAAGCTTTTAGGCACCAATGGTCGTTCTATTAATGAACCTGACCATCTGGCCGTCGGTCCTCCGGTTCCCCTTGGTTTTCGCCCTTTTCCGCGTGTGCACCCTGTTTGCCTTAAAACCTGCCAGGGACGACTGTTGTGTTGCCAGAGAAAAACTGATGTGTGCTAAACGCGCTTGTACATATTTGAGTTGCCGATGAGGATGTTTGCTTCAATCATTGCAGGCGGAGTGCTTCGCGTTGCGTTCTGCAGAATACAATTTCACCCCACACCATTTCTTAATACCCGCGAAGCATCCCATGGCATGGCGAAGGCAGAAGTCAAACCACGTGCATCATATGAGTTTCTGTGCGCAATCCTTCTGCGCATGACTGCGTGTGCCTCAGCGCTTGGACATCCGGTGAGGACCTTGCGTGTCAGGATAAAGCAACCTCAGGTGCATCACCCTCATACCAGTGACTGTAGGCACTACGTAACAAAAATGCTACGTAACAAAAACGCCCATGCTAACGGCCTTCAGGTTGATTTGTCGGTGTGACGGGTAATTTGTCAGTTGTTTGTTGCACAACCTGGTTACATTCTTTCCAAATGCAGCTTCCCATACGTTTTAGCGTCTAAGGCGTCAGCTTTGCATAGTTCTAAGTGCATTTTGAAGCATTAATCGGAAGGGTTTAGGCGTCAGGGTTCAGTAACTTGCGTAAGGAGTGCTCGTGCAATCGTCGTGTTCCTTAAACGTTATATTTAGCACATTAGGTTCCATAAGGATTTATGTACTCGTAGAAATGGATGCTTTAAGTGGAGGACAAGTTTTACCAGGCGGCGTGCTTGAGGTTCGGACGCATAATCGGAAAGGGCGGAGCCTGTACACCACTCGACTTGTGAAGGGTGGCGAGACTGTCCTGGATGAAGCACCGCTGCTTCTCCTCGTTGCCCCGGAAACGGCGCAGTCCACCTGCATAGCATGCCTACGGGCCGTTCGGCCGCAAGGTGAGAGGCGGTGCAAACCAGAACAGCTGGCATTTGCATAATCCTTCTTTGCTTGTATTCATCTCAGCAATGCATGGCACGGCTAATGCTCCGCTGCGCCGCACACGCCGCATGCCCACGAGCATCTTCGCTTTATCACTCCGCCATGCCCGCGCTCCGTGCCATGCTTCTTTTACATGCAGAGTGCATCGAGTGCTCCGTGTGCCGCCAGGCGTGCTTCTGCAGCGCGACCTGTCAGCAAACAGCCCAAGGGACACCTTGGCTGCACTCGCAGCCCCTCTGCAGGTTAGCGCGGGAAATCGGAACGCAACCATTCTCCCGGGTCACCTACAGCCGCCCACCAGTTTCTCGGCAGTGTTTCGATATGGCCGTGTGTGTACGTACGTATGTACGTATGTCTGTGCGTGGGACAGTGTGTCACGATCACGCGCCAGAAGCAGCACGCCTTAGCAGGTCGCCTCCTTTTGGGGGAGTCCAGGCATCGCGCACAGAAACGAAAAGAAGTGAATGATTCATGAATGCTTTTTCTTTTAATGGAAAGCCTACAGTGGTCTCCTGGCCTCGGCTACCCTCGCTTCGCTCTATCCCACTGCGCGTCCCCATGTCCGCTCCTCCCCGCAGCGCCTACGCACGGCTCGCCATGTTTGGGCTGCCGCCTGAACAGCAATCCCAGCTGCGGTTCCTGCTGCACGCTCTTGCGCTGCGGCACGCGGGCACTGCAGAGGCAGGCGAGTTGGGAGCCGGACCCCAACCACTGGGGAAAACCCCAATCGGGCGCCACAACCAGGAAAAAGGGCGTGCAGCTAATCAATCCATCCGTTCGGTCCAAAACCTACCTGCTCTGGCTCAACCACTCCGTTTTTAAAAGATCTGTCTGTCATTCAAAGCTAACCGCCATAAACATATAACGATCACAACGTTCACCGCTTGAGAGCGGAAGGAAGAATAATAATTGTGGTTGGTTGTGTGGTTGGTCGAATCACACGGTGCATCTTACAGGCCGGCCTTCGGTGGCTTCCCCCGGTCTCCCTCCGCCCTCGCCCCTCCGCCCACGTAGAACGCAGGTTCGCCGCGCTGTCATGTCTGGTGGGCGAGGCCACGGAGGCGGAGCGGGCTGTGGCGGCTAGGCTGGCACCCCTGCTGGTGGAAGCCCTGAGAGGTGCGCGGAAGGGAAGGACGTCAAGGAAATAATACATGAAGACAGCATGCAAACATCACCTACTCAAAACTATTGTGAATGCTCTAGGAGCAACGGAGCTTCCAGCACGACGACCGCGATATCCAAAGCTCTCCTCAGGGGATTGGTTTCGGGAGGCCGCAGGGAAGGGAGGGAGGAAACGGCGGGTCCTGAGCCACTTGCCGCGGTTTGGATCGCGCTCCGCCAAGTTCTCACAACTGCGAACCGCTCCAGCATTCACCACCTGGGCCGACCACCATCGCCACCACGAACTCAAGTCGTAATGTGCTTCCGTCTCATATCCCTTCTCCCCTTCTCCCCCCCGCAACTTCCACTCCGCCTCCACCACTGGCGGGTGCGACCCGCTGCTCCCCAGATCTCCAGGGAGTCGGCGGCTCCCTGCCCATACCTTGGGACGTAGAGGAGCTGGCCAGGTTGCTGCGGAAGGAACAACTCAACTCCTATGGCGTGTTGGCGGCACCCTACCAGTACCAGCACCATCACCATCACCATCACCATGGAGGAACCGCGGCGCCTGGACCCGGCTGCAGCGGCGAAGGTGGCAACGGCCAGACGGCCCCCAAGAGCAGTTGCGGTGCGGGTTGCAGTGGCGGCGGCAGTGGCGGGGAAGCGGGGGATGGCGAGCGGCGGCTGCGGGGCAGCGCCCTGTACGCGCAGGTGTGTGTGCCAGGCGGGTAACTTGGGCTGGGTTGCCCTGCCTGTAGCCTTCCTTGACCCCCGCCACCAATCCGCAGGCCTCCCTGATCAACCACGAATGTCTTCCCAACGTGGCGCGGTTTGACGACTTTGACAGCGACCTCCCCGACCGCACCCACGTCACATTCCGCGCGCTGCACGACCTGCCTCCCGGTACGGAGCTGGCTCAGAGCTACGTGCCGCTGCACTGGGATCTGGCGGAGCGGCAGGCGCAGTGCAGGGAGGTGTACGGCTTCGCCTGCACATGCCCCCGGTGCCAGGTGGGCCTTACCGCACCCGGCGGTTCGGCATGGGGTGGGGTGGGGTGGGGTGGGGCGGGGTGAAGAGAGGGTTCTGGATGAATGAACAACGCAAAACCCGGTAGACGTGCAGGTGCACGAGGATTGGGGGGGGTGTTTAAGGAGAGCAGCAAAAGGCTCGTGACCGCTGCCAATCGGCGAATGGTCCTTCATTGCGTCTGGCGGAGTGGAAAGCCACACTCTGCATTTTCTCTATTCCCATTTTTGGAGCGCCGTTTCCTCTTTGACTTTTCCTGGGCTCTCTTATCTATCTGCAGACGGAGTCCCGATGGAGCGATGATGATGATGATGACGAGGGTGAGGAGAGCGAGTGGGAGACGGACAGCGGCGGCGGGAACATGGAGGCCGATGGCGAGGACCGGGGGGCACCTGCGGCGGGCGGCGGGGAGGCCGCTGCTATGCCGGGCGATGGCGGTGTGGAGATCGAGATGCAGGAAGCCCAGGTGCGGTGTCCGCGTGCTTGGTCCTGGCAGACGTGACAGATGGGCAGTGGCGCAGGGCAGTGCGCGGGGGCGGGGGGGGGGAGACGAACCACGAGCGAGTAAAGCTGCTGCCAAAGAAAGAGTGCTGCGGCGCCGGGGGGCCTCAGGTCGTCGGTAGTTCTCTCTAACCGCTGGCTCGAGTTGTGCTTACGCGAACGGTATTGGGCCTCCGGGGCGTAGGGGGGCCACCGGGATTGTGTGAGATGGCGTGTTCCGGACGGTTGCAAGATGTGGGAGGGAGGCCGGGGGTTCGGTAGGGGGGGATAAAAAGGGAAAACGTGACCGTCGCGGTGGTTCCGGAGCACGACGGGAAGTTTTACTTCCGGTTTTGGAAAGTAGAAGCTTTGTTTGTTTGTAATAGTTCAAATCTCATTGGCATAATTGTTTGGGTGTGTTTCTGTACCTGCTAGTCAGGTAGTTGCTAGTCAGGTGTTCCTGTACCTGGTACTTGGTAGTGGGAACCTGCCAGGATGGGATAAATTGCGTTTTGTTGGCTCATACTGCTAATCGTCGTGTGGTGTCTTGCAGCCGGTCATCACCGCCCCGCCGGGCGAGGAGGGACCCTTGGAGCCCGCCTACCTGCGCCTCTTCCTCCTCAAGTATATGTGCGCGGCGCCGGGGTGCTTCGGCACCGCTGCGCCGACAAAGCCAGGGTCTTCCCTGCTCGAGTGCAACATATGCGGATGCTCGCGTTCGGAGGAAGACTTTCTGCGCGAGCTTGAAGGATTGCAACAAGACGAGCAGCAGCAGCAGCAGCAGCAGCAGCAGCAGCAGCAGCAGCAGCAGCAGCAGCAGCAGCAGCAGCGGCGGTACAGGTGCACAAAGCGCTGACTGACCCGACGGGAGTAATAGCGCAGATGGAGGGCTTAGCAGAGGAGGAGCACGCGCTAGACCCGGAATTTCCGACCCATTTCCCGCTTTTAGAGCTGGAGGGCGGGCTGGACCGCGGCTCGAGTGTAACTGCGCGGTTCACGATCGCATCGGTAACGGTTTGGAAGACGCGAACAAGGAGCAGTTGCCAACTTGGGAATTGATATAAATGATTTAAGAGAGTGGCCTTGCGTGGTTTGTATATTGACCAAGGCTGGACCTAGCTAAAGCGAAGTTGCCCCGATCGGTCGGTTGCTGCTGCCCACTTCAATTCGAGCTTGCCCGCGCTCCTGTTGCAGGTCCTTAGCACAACATCAATTGAACCGCTAGCTTTCAAACGTATTTGCTGACAAGATTGATTGCTACATGTTGCGTGCTGGTGTCCTGTGGAGTTCGACTTTGCTTTTCCAGAGTGTTGCGAAAAACGGGACATGTGCCGTTGAATCGCTATTCCGCCACGAATTCTGCTGACACGAACCAACGGTAGTTAATCGAACCACTATGATTTGTTGCGCGGATGTCAGGAAGTTAGTGAGGACTGTTCAGTTTTGTGAGCTGGAGCTGACTGGAGCGCGACTTTTTAAGCGCTGGTACGGCCATTGTTGTATATGTGAGAGCTTTTTGCCCATCGCAATAACTCGACTTGGTAAGTTGATTTCTATACTTCCTGTCATTACGTTGTGGAAGTCCGATAATGAATAGAGGCGTCGCGGTCGCATGAGTGTTGGGGAATAGGAATTCTACTCGTGTGGTATTGCCTACAACTCTACTATTTCGTTATTTTGAAGCTTATAGGAAGTACCTGTCACCGGCCGGTCCCGCGGGACGCCTCTGCTGTCCGTTTCCCTTAATCATGTACTAATCAGACGTCCGGTACGGTAAGGTACGCCTCGCGGCCCACACGGTCATGTACATTGCTTGTGTCTCTGATGCACAAAATCTGGCACTGTAGGAAATTGGACCTGCTAATAGTGTTATTGAAACATGTAGCTTTTTCCTTCTGGTGCACGGGGGGACGTAAGAGCCATACGTAGCGGTCCGACGGACGGAACGCGAGAATCTGTCGTCGTACTGGCAGGCGTGCAAGCCACGACAATGTGGAGCAACATCGCAATACAATAGATATGATTTCTTTAAGGACGTTTTATTTGCTTCAAATGAAGCTTCCTCATATCGGATAGCGACTCGGATAGCCGCCGTACGAGTAAAAGCGTTTAGCGCCCGCCCTATGACGTTATAGGCAGCACGACGCATTCTGCAGGAAAGTGCATGTTCTGCATGATTACCTCCTCATAAGTTATGCCTTGTGGTGTGGAAAGTATGCAAGTTTTTTTCGTTATGCCTTTCCCAGATGCCGCATTGTCACGAATGCATGCCATACTCAACTCAGCCCTTCATGCAGGAAAAGAGAAACAGTTCCACGCTGAAATATATAAAAGTTTTGTCTTGGTTCGCGGTTAATTTTCAGTTTTTGTTCCTGTTGAATTTGTTTGATGGTACGGAGCTCGCGCCTGCAAAGTGCATGAAAGGTCATGAAAAGTGGATAAGGTGTGCGCGAAAGACAGACAGCAACCTAGAGAGGGTTTTGTTTAATTGGAGCACGTTCACAATGTTGATAATCGTGTAGCGTTGCGAATGCCATCGGCTACTTCTCAGTACTTCTCTGTAGTGCGTGTGAAGGACCGCGGCTGCTCCGAAGGATGACTGAACTGAACTGAACGTCACTAAACATGTCCATGTCATTTCAGCAATATTTTATGGTCCTGCAGCGAAGGCCTTTTTGATTTAAAAATCTAACAGCTTTGTCGTTGCAAATCGAACTACGATCGAGCCGTGCACAGATAACTTGATTTTTGCCGAATATCGTTAAATGTAACCCAATTGACGGCATAAAGAGAGTATCGGCCGACTGCAAAATGGGCATTGCAGGTAACCAACCATACTGGCCTGTCTTGGCCGTTTTGATTCAGCGCCTGGATGGCGCCTGATTGCGGCGGGCGCCGTCATGCACGTACGGACTGACCTGAACGTATCAGCGCAGCTCACTGCAAGAGCCTATCTGTCAGAATGTATTGGCTGGCACCGATGCCGCCAGTGGCTCCCATTCCTTCATATTGTATGCATCCATCTGGTTTCTTATCCAGACGTTTATTCTTCCATACTCCCCGGCTTTCTAACGAAGCTGTTCTGCCTTGTTGGCGTTCACGTGCGTAAGCTTCGACCAAAAGAAACCACTTAAACAAATCTAAGCTGGTGGATGCTGATCTAGTCCCTTATTGGGGAGTAATGGCCATTCGCGCAGTGGGTGCGAGAGTTCCAAGCATGCCCTGGATCGTGTGTTGACGCCAACACCAGGCAGGCAGGCCAACCAGCCAGCAGGCAGGCAAGCAGCCTGCCCTGCAGCGAACAAAGGGCGAGGAAGCCCGAGGCCCTTTCGGGGTCGAGGCCTTCGGAGAGCTCTAGGCGCTTGCCTCCGCTGCATGCATTGAATCCAGGTTCCGCTATCCGTGCGTGGCCGGAATGAACGGTGGTAACCGATTGCGAATATGTCCATGTTGCTTGGTTCTTCTCACCGTCTGGCGCCATGTCATGCTGGGTATCGGGGATTGTTGGGTTTTAGCTTATACCATTTCGTGGCGTTGCGGCCCTACTTCGGTACGGCACCGTGCGGTCGGCCGGCCGGACACACGATCGTGAGGAAGTCGGGCGAGACTATGATGAGTACCGGCGTAACTGGACACGCTGTCATGTTCTTCGGGCTCGGATTGAGTGATCCAATACAGAAGCACCTTGGCATTTCCAAACATGGCATCAACAAGCATGGTGTCCATTACATGAGTTATGGAATTTGCGACCCTGATGAATTGTTGTCAAGGATTGTTCCCTTCCCTCTTAACCCCAAGGAAGCAGCACCGAGCTCCCTGGATGGGCCAGAGTAGTCACAAAGTGCTCGTGATTCTTGGGATCACAGCCTAATTTGCCTCATTTCTAAGCAAGGCGCTATCCTATTTTCTCATGTATGGCGGCATGGCAACGGACCTTTTTGACCTTTTATTACACCGAATTGCACAGCCCTTGCGCCTGAGGCACACTGGTGTTTCCGCGCTTCGTTATCTCTAGCTTAAACAGATATGCTCCGGTGTCATGAAGCCGCATGGCTTGCCGTTGCAACCGGCGTACTGCATGTATTAATGCACTTTTGGGCATAAAGAGTGATTGTTTGACACTTACGAATCCATCGACCGACTGCCAGGTACGGTCTCTAAAATTTAGAGAGTATAGGTGAAAACTGTGCTGGATCCTGGAGTGCGACTTGATAAAAACGGCAGCAGTTGGCTTTGTAACTGTAAGGGCGATAGCTACCGTAAACCTAAAGCACTTTTCCTGATCTAATCCAAAAAAAATTTTAGCAATAGAGCTACACATTTCATGTAAGATTAGAAGTTGTCAAAGCCACAGGAGTCGCTGACCTGAATGTGGCGAAAACTATGTGGCGGGCGCAGTCGTCCAGACGTGAAATGACATGCATGAAGCTTCGTAATTAAAATAACTATAATACGTGCCAGGATGTATTAGAATCAAGCTTCTCAAACAGCAAGGGGCTACATGCCTATCGTCACTGCCACTTAGGTGGGCGCGACCAACACGCCGTACCTCGAGGTTGAACATTTTCGTGGCAGAGCCGACATGTCGACGTATTGTTGCGCCTTAGTTACAGGTTTAAATTGGTTCGGTCCTGTTTGCAGCCACCGTATTCCACTTGCTCACAGGCTGCAGAGATAGACGTGGACTTGTTCAACAAGGTGTTAGGTGGCAATCCTTAGAGAGCAAGTAGATCAATACGCCCTGCTGTTGTGCTTTGCCAGCACGTTGGACCATCAAGCAGCGGGACTCTCCCAACTGCAGCGGCATTCTTTGACTCGCTCCTCTTCGGCGTTCGTCCGATCCTTCTGTCTTGGGAAGTTGGATTGTAAAGGACATTTTTGACGAGTTTGTGGGCGCCTGGCTGCTGCGCATTTCGCGTCACCTACGGGACACCTGTCCCCAATGGAAGCCAGTTGTTCGCCCTGCGAGGAAACCGCTATGGATACGGGGGCAGCCCCTCCAAGGGCAAAGTCCAAGACCGCCTTGAATCGAAGGCCCTCTGGCTACTGGAAGGTTTTCAGTAATTGGTGGCGTGGGAGATACGCAGCGCTGAAGACCAGGCCGACCGTCAATGAGGTCATCGAGTGAGTCTTGCGCCACAATTCGACCGCACTTCACGGGATTTACGGGAAATCAATAGCCTATATCGCTCTGTTGGTTGGCAACTTGCCAAGGCCGCCCGGCAACCTTGCATTTCGGCAACAACTGCTCAACATGGGAACGGATGTTCGCCGAAGTGGAGGTCCAGCAATTGCAAACGATATCGACAGCAGCGAAGGATGAAATGCCTTCGTCTTCATGGCTTTGCGGATGCCCGCAAGTTTGCATGCTGGGACTTCAGTATCAGCCCCCGTCTTCGTCTCGAGCTCCTGAACTGCCTGTCGCCGCTCCCTCACGCACCACCGTTCTCCTTCCCCTCCACCCCAACACCGCCGTCACCCTCATTTCCTCCTTCCTTGACTATCATCCCTTCTCACCCCCGCCCGGGGACCTTCGCACATTCCTACCGTCCTGCCCCTCCCTGGGAAAACCTCGCGCTCCTCCGCACCCCCTGTTCCATCTCCCCTTTCCATCTGCGCTCCCTCCTCCTCCTCACACCCCTCCGTCCCTACTCCTCCCTGGTCCCTCTCCTCTTCCCACCGGTTTTCCACCATCGCCTCCTACCATAACTGCCCGTGCTGACCACCTTGCCGGGTTTTACGGTAGATGGTATCACCGCAATGCTGCCACTTCCTGGCCTGCTGGCCAAGTTCCCTGTCTCAAGGCCGTACTGAGGCAGAGCAAAGGTGAGGGGTCACTTACCACGAACTGATGTACAGCTGTCAAAACTCACGTCGTTGAAGCCGCCCTCCGCAATACTGAGTTTTTCTGTAAACTTCGGGTACGGCAACGGCTCTACCGGGAATGCGTGATATCCATGTCTTTCCTTCCTTGTGTCGCAAGGCGGCCGACGGGTCGTTACCATACTACCCGTATTGTCCGACAGAAATTGTTGGCGATTACAGAAGTTGTTGGCGTGGTCGCCAGCAGGGAACCTTGCCTGCATGATGGCTTGTACGGCCATCGTGCCAACTGTGTCCTTTTCAAGCACGTTTGTGCTTTAACGGAGCCCACCATAGCTACTTTGACTGCTGTTTGACTTTCTTCGTGTTTCCTCAATGTAGGGTTGCGGCCCATCGACGGCCTCAAGGAGTACTTCCGCGAGTACCGCAAGAAACGGAAACAGCAGGCAAGTGAGGGGCTGGACCCAGGGGGCCGCTTTATCGCGGCCTTGTCACAGTGCTGGGACTTCCCTGCATGCATGATCAGCTAATACAGCAGATTTTTTTAACCACACGACTTGGCCATGTGTTTGTTGTAACAGAAAGTAGCTTTTTGGCTTGCGGTGTTGCGTAAAACAAATGCTCCGGTCAACGAGCATAAGGCCCTCTTGGTTGCCTTCCCTCTGTCGGTCTTGTCTGCGTTCGGTCTTATTAACTTTACCACTTCCGCTGTTCACTCACTTTCACTGATTCTAGGGTGGTCTCGCATTGAAGGCTGGTGAGGATGCATCGCAGCGGCGCGCCAGGGCTGTGAAGCGCCGGCGGGGTCGTGCAGCCCACAAGGATAGCTCTGACGAGGACGACATTGACGAGCTTGAGCAAGAGGGCAGTGTATGCTCCGAACAGTCCAGCGAGGAAGATGACGACGACGAGTTCGAGAATACGCCGCCACGTCGCCAGCGCAGCACATGCGCCGCGCGGCGCGCTGCTGCAGCCATTGCTGCCGAAGAGGACGCGACTCAAGCCGCTGCTGGTGAGGAGGATGAGTGCATGGCCCCTTTCCACCCTGTCAGCACCGATGCTACTCCAGACAATGGCGAGGCCGCGTGCCCTGCCGGTGGCTTGGGCGCTGTGCAAGCCGTGTTTGACGCCTGGCATCAAGTTGCACCAGGCGCCGCTGCCGCCGGTCTGGCCCTAGAGGACTGCTCAGCTGCGCCAGCTCTGGCGGATCCCGTGTTGCTACCTCCGGAGCTGGCCTGCGTCACCGACGACGCCGACGGCTCCTTCCTTGCACTGGCGCACCCACTGGCAACCGCGGCATCGTCCCCTGGCGACCCTGTCCACCCCGCTGTGGCGGATGGCATGGTGCCCATTGCACCCAGCGGCTCCCCACGACCTCCGCACGCGCCCATGTATGGAGCTTGTTCTCCTCATGCACCGTATGCTTCCTACGTCCAGGCCGTAACAGTCCGCCGCCGGCCGTCACTGCTCGCTACGACAGCTCGGAGCCGCTGCAGGACTCCGGTTGGCCTCCCGCCGCTGGCCTCTGCCCGGGCGGCAACTGCTGCCATGCCGTCGCCCGACACGATTAAGTCTGAGGCTGGCGCCAACAAACACGATTCATTCTCATCACACGAGGATGACTACGCCCGTGACCGCTGCAGCACGGGCGGCGGCATGCCCGCCCCCTGTGATGCCCGCTTCCCTCGCACATACACGCACGAGCGCGTCTTCGATGGCTACAATTACGAGTACGGTGCCCCCTACGACACGCCGCCGCCATATGCCTGCGCGCCTCCTCATCCCTGCTGCTACCGCGCGACGCCGTATCCCGTGCCGCCATACCCCTACCGCGCAATGCCTTCAGCGTCGTACCCGCCACCAGATTGCAGCATGGGAGGTGGCGCGACGAGTAGTTTCTCCCCCGCAGCGCCCTGGCCGTCGATGCCCACAGCAAAGGATGCCAGCGGGGTGTTCCCACAGCGCCAGAGCAGCGTGGAGTCCCCGGCCCAGCTTGACTCCTGCTATGTGCACCCAGCCCCTCATCATCACCTCCACCATCATCCCCATCCAGCCGCCTGGGCTCCTTGGGGACCTGCTGACGCTGCCGCCAGCGCCTGGCAAGGCAACCCGCTGCCACCCTTTAGCCATGACCCGGCGGGATGGGGCCGCAATAACATTGGGCGCAATGCTCTCCCGCCAATGATGCCCTGCAATTTCGGCCGCGGTGGTGCCATAGCGCTTGCCTGCCACTGCGGCGCCTGCCCCGAGTCGGCGGCCTTCCGTGGCGCCGCCAGTCCATGCCACCAGCATCCACAAGGCATGCATCCACCGCCACCGCACATGTGCTACTCGTTCGGACCTCGCCATGGCATGCCTGTCTACCCCGGTCGCCTTGACATGTGGGTGGCGCCACAGCCGAGCCCGCGTGATCAGGTAGAGGCACCCATCGTTGAGGGCGAAGCCTGCAGCAGTAGTGTGTCGGAGCACGATGGCCAGGAGCATGGCCGCTTGTCCCCGTGCAGCGGCACCTCGGCCTCGCAGCAGCCTGGCAAGCCGTCATGCGTTTCCCCCTCAGCTGCGACAAGTGGCATGCACTGGGCCCGCGGCTGTGGCCCGATGCAGCCGTTCCATGTAGTGCCGCACGGTGGTCACCATGTAGGTCCTCACGGATGCTGTTACCCCCTGGCCACACCGTATCAATATGCGCGGGGGCTTGTGACTGCTGGCAGCGTTACGAGCATGGCGAGTTTGGCGCAAGTTCCAGAGGAGTCGCCGTTCATGGCAGGCGCCAGCAACGCCTTTGACGCCGACGCTGTGCGGCGCGGTGAAGCCCCAATGGAGGCGCCGGCAGCGCCTGCCGAGACCACCACGGCCTGCGACGCCTGCGACGTGTTGCCGTACCTGGCGGACGACCCGGCTGCACCGGATGGCACGCCCGAGGCCCGTGGCAAGGAGGTTGGTTCGCCGGAGGCCGACGCAGAGGGATCGTCAATGCAGCGCGATGAGCCGCAGGGCCCACCACTCGATTCAGCCGAGTGCGGCCTTGGCCTTGGCGATGGGTTTGGAGGTGTGGCGCGGGACACGATGGACCAGGACTTGGCCTTCGCCTTCGAGAACTTCGTTGCGTGTGACACGCCCTTCGATGCCCTGGCCTGTCATTAATGGATCGTGACTTAAATTGCATAAGGCCATGAAGAGGGAATAGTTAATGATGGAAAAGCTGAATATAAGGATGATGGCTTACGATACTAACGTGGAGTGTAGTTCAATTCGGTGCAGACGAGATATTAGACCGACAGGCATGAGGTTGATGGGGCAGCGCGACTGTGTAGTAATGCATGGCCACAGAGTGCTGCTTTCTCTTCCCTGACGGCCTGGGCATGACTGCGGTTTCTATTGCAGTTGTTCATTAGCTGGAGATGACTGGCGCCGGCATTACAAAGTAGGTACTCTTTCTTCGCTGTGCATGGATGTACGGTTGCAGCAGGCTGTGCAGCAGTACCTGCACCGTGCCGATCGTCTAAAGCATGTGGACCAGTGCTTGAATGTGCGCAGGAGGGTCGTGAATACGCAAAAGAAAGCATGTTGTGGTACAAAATTATTCGTCGGGAGATGCATCACCAACAGCGACTATGGCTCTTTGCCGAGTCCACACTTCTAATTTTCATGGAACGCTAGTACTTGTTAGGGTTTTGCGAGATCGGAAGCGGAGTTGTCTACGCGATTGTGAAGTGATCAGTTTGGCATATTACCTGTTGGGTTCTTTGGTACCTTTCATCCTCGTTGAGTCTTTTACTACAGAGAAGACACGTTCTGACACGGACGATAATGGTGTGTGTGCTTGGATATCTCTTCCATAGGTTATGGCGTTTTGTTCGGCACTGCTAGCATCGAACGTGCACCTGTGAGGGCGCACGAAGCATCAATCTTCATTCTGGCGCCAGTGCTGCGGGGATGTCGACAACTACGTTGTTCCGCTGCACGGTTAGAAGCGTTTTTATTATTGTTTAGTTTTGGGACGTCTTCGGACGACAAGATCATAAATTCAGAGCGACGGATGCATTCTACTCCACGTGATTAACCGAAACTTGCTAACTCGGCCAAATTTTTAACCGCCTTGTGACTATTTTAGATCGTGCTGCGGCATGGCATCATATTGGATGGCAGGGAACAGACAAAGGGGTCGCTGTACAGTTTTAAGCGGAAAGATGCACGGTGTCCGTTTCGCGATTTATGTAGGGGCTATCGTGGCAGGTGTTTTAATGTTCGCCCATGAGGAGCTGTGAACTGGATTAGTATTTGTAAAAAATGCTGGCACCGCAAGCGTCACAGCTAGTCCTGCAGGGGAAGGAGGGGAATAAAACCGGCTGTGACTGTGCAGCAACAGGCTGACGGTTTTTACTCGAGTCGGAATTTGACCGGTACCAAAGGAAAAAGCCACAACACCCACGGACGCCATCCTTCTCCAAATGCTGCAACCGAAAACTCCACTCCCAACCATTAGCCGTTGCCGCCACCATTGCCGCCACCATTGCCGCCACCATTGCCGCCACCATTGCCGCCACCGTTGCCGCCGCCGTTGCCATTGCCATTACTTTGCGGTACAGGCACGGTGAACACAGCGGTAAGGCCGCCGGGAATGCGGAAATTGCCGTACGGCCCAAAGTTGACGGCTGTTGTAGCGAATCCGGGCCCCGTGCCCGTTATGACCCAGATGGGTTTATAGTTAACGCTGAACTCGCAAACACAACAGGGGCAGGACAGGGCAAGGCGGGAGTAGTGAGTTCTGGGGTGTACAACTCTCAAAAAACCATTAAGGCGTAATTGTTGTCACGACCACTCCCAGGCTTCACCAATTTCACCAGTTCTCGCGGGTCACGAATGCGAAACCCGAAAATGGTTTACCTACTCCGTCCCTTCCATCTGGTCCCCGCGCACCGGTCAAACGTGGAAGTGCCGCGGCGGTCGAGCAGGGACACCTTCACAGAGTCAGGCCGCAGCCGACCCTTGGGTCCTTGATCCACGTCGGTTTGCTGCAGCGGTGGGAGAGCCGCCGCGGGGTCAGTCTTACGGAGCTATGCCGGCCTGTGCAGACTTGCAGTCCGCCCTAGCTGCTGCGCCCAGCTGCAGTTGTGCCCTAGCCCCGACATCTGTGGGTCGGCTAGGTCCGCAGGTGGCCTACCGCCGCCTTCGGCCGCTCCTACCGGAACCCCTTCCCGCCGGGCGCTACTCCACAACGTCTTCCGCAGTATCCCCCAACCCCATAGCCTTAATAACAAGCATAGGCTTGAGCTAGGGCCCTGATACCAGCACCCAGGCGCTCCTGAACGACCCCGACAACATCGTAGCAGGATCCAAAAGCCGCCGTTGTGTCATAACTTCCGGGCAGGGACTGCACGAGCTGACATATACCTGGCAATTGGTGTGCATGTATGAATTGTTCGGGAATCTCGAGTCTAGGGGTGACAACGCAGCGCGAGAGCGCAACCCACCGCGAGGCGCAGTTGATTTCCGGCGACTCCGTTGAAACCGTTGAACAACACATTGGATGAGAAGCGCAGGGCGTTGGACTGCGTAAGGGAGCTGGTCTTCGTCCTGTCGTAGAAGTTGGGTGTGGTGGTGCCGACCAGGGCGCGCTGCGGTACGACATGTGCGTGAGGTCAGGCAGGTCACACGTGTGAGCCAGCTCAGACACCGCGAGCGAGGCCGCCTCATTATTGGCCTCAGTACAACGATATAATCAAGCCGCGGCAGCATTTACACATGCTCAACGCAGATTGATAGTGGGCGTAATGGCAAAGGATGAAATGAAATGGGGGTAGGAAGGAGGGCAGGAAGGCAGGCCCTCTCACACGTAGACGCCGAATACATTAAGTATACCTGCGAAATGGCGCCGATGCCGGCGTACTGCTGCACTGTTGGGTCGTACACCACCTGCAGCAGCACATGGGAGGTCTTGGCGGCTTGCTCGTTCGCATCACATCATGCTGCTCTGACACCGCCCTCAGCAGCAACGCGGCAACCCTTTCACCGAAACCGCTGCCGCGCCCTCATCCGGCGGTTCTTGGATCGCCCAAAACCTCATCCAGCGATTTTGGCACATGCCCAAACGGAAAAACGAAGAGACACAGCCAGGAGGCCAGGACCTGGACAGAGCGAACCACCACGAACTGACACCTAGTGCTTCATCCACATCGCCTGACTGTCGACACCTCCGACCTGATCGGTTGTCACACCCAGGAAAGTGACCAAGTCGCGGTCCGCGCAGAGGAGGTACGGCGGCCGGCAGAAAGGAAACTTCTTTTTGCCATTCTTATTACCCGTGCCGCCATCCCCACCGCCGCCCCCACCGCCGCCGCCGCCGCCACCGCCGCCGCCGCCGTCGCCGCCCCCACCACCGCCGCCGCCGGCCCCACCGGGCTCTCCACCTGCGCCACCGTCGCCACCTCCGTCAACCATAGTACCCTGTCTTAGCCCTAGTGCAAGCCCAACGCCTCTCCTGTTGGCCGACGTTAGTGACCCTGCGCCAGTGTCTGCTCCTGCGGGTTCCATGCCCGCCCACTCGCCCGTCCCCCTGCTCGCTGCACCCTCGGGCCATCCGCCGTGCTCAGGAAGCTGCTGACGTGGCTTCCACACCGGCTTGCTACCGGCAGCTTCCGATCTACCGACGCCAGTGCTGCCGTACACATCACTGTCGTACTCATCATCGATGGCGTTCCCGTCAGCAGGTTCGTCAGCAGCGGGGTCAGGACCGCGAGGACCAGAGCTGTACAAATCGTACAGACCCCAGAGTACATCATTGGAGGTCAGGTTCTGAAGGGAGGCGAGATCAATTACAAGCCCCACGCCCTTCACCCTGTCGGCAACGATGTCGCGGTCCGACGGCGGCGACGAGACGGCCGGCGGGGGTGCCGGCAAGCCACGATCGCCGCTGCCAATGGCGGCGACGGCTTTGCCATTCCGTGAACGGGCATTCAAAGCGACTTCCTCTGCCGGGCCCGCGCCTAGGCTATCGCTGGCAGTCCTGCTGTCGCGGCCGTTACTACTGCTGCTTCGACCGCCAGTATTATCAGCTGCGTTTCGAATCCTGTCACTGGTACCATAGCTCCCACTCAGGATCCCCATGCCCATCTCGTCACCTGCCTGGCGCCACGCCTGTTTCAGCTGGGAGATACGTAGGGGTCGTGGCGCAGCATGTGGCGCTGGCGTCCCCTGGGGCTCGGAGATGGCGGAATGAGCGGCCCCTACGGCACGCTCGTGCAGCTGTTGGGGGGCCCGATGCTGCAATGGTGTCGAAGATGCTGCTGCCGGACTGGCGGCAAGCTCCATAGCTAGCTGCTGCTGCCGCTGCTGCTGCTGTTGCGGTTGTTGTTGTTGCCCCTGGAGTTGCGCCCGCGTTGCCGGGCTCAATAGAGAAGCTGTGAGCGAGTCTGACATGACCAATCGCATCATCTGGTCTTCATCATGCCGCTGTTGTTGCTGCTGCTGTCGTTGCTGCTGCTCCTGTTGCGACTGAGGTCGCTCGTCTCTTTCCTGACCCGCGCGCGAAGCTGTTTGGTCAGCGCTGCGGCGCCGCTTGCCATTGCTGCTGCCATCGCCCCCATCGCCTTCCCCGCCGCCCTGCTGCAACAGCTTGCCCTCCCGCTTCATCATGTTCGCGTAATGCGGATTGCGCGATGCCAGAATTGATTGACCAGGCTGGGCGACGGGCTGGCCGGTCATATCGGCCCTGTTGTAAAAACTAGGCACGACGCCGTCAAAGTACGGCATGGCGGCGGCGTCGCCGCCGCCGTCTGATGCACCGGCGCTGGCGGCGAGTAGGAGTTGCTGCAGGCGGCGCCGTGTTGCCGCTGGCGCGGAGTAGGTGCGGACTTCCTCAGAGCTTGGCGGCAGCAACGGAGGCGTATCTTTCAACTTGCCGGGGACTCCGCGGCTATGGACCCTTTCTGGATGGTCGCCCTGGAGAGGACCCTGAGGCTGTTGCAGAGCGACGTCTGCAGCCGCCGCCGGGCTGGACAGCGATATCATCAGAGCCGCCACCAAAGCCCCAACAACCGAGGGACTGCCCATGGTGGGTACTGGCAGCGGGTTGTAACGCCTGCGGAGCTGCCGCTGCACCGACGTTGATGGGCATCGCCGGAGATAAGGATGCCGTGGCGCCATCTTACAATTGGATGTTGCCGGGGTCCGGCAGGTCCTAGCGGGGCACAGTGATCACAATGCAGTCGTATGAGGTTCCCCGCTTGCAGCCCGACCTCGCTGGGATGCCGCTACTGACAGTGCTGAGCGACACCGTCTGTGCTCTGTCACTCTTATTCGAGGTTCCGTTCAGTTCTGATGACCTGGCGGTCCTATACGTCGGTATCTAACGACGCAACGCAATGAATCACGAGGGGTCACTAGGGAAGTTCTTAGCTCCTGGGGTAGAGGCTGGAGTCGCGATTGCGTGAGGGAAAATAAACCAGGAGGGCGGCACGGAGGGCGGCAATGCTGGGGGGGAATTTGGTGCAATCGTCTTGAGTGATCTGAGTGAGGGGTGCCGAGGATGCCGAACGGGCGGACAGATGAGAGGTGCGCCGCGAAGGGCCGGGCGGATGTGTTCGGATGGATTTGGTTGCCGCTTTCTAGGACGGTCCGACGATCCGACGCAGGGCCTCCTTCCTCTTCATATTCAGTACTATCAGTACTAAGGAGGAGGGACGTCCAAGGCCCAACCCAGCGCTCAGCCGAGTCATGTGCTGTGTCTCAGATACGTGGACGTCGTGATGCCACAAGATAATAGAAAGGTCCGTCAGCCCTAGCCAGCCTGACCCAGCATTGCACGCTGGTGCCGTCGCCGCAGGTGTGTCAATCTCCTCGTGGCATCCTTGCGTCAGCAGAAGGTGCGCTTAGGTGCGCTGCCATGGTCAGCCTGCCGTGTCTGCAGGGGCCCCTATTTCCGTTCCCGATTGCCTGCCACCCGTGAACAGCCTGACACGATTCCCGGCGACGCCGCGTAACATGTGCACGAAATGGGCAGCCGAGCTTTAATGGCCTCCACTTCGGCGGCAAAGCGACATCACTAATGCTTTATGCTGGTGATCTCAGTCTGCTGGCCACATCCTCGGCACACACACAGGCACTGCTCGATCCCGTTAGGGATTTCAGTTCCGTTTTTGGGCTCAAGCCTAGTGTTAGTAAGTGCGAGCTCATGGTTTTTTCCCACTCCAAGGAGGTGGAAAGCGCGTGCCTAGCTGACTGTGAGGGCCTGCGGTTGGTAGGAGAGGCCATCCCTGTTGTGCGGGGGGCCCGGTACCAGTCCATGTCGTCATGAAGCCATGAGAGGCTGTCTGCAGTAAGCACCTCAAGGTTTTCTCTCGGACGGGAAGCAACCAGCATTAAATTGGCTAAATACAAGCAATGGATGAGGTGTGCCCTAAGCCTTCCTCGCGTCTGCGCCTCCTCAGGCTCTCCGCAGCAAAGCAGCGCGGAGTGCTAACGATGATACTCGTAATGACGACCTGATATGAAACATGTAGCAGGCCTGGGTGAGACGCGCGGGCCTTCCCTTTCCCAACCGGATGCGGAAGTTCCAGCCGCCATTTCGCCCTCACCTGCCTGCCATCAAACAAAACCTATCATGCTCATCTTGTACACGATCAGCCTGCAGTGAGAAAATACTCCTTTACTTCACAAAAACTGTAGTCGAGAGAAATTACTCCCCGGATGGGTTCCTCATGCCCACATGGGCCGCCGATCTATCAAATCCCTCGGCCGACAGACGCAGCAATACAACAGCAATGACACACGATCCCGCGGGGCGCCTACCCGCGTGGGTAACTGAGTCGCCCCTTCCAGAGGAAACGCCAGGACCAGCGCCAGGACCAGCGTGGCGTGGGATCACAAGACATGTTTAAACGTTGTGAAGGTAAGGAGGAGGTGCACGGGGTTCCAGCCACTAACGAGGCTTTCTGCCCTCGCTCTCTCACCCCCTCCCTCACGGCATCTCTCTCTCTCTCCTGCCCTCTCGCACTCTCCAGAAACTTCCTCTCCTCTCGGCAAAGCCCCTCCACGTGCATATACAGCCTGAATTTATTCTTGTTCACAGCGGCAATTGATTCCTTAATGTTGCCATGCAACTATCTTGCCCATTCGGAGATATGATGTTATAGTGGATAGGGAGGGCATCGCCATGTGGTTTTATGCAAGACGCTCCTGCTGCCCCACCTCCCGCCTGTCCCTTCAGCTGACGACACCAATGCCGCAACCTGGCACGGCATCATCCCATATCATCATCCACAGCTTCAGCCACAACAACTCCACTCGTGGCGCTAGACCGGCCCCCCCAAGCGCGACGCGTGCGCTCCGGCATGCACATACGCGGAATGGAACACCCGCAAATACAGAGCTATAATGCGAACTATCATGGCGGAAGGCCCCCCTGTAGCTGTGGCTAGTTTTATCTCTGGGGGTTCTGGGAGACCAGGAGGCACATCGCGCTCAGGCGTGCCAAGCCCAGGCGAGCGGGAGAGGGCGTCCACGTCCTTACCCGGAGCCACGATAATGGCAACGACCGTCCATGGGCCCCCCTCAGGCTTTTACGGGCGGGCCCCGCATTTGTGCGGAACTTGTAACTTGTGCAGCACCCAGACAGACAGACAGACAGACAGATGTGACAACGGCACGCATGCACACGCGCTCATGCCCACGGGACACACAACACCGCACCTTCCCGGCGAGATTCGCTCGAGAGATGCCTATGCGCACGACAAGGGAGAAACGTCGCAGTCAGTCGCTCAGAACACACCACCTAGGTAGCCGGCTACTAGATAGTTGACGACAAGGTGATAAAATAGAAATGACAGCCCAGTGCTACAAAACATATCTTCATGCTGGCAACGATGCCCGATACCACAAAGCGACGATACCAGAAGAGCCAACCAGCAGGCTACAGGGCCCCAACCCCGCGAATGCAGGGGCCCCCTAGGAACCCGAGCTCTCACGCCACACGGTGTGGCCTGAGGCACGGCAGCCTGGAAACACACGCCAGTCAGCCACAGGAAAAGAAGTCAACGCAACACCACACCAGCGTTACGGCCATCAGAGGGCACCTAATTCTGTTCTCACACAATCCTCTATTGCACCGCCGTGCCCATCACCCACAAACGTAGTGTGGTTGCTCTCACTGACCAACAGGAACCAACAGTTCCTTTAAGAACCTCCGAACGAACATTTGGATGGGGCGCCGTCGCAGCCCTTTCTGTGTTTGAAGTCTTCCAGGTCGCACTAGGGGCCTCTCAACATTCCAGCGCATCGGCCCTCCATCCCAACACGACAGCTCGACGCCTTCGAACGCAGACATCCGAAAAACATGCCCAGGCTACGCAACCTCCACCCTTCCCCAGCCCTCCTCCAGCGGCTTCGAATTTTAGTCCGGTCAGTCCCCTCACTCTTCCCCCTCACATCCGGCCCTCCAACTCCGCAGCCAGCACCGGCTCCAACTCCACCTCCCACTGACTGTACGCCTGACGCAACCCCGCCGCTGTCGCCGTGTCAATACCTGCCGGCATACCGCCGCCGCTGCGGCCCCCTTCTGCGCTCCACGCACTCGCCAAGCTGGCCTGCTGCTCGCTCAGCCACGCGGCGCCAGGGCAGCAGTTGGCTCGCGCCAGCGCCAGCACCAGCCGCGCGTGACTGCACGCGTCGAAGGCATCAAAGCGTGATGCGGCGGTATCCGCGAGCAGCTGCAGCGCCGCGCGTTGTGATGGCGCCGCCAGCCATTGCCGGTCGTCGGCGACCGCCACCACGGACTCTAACAGTGTGACCAACTCGTGGGCCCGCGCCTCGGACAGTGAGGCGCAGAACGAGGTGAGCATGGCTCCAAGCCAGGGTGCGGGTGCTCGGCAGCCGAGCTTGGCCAGCGCTGAGAGTGTGTCCACAATCTGCACATACAGATGCAGCAGTGGCAGTGGCAGTGGCAGCAGTGGCAGTAGTAGGGTTATTGCAAGGGAGTAGCACTGGAAAGGGAGCGGGCGTTGCAGTAGCGGCCACACCAGCCTGCAGACTCATCCAGTGTTTGAATGCAGGAGGCACCGGTGGTCCTCTCCATCCCCCGGTGTAAGAGGAGTACTAAACTCAGCAATCCACGTGTCGCTGAGTAACGACAGCAATGCAACCACGAGCAGCACAAGGAATGCCAGCAACAATAGGAGAACGTGCAGGACATGAGTAGTACTAGCAGCAGCAGCAGCAGCGCGGTAGTAGGGCGCGCCGAACATCACCTGCAACGGGCTACGAGCTGCACCCGCACCGCGACTAGCAGCAGGACTTTGTAGCACATTGCCAGCTGCCCCGAGCTAATTCATTCGCAAGGAAACCAGAAATGAAGTCATCAACCCAGGGGTAAGAGGGTTAGGGGGAAAGGGGGACCCCGTCTGCAGTCGCACCTGCGCGGGCGGGTAGTCGCTCAGCCTCCGCCCTGAAGCCCGGAAGAACTCATCCAGGAACCTCGGAGAAGGTTTGCAGTCCCAGCACGCCAGAGCCCAGATCAGCTCAGATAGGGCCCGGTGGCGCAGGTGGGCGAGCTTGGGGGTGCTCACCTCGATGAACTCCCGCAACCAACTGAGGAAAGCGGAGGGAGGGGGGTAAGCGGAGGAAAGGCTCAGGACCTCAACACAAGAGACCACCGAAGGGGGGTTGCGGACTGGCCGGCTTCCAAAGGAAACCACACACGGGTGTCATTGCTGGGCATAGGGTGCAGGGAGTAGGGTGTGGAGGCTGTGGGGGGGGAGAGGGGTCATAAGGGCACCGAGGACACCCAGGCCAACCAGGAAGGGGGGAAGAAGGGGGAGATGACGCAAATGACACAAAGGGCCTAGAGAGACCAGGGTAAGATGGGGAAAAGACGAACCACGAGGAATAGGCAACAATTTTCTTTAAATCAAAGGTAAAGCTGCTACAAGGCAAGAGTGCTGCGGCAGATGTACAAGAAGATGGGGAGATGTGGGCGGTAATGGAGGCCCGAAATGAGAGTTGCGGCTTGGGAAGGAAAGAAGACACGTCGCCACCCATACGCACCTACATACACACATAAGCATACACCCACGCACGCACGCACGCACCTGCGCGGCGGCGTGCAGTCCACCCTCGACAGCGACCAGAGCAGTCGCGAAAAGTCGGCGTACGATAGAGTGGGCCCACACGTCAGCCTATCCTTCAGCACCGCATACAAGTCCAACATGAAGGCGCGACCCGGCATGTGGCTCATACACACGGCCTGGTGGGGTTGTAAGGTGTGTGGGGGGGAGGGAGAGGACGTGTTGCATGCCCGTGTAGTTAATTGCAATCTCAGAAGCATAAAGAAGCCAAAGTATGGAATTTGAAAAGCCAAACATAGAGCTCGCAAGCTTGCGGCAGAGTCTCTGAGTGTCATGGCATGCCTGTGCGGTTAAGGGGTGCGACGGGCAAAGCGTCAGTCCGGGAGGTGGGGAAATAGGAAGACACGGACGGAGGACATATCGACTGGGCAAACAGACATGACCGGTGTGACCAGGAGTTAAAGAGGTGTATGACGTGTGGGATGCAAGGGCGCTGAGAGGCGGGAGGGAAGAGAGGAATCATAGGCAATGTCAAGGTAAAGAACTGATGACTGATGCCCCAAAAAGGAAACGGGACGAAAAAGGGACAAACCGGACGCATTCCCGCATTCCTCCTCAGCCCTCCCCCGACTACCCCCCTCCCCCTTCGTTCCCTCCCTCGTGCCCTAGGAATGACCTCCTCAAACCGATAACTCACGTCCATCCATTCATACCGAAACCAACGGCACCTGCGACCGCCACCACCCCGCTATCCTCCCGGCCACCCGCTTCCATGCACCATGCTTCCATCCCCACCGTTACTCAGCATTCATCCCCCTTCCCCTCCCCTTCCCACCCCTCCCCTCCCCTCCCTCTCCCCCTCCCTCACCGAATGCACGACCGCCACCAGGTCCCCGGGCGCGCCCCCCCTCAGCCCCGGCTGCATGGCCGCCAGGAAGGACCCCAGCACCTCATCCCCAAGCCGGTAGTTGTACGCGCAGTAGTACCGCGCAAGGCACGTCAGCAGTGTGGCCCCATCCGCCACCGAGTGGCTCCTCCGCAGCTGCTCCAGGCAGACCGCCATCAGCTGGTCCATCAGCCAGACCTCCGGCATCAGGTCCAGCTTGGCCAGCCCCCAGCAGAGGTTGGCCAGGTCCGGCCCGCTGAACGACTCCAACTGGCGCTCCAGGGAGGTGTAGAAGCACGATAGCCAGGAGCCGCACGGCTGCACACCGGCAGTGGCCAGCTGCGGACGCAAGGGGGACGGGGGAGAAAGACGAACCACGGGGCGGGGGGGGATTAGTTTCAAGGATACTACTAAAACAAGGTAGCAGGAGCTAGGCCCAGTCAGTCACAGGGTTGCGGGAGGGAGGTTGGATGAGGATGCAAAGAAGGTGCGGATTGGGTTGGGAAAAAACCCGCAGATTAAAGTGAGAGGTCTCCTGCCCTCAACCCCCGGTGGCCCCCCCGCACATCTGCCTCCATCGGGCCCCAGCCAGCGCCCCCTCCCTCTCCCCCCAATCCCCCCGGTCATGAAGCCAGGACAACTGTCCCCCGCTCACCGCCCACATGAGGTTGGCCAGTGCCTTGGTGGTGAGTCCCGGCAGTCGGGGCTCCAGCTGGGTCAGGAGGGCGCGGAAGACGGAGGACTCCACCGTGGAATAGCTGCTGAGCTTGGCCTGGAAAGGGGGGGACGCGGTGGACAACACAGGAGGAGGGAAGGAGGATCAGATCCACCGCAGAAGGGACAAAAGGCGAGCGGGATGAAGGCGGAAAGGAGAGCAGCTCTGTGGCTGCGCATCATGTACATGCAATTCTGTGAAGTAAGAAGTTACGTGGGCGATGCCACTTGCCACCTACCAGCCCATCTTCTTAGCCCCAGGAATCACAAGACCCAACGCAAGGCGCACGCAACCCACCGGGGGCCCGGGCCCCCTCATATACACCCCAGCTAATACACCCCACCTCACCCACATCCCCCGCCGCCCGTCTGCCCTCGTTCGGTCTGCCGGGCCGCTCATCATTCGTCGCCCGTTTCGATCTGGTTTCCCCACATGTCCCACCTCCTGATGCAACCACCTCCTCGACGCCCCAACTATTGGTCCCGAGCCCGAAGTAACCCTCCCCCCAATCCCCTGGCAGCAGCTTCACTCGTTGTGGTTCGTCTTTGCCCCCAATCCTAGGTCGCACTCCTACCCCTCCTCAGCTCCCTGACGGTGCTGCAGCCAACTCACCAGCCCCACGGTGACCGTTACCAGGCCGTTGGAGTCGAATTCCCGCAGCCTGATCCGCACCAGCGCCACCACTCCCCCCACCAGCCCACTCAGCTCCCGGCTGTCCTGATCAGACAGCTGCAATGCAAACCGCTGATGGCCAGCAGGACCGTTCGTACCCGCCGCCGCCGCCGCCGCCGCCGCAGCAGCAGCAGCAGCAGCAGCAGAAACAGCGCTGTCCGGGGGGTTGTTGGCCGGCGCGGAAGGCGCCGCTGTCGTAACGACAGGTACCGCTGCACGTTGCACAGCTCTAGGCAGGCTAGATAGGATGGCTACGAGACATATTGCGTCGATGAGGCGACCGCCTGCGGCGATGATGGCCGCAAAGTCCTGTAAGCTGCGCGCAGCCTTGACGCAGCCAGTGAGGCGCTTTTGAGCGTCCAAAGGAGACAGTCCCTGGAGCTCCTGCTCCAGGGAGGCTGCCGGGAAAGGCCGGGGGGTGCTGGATGATGAGGAGGATGCGGAGAGCGAGGTTACCTAGGTGGGGCGGTTGGATAAGGTACAGGGGTTGGGTTAGGCGGGCACGGTAGGAAAAGTTAGCGCAGGTGCGTGCGTGCGCCAGTGGTGTTGAACAGAACGGTTGGGCGGTTGGAAGAGGGAGGCAGGGAAGGTACATGGTAGGGAAGGGGCTGATGCGGCCAGGTTCGGCAAGGAGTTAGGCGGTGGTGGTGGTGGTGGTGGGTGCAAATTTTGTGGCAAGCTAGAGCTTTATGTCCCTCGCCATAGTCGAATGGAGCGGAAATCGGTAAAGTGAAGAAGTCGGGAGCGATAACGACTGAAAGAAGGGATACTGACGAGCTTTGCAACCGCCATAGGACTGTGATTGGCCCTGCATGCTGGCGTGTGTTACATCACCGCGATCACCTACGGCGGCTGATGCTTGCACTCTCAAGTTATGAGGTGCTTTCAGAAAGGACGCTGCAAGAATGTCGCGCTCCCATTCGACGGAATGAAACGCACGAGCTGCTACCTTCTCAAGGACAGTCAAGTTGCTCGGCCGCACTGTCCGCTCTCTTCTCGATATAATCTGCTTGACAACAACATCCTTGGCCCTCGGTGACTGCATCAGAACGGACCCGTTCAGCATCAGAGACCTCCCACGACGGCTGCAGCACGCGTATGAGCACAACGGACCTGAGCTCTGGCGAGACAAAGGATTACTGCGCGCTCCCTAGTGGTCAATCGTAGGGGACAACAACGGTGCGGCGTAGATATTGTAGTAGCCATGGCCGGCGCATCGGCTAAGAAATACACCGATGATTATGGATTGTCATTGAGCACGTATTGAGAACAGCAACCTCTACTGCAATACTGTCAATGGACCGTGAAGTCCGACCGGCGTAGGATGGATAAGCTCAAGGGTCGTAAGGAAAAAACGATGATGCTTAGCTCCAGTTCCTTATGGGTTTCCCTTAGTGGTTACTCTGTGTTTCTGAAGGGAAGATACGCCGAATGGTACCGCCCCGGTTTTCGTGCTGTGTGCAATGAGAAGAGGGCTTGCCGTAAAGCGGTCAAGCGCTTAATTTAATAGGTTGACTCAATGATTGTCGTCGCATTAGGACTTCTTCTAGTTGTCTTCTTATGGTGGTTCTTGCGCTTGCAAAGCCGAGAACCCAAAAGTTACACGAACCATCGCGCGCTGCTTATCGTCGCACACCCGGATGACGAGTCACTCTTCTTTGGAAATTACATTTCAAGTGCGGTGAATGCTGGAATCGAGTTACACGTGCTGTGTATGTCGACAGGTACGTCTCCACCTGCGAGGTGTCACCCCCCCTTCCCAACATCACACAATACGCAACGCAACCAGGTTGCTTTGCACAGGCAATGCGAACGGACTTGGTCATATTCGCGTCGGGGAGTTGCGATCGGCCTGCGCAACCTTCAAGGTATTACGTCAGCACGGCAGGCGTAATCACGGAACGCCGTATATGGCGACACCGCATTGGGGATCTGAAGTCGGTCATCCTTGACCACAGGCCTTACAGACAGAGCGTGTCCACTAGCAGGCCAATGCCAACCAATTGCGATTCCACCTGTTGATCCCTTAACACATAAACCAGAGGCGGAGAGACTGCATCGCCTGCTCACCGTTCTGCCATCTGCGCGTTGCACACAACCTCCGCAGGTCCCCAAGGCCCACCTCACCATATTGGATGATCCAGAACTCCAGGTGCGACCCTTCTCAGATGCTGCACACAAGCCTTCTGATACAAACGCGGAAAATCCTGACACACGCAGCTCGGACTCCTGATATGTAGGCGCTTCGAACCACAAGCCTGGCCAGTCGCCAGGGTCTATGGCTGTGAGCGAGCGTGTGCGCATGCGCATAGACAGGTCATGGTTCTTTGGACCACGCCGGCAGGCACCCATGTACTCGGTGCTGCGACTCGTTTCTAACCCCTAGGCCCGTTTTAGGGTTTTAGGCCTTCCTCACTACCACTTGGCCTTGCTTTACGAAGGCCAAGTTGCAATCTACCTAACCTGATGTACCTTTTCCTATATTGTGCGTGTGTTTTGAGTTGTATCCTGGACCCGCTATGCTGCTAACCATGCAAAGCTCTCATCCATTAAGAACGCCGTGACCCCGGTGCGGTTGCTGCGCTCCGTAGGACGGCTTCCGGACCTGGGGTGTGAACGCCGTATGCAAGCACGTGGCGTGTACCGTACAGTCACTCCAGCCAGATGAGGTACGGAGGCGCGTTGAAATGAAGCGCAACTAACGTGGACTGGGAATAACTGTTGGGTCCATTCCGAAGCCACCCCAAGCCGCTTCTGACACCGAGCAGCCCGCTCGGATTCGATTACGCATCCTCACCTCAGTCCCTAGCGGCCCCGCCTCGAGTACCGGTCTGTTGTTTGGACCCTTCCTGAGATCCTGACCCTCATTGTCCCCGTGCCTTCGTTGCCCTGCACCGTAGCTGGTAACCTTTGATGCGGGTGGAGTTTCCGGCCACCCAAACCACACCTGCATCTACCACGCCGTCAGGTGGGCATTGGGTGATCGCCGCTACCATTACGTGAAGCCTATCGGACCTGTCCGGATATTTGGATTGTGTTAGTGCATTGCGGCCCGTGGTTGTGCTCTTTTCCTATGCGCTGCAGCTTGCAGGCCGTCTGCAGCTTTCCCCTGATACGCGGTGCACCAGCCACTCGCTTGGTGCACTGCATAGTGGCAGGTGGACCCTAAGAATCTGGAACTTACCAAGTGTGGGAAACCCTGGTGGCAGGCACGTAATGGAGGCCCGGGGCGCGGAAGTCAGCGGCGTGAGGAAGGGAGGCGGACGTGGCAAGCGGTGCCGGGTCTATACCCTGGTGGGTGGTGACGGCCTGTGGACCTGCAGGCTCTCTGCAGGTCTGCAGGCTTATGTTCTATCTTGCGCCTCGTATAGGCCATCGGAACCAGCCGCTTTGTGAACCACACGAGACGGTCACTTTTCTAATAGCATGGCAGGTGCTGGGGATGCTGCCTGCATAATTGCTTGTTTGTTGACTGGCCGTTACACAGCAGCCCGGCGTGTGTCGGCTTGGGCTATGTTCTGCGGCAATCAGTCGCCCACTTCGTCTTGCAGCCCCCCGCTGGCCTCTTCGCGGTCCCTGTACTGGCGGTTGGTGAAGTAAAGGTGCTGGTGGTGCCCCATCGTTCTCTTGCGTGCCCATCCCCCAGGTAACCCATCCACTGCTGCTCAAGTTCAGCGGCCCCCTGGGTGTGATGTTGATCACGGTGCTGGCGGCCGTCACGCCCAGAAGCAGGCCAGGTGACCGGATGTTCCTGACCCGTGACCCAACGCTGTGCTTCAGAGCCATGATCTGCCACTGGAGCCAATTCGTGTGGTGAGAAGGGTCGTCGGCTTACCTGCAGCTCTGGCCTTCGCACAGTCGGTTCGTAGCAAGCAATGAAGTTACCTGAGTTATGTGCGTCAGTCCGTCATCACTCGCCCATTAGAGCCAACCCTATAAAAATTCTGTTGCGATGCCGGCAAGTCATGTACAAGCACATTATGCACCTACAGTTCTTTTGGACCCTCTGAACCATCGCCAAGACTCCAGTGCCTGTCGTGCTAGTACTACATCGTATTACCCTTCCCTACGCGGTGCCTCTTCCCGACGCGCCACTTCAGGTACCGGCTGCTGTTTGTGCTCTTCTCCACATACACCTACGCCAACCAGCTGCGCCCCATTGGCGAGTTGCACCTGGATGTATTCAGACCTCAATAGGACCAGTTCCAACGGCAACAGAAGAAGCAAGAAGCAGTGGAGTAGTAGCTGCTGCTACGCAGGCCCCCAAACCTGATAATGGCTTCGAAGCCGAAGCCGGGCCACCCAAATTGCGCAATGCCAATCGAACAGGAAGCGCTTCTGCCGCTGCCTGAAACCCGCATGCGACGGACGACCGGGCAACGCGGACAAGGAGCGGCCGGGACAACGAGCGCCACCACTGTACATTCCTTTTCCTGCATGTAACAGTCGTCTCCAGCTTGTCCATGCGATCGACGCTCTTTTCTTCGAGGTCGGGTAACGCAACCGACCGTGCATTTTCGTCAAACAACATACCCGTTTAGTGCATCCAGGTTACCCAGTTCGTTGGTGCTTTTCCATCCTCAATACAAACCAAGCAGCCCGTGCCTGTGCAGTGTGCACTTGTGTGGTTACCCATCACGACAGCCTCCTGAGCGATAGCCGCAGCCGTGCGCGCCGCCGTCACTCCCCCTTGCCCTGAACAGCTCGGTCCATTACCAGCTACACGGGTAACTCGACTATTTCCGCTTCCGTTTCAGGGCCGCAGCAAACCCGAACGCGCTGTTGTAGTCCTTCTCAGGCGGCCTGCGTGATAAAGCAAAGAGCAACGCGATTACGGGGTGAACATGATGCGCGACGGTGGGAGCATTGGCTGATTGGCACACGCACATGGCGGGGTTCCTTCAGTAGCACGAGCGCGCGGACAGCTTGGTGCTTGCGGATACGCTAGGGTGTGTCAGACTTGGGAAGGGGGACACGGCCTAAGCCAGAAAGCCGCGTGAGTGTTAAAAAATGCACGGTGTCAAGTGTGTGTTTATACCTGCTGCTACCTCAGTCGGGCACCTGGGTGACAGTGCCGTGCTGGATGCGAGCGAGGCAGCCCCAACACTGTTGAGCAGCCGTACCCGTGTCCATGTTGACAACACACCACAACTTTGATGCATATATGCACAGGCGGCAGGAATGCGCGTTGATGCATCCTAAGCAGTTAGGCTCCAACGCAACCCAGGCGGAGTCACATGAACGGTATAAATCCAAAGTGTAGCCGACGCACTCCATTTGCTCCTTTGCAGGTGTCCGGCCCAGCTCTGCAGGCCGTAAACTCACCCGTCCGGTAATACAGCAGTTTTCGCTAGCAGCCCCCGCTGCTTAATGCGCTCCTCTTTCTCTCTCTGCAGCCGCTCGCCCCGCAGTTGCTCAATCGACTTGGAAGCGGGCGCGCCCGCGGTAGAGGACAGGAGCTTGCGATCGTCCCGCTTAGTTCTTGACGTCGACTTCGACTTGGATTTTGACTTGGACTTTGACCTTGATTTAGTTCTGGATTTGCTTCTCTCGCTGCGCCGGTGCTTACGCTTCTTGCCGCTGCTCCCGCTGCTATCATCGTCACTGGGCGACCGTCGCCTCCGCTTGCGGCGATGCTTGCTGCCACGGCTGTTGCTGCGTTCCCGGGACGGTGACCGAGAGGACCGACGTCTCCTCTTACGCCGCCCGCCGCTGTCGTCGCTACTGCTATCGCTTGTTGAGCTGCTGCTGGTGCGGGTACTGCCGCTGGTTGTGCTACCGCTGTCGCTATCCGTCGAAGACTCCGAAGTTGAAGACGATGTCGACGTGGACGCACTGCTTTGGTCCGTCTCATCATCACTGCTGCTTCCGTACCCCTTGCCTTTTCTATGTCGGCGCTTCCCCGGCTGCTGCTGCTGCTGCTGATGATGATGATGATGGGGATCCACGATTTGCCGGCTCCGGTCCGGTCTAGCCGCCTTAGGGCCACAGAGCAGAGGCTGGGTGTGGACTCCAGGCTGCGTGGGAATACCTGCTGGCAGTCCTGCTGCTGCAGCCACCGCGGCGGGGCCAGTAGCACGGTCTTCAGGCTTCAGAGCTTGAGCGTACCAGGGCTGCGAGATGTTATGGTTGCACGTTGGATTAATGGCTCATCATGCGGTTAAGTTAATTATGGGGCGGCAACTCAAGAGTTCCGGTCGCAGATAGCCAATGAAGCAGCAATGGGGCCAGCAATGGTCCATGCCGGCATGCTGCCTGCGCAGGGGATCATGCTGTGCCATAAAGTCGTGGAGCATGGTGTTCTCTCGTCCTTAGGCGAGTACTTGCAACGAAGAGAGAAGGGCGTGGCACGTTTTATGACGACCGTTTTAAGGTGCCGGGTGCTCCGGGTATGTGCGTGCGTTGTTGTACCGGGAGGTTTGCATTTAGCAGGCCAACCGGCAAAGGTTAAATTCTGTTAAGGTTAGTAATGCAGGTTGCCTATCAAGCTGTCCTACAGTGTAGAACCCTCCCCTGCAGAACCCCCGGACAGGGCCCTTCTTCCCGCTGCGGTTCCAATCTGCGCCGGGCGCCTGGTTACCACACATCGCCCCTTAAAAACCACATCGCATCTGGCCTTGGAGCACATATATTTTCTGTCTCGGTGGCTCACTGATGCCGACCGCTCCCACAGTCTTACTTTTTCGCCGACAAGGCCGTACGCAAGCGCGAACCGCTCATCGAACTTGGCATCGCTCGTGTAGAAGTCCGGGTTGCCACGTCGCTTCAACTCATCCCGTTGCTGCTTCTGCGCGGAGTTATTGCCAGGCACAGGAAACACCAGGCGAGTGGTGGGACATTGGACCCAAGGTACGTGTGCATGCGGGAAGGCTAGGACTAGGAGATCTTTTTATGTTTGGATTCAAACCTGGCCAACGAAACGCTCGCCATAGCGGGAGGCAATCCCGAGCAGGTCGATAGCGATGGCAGATCGACTTGTACTCGTGGACAGAAGTTCTGAACACGTAGAGATCTCAGTCACGCTATCGACACGGAGGCGTAACGCAAATAAGGCTCGTGTGCCGTTGGCTGAGCCGTTCGCCTGCCACTTGCCTGATGGACACGCCTAAAATGCCGTATGAACAACGGGGTCAGGGTGCGATAACGTCGTAACAACGTAAGAACACCAGAGAGCTAACAGTTGCTACCCAGGACCCCACCTCGTTCTCCGGGTGTTGCAACTTGGCCTCCTCTTCCTTCCAAAAGTTAATATGCTCCAGATGAACTGCCGAGGGCTCCCCTCTTTCCGGGCTGTCTCCCCGCGTATGGTTGCCAGCAGCAGCATGGCGAAGGAGAAGTTGGTGTCGGTGCTCACGCTCCGCTTGTTCATGGCGCTCGCGCGCCTCATCTTCCTGTTTCTTGGCCTTCGCCTCGTCTTGTGCTACTTTAAGTCGATTATCTCGATTATATACTGCGTTCCCAAGGGCCGCCCCTTTAGTTGCAGCTTTAGGATATTATTACATACTGTAGAAAAAAATTGTAAGCTCACCGTTCCAGCGCTTTTGTGGCAGAATATTGAGACCACCGTGACCACCCATGGCAAATTATCTAACCAGTTACAGCTGCTGGGCTCTGGTCTCACACAACTGCCGCCCGTGTACGACAAGAAAATTTGGCTAGACCTGTCGAAGATTTGTTGTTCATGCCACACGCCTTACAGAGATGTTGAAATGAACTGTGTAACCTTAAGCATGGAAAATGGGTTAATTTGCGCATGGCATGCGGACTCACGATGGGATTTTTGCTGTTTGCCCAGGAAGACAAGGTTATGGGCATTTTTTAGAGGATGCTAAGAATAATTTGGCCTTAGGCTGATTTCTAGGTTTGCACCCTGGCCCGCGGGTGCTGCACCTGAAATTGTCTGCCACATGCTGGAGATATATGAAGTATTTGATGCCAGCAATGAGGAGCTGCTTTCGGAGCTACGAAACTTGCAGCAGCTCCTTAGGGGCGCGGCAGGCCCAAACCATGTCCAGTGGGTGTCGCAAGCGAAATACCCCCTAGACGCGCGATTGACCCAGAAGAGCCATTGCTAGGCCCCAGCCTCTGCCAAGCCTCGGGCGCTGCCAGCCCCCATCCGGTTACTAACATCTGCACCATCTGCGTGCCCTTGCCAGGTACAAAATGCTATATGACACGGTGCGACAGGAGCTGGAGGAGCGTGGCGTTTCATTCAAGGTATTTCAACAGCTGGCTCCCGCAGAGGTGGGTGAATCGCTGGGAAAACGGAGCGGGCTGCGTGTACACAGGAAGCGATGGATGGGCCGTAACCTTCGCCGGGCCCGTGCAGCGTGTGCTGTAGCCGGAGTACGTAGGGGCCCGCATGGGGCTTCCTCCGGCATCCCAAGTCCTTTGCAGAATTATTGCCGAAGCTTAACACGTCTATCCGCAACACCTGACCTGCATTGTCTCGCTTCCATTACTTGATATTTGGGACCCACAGCACCTGACTACACAGCCATCTGTTGGCGCTGGCCTGGGACTGGGCGCACCGAGCCCCATAGGGGCGGCCTACCCACCCGCCGTCGTTGTGCAACAACCTGTACAGCCTGTCGCGGCGCTGTACTCCTTCGGCTCGTTTGGAGCAAGCGGTGCCAGCGGTGGCAGTGCTGGCGCCATGGCTGGCAGTGGCGCCGCTGCTGGCAGTGGCGCAGTCGCAACCGCAGCCGGCGGAAGTGCTGCCGCCGCGGCACCGAGCGCCTTGCCGTACGGTTTCGGCAGCGGCCAACACCACTTCCTGCTTTCTCACCAGCTGGGCGCCCAGGCCGCCAGCGGTGGCATGGCCCAGGCGGTGAATGCCATGGTGGCGGCAAGCATGCGGCACAATCAGCCAACGCAGCTGGCCAGCGCGGCCCAGTCAGCTGCTGGCGCAGCAGGCGCAGCTGCGGTGCTCCGTCCTCAGCTGGCCAACCTGCCGCCATCTGGGTTGTTATCCGGGTCGGTGCTGGCGCCGGCCGCACCACCTGCGGCCGCCAGCTCCGCCAGCGGCGGCGCATCCGCTGTGCATCCGCTCCTCCGCAATTACGACCTGAGCGTCCCGACGCCTACAGCAGTGGCGAAGCCTCCGCCACCGCCAATGCCTCCGCGGCCGCCGCCACCGCCCGCGCTGACGTTGCAGCCGCAAAACCAGCCTCAAGCACTGCAAACGCCACAGCCCCAGGCAGCACTTCAAATTCAACTTCAAGCACTCTCCCCGGGCCCGACGCCCACAGTTGCAGCGATGCTTACACCGGCGGATTTGGGAAGCGCTAGGAGGAGAGCGCATAGCAGCAGCAGCGGCGACGGTGGCGGCGGCTCCGGTGGTGGTGGCGGCGGGGCCATTTCCAGCAGCGCCGCTGGCAGTGAATCGGAGGGTGACGGGCTGGCAACGCCGGCGGGAACGGCAACCAATGGCAAGGCAGTACGGCTCGGTGCCGAGGGCAGCACCATAAGCGTGGCCGGCGGCGGCGGCGCGGAGGGAGGGGCAGCTGGCGGCGGCAGCGGTGGTGGGGCTGGAGGTGGCAAGCAGCTGACTCCCTGGGAAGCGGCGATGCTGGCTTTCCAGGAGGAGCAACGCAAGCTGCGGAAGGTGTGTGTCCGTCGGCATGCCGAGCACTTGAGCATCCAGGGGCTCCCTGGATTCAGTCAGGTGGCGCGAGGCGAATGGTTCGCACCGCCACGGAACAATGGACAGTCTGTACTTCCTCACGTCCATCGGGGACTATGTGATGGCACAAGAGCCTGAGTTAATGAGCGTACGGCTTACCGGATGCTGTGCACCCCCTCCCAGCTGGTTGGGCAATAGGGAAGAACCGGAAAGGCTTGGACAGCTACCCACCGGGACGGACATTTCATTCAGAGGTCGAGGGGGAGTCCTGTGCCTTTGAGACGTCTGGCATGGGGCTTCCTAGGCTGTTTCTTTTTCCTTGGTGCTTCACAACTGGGGGGACTGTGAAACCTGTGGCTTCATCAACCTGTGATGTGGCTTAATGAATGCGCAGGGCCCCCACCAGCAACATACGCCATCCCCCTGCGATCTCGCCATGTACTCTTCTCCTTGATCATTCTTGTTTGGGGCGCTATCGTCTGCACTGTAGAGAGCACCGCCTGGGCACATACACTCACATACACTCACCAGCTGAGACATGCAACTGGCAGCAGCAAAGCCCGCGGGATAATTGTTCCTTCGTGCAATGAGACCTTCCACTGCTTGCCAGCAATTATGGAATGCACAAAAAGGCGGATCATGATGGCGTGTGTTCCCAGTTTAGGAGCTTCCTAGTGCCCCTGCGCTCACGCATGCATCGGTGCCGCCGCCACGTTTACGCAGGCGCGCAAAGCCATCCGCAAAGGGGCGCCCCCAAAGCCCACGGCGAAGAAGCCCGTGGTGGTGGTGTCGCCTTCACACGCTTCCAGTCACCACCAACAGCCGCCCCTGGGCGCCGAGTCCTCCTGTAGTTCCACGCGGCCCGGGGCCAAGGCGCCAAGGCGCTCCGGGACCGGTACCACGGCGACGTCGCCTGGCGCCGGCCGGTCCGCGGTGGGGCCGGCGGCGGCATCGCCTAACTCACCACACGGCGCCGCTGCCCTGGCGGCTGGCGCCGCTGCCCTGGCGGCTGGCGCCGCCGCGGCGTCAAAGGGTGTGGCTGCCTCGGGGGACGGGGCCAAGGGCGGGAAGGCCGGCGGCGCGGCGAGTGGGCCTGCGGGCGGCGCCGCGAGGGCACCGGTTGGAGGTAATGGCAGCAGCAAAGCAGCTGCTGCGACGTCCTCAAGTGTGGTGGCAGCGGCTCCAGCTGCTTCCTCTACAAGCACCGCAGCAGCAGCGACAGCAGTGCAACCTGCACCGGCGGCAGCAGTGCAGGCGGTAGGTGCAGGACCATCAGACACCGTAGCAGGGTCAGCAGCAGCAGCATCGTCAGCAGCACCAGCAGTAGCAGCTCCTGTGGCGGCGGACCTGGACGCGGTGCCTGAGGAGCACGGGCTGGCGGCACGGACCCAGGCTGTGCCGGCAGACGCGGCGGCGGTGCAACACCAAGAGCCGTCTGAACCGGAAAGCGTCAAGGTACAGGGGAAATGGGGGTTAGGGAACAGGAGATTCAGCACGATGCACGATTTGCACTTGCCTTTGCTGCACGTAAGGTAGGTTACTACAACACGTCAGTAGGCCGTGACCCTCCTTGCAAGCCATGGAGTTACAAAAGTAGCGGTCCCGCAACCCCACGCCATCAGATCGGGCCGCTGCCCGGACACTCCCCGGAGGCTCCTGTGCGATGTAGTAAAACATCACCCGCGTAACACGCGTGTGCCGACGTTCCCTTGCGGTTATTCGAGCCTCGTTACCGGCGGCGTCCGTGATTGCTTTGCCCATCCATGCGCCATGCATGCGGTGCACGACAACGAACTCGGCATCTGCATTTGGGAATGTATGAACCCTGCAGCCGTCGCAGCCAGCGAAAACACTACTGCGGCCGCCGCAGCACCCTCCACTGCGGCCGCAACCGTCGCAACCGTCGCAACGGCCCTTTGCACTACCACCACTACCGCCGCCGCCACCACTACCCGCCAGACCGACGAGGAGTCAAGCGAGCTGCTGTCAGCGGCGATGCGCGAAGCTGCCGCCGCTGCCAACTCCGGGGGGAGGGATGGTAAGTGTGGCAACGATGACAGCGCCATGTCAGACTCCGACCCAGAGTCCGTCAGCTCTGGATCGCAGCACTCAGGACAGGAGCAGGAGCACGAGGGGCAGCGAAGGCCGCGGAGGCAGGGGCAGCCTGGCCCGCAAGGCAATGCGGCGCGGGTGCAAAGCGGCGTGCGGAGCGCTCCCTCCGGACCCGCGGGTTCGGACGGTGCAACGGGGGCACTCAGCGTGACTTCGCCGCCGAGGACTATGTCGGCATCCCACGCCTCGCCTGGGCTGCAGCAGCAGCAGCAGCAAGGCCAGCAGCAGCAACAGACACCGCGGCCAGGCCAGCCCACTCTGGTGTCAACAACATTAAAAGCCCAGCCTAAGGCCGTGGTTTCAGTCGCAGCGGCAGCAGCTGCAGCCGCGCCGCGAAGTGCCTGGGGTGCTGCGCCGGGGCCGCCTGAGCCGGACATGGTGTCTTCGGATTCAGATTCGGCTGCAGGTAGTGACGTTGGAAGCATCTCTGATTTCGCGGAGACGCCTGGCACGCGGAGCCGAGCGGGGTCAGGGCATCCTGCCCTGGGTAACGGTCGACACCGTCAGCTGCATGGAGGAGAAGAAGATGAGGAGGCAGCTCGGCAGCGGGCGATCGCGGCGGCCGCGTCAGCAGCAATACAAGGCCGTAGCGCCGCCGACGCGTCTGCATTCGTAGGCTCAGGTGCGTCTCTGCGGGTAGTAGGTCTGAGCGGGCTTGGTAGGTCGATGACAGCTGGTGCTTAAGCGTGAATGGTCTTAGGCGTAAGGCTGTGCCCTTTTGCAGGATTACTTTTAGCCTGATGGTCCCTGAAGCGAGCCGGTCCACCCGCCGCGGCATCTCTTGGCGCTCTGCATCCCTGGAGTCCCCCTCGACCGCTGCCCATGTCTGGGTTCGGTGTTGCCTAGCGCCCAGCCAACAGCTGGCAGCCGCATGTCTCCCGAGATGCGTACATTGGTGCTTCAGGTGCCAAAGCAAAGTGCAGGAAGAGAGGACCGATATCTGTTCAGGCACGTGGCGTGACCGCCTCCGCGCTCTTCCTCCCGTCCCGGGTTCCCCTCCCTTTCGACCATTGCGTCCTGCAGTGAACCAGCTCGCCCGGGCGGTGATCTCCGACGCGCCTATGAAGGTTGATCGCTGGTCGGACTGGGACCTGGCGGACAGCTCCGACTCGCTGTCCGCCTGGGCAACCCACCACGATGGCGACCCGGTGAGGGGTGGCCATCTACGGGCGCCACGGCCCGTGGGTCACTTGGCGCCGCCGGAGTCCCTCGTCACGGGGCCGCCCGGCGCACACGCGCAGCCGCAGGGACCGAGGAGTGTTGGGGGCGCGGAAGGTGCGCCGGTGGTAGGCAGTAGCGGTGGGGGATCGCGGCAAAGCTCACGACCCGGCGACGCAGTTACGGCGGCGGCGCCGCGCGCGAGCAGTGCGCCACACAGCAGCAACGGACGGAAGGCAGCGGCGGCGGAGCCGCCGCCGCCGCCGGCAGCGGCTGCTGACGGAGCCAGGGACAGCGACGGAGCGGATGGCAACGGCGACGGCGACAGCAATGGGGCGGGAGACGCTAGCGGGGTGGGTTCTGCACGCGGCGGCGCGGGGTTAACGTCTCCGCCACAACCTCTGCCACGCTCGGGCGTCATCCTGGCGGGCACTAAAGCATCAGCACTCGCGAACTGTTCCGCTGCTCCAGCTGGCGGCGCTGGGATGGCTGCTGCAACCGTGCGCCGGCCGCCGCTGGCCCCGGGGCCATCCACGCCGCCCCATTCCGCAGGCCGTTCTGGCCCATCCTCCTCCAGCGGCACACCCTCGCTGCCCCGCGGCGGCGGTGGCTCCTCTGGAAACCTTGCCGCCTCTGCCTCCCCTGCCTCTTCTACGGCGTCGCCGCCGTCAGCCTCCCCAGACTCCGCAACCACCGGTGCCGTCGCCGCCACACCGTACTTGCAGTACTACAGCGCGTTTCACGAAATCCTCACCGTCTGCTACAGCTCCCTTCCGGTCATGCTAGACGCTGCCGCCTTGTCCTCCGCTTCGGTGGCGACTGTGGCCGGCGCCGCCGGCGGCAATAGTGGCGGCAGCTGCCGGCCGCCGTCACGCGCGTTGCTCAGTTCCGCTGCCGCGTCAGGCTTCGACCTGATGGAGCGGTACACCAGCCTGTTGGCAAGGTGCGAGGCGTGGCAAGCGAAGCTCCGCCAGTTGACCAGCGCCATGCCAGAGGATGGCCCTGCGGCGGCGGCAGAGTTGCCACAGCAGCAACCGCAGCAGCAGCAGCCGGTGCCATTACCAACGCCGACTTCGCCGCAGGCAAGGCGCTACGTGGCGATTATCGACGACACGGTACATCCGGAAGTCCGCAATGTGGTGGTGGCGGCGCTGCAGCTGCTGTCGCCGGTCTGGGCGCTAGACCCGGCTGACCAAGTGACCGAGCAGGCCAAGCCTGACGCTTCGGCTGATGACGACGCCGGCGGTGGCGGCGGCAGCAACCCCAGCAGCCGGCCGACGACGGCGTTGCCGGTAGGATCTCGCGCGGGCTCGGCCACAGGGTCCAGCGGATTGGCGCAAGGAAGCAACGCGGCTTCGGGACCAGGGCAACATGGGTCCTCCGGATCGGCGACAGGGAGCGGCGGTAGCGGCAGCGTCTGGGCGGGGGGCAGCGGCGGCAGAGGGACGAGCGGTAATAGCGACGGGAGCCCCAGCGGTGGTGGTGGAGGGAGCGCCACTGCTGCTGTCGGCGCTCGGTGTCACGTGTGGAACGTCCTATGGAGCTGGAGTGTCAAGGTGCGGGTGCCGGTGAGCGAGCTGCTGGTATGGCAGCGGGTCAATCATTTCTCGGAGGCTCGGCAACTGACGAGGAAGGACCTGCTCAAGAAGCACTTGGCCAAGTACCAGGTGCGTTGGTCTGGCCCGGCCGGACCGGTCGAAATAACTACGGTGAAGCTCGGTTTCAACCCCCACCACACCTGCTCTGAACATCTTATATTGGGCCTTGTTCAGGTGCCCTGGGTAGCCTGGCCAAGCAGGCAACCGCCGCCGCAACAGGCTCGTCCCCTCATGACTCCGCAACTTCAGGGTTTCCTGGGCTTCTTCTCCGCTATCCTATGCCTATGGCGGCCTGCCCCCTTCTCTCGCCCTCCTTGCTCTACCTCTAGGCCATGCACAACACGGGTCGTTCCGCGGCGCTGTTCGACCGGCTGACCCCCACCACCTTCGTGCTGCCCAAGGAGGCGGCGGCCTTTGAGGAGGCCTTTGTGCGGGCGCTGCACGGAGTGGAACCCACGTGCGTGCAGGTGAGTGCATACATAGCTTGCAGGGAGCTGAGCTGCGAGAAAGGAAATGGGGAGGATGACGCACATGCGTGTATGTGTATCAGCATGTGCGTGTGTTTGGTTGCTTGTGTGGGTGCGTGCCTGCTAGCGCACGCGTGACCAGTGCCAAAGGTTTGCGAATGTGTGTATCTGTAAAGTGGCGGAAGGAGCCGACACATACTCGGGACTTTGCTTGTTCATGCGCCGCCCTGGGCCTGTGTGGGGCCGAGGGCGCCCTCCTAGAGTTAGGTGGACAAGGATTCCACCGGCACACAACCATCTTATCGTGCAGTTCCTGGTTGTCCGCTCCTCCGGCAGCCTGTGGGTCTCAACCTGTGGATCCAGAAGCCCGTGGGACTGTCCCGGGGCCGCGGCATCAGCCTCATCAGCTCGCTCAAGAAGGTCAACATGGCGGAGGCAATGGTGGTGCAGAGGTAAGAAAAGGCGACCCACGGGTCACACAGCTTCGAACAAGGGTTGCAGTAACCATGTGGCTTAGCACGGCTGCAAACGCCACCACGGGGTTTTGGTTTGCGTGCTACTTGGTGTATTCTTTCTCACATGGCTCCCGCACCTATGCTGGAGCGAATTGCTCTCTGCCATTAACCTCTCTAGCCATTAACCCGTTTGGGTAGAGCCGCGCCGCGACGTGCCTGTCCCCCTTTAAAGCGCAGGTACCTCACCGAGCCGCTTCTGGTGGAGGGGTACAAGTTCGACCTTCGGCTGTACGTGCTTGTCACCTCGTTTAACCCCCTGGAGGCTTGGATGTACGAGGAGGGCTTCGCCAGGTGGGTGTACCCCAACCTGCGCCCGTGCCCACGGCCGGGCTATGTGTGAAGAGTGCATGTCTCCGGATGTATACCCGCAAGAGGCGCTACCATCTGGAAGCGCTTGGGTATTTTCATCAAGGTCAATGTGAACAACCTTAGCCGTGTTGTTCGGTGGTCGTTTAGGATTTGGCCTGCGCTGAGCAGTCTGGAAGGCCAGTTGGGGTTAATATTTCCTCCTGGCTTCCCTAGCGCGATTAAATTAGAAGCTGTGCAGAAATGGTAGGAGGGCTGCCTCCATATAGCACCCCGCCGGCTGCTTTACAAACGGTGCCCTCCCGCGCGCGTCCTTCTGAAGAAAGATGGCCACCATAATTCGCAATCAATGTTTGACTGATGGATTTATCCGCCATTGTCTTGTGGCCTCTTTTTTCCACTTTTCCACTTTCTTTCCTCTCATCACATGCTCTCTTCACTGCACCTTTGCTGCCCTTGATTATCGTTATGCCAGGTTCACGACACTACCGTACACATTGGACGAGGCGGAGCTCGGCAACATGCACGTCCACCTCACTAACTCGTCCGTGCAGCGCGTCCGCGCGGAGGCGGGCCAGCTGCCTTCCTTCCTGCAGGCTGCAGGTGTGTCGGTGGTTGCGTCAATCTTTAACCCAACCGCAAGTCCCCGCCGCCACTCAGATAGCATCGGCGTGCTTTTCCCACCCGCGGCCGACTCCCCCGGCACCTGCTCAGACGCCCCGGGAAAAAGCTACGGGCTGTGCCGTGCCGAATGCAGAGCAATGCGCTCACCATCCGCGTTGTCCTCGTATCTGGGTCCCGTCTTGTTTGCTTTATCCCCTCCTGTGGTGGTAATACACTGGACACCCGCGGGACGCCCCTGTTTAGTCGCCGTTCCTATCCGTGTTGGTGCCGCCACTCTGCTGGGGCATCCCGCAGGCTAATAAACCCCCCATTGGCCCCGCCCTCCGCAACGCACCACGGATCGCTCCCCACAGAACCCGCGGGCGGCTCCAAAACCAGCTTGGCTACGTTGCGACGGCTTCTGTCCCGTCACGGCGTGGACTGGCCGCTACTGTGGTCGCGCGTGTGTGAGGTGGCCACCGCAGCGCTCTTCGCCGCACAGGACGCCATCCCGCACTCGCCCAACAGCTTCGAGCTGTTCGGCTTTGATTTGATGATCGACGCAGAACTCAAGGTACCGTCATGCATATCTGTCCTGGTGGATGGTGTTGTATGGTGTGATAAATCGTAGAAATGGCAATGTGTTCAAGTGGCCCAGAAGCCTCCCACTCTGTAACAATTCAATTCAATTCATATCTGTCCTGGCCGCCAAGCAGGCCAGTCAAGGTCGTGGGACAGCTGCCATGCGGTTGGGGTAGTAGGGGGAAGTAGTTATGCCCGACACCGGTTGCCGGAGTCCGTTCCCGTGAGCTGATGGTCCGCTGCCCGCGCGCCTCCCTAGGTGTGGCTGCTGGAGGTGAACAGCAGCCCCAGCATGGGTCTGGATACGCCGCTTGACCGGGCCATCAAGCCCCGCCTCATCGCCGACGTGCTGGAGCTGCTGGCACCGCTGCCCTTCGACCGCGGCGCACTCTGCAGTGCTCTACGCGCCCGGACGAACACCAGTAGGTTGGGTATAGCGGTGGCGGCTACCTATGGGAGCGGCAGCGACAGCGACCTAGGTATTTACCCCCGGCTCCTATCTGCTGTGATGGTGCCTTGGGTGCATCTAGGCAGGGAGCAGTAATTGTGCTGAGACGGCACCGACGAGAACGCCGTGTCATGTGTTGCGGTAGTTGCCAGCTTTATACACGTTCCACGTTCGTGGCGTTTGCGGTATGCATCCTGACTTTGCGGAAGTGTTGATAACTAACTATTCGGGGTTAGGGTCAGCCGCTTTTCAAGTCCTGGGTGCGGACATGTAGCGCGGGATTTGAAGACAGCCGCATTGCAAAACCCTTGGGCTGGGGCCCATAATGTGGGCAGAGTGTTTAGTCCGCAGCGCAAAAGTGTGGACAGTTGGGCTCCCGTCTTCTTTGGTTCCCGGGGTGTTTATCCTCGGACTTTCAATCCGTTCCGGTCCTTCTGCAACCTTTCCACCTGATCCTGACTTCATCCCCCGTCCCTTGCAATCCGCCTTTCATTGCCCCACTCCCCCGAAGGGGTTGCCCTTGTGAAGGTATTTGCATTTGATAAATTGCGTCTCACCGTCCCTCCTCTCCTGCGCGGCTCCCCGCGCTGGCAGGTCGCAGCAGCCGGCGCGGCAACCAGGGCTTGCTGAGCGGCACGCCCAGTGAGGAACGGGAGCTGTGTTGCGCGGATCTACAGGCCGTGCTTGGCGGCGCTCTACCGCGGCGCTACGGCGAGCGGCCACGAAGCACGGGCGGATTCACCACGTGCTTGGCACCATCACCGTTTCATGACCGATTGCTGAAGCTGCGAAGGCCGCTACCCTGATTTTGACGCGTCTTTGTTGGGGGAATCGTCTCGCATAGTTTGTTGTACATTGTGCTTAGCGCTGCAGCATTTTGTTTGGCGGCGTTGGGGCTGGAGGGCTTTTGGTGGGGTAGCATGTCTTTTTGACTGGTGTGGCGGACTGGGGAGCGGTACCAGGGACAGGTGAGGTGGCCTACGTTTATACATCAAAGTTCGAAGGCCGCTGCAGCTCGGTATGCATTGGCGTACGACGATGTACGGTGCCTTTGTAGGTTCTCCTAAAGGCATGGGGCATGGGGATGACATACGCATGCGCTAGACACGTGGGCTAGGACAGGGTGACCTAGACCCTGGCCCCAAGATTAGTCGAGAGGATGTTGGCGTGTGCTGTACGCCCTTCAGTCTGAAATGCTAATGGAGATACAGAAGCAACTCGAGAGGAGCGGTACATGAGGAGAGCTGAGCAGGTCGGCTGGTACACGTGTGCGGGCCGGGCCCTTCGCACAGCTCCGATAAATCCCAACTGATTGTTAACCTTGCTTAGAGTACAGTGCCATGCGCCCGGCTTTAAGTATTCTGTTGTTCTGGATATGGCCTACTGTTTTCAGTACGCTGTTCGTCTGCTTTAGCGACAACATAACAGGCCAAGTAGTGCGATGGACCTCACACCCCTACACTTTTTAATTAGCGGAAAGGCACATTGCATGCAGCAAAAGGTTGCACTCCACGGATCTTGTCTAGGCAACGACACAGTCTTTGGCCGCTGACTAATAGTAGGTACCACCGTAATGCAAACGGGGCTTCTACGAGCCAGGCGGTAATTAAGAGATGTGATAGAAACGACATAATAAGACAATTGACATTATTTAGCGATTGTTGTGATTTTAGCCCACCGCCGGTGGGCGTATGGACTCTCACGAAAGCAAAGTAGTTATGCACTGTGAACTAAATATTTAAACAAAAGTGACTTCATTATGGTATAGCACGTTTAAAACTCGCCATTTGCATCTCGCATGGCTCTACGTCCTGCACTTAGACGCTGGCATGTAACCTGATACATATAGTGCAGAGGCGACAAATGCAGAAATATGATATTTTAGGTCTTTACATAGGTGTTAGCTGCAGACCTGTGGCCTAAGGCTGTTTCTGGATCCAGACGCCGTACCCACATACAAACAAACTGCAGCCTGAGACAGGCGTTCCTTCGATGTGAACATGTTTCTGTTGAACCAAATATAACTTTGATTGGACTTGTAGCAAAAGAAACGCACGCAAGCGCGTGCTCGGCAGAGGACGCCACGATGCTGACGCTTAGGGCTGGGCGGCAGCCGCAGCGGCGAGCTGGGACATCTGGACGACCTGTCCGCAGGGTAAGTTACGATTCGAGTCGTCTGGTCATTTCTTGAGCGTCTGCCAGTGTTGGCATGTATAATTGCCAACTCAAAGGCGAAGACATCCTAAGATGCACGGATCAGAGGATCATACTAGAATAAAGTCAAATGTGGTTTTGGATGCAAATTGCGGTTTTCCCAAGAAGAGGATTCGCGAGTCCCTTTGTAATGTGTCGCGCCGCAGGCCTCGGAAAACGCTACGAAGGTTCCGCTCAGCAAGAAGTGCAAGCTTGACATTAAGCGAAAACACCTGCGTGCCGCGATTCCGGGATGCCTGGCGGTCAACTCATACGCTGTTAACCTGCAGCTGCAGGTGTGTTCTTCTGGTGCACGCAGCACGACTAAGGTTATCCACGCAATGCGCAGGATGTTGCCTAAACATGATCCACAGTTGGCTTGGCACTTACATTACAGTTAAGCGGGCACAGTATCACCTTCTGGCCCAGATATGCGCGTTACACACTTTTTGTGTGCCATATTCCGATTCTCGCGCAACCTACAGATTGACGGTGAAAAGCTTCCAGACCTGTATAAATGTACCATCAAGAAGCACGTTAACAACAAAACGTCTTGCGTTTCGTATCGCCTCCAGGTGAGTGTTTCCGTTGAAACAGGTTACCAGCTGAACCAGGGGTCGCTCCTCTTAATGCGTGTAAGTTAGGAATGAGGTCATCAGTTTCGGTGGTGGATGTATCCGTGACTCAAAGGGAGTTCCCAGCCACTTTGCAACACACCAGCGATTTACAACTAGCCTTCACCCATTCTTCCACGCAACGGTCCTGTGAGTAGACGAGCACATGTTGTCCGTGTATGGTTCATCAGGGCACGGGCATCTACAACCACCTGCGCGGACTGTATATGCGAGGCTTCAGCTGTGGCGAGGAGCCAGGCGTTGTGGTGCTTGTGGCATCACGCCAGGCGGCGCCGGATCTGTCCTACAGCGTCCAGTCCGATGGCGAAGATGCGGACTGCGCAGGTGCGGAGTGCGCGGCAGCCAACGACGACACCGATTCGGAAGCTGAGCGGCGGCAGCAGCGACAACGACGGCAGCAGCGACCTCGTCGGCAGCGGAAACGGCGGCGGGAGGATTCGGATGAGGAGGATGTGGAGAATGACCGGTTTGGGGACGTGGAAACCAAGGATGAGGTCATAGGACGGCCGGCGGGGGCGTTGCCTGTCACGGGACCGTCGAGCCACCACCCAGGTTTCTACCAGGAAATCGGGGCAGAGGCAGCCCTTACTGTCCACCAATTCCAGCAACACCAGTTCCAGCATGTACATGCCCACATGCATACACAGTTCCAGCACGTGTACCATGAGCATCGCCACCAGAGGCTTCGGTCCCACCCTGTCCAAGCGTTCGACCTGAGTCCCAACGGCGAGCAGGTGGAGGGCTTCGTTGGAATCCACGCACACACGTTGTCTGCCCCGGGCGACGACAGTGCGGCATTAGTGTGCCACGAACATCCCCATGACGATGCGGTCAGCACTCTCAATGCCGCATGCGTCGAGGCCGAGTTCGTTGCAGCCGTGACTGAAGCCGAGCGGCGCACGGGACATGCTGGGTCCGGGCCGGGACCGGGGTCCAGCTTGGACCCGTTCGACCACCTAGCTCTCGGAGTTAACATGGGTTCCATGGCCTTCGGGGGCGGCCTTGTTGACAGCAACAGTTTAGTGAGCAATGCAGTGCCAGGACATCCCTCGTGCCTAGTTGGCCCGGGTTTGCTGGGGCCGGACGCGGGGGTTTGTGATGCAACGGCAGCAGCTCAGCTCCAGGACGGCGTGGGGATCATCGGTGCTGTCGAAACTGACGGCGGGGGGCTGCAAAACGCCGTGCCTGCCCTGCCGCCTGGTTTTGCGCCGCAACGGGACCCGTTGTTGGACCTACCACTCACCTTGTCGCCTTTCTCGCCGCGCCTGCTGCAAGAGTTAACGGGTCGGCCGCACTTGCCTCGCGTCGGAGGACACCAGCCGCCGTCGCAATTGGTGAGGCGCTGTATCTATTGGGTTCTGAATCAATGCGCCCTAATCGGTGCCTAGAGATGCATGTCTTCTGTCCTGCATGCCATTGTCAAGAAGTGTTTTCGTTCACGGACCTCTTCCTGTATCCGACATGGATTACTATCCACTTGACCAACTCGGTAACTTACAAGCTGCGGTTAAGCCGCATTTGTTAATCGTAACGAGCTGCCACGCTTGCCTGCTGTGCCATGCAGATTAACGGTTGGGGTGCCTTGCCGCTTGACTTCGACAACGCGTGGCCACGGCAGCATCTAACATGGCCAGATTCGCTAGGGTTGGGGCTATGAAGGGTGGACCATACTATTGGACAAGCGTTCAATTCCGTGCTGTCAGTTGGAACCGTCCCTGGTTGAAGTCCATGTTTCATCAAGGAATGAAGCTGCGCGACGAAAGGAGCGCTCTTGCAACTTAGAACCTTAAGCACGCTACGGATGTCTGCGAGTATCCTCTATGGCTCTGCGTGCTTGTGGGTGTCCCGTATTCCCTGGCGGCTGGTTTTGTGCCGTTGTGTAACAGGCGGCATTTGGGCTGGGCTGAAGCCGCAGTAAGGGGCGGCATAGAGCTGGGCTACAGCCGTAGTATTGCGTGATGGCTTAGGTTGCAGCAACTCATGTGTCTAAGGCACGAGCTCTTCTTAACTGTTCGTAACTGCCTTACAGTGTTTTTACGTGCGGTGAGGCAGGGCTTGGATAAAGTCAGCGGGAGGCTGGCGGGCTGGACAACAAGTACTGACTGTCACAGTGTACAACCTTGCTTGTCCTTTCATATTGCGTGCGCTATTCGAGCATGATGCAGATGTCTGTGCGATAGTTAGCTATGACTTCTGCAGTAGCTTGTTGCACTGTGGTAGATCAGAGACCTTCGAATATAGAGAACTGTATCCTGGCCTGAGTTGACCAATGCCTGTACCCTGGCTTGACTTGACTAATGCATAGATCAGGTTGCATAGATCAAATCTTGTAGGCAATGCAGGCAGGCTGACTATGACATCCATAGGTAGGATTGGTGATCTGGCATGCAAGAAATTATGAGCTACGATATTCTATCCGTTAGCATATATAGCGGGATAGTCGCGGGAGAAAAAATGGTTACATCCGGTAGTCACCCATCCAACGCATCTGCCGAAATATGCCTGTAAACCATCGCATTCTTCACTTAAATAATATATTCATTGCCGTGTCTTGCCGCATGAGGTCCTCGTAATGCTCGCATAGCCTCGTCATGCTCGCCACCGCTCGGCTGATTCACATCATCATCTGACGCTGGATCTGCGGAGCAGGAAAGTAACATAGGCTTAATCACTTAGTTTAACCACTGTTCAGGCGCACAAATAAACGGGACACATGCGAGAGCTTCCATTTCCGGCGCCCCGGCCCTGACTACTCACGTAGTCCGCGGACTCGCACGCAGCGTACTCGGAAGCCAACTCCGTGACTACCTCCTTCGCATCGTGGAACTCCTCCAAAAGCACCGTGCCCCCACCGTCGGCGAAACGGGGTACCTCCTTGTACGCTTGCAAGAATGCTTGTCGCTCCTGTAACACACCGTTCGGCCCAAAATTTGCCGCGCTTAACCTGTATATGATAGCTATAGCTACAACGGGAAAGGCGATCTAACCAACACGCGAGCGGGTGTGTAATAAAATTTCGTCAAAGCTGCACACAGGAGTTCAGCACCACTGTAATTTGAAAACACCTCCCTTACACTGACTTGCATGGGGTAAGGTTCCCATTCCCCGCACCTGCTTCGGACCCATTAGCTTTTCATAGTCCCGGAGCACTTTGGCGAAGAGGTGCCGGATGGACGTGTGGTTTGCCAGCATCAGCCCGCTCACACGGTGGGCGGTCTGCACGTAAGGACTCTTCTTGGACAGCGCAACCTGCATATGGTGTGTTCCTTCAATCAGTCAATACACTGCTTCAGGAAGACACCTGACAAGCGGCGTTCAATGCGCCTTCGCTTCGCTAAGCCAGTACTCAAGAAATGCAAAATGCAGGATTACTAAACCCTAACCCGCTGCAACGCGGTCAAATTTGCGCTATGCACACAGCACAGGCCTCAACCCGTTCCATTCGAATATCGAAGCACACCACACCTGTGTCGAATTCGGCCCATGTGGCGACAGACAAGGGGCTCACCTGGATGCTCGCTGGACCCCACTCGATGAAGTTGGCCTGGCGCCGTTCGCGAATGCGCTGCAGGCTCTTGTGCACCTGGCTGGGGTCCACCTCGCCCTGTATGATGTTGAGAATGGAGATGTACTTGGCCGAGCTCATGTCCCGCGACTTCGTATGCGTCGACACCTGCGTAGGGCAGGACATGGCGTGAACAAGGCAGCTCACGCCGGAGCGCCTCCACACAAGGAAATGTTGCAAGGCAAAGACATGTTTCATCATGCCTTTACAGTGATGAAGTAGGACATCATGGCGGCAGCGGGCTGAGGCCATGGCCGATGGCATTTCAAGAAAAGCAAAAACGGAGGACCCGCCAGCTACTGAACGCTCCAGAGTGCCACCAGGGCACGCGGCGCACCATGATGTTCTTGGGCTGCAGTAACCGCCGCATCACATCCAACACGGTTGTCTTGCGGATATTGGATGTGACCTGCCCAGCTGCGTTCTCCGCTGTAAGTGGCGTGTAGCCCGTCATGAGGAAGTGGCAGCGCGGGGTCGGGATGAGCGACGCCACCAGACCCACTAGGTCGTTGTTCATGTAACCTGAGTATTAGGCCAACAAGGAAGGCAGCACAGCAGCGCTGAAGGGCTTGAGCACAAGCGCACGGCGGTTAAAACGTCCCATGGGAGTTGATGGGAAGGAAGTGACCTGCGGCGAACAACGCCTTGCCATCCCGGATCCCAAACGTACATGGAAATTTGAAGGCACATGCATAAAAAACAAGCAGTCCTATGAAACCGCCAGGGCAGCGGCGCTTGCAGGGGTACAGTTCAGTTAGGAATGCGGCGCCTGCCGCAGCACGGCATTTGGGTCCTGTGCACTATGGGTGTCACTCGGGCCTGATGGCTGATACCCTCTCATGCAAACCTCTCGCTGTTGCGCAACGTCATGGGCACCTTCGCCAGCATACATTCCTCAACCATGCAAACCCAAATGCCACCAGCACTTCCCTGGCGTAATCCTGGTTCTCCTACCAGTAATGCCGAAAGGCACATGCAGAGGAGCAATTTGGCGCACCTGGGTACCGAAGTGTGGTTGTTGATGCAGCCATGACCGTGGCGATGAGGCTGTTGATCTGTTGTACGTCCGGCTTATGCAGGTGTAGTCGTTCCACAGCGATCTTATCGAGCGCTGTGTTGTCTAACACCACAACCGCGTCGGCGTGCAACGTGAGTCGTTTAAGCGTAAGCAGTGAGTTGTACGGCTGTACGACAACGTCACTGGACTCGGACTGATTTGGGAAGACACTGCATGCAGATGTTGTGGGAGGGAGACGGAGGGAGACGTGATGCGCGGGCGTATTCTGCAGGAAACCCGCAGACACAACCCATTAAGGAAACCCAAAAGGCCTCTGCATGTAAAGTTGTTAGCCACGAAGTTGACGGATGTGCACCTGGTCTTCACCGCGTGGTATGTCGTAGAGGGGACGTTAGGATCTGGCACTTAGAGCGTGGGCATGCCGCAAAGTCCATGGAATACACAACCGTCGCGGCTACGGAGTGACCCTAATCAGCAAGCTTTGTAATTGTTAGTGCAAAAGACAGCGGGACAAATAAGCATGTGGTTAGCACTTGCCTTCCCATGAGCTGATGAGGGAGCTGATGCGGGAGCTGATGAGGGGACACAGAAGGCCCCCACGCACAGGACACTCCACCAACCTGTATGTCTGGATGAGCTTCTTGCTGTATCGGTCGCTGAGCAGCTCTAGCATGTACGACCCCATGCCCGAGCCCGTACCACCGGCGATGGAGTGGCACATGTTGAAGCCTTCGAGGCTGTCGCAGTACTCAGCCTCGCGATCTGGTAGAGTTCGCAAACATTGGTGCACAATAGGATCCCGTAAAAAGGTGACGAGTCCGACGGTGCCAAGTATGAATTGGGTCAGGCATCTCACCGGGGCATCTCACCGGGGCTGGTGCAGTTCGGTCGTCTCTGCTCCGGACCTAAGGGTCCCTGCCCTCTGCTAGAGTATGAAGGTGCGATGACTCTAGTGAAAATGCACATCACGTTCAACCCTCACCAATCATGTCTAGGAGCGTTTCCTGTACTGCTTCGCCCTGTGTGTAGCCGCTCGCCCAGTTGTTCCCTGCGCCACCGCCCTCCTTCGATATGAAGATGTTTTCAGGGTTGAATAGGTTTCGTAGATCCGACGTTTGGATACCGTTGATAACCCTGCATATCCAGGATGATTATGAACTCCCCAAGCATGACCCGCTACCAGGGGTGAACCAGCAAACCCACCGTGGCTCCAAGTCAAGGAGGATGGCACGGGGAATGTATTGCTCATCATCCGCCTGGTAGAAGAACACATCTTTCCGGTCGCCTCCCTGCGCGTGCCGCGGTTAGGTCCTGAGCTCCCTGCTTGCTCGCCTTCACCAGCATTGGCGCGAAAACTACTCACCAGCGTTGCGAAGTCCTCAAGCCGTCCATCCTTCGCTATGCCATGCTCTTGACACAGCTGTCCACAAGCAGGAAATAAAAAAGGAGCTGCTGAGCAATTGTATCGGAGCTGTTCCAGCCGGTTTGCTCAACAGTACGCCCACCTTTCGCCAGAACTCACTGCCAACTTGGTTGCCGCACTGCCCTACTTGCAAGTTGATTATCTCCCTGGGCATTCCCTACTAATTCCCAACTGTTAGAAGATTGAGCCTTGCTCAGAAACGATGCCGTTCAAGTCTCGGAAAGCAACAACGCATACGTTTTCGAATTCTAGATTGAGGTGGCAAGCAGGGAGATTGCACTGCATTCAGCATACTAAAGGTAGGAAGTACGATTTGTGTACAACATTTTGCCAAATCACATTCTGCTCAGCTTGTATGCTACCACTCTATGTAAAGTTTACGCAATAATTGCAATCCAGTAAATTTTGGGATGTGTAAGCCGAAAATCGGTTGACGGCCGCGGCGTAAACCTTATTAATAGTCCATAACCTCCAGCAGTGCCTGACTCCAGTTAGGTCCAAGCGAGTAAACGTTGCATGCATAATGACGGGCCATGACACAAGCGGAATGGCTGGTAGCGGTGCCATGTCGGGCATGGGCGGGATGATGGACTGTGAGGGGAAGCCAATCCCCGAGCGACAGGGCAACACACAAGGCCATGTGTTCCCGGGTATTATCTTCCTTATTTGGGCCACGCATGTACGTCTGATCAGTTTTAGACTCTGCCAAACCTCCCTCTGAGCTACCCAGCATGCACATTGAAGCTGGTTTGTGCTGAATTCGCAGTGGTTCATTTCAGCTAGCTGGCGACATGTCACGGCTCAGCGTACCGGTCGCCCGTACCAGGCGCGCTCCACCGAAGGCCTCCTGCCTATGATACCCGCATTAAGCGAATTCAACAGGTATGCATGCTTGTATACGTGTGCCTTGGCAAATCATGCAAGGAGATCGACATCTCATCCCGGAGGTTACATGCTGTTGGAAGTTTGGAATATGACCGGAAGCAGCAGTAGTGGAGTCCCCCATGTGCGGGCCATGCCGTCGGGGCTTCCGCGACAGCCCGTGAAATGAGCACACGGGGCATGATGACATGTAGCATCAATCGTTTGCCTAGGCGAGCCACGGCCGGATCCACTTCTAACCCAGATTGGGCATTATGGCCCTTTCCAGGTACCCTGTGGAATCAGCCCTAAAGGCCATTGGCGGAATACTTCTATTCATCCTGCAAATCACATATGGAGGGTACAAGTAAGCCTCATGGTGGAATGGTGCAAGTTTTCTTTGTTAGGCAGGTGCCCGTCCGTACCTGCCAACACAACGTCCACAGCATGGATTATTGGCCCTTTGCTTGAGGTGCAATGGGCTGTCAATTGGCACGGCGTCATCCTGTTTATTTGTATGACACGCAGACTGAATACAAGGTATCGAAATGACACTGAACGCCTTCCATCGTCGCGCAGGTACCTAGTTTGCCCTGCGAGCATACGGACTGGCCGCCTCGTTACGCAGCATCTTAATTCGTGGTCTCATGCCACCATGAACCTGGGGTTCAGCTTGTCTGGTGAGAGCTTTGCATAAGGAGTTTGCTTCGTGTTATCCATTGTGAAGTGGGTTACACGGCATGGCATACCCACTGCCTTAGTTTCCAGACAACGAACTTGCATACAACCTTGCCCAATCAATTCCTTGCCAGGTATCGTTGAGTTACTCGGTGCATACGTCAAGTTCCCTGCTGGCACAAATCTGGTGCGTGCTTCATTGCTCGGGAACACTGTGATTGGGTTATATGATGGTCCACTGTAAATATGTTTGGGCGTATTGCGTGGACGTTTAGGGTTTTTTAGGACAAGAAAATTTGTTGACTCACGTGGGTACCTGGGAATAGGAGCAGAGCATGCTGGGGCTCGTCTCGGAGGGGCGTTGTTCGTTGGTACCTAATTGTTGCTGTTCAGAGTTCTGGAGATAACGCCCTTTTCCTTTTTCGCTTGCCGTCTGCTCACCCAGGGCATATTATCTGGAGCTTTCCTTATTGAGGCCATGCTTTTTAGTATGCACGAGAAGAACGGACATCTGGACCAGACGGTCCACTGGCTGCTGGCGCAGGCCTGCTGGGCTGGCGCAGTGTTTTCTGTGCTGGAAGCTGCCTTTCCAGAAAACTTCTTGCTTACGGCTGGACGCGCGGGCTCCATGCTTATCCAGGGCACGTGGTTCTGCCAAACGGCAGCGGTCTTGTTCGGAGGTGCGTTTCATCATATCTAGGGTGTATGGTAGCAAACCCTACAGTTCGCGATATTGTAATTTGCCCTTCTGCGTTGGTTTTTAGCAGAGCCGGGGTACTGATCAGGGTGTCTTTCACCTCGTATCCTTGGAAGCCTACCCTTCCACACAGTGCCACCCATCCCTTGACCTCTAGCTACGCATCATCACTTTCCCCCCACAAATGGATGAGTCTTCGAACGCTGCATGGTATCTGTTTCTTGCTGGTGCACATGTTTCCATGGCCTCTGGTGATTATGACGTGGGTGTGTCCCTCCTACAGGGAAGCTGATTTGGAACGACATGTTTACCTTCCCCGACAGCGCCTCGGCAATCGAGGATGAGGCGCCGGCCATGTTCCTTCCGATGATCTTCACCTACCACTTGCTCTTGGTCACCATTTACATGGTTGCAGGCAAGTCGTAGCCTTTGTAATACTTGCTTCTGTTTCTTATTTGAACTTCGGTTACTCATGGCAAGCTGTGTATCTGTGCAGTGTACGCCTGTGTCGAGGCCTACAACAGGCGCCTACACCCTGGGGCTACAGAGGGAGTCAGTGGCAGTCCATCTTTCGGCGGCTTCGAAACATCACGACTGTTGTCTGATGAACCAGCACAAGAGCATGGCGTAATGATGACGCCTGTTACAGGGTTGCGGAACGGATCCCGCAAATAAGTAGTTGGATGTTGCAAACGTTGTCTGTCCGTATATGTACCCGTACAACCATGGTGAGAGGAGCGAGCTGCATTTATATTTAATGTCTTTCTTAAATAAGATATTTATGGTTGAAGCAGGGCAAAGCGACCTTTGGCTTAGTATTGTAGGGACACCGTGAGTAGTCATGTTGCTTCAGGCGCACACAGTCCGGGTTTCGGCTGGCCCAAAGCAGCTTCGACTCACCATTCCGGCCGTCCGTGCTAGGGTGATCCGTGTTGAGGCAGCTGCAGGTGAGAAGGGCCATAGCAGGCTTTCGGCGTTGTAGGGTTCTCTGGTGGATTGTTCGCAGAGGTAGACTCCGCTGTTTTGAGTTATGCAGTTATGATATGTCCCTTCCTGAAATGTGGCAAAGTATATTATCAAGGATCTTCCTTATGTATTTGGACAGGCGGAACTGTAACAACGCCGGCTTCCGCTATCACCTTAACAGCTGAGGCTTTAGAACAGCTTAGAAAGCTGAGAGCTGAGCACAAAAACCAGGAGAGTTTGTTACTCCGAGTGGGCGTGAAACAAGGTGAGCATTCGGTGTTCCTCCTCCGAGACTTCTATTGTGAAGGAGCCTTTGTTACTTCACAAGAGAGGTAGCAAAGGCCCCACAAAAGATAAAAGAAAGATTTTGCAGCAAGGCGACAGCAGCGATGGGGGCTAAGATTTTTCCGCGATATGAGCAAGCAGCTTTTATGGTGGCTAAGACATGTACCGTTTTTCCGGGAGAGAGGGGGGAGCTATGTTATATCCGCACTAGTCGTTTCTGCGTGTCGGGGATCCAAGGCAGTGAATACCGGTACTGCATGCAAAAAGCCGCTACTCCCTTATGCCGCCTCCCCCAATTTATATGCCACACCTGCATGCTTGTCAAACAAGCATCGTTGCTAAGAGCCTTAAAGGGGGGCCACCTTTACCACAAGGCCCCTCATTTAGCCTGTCCAGTCTTAAGGAGCATGGGAAAAGCGTTCAACTTGGCTCGGTGCAGGTGGTTGTTCAGGGCTATCATACCATATGGATTTCGAGACTCAGGACAAGGTTTCCGAGGATGACCACGTGATGTCGTATGATGACGGGTTTCGACTAGTAGTGGACCCAAAGAGTCTCCTATACCTGTTTGGCATGCGCCTGGGCTACAGTTCCGCTCTCATTGGCGGCGGTTTCCAGTTCCATAACCCTAATGCCACCGACTCGTGCGGCTGTGGGAAGTCCTTCGGTGTTTGACCGTTGATAGAGCGTATGAATTGCGTGGCCTATGACCCAAGGGCCTGTACATTAACGAGAGCAGAGGTGAGTGGGTGGCGGGACTAGGTAAAGCAGTACGCGACTTGGTAAAGCAGGCACGAGAGCTGAAAACGAGCGGGGCCGAAGGTTGTGCAGAATGCCATGGCCATGCCAAGTGCGTTATGCAGCGGCCGTACCCTGCAACATATCCAAGTCGGACTGGTGGTATGTGAATGGCTGTGTAGGGGTTGCCATAACTCTGGAGAGGGAGGGGGGAGTCTGGTTTGTATCTGTTGGTTGATAACGCGCCATATCTGCTCGCGTATTTGATTGTGCTCGAGCGGTGCGAAGGGTTGTGATATCATGGGACACTACCGCAGGTCAAAACCAACCAAGAAGCTATAAAATATCCGTGAACTGTAAAATTTTATAGCATCCTTGCGTCTGTCATTCCACTATCGGGATGTTATTCCCTTATATTTGAGCCTTGGTGGTATCCTGCTGCCGTCCAAGGTGGCATCATCCTATATATACCGGCACACAAGAAAAGACGATGGGTATACAAATAATGTTGTTTACAAACGTAAACCCAAAGAAACTTCTGAGGACAACCGACGACACCTTTGTATACAACGCGAACCATATGGAGGCCATCTGCACCCAGCGTATATAGCCACTCGCCATCCCCACGAGGCTTCTGCACCATGAACACCTTCATGGTAGAACCTGCTACCACCACAACTCCCTTCGAAACCAAACCTTAAGACTACAATGCCGGCATTCGTAGACCTTCCGACGGCCCTGCTTCGCTAGACAAGCAGGAAACATTTGATGCCCCGCCCTTCGGTGCACAAGCCGAAGTCGGCCGCGGCAGCTACAATACCCCTCACCCCTTACCTCTATCCAACGGCGCCCCATACGCCTCTTCCAAAGTGCCGCCTTGTCAACTTCGCTTTTGTCAAATGCTTGCACCGAAGAACTTTAACCCACTGGCTAACGCCAACCCAGCCGCACTTTCCGTTCCCATGGAAAATGACCCCCCCCCGCAGCTCAGTCCACGACTGCATGTACCACCCTCAACCCGTCGCTCAACCCGCAATGACCCCAGTGCTCAGTTACAGTTGACCTTGACGAAAGGGCCCGGCGTGAGGTCGTCAACCAGGCCCACCTCCCGGAACTGCTTGACCAGCGCGGGTGGTACCGTATAGTCGCCCTTGCCGCGGATGATATCATCAATGAGGCCCTCCATCTGCCAACAAATGTAAGGCCCCGGCCCCAGCCCCCGGGAGCCACGAATGAATGAAGCGGTTTAATCGGGCAGTTCGTCGTGTGTATGGATGTACAAGGAGAGCGCCCCAGACATGGGGCCCTGCATGCGACACGGCTACAAAACACTCCCTGCCTCATTCATGAAAAACAATCTTGGCGATTTGAGACATGCGATGGGCACCACGACGGGCAAAGAACACGTTCGTTGCATCACCAATCCAACGTGTGTGTACAATTAGCCCAACCTATGCGGGCTATGGCTGCGAGCCCGCTCACGCGCCAGTGACGTCACCTGTCTGTCTAATGTCGACACCTGGTTAGCTACGTTAGTTACCTGCAACACACCGTCCATGGCCGCCCGGTCGATTGTCCCATCTCCGCCCCATCCTCTGCATGTATCCATTCCACACCTCACCTCCCCACTTCCCCCCCACAGCGCACCTTGGCCTGCTCCGGCGTCATGAAGTAGTCGCGGCAGGTGGCCTGCTCCACGGCGTCCTGGCTCATGCCCGTGAAACGCATGTAGTAGCGACTGAAGATCTGCGCGGCCAACGCCAGCAATGTGGGTCCAGCCATATGAGTCCCTAGCGGCGGCATACGACACCCGCGAATCACTCGCCGTGCTGTGAATGCCATGCGACATGGACACGAGAACCACATATCCTGTCCCCCTAAAGGCCACCTAGAGGTGCCACAACATCAAGGCTCATCCAGGGCGAATCCCCGTCCGGAGTACTCCGTACAACGTTCCTAATTACAAAAACCTGGACCCACGGAAGCCCTGCAGCGACCAAAGCCAAACCCGCCCGCAGTCATGTAACCGCTCAAAACTGTGGAGGCAAACCGGGAAGAAAAGGAACTCCAACTTCCAGGTCGCAGCCATTACGATGGATTGCGGAGGGCCTAGCAGCCTCCCCTTTCCCCACCCCCCCACACCTGGTAGATGGCATTCAGCTCCTCCACGGTCTTCTTGATCTGATAGATGTCACCCTGGGAACCGCCTGCAACCGGACGCATGCACGCCAGGAGCAGCAGCAGCAGCAGCAGACCAGCGCAAACCAGGTCACAAATTCGGGGGTGCTGCGCAAAAGCAGAACGAAGACATTCCACTAACCTTAAGGAGCGTGCAGGACTCTTAAAATAAAAATTTGGGCGATTGCTTCCTAGTTCCGCTGGGGCAGGCGCATTTCCTGCCCCTTACCGAAAGCGAAAGGTTCCGATTGCCTCAGGGTAAGAGGTGCCGTATCGCATCAATTTGCACAATCTAGGTGTGCGGGAGGTGCCTGCACACCTTGGCCGGGACCCTGCACCCTTCACAAGGGTTTTCCAAAGGCTCACCCAGGGAGACAAGAGGGGCACAGAGGCGAGCCGTTCCTGCCACTCCTAGAGTCCTGCCCAAACCAAGGCACCCAGCTAAAATCCATACCAGCCCAGCCGCCCCTCCAACCCGGCTCCTGTTCTCCCACCAGCGCTTCCGTCCACCCAGGGGGACACACACATAGTGGCCCGGCATCCGCCCTCCCAACTGTTATTCGTCATCCCCCAGATTGAAAATTGAGTGGAAATCGCCAGACAGCCAAACCCATGCGCGGAGAGCAGGACACACGATTTCGCACAACCCCCATCCCGCATCCCCCAGTGCCGCTGCGGGTGGCACTGGCCTCCTGCTGACGGAGTCCAGCAGCTGCTCCCCCTGCGGAAAAGGCCATGGCGCCAATCCAGCTGGAAGGCATCACATCTGCTGCAGCTCCTGCCCCAGCTGCTGCTGTTGCTGCTGCATCCATACCAGTGTCACGCTGCAACAAGTTCTAGCCCAGTGCTGCAGCTCCTCCGCTGGCTGCGGCGGCGGTGACAGCGGTAGCGGGCCCTGCCGCTGAGAATGCCCTTGCGTGCAGCGTCTACGTAGCATAGCTCCACAGACAAGTGAAGCATCCCTCTGATTCAGGTTATCACTTCGGCCCTAACCCCGCCAACTGCAATCGTGACCGCCAACCCCAGCTGCACAGCTGGTAGGCAGAACCCGGTCATCTGCGCTCATTGCTATCACGGCCACGTGGCCCCCACTTGCTCCCTCCCCGCAGCATTCTTCCTCAGCAGCCCAGAGGGAGTCTGCCCAGTCATCATTTGCGGTACAAAGCCCTGTTTCCAGCCGACCCAGATGCTGCGAGCGTGCGCTCCCGGCACCGCACCCAAGGCCAATACCTTGAATCCTGGACTAGCGGCAGTTGCGTCATTGCTTGGGACTAGGGTAGATGGTGTTTTGTATTCCGGAGATAGGGCTGTCGCACGTCATTCGCCACAGAACGCGGCAACTCTAATGCTGCCCACACATCCCGCCTTTATATACTCCCGGAGTCTCACCCATGGGTTGCGTCATCATGATCCGAGTGTTCTTCATGGCGTACCGCTTGCCCTTTGTCCCCGAGGCCTGCGAGGTGAGGGAGTGAGGCGCCACCAAAACCCCGCAAGAGTGGGCCAGGAAGGGCGCCAGCAGCTTCTCTAGTCAGTCCCACGTGTAGCCCAAAGCCCAGATCGTCCATGGAAATCAATGGACACGCTGCCACGCCGCATGTGGTGGCATTTCGCTACTGGCCGCCACTTTCAACATGATGCAAAGGAATGTGGTTGTAGTGCAGCAAGTGGGCCTTTAAACGGCTGATTCATAAAGTCTGGATAAGTAGGAATAAGGCACCTTGGATAATCCAGCCCATGCCGGCCTCCGCACGAGGATGCTACTTCCAGGCATGGCAAGGCCGTGATGGTAAGGGAAGCAGGAAGATCGGACATGGGTTGGTTAGGGCGATGGCACGGGTGGGGAGGCTGTCGCGCCTTACCAACAGCAAGCTGCTGTAGCTGTAGCAGGCCCCCAGAGCCACAGTCTGGACATCCGGTTTGATGGACTGAATTGCGTCCACCACTCCTAGGACAGAGTATGGCTGGCCACCTGCAGGGGAGGGATGGGTGTTTAGTGGTACACTCGAATATGGACCACGGGTGCTCAATGGATCGCAAAGGGAGCCATCTGCCTGCGTGTGAAGCACCTGGAGAGTTTATGTACAGCCGGATGTCCTCATTTTCGTCTATCGCCTCAAGCGCCAGCAGCGAACCAACGATTTGCGTGGCCATCTGTCAGGGCACGCAGCCGAAACCGCGTGTGATGGTGAGAAAGGCTGGGGAGGAAGGTTAAGCCCTAGCGACATCCCTAAGCCTTGCCTTATCATTGATGTAGCCGCCGACGAAAATGATGCGGTTCGTCAGGAGATACCGATACAAGTCCATTTGGATCTGTCCCAAAATAAAGGCATAGCTTATCACAGACGTGGTGTGCATCAAGAACAGCAATCAAACCGACAACACTGCGCATACCGCGTCTTCACCCTGTCCAATCTGAATGTCAGGCGTCACAACGGGGCTGCGCCGAATACCCCGGGCCTCCACATTACGAAAGCTGGACCTAATGTGAAGAAATGTAGAAGTTTCATGACGCAGAATGTGGCCCAGGCATGCAGTGGTATTCCGGACAGGATCAACCGCACCTCGCAAATGGGGTAACTGTGAAGACTGCGTGCTGATGGTGGCAGGGCTGGCGAAGCGATGCCGTCGCCAGCGGTGAACAGCTGGTCACGCACCGCTCCGACGGCACCGTCAGTACTCGCCCAGATTGAAGTAAGCTCACCATAGCTATATATTAGGAAAATATCCTTGAGTGGTAACTATTCGTGGCGATGCACCATACAACGCTCCCTGGCTACGCCGTGCTCACGCTCAAGCACCTCGGTCCTACCCTATCGGGGGCTGTGTAAAACCATTGAACAGTCAATATTGGGTACGTTTAACGTGCGATTGTTGATGCGATTCGCTCTTCCACCGGGTCCTCCTCCGGATGGAGTGGACGAGCAAAGGTCAGCTGGCCTCCATGGTTAATACTTGCTTTATCCAGGAACAGCCACGGCCGCTTCCATAAACATCCTTGCATACACGAATAGACACACAGCACACAAAAGAAGATTAAACTGATGCTGATATTGCAAACAAGTATTACAAGGTCCGATCAATGACTCCTTGTTAAGTTCGCTACGTTTCCTCTGTTGCGTCTATAAAACCAAAGCTGCTATGCAACTGGTACTCCGATAGCATGTTTTTTGGGTGCCCTCTGAGGGCTTTTCCTTTAATACCGAAAGAGAGGAAATGGCACGCGGAGGCTACACGGAGGAACGCGAGCAAAGGTTTTGGTTCGACATTCTGTCAGCTATAGTGCTGTTTATGACGGCGATCGGCGGTGGGTTCGGCTGCAACAGCCCGCCTCGGTCTGAGGCACAGTGTCACAGAATTCTTGGCTTTGGGCATTGCAGGCGCGTGGCTCCCCAAGTATTTGTGCTCGCATGGAACGCATGTCAGCAGCTCAAAGAGCCTTGCATTTCATGTCGGCAATATGCTGTCAGCAGGAGGTAAGAACTGAACCGGCTGGTGCTGTAATACATGACGGACGCGCACTAGGGTCACTATTTTTAACGGGAACGTGAGAAATTATGGACGATAATGTAGCAAGCACCGTGGCTCTCTACTGTTGGGTGCCCGGATTGGTAAACCCCCGTGTGTCACGCCGTAAGAAGGATGGAGGTTATGGATCTCTTCTGTTGCCACAGACGGGAATACCTACGCAACAGGTTTTAGCCGCTGGGTTGGAGAGCGATGACGCTGGGACGCGGTAGTCCTGAACACCCAGGAGCCGTGGAGTTTTCCGCGCTCCCAGCGTTTGACAGCCCATGACATGCTCTGAAGACTTCTCACCTTCAGGCCGGATGTTGCCAATCCCTTCCATTGACAGTTTTTTCCGGCCTATTGACCTGCAGTGATGCTGTCCGCGGGCTTCTGCCACCTGCTGGCGGATGCGCACCGTAGCCTCCTCTTCCTGCGACGCTTTCCTATATCCAACTTCCTGGCAGCTACCGGCTACATCGTCACGCTGCTAGCGGACCAGGTAGGGCCGTTGGGTTCCGAGGATGCAGTCAGCAGTGTTGCCCCCCGCAAGCATGGCTAGCGGGTTCTTATGCTCTTGCACTGCGTGTGCATAGAGCGCCAGATCAGGGTGAGCTTACCAGCCGGCGTCGCCCGCTGACAGTCCCGCTGTTGCTGCTGCCCTGCCTGTGCCTTTCCCCCCAACGCACCGCAGATTGTCCAGTTTGTCAGCGAGCAGCAGGCGTCGCAGGCCAGCAAGGTAGGAGGAGCAACTGGGCCTGGCAGCGGGTTGCCGCCACTGGGGGCAGTTCTTCGCAATGGGGGCTATCATAAGCTGTCCTCGGGTGCGGAGCTGACGAGCATGGTGCCATCTGACAAGGTGGTGACCTCGACAGAGGGGACGTTTACCACGGCGGTGCACCGGGAGGCTGCCATAGTCGCCAAGGCCGGGGCGGCAGCGACGGCGGTGCACAATGCGGAGGTAGCGGTGGCTGTAGCGCTTCCCATGGCCGAAGGCAATGGGAACTGCAACAACCTCCTTCCCAACGGGCGGAGCCACAACGGCTTAACGGGGTCCGGCCGCAAGCACAGCCAGGGCAGTGGCATGGGAGGACAGGATGACGCCGACGGTGAGCCCGGCTCGGGTCGGTTGGTGCATCGCAGTCCGAGCACGGGTGGGGACTGCCACTCGACGGGCGTGGCCGTGCTGCTGGGCGGAGGCCGCAGACTGTCCTTCGCGACGGCAGTGCTGCTGGCGGCTGCGTTGTGCATCCACTCTATCCTAGAGGGCATGGCGCTTGGGGCGCAGTCTAGCATGCGCAGCACGGAGGACATTATGGTGGCGATTGCGGCGCACAAGGGGCTAGCGGCGTACGCGCTGGGGGCGAGTATCATGGAGAGCGGTGCATCCTCAGACAGGCAGGTTGGGGATGGACCCTGAGGTCTTCCGGTGGCGGTGCTGAAACAGTACTGTTGATTTGTATTAGGATGCGGGTACAGGCGGGTAGGTGCGCCTACAAGCTTTCGGTACTTAGGAAGGGGTCCGGGGACTGACGGGCAGGCGTTGCGTGGGGCTTGTGGCGTGACATCAATATTACCGGTGCGCCTAAGAGATTGGATGGGTAGTGTGCTGGTTAATTAGATCGCTGGAAGCATGGTGGCAGGGCGGCAGGACCAAGGCAGTTCCAAAGGCCACACAGGGTCGAGCTTAGCTTGGCTGGTTTTCTGTGCCACCTGCATCGGCCAGCCTGACCCCACGTGAGCCCGTCTCCCGTCTGTGGGCGCCCATGGCCACTGGGGGCGGCTCGTTATGGGTGAGGCAGCTGGCTGGCGGCAGGATCCGTATTAAGCGCGCTTTCTATCCTGGCGACAGAGATGGTAGCCCAGATAGCCCTTTTTGCTCCAATCATTGAAAAACTTGTTGACACAAAATTGCGCACGGGGCCTAATTGACAAACCAGGTTTTGGACCGTCATCGGTTGCTTCTCGTTGGCCACTCCGCTGGGCATCTTCGCCGGGTACGGCATGTCGACCAGCTCAGCAAGCGGCACGACCGGTGCCGCGCTGTCAGCGCTGGCCTCGGGCACCTTCCTGTATGTGGCTTTTATGGAGGTACGGTAGGGCGCGCATCAGAGCGACGTTGACGGCAGCGGCAGAGGTTCTTGGCCCCAGGATGTGTTTGTGTTGCAACGCCCAGTTGTCATTCGCCGTGTTCGCCCGTAGTAAATTCGCTGCGGTGAGCAACGAGGTTTAGCCGTCGAGGAACGCACGAAGAGCCGTGGCGTAGGCGCCTTGGCAGCGCAGTCTGTGTCGTGTTGAAGAGATTGCTACTCCCTGCTGTCAGGTCCATCCGGCCCCATTCTCATCCTCATCCCTTATCCACCGAACACTGCAACGCGTGTCTCAGCCGTGAATACCATGTGTCTTTTTACGTACAGTGCGCAACGGGTGTTAATTCCTGCTGAGAACTTAATTTACCGCGTCACTTATTTCGCCAGGCCAAGCTCGCCCTCCTCAGGCTGTCCGCTTTTTCCCTCCAACCCCTTACAATGCGTTCCCCACCAGCGTGACCAGCTCGCTCAGCCCTCCGCCTGATCTCGCCTTGGGGCCACCATGTGGCTGCGGGCGCCCCGTACCTTGGCTGCCCTCCCTCGACCATCTCTCTCTACCGCCAGGTCATACCCAAGGAGCTGGCCGATGGGAAGCACCGCATGGCCAAGATGGCTGCTTTCTTGGTGGGTTATGGCCTCATGTCGCTGCTGGCCGTGTGGGCGTGAGGACGGGGCCAAGGCCTACTAGACGATTGCTCCACCACCTCCGGTAACAGGAAATCACAATTGGGGGGTTTCAGGCGAAAGAGGGGTTCAGACTTCTTTTCCTACTGCTGCTCCGGAAGGTCAGGTCAGGGTGCAGGGGCGGACTGGGCGTGGTATGTTGCTGCTGATATGGAAGTGTGCTTGGTCCTCCGGAGTGAGGGTTGTACAGGGTGAGTGCTTATGTGGTTGTTGGTCAGTGGCGAACAGAAGCTTGCTAGGCAGCCATCCGGTCCTGGATGGAAGCGAGCGCCAGGATGGGTCCAGGCGGAGATAGGCATTAGTAACTATGATGACGATGCGGGAAGAGCGCTTAAGGGTGCCGTTCATAGCTACGCGTCACAACGTCAGAATAACGTAAGGCGCCTGATTCATGCAACGTTTAGACATTAGGGCTCCACACTTGCGTGCGTGTGTGTATGGGCACCGGGCGTGGCCTTAGGGGAACGCATGGTTTGTTGAGCAGGTTTTCACTCGTCCCGTGCGGCAGGTATGGGTATTTGGGGCTGCGGGCCGGTAGTTGGAGTGCGCTACTCAGCGCCGGGCAGGCAGTTTTGCCCGTTATCATTGCATGTATTGCGGTGACGTCCGCCATTTAAGTTGTTGGGAAAGGAGGTTGACAATGAATATCGCTGAACGATAACATGGCCGAGGAGGCCGGCAGTTCACGTGTGGGGCCTCGCCTGCTGAGATATTGTGGATGGGGGTAGGTGAGCTTACTCGATATCCCAAGTGTGCCGACGCGGTAGTCACGGGTCGATATTGTCGTAGCTCCTCTTCACCTGAGTAGCCGCAGGACCACCAATGCCACCAGCGTCCAGCAACAGTCCACACACGTTTGGGGAAGATGGCCAGTTGGTTCGTTCTGACTCCTGGGCTCTCCGCTCTGGAAAGAACGGGTCCATGGCCGAGAGTTGCTCGCGGGCGGCAGTCGCCGCGCCCGTGTTTTTGCGCGTGTGGTACTGGTGCTGAAGTTCTGGGCACGGTCTAGCACAAGAGGCTTCTATCTAGCGTTCGCGTGAAGGGGTTTACAGTGTGTGGCACAGCTGGCAAGGCTGTTTGCACCAAAGCGTCTCTGATGCATGCCGAAGGAAATTTCAGTTTTTATAGGTTTGGAGGCGAAAATAGCGATAGGCGATAGACGGACGAGAGAAAAGCAAATTGTAGAGTGCTGTAATATACCTGGGACGGTAGTGCTGTGCTGTCCTTGGGTTTGCCAGAAGCGGGTGGGTTGCGACAGTCTTACCATTACGGGATATCGTCTCCAAACGGAGCCGTCATTGCCACGAAACCGTACCTGCCTGTCTACAGCAGTGTACAGCAACAAGGAACCAAGCCTTTTCAAGGCGGACACCGCGCTCTGCGCTTAATGCGGCATCGAATCATTACCGTGAATGGTAACAGGGCTAAGGTTTTCCACCATTACACGGGCCACCGCAGCAGCAGGCCTAGTGAATGGCGTTTTAATCCATCCAACAGGTAGCAACGCGACAGAAGCATTAAAATCCTAGGAAAACACTAAAGAAACCGTCGGCCCTGCCCGCTGCTTTCCACTGGCTGACACGCCGCACCGTGTGTGTGCACCTAGGCACGTTTGCATGTCTGTATGTTGCGTAAGGAAATGTGCGCATGTGCATGTGTGTATTTCCCACTCCTCCGTTGTCCCTCTGCGCGGTTGCAAGGTTTTCCGCGCTCATTGACAGCCACAGTACGGGACTGTCTAACGCAGGACTGAACTTACTTGGACGACCGATCGTTTTACCATATGAAAAGTTCGTGCTTGTATACAATGAATGGCGGATCAAACTGTGTACGGGCATACGACTCTAGCTTCTTGGCCACTGGGTTTGGGCGGACCTAGGCATTTACGTAGGTGTGTAGCAGCGCCTGCTGCTTCAGCTGCCAATTTGGTCGGCCAAACCGGTCATGATGAAGTGCTGTAAGCGTGACAGAGCGGTTTCACGTGCCATTCACCTCCTAGCCAACCCGGTGACGAAGGTGGCGCGGTCTCTTTAAGGGGGCTTAAGGGGACACGGGAAAAGGAGGCGCATGGGTATGGTCAAGGAGTGGTCTACGCGTGGCGGAGTCACGTGCCGTACAACAGGTAACACGCAGCCACACGAAATGCGCAACTGTACGATATGGATGCAAGCTGAGCTGGATTCGGCTGGGAACGCAGGGCTGGATGGTTTCTGCTGACATCTTTGTCCCGGGGATCGTACCGAAAAGCAGATGCGGGGATTAATACCTCAGCCACGCCGCGAGGATTGCTCGAAAATCCCGGGTACCAAAATCCATCTAACGAATGACTACCGAGCCCATCGACCGTCTGCTCCTCCATGCGCACAATGAACGTGCCAGGCACATGCCATGACATTGCCTCGCATCCAGTACTTGCCTCGCATCCAGACATTGCCTCGCATCCAGTACTTGCCTCGCATCCAGTACCAGTTCCGGGACCACGTATGGCCTCCATGTGGGCAGCAGGCGCGGGCAGGAAGCAGGCGGCGGGAAGGGGCCACATCAGGACGCATCAGGCGCCCAACAAATCAGGCGCCTTGTGTGTTTCAAAAGTAACGACATGTAAACGAAGCACATATGTGCAACACCACTACACTAGATTCAACGAGCTGCAACCCGCCACATTCCAAACCCGTACACATAATAGGTATATACAAGTTATAGTTGGTAACTTGTACCTTGTTGTAACATAAGATATATGTGTCTGTGTGTGTGTGTGTGTGTGTGCGTGTGTGTGTGTGTGTGTGTGTGTGTGTGTGTGTGTGTGTGTGTGTGTGTGTGTTACACCTTGAGCATTACTTTCCGAAGGTGTACCGGGTCCATATTAGTCGGGGCCCCAAGGACCAGCCGAAGGCTCATACGCAAGGTGGTCTCGCCTCCGGTGCTTGCAGCGGCCTGCGGGTGAGAAACCTCGCCCAGCCATGGCCAAGTGATGTGCGCCATGGCAAAAGAACGCAAGCACTTGGTCAGGCCAGGCAATACAAGACCCGTTCTGTCATATTGACAAACGAGGAGCGCTCACGTGCATGCCTGTACACAGATGCGGACATGCCCCGAAATGGAGAAATTATGCAGCTGGCGGGTTAGCGGCTCTGATCAAAATTCCATCCTATGATTGTATGCAGAAAGCCGGAACATATAGATGCGTGTACGTGCAGATACCAGTCAGTTAGTCACTCCTATATGGTGGTACAATATCTCCGCTCACGCGGGATCTTTGATTCTTTGGCATGCCCAAGCGGCAGCCTCAAGCCGGTAACAAGCACGCCAGTCATTGCCACTTCTACTGGTTTGCGTCCGTTGCCGTGGTGGACGAGAATGCTACCTATGGTCACTTGAACGCCTGAGCAGTACGGACCATACCCGCCGGGCGACGGGGCCCAGCCTTGGAGGAACCCCCCTGCAATCTAGCCCTGAGCTTACGACACCTAAGAAGTGTCGTCTTTTAAAAATGCACCTTGCCTCGCGGCCCGCAGCAACAGGTAGGTTGGCGGCGCAACTCTGCACAGTACGAGCTGTTGCAGATAGACATATTCACGTATATGTGTAGCCAAGAGGAAGATTTAGGGCCGCTGCCAGAGCTCCATGATCAAACTGGAAGACAATGACCTGGAATGATATCCCTGAATCTCTCTAAACCCGTCCGAGAACTAGGCAGGCAAAACAACGTTTCAAGGCCTGCACTGCCCCGGAATCAGGGGCTTCTCATGTAAGATGTCTATTGGCGCAGGATTGGGCGAATCAAACGTTATGAACTAACCAATGCTACATATTCCGTCCTGCCGGGGGCGGTTAAACCGGGTGCGACGATTGGTAGGATCATTATGAATGTATAGGTGTTGCAGAATTGACAGTCTGCGTGTGTGATTTGGCGAGAGCTTGGCATGACTGCGTTTAAGGTAGGCAAGCGCGCTCCGTCAGGAAGGTACCAGAGCCGTAATACCTGCTAAAGCCTTCCCGCACTGCACATGTATGGCATAAGTAAATATACGGAACAGCGATAACACTGTCATGGCAGTTTATATTGATGAATGTGTGTTCCAAGCTTCCAACGTTCCAAGACCCAAATCGAGACAAAGTGTTGTCCTTGTGGGTGAGTGGAGACATCGGCAGAGGAAAGTATAACGCGTGTGAAAGACCCCCAATGCATTTTGGGCCGAGGAAGATGATTTTCATGTTATGGACGCATGAAACTACGTGGTTTAGCCTTAACTCCACTCTGTGGACCAACCTTAGCTGTGAATATGCGCAAAGTCAACAAAAGGCAAGGCAAATATCGTAACCCAAGGTAAGGCGTCGATCTATTGCTATGTCCTGAACTATTGCTGAGTTTAAGAAACTGGAGCCTACCTTGTCGGGGTTGCTGCAGCCATATCGCTTAGTCAGTTAGGCACAGGTGTTATTTTTCCTGGTAGGTTGTACATTTAACTTTACTTGTATTGTTCAGAAGGCAGACCTTGCTTCGTGGTACCTGGCAGTCATCCGCACACAATGCCGTACAACAAAACACTTTTCCCTTCATTGTCCGAGTCCCCCGGAAGTGAACCTGGCTAAAACATTTCTATTGTAACACTTGTATTCAAATGATCAATACATAAACGGAGCTTTACTGGTCCTGACCTTCCTGACCTCTTCTATTAGAGTTAAATTTATTTCTTTGCAGCAATATATATTCTACGGGAACAAATTTCTGCAATCCGCGCTGGCCGCTGTCGTCGGAAAGAAGGCGAGCCATGTCACGATACCCCAGGAACTGATGACTACAGAAAATTGAATGAACCTTTTCACACACTACGATGCGTTACATATATTTATTATGGAAACAGCTAGGGTATTTGGAGAAAACCCGCGTTGAGCTGCCCGGATGCGTAGTCGTCGCCTTCCTACTCATACATTGGGCAATCCTCTCTCAAGGGCAGGACGCCGACCGGCTTCTGGAATTCTCGGATTCGTGCTCTACTTCAAGTCAGTTCGTCGGTTGGGTTGCAGGCTCTGACGCCTGCAGCTTCTCTGGCGTCACCTGCACGAACAGTGCCGTCACGGACGTTGAATTAAATGGTTTGGACTTGAACCTCTGCCAGATCCCCACTACCTGGAACATCGGTTAGTCGGATTTGGGGGTACGGTGTGGGCACAAACGCTGCGTTGGGGGGCCATCCCCTTTGTTTTTTTCCCCATCCCCTAAAGGGGAGTTAAGGACAAGAGATGTGGAAAGTGTCCTGGGCTGCGCCGTGGCGATTTCTTACACATCTGGATGCTTGTGCCACTTGGGGACCCTTGTGGCCGCCTAGGGTGCTTGTACCAACGCGGGTGATCATGTGTTGGCATAATGCACAGGAGGCTCCTCATATGGTACATGGGCACGAAACCTGCGCCCTGTGTGTCCTTGTGATAATGAGCCGTTCTATACAGGCCTCGACAATGTGTTGTAGTATCCTCTTGCTGTGGCCCATGTAGCATCACCCAGACCCTTGCTTTGTACGTCGTCATGGCACGCTTCGTTGGGGCCTGTGCAGTTTCCAACGACTCACGCCTAGCTGACTTTCTGGACCATTTCACGTGTCCCTGGTGCATGGCCAATTCCAGGTGACCCCAGCACGGGTCTGGAGCAGTTGACGCGTCTGACCTTTAGAAATTGTAACAATTTCCTCATCTCGAGCGATCTTATGTTCGTGACCCAGTTGAAGAAGCTTGAACTCGCTGACACTACAGGTGCGTCCATGCAGCACTTGGCCCGCAGTAGGGCCGCAAGAGTGTGCCGCAGGGGTTTTTAACCTCGACCTTGTTTGGCACGTTCAAGTTCGTTGCGCAGATCATGACCCTTATCGAGGACCCAACTGCCGCCGAACGATGTTCACAATGTCGTGCATTCGGTTGCACGGTTACTCACAAGCCTGCACTTGCACTTGGAGTCGCAGTGTGGTTACCATAGCTGTCTTGCAGCGCTAGCTAGCCGCGAATGCCTGCCTGCTTTTCGCAACTGCCGAAGGATGGCATTTGCCCAGCGGCCTGACCTACCACCATTGTCCATGCTCCTCACAGAGATCGATCCCTTGCCGGCGCTGGCGGATTTCAGTCAGATGGTCAATCTCGTTTCCTTGAGGCTGCCTAGCGTCGGCTTTACGGGTGAGCAGCAGCCAGGAATCTATCGTCTGGGCTGCACAGGGTTTATGCTTGCCGAGCCAAAAACATTGCGATTCGTGGAGGAGAGAGCTCATGTGCCTTACCGCTAGGCTGATCCGGACTATTAGGATGGCCTCCAGTGCTTTCTTAGGGCCTGTAGGATGGAGGCCGGGGTGCATGGCCACCAAGTGCAGTGCACTCCCTTTGCATGACGTAGATGCGATATTGTTCGTGAGCCTTGTCGCACATACAACACTTGCAACACCTGCAGTAAGATGGAACTAGGTTCACGAAAAAAGTAAAGCATCTGGCATCTGGCTTGTACTCTTAGCACAACACGCATTTATTGCGCGCGAAAACACGGATCATGCTATTGTACTTCCACATTCTTAAATACACATCGTACTTTTATAGCCGGCGCAATTCTGGCGCACGCCTTGCATGTGGGCCAAAACCATCCCTTAACCAGGCTTGGCCTGACCCTCGCCCGATCCAGATCCGTTTCCTGCTGAGTTTTCCGCGCTAACGGCTCTCACGGAGCTCCGACTGGGGGACAATGCCATGACTGGCAGCTTACCAACAGTACTCTCCACCCTGAGTAAATTAGCAATCCTGTAAGTTTCGGACTCTGCGTTGTTCTTGCATTAGGGAACTCACGGGCATGTAGCTTGCGGGGACGTCGGTCGGGCACCTTATGGTTTTCCGTGGCTTGGGGGAAGCGCCATCGGCGCCATGAACACGAGTGGCGTTGTCCTGGACGAAGTTCGAATAGCATCCGTATGGGAGCAGGATTGAAGTGACCCAGATGGCAGAAAGAGGCGCTATCCACGTCCATTAGGATGCAAAACTTGTTTATGGTATGAGTTCCAGGGAGGCGCATGAACACAGGTGATGGCGCTCCGAGTGTGCCAATTACTTCAGACGAAACATGTGAAGCTGAAATGCGAAGCCTGCTGACAGTCCTCGTCTGTATGCCATATGAACATCATCCTATCGGATAACAAGTAAATCTTTGCCTTGGCAGCTCGGAGATTTGGAAGCCTACCGTACTGCGGAGCACCAAGCAGGATGCCAAGAGCATGATTGGTTGACGGCCTGTCGTATTTCTGCCGGGTCTCATGCTGTACAGGGATGTACATGGCAACACTCGCATGTGTGGCCCGATTCCATCAGGCCTCAAGGCGTGTCAGGAACTGAATTATACCGGGACCTCCATTGGTATGTAGTGAGATAGTGAGAAAGCCTCGAACTTGCGTGTTGGTTGCTTCAGGACAGGTCGCTGCAGCTTCGTACTGCTTCTCCAATCCCCTGACCCCATTCAGCGGCCCAAATTATGGTGTGACTCCGCGTGATGCTTTCAAATGAAGTGAACATCTGATACTATGTTTTTAGGACACGATGTGTAGTGGAATTTCACTGCGCAGCTATCCTGGTCTGGCAGCTAAAGGTTGTGCCCTTTTTCACTTCTTGCATGCCACCTGCAGATTACGGCTGTATTTCTTCATTACCCCTGGGAACTGCATCTTTGCGCGCCGTAGCCTGTGGGAGTTCAGGAGGAGCCTCTCCGCCGCCGAGCCCCTCAGCCTCTCCACCCCCAGTAACATCCAGCCGGCCACCAAGTCCAGCACCACTGCCGCCAAGCCCGACACCACTGCCCCCAAGCCCGACACCGCTGCCGCCAAGCCCGACACCGCTGCCCCCAAGCCCGACACCGCTGCCGCCAAGCCCGACACCACTGCCCCCAAGCCCGACACCGCTGCCGCCAAGCCCGACACCGCTGCCGCCAAGTCCGACACCACTGCCCCCAAGCCCGACACCGCTGCCGCCAAGCCCGACACCGCTGCCGCCAAGCCCGACACCACTGCCCCCAAGCCCGACACCACTGCCGCCAAGCCCGACACCGCTGCCGCCAAGCCCGACACCGCTGCCGCCAAGCCCGACGCCATTGCCGCCAAGCCCGACACCGCTGCCCCCAACCCCATCCCTCCATCTCCTGGCCCCTACCCCTCTCCCCGCCACCGGAGCCGCCGAGCCCGATCCCTCCATCTCCTGAGCCACCTAGCCCCTCTCCGCCGCCACCGGAGCCGCCGAGCCCCATCCCTCCATCTCCTGAGCCACCTAGCCCCTCTCCGCCGCCACCGGGGCCGCCGAGCCCCATCCCTCCATCTCCTGAGCCACCTAGTCCCTCTCCGCCGCCACCGGGGCCGCCGAGCCCCATCCCTCCATCTCCTGAGCCACCTAGCCCCTCTCCGCCGCCACCGGAGCCGCCGAGCCCGATCCCTCCATCTCCTGAGCCACCTAGTCCCTCTCCGCCGCCACCGGGGCCGCCGAGCCCCATCCCTCCATCTCCTGAGCCACCTAGTCCCTCTCCGCCGCCACCGGGGCCGCCGAGCCCCATCCCTCCATCTCCTGAGCCACCTAGCCCCTCTCCGCCGCCACCGGAGCCGCCGAGCCCCATCCCTCCATCTCCTGAGCCACCTAGCCCCTCTCCGCCGCCACCGGAGCCGCCAAGCCCCATCCCTCCATCTCCTGAGCCACCTAGCCCCTCTCCGCCGCCACCGGAGCCGCCGAGCCCCATCCCTCCATCTCCTGGGCCACCTAGCCCCTCTCCGCCGCCACCGGAGCCGCCGAGCCCCATCCCTCCATCTCCTGAGCCACCTAGCCCCTCTCCGCCGCCACCGGGGCCGCCGAGCCCCATCCCTCCATCTCCTGAGCCACCTAGCCCCTCTCCGCCGCCACCGGGGCCGCCGAGCCCCATCCCTCCTCCTGAGCCACCTAGCCCCGCTCCGCCGCCACCGGAGCCGCCAAGCCCCATCCCTCCACCTCCTGAGCCTCCTAGTCCCTCTCCGCCGCCACCAGAGCCGCCGAGCCCCATCCCTCCATCTCCTGAGCCACCAAGCCCCTCTCCGCCACCACCGGAGCCGCCAGAGCCCCATCCCTCCATCTCCTGAGCCACCTAGCCCCTCTCCGCCGCCACCGGAGCCGCCGAGCCCCATCCCTCCATCTCCTGAGCCACCTAGCCCCTCTCCGCCGCCACCGGAGCCGCCGAGCCCGATCCCTCCATCTCCTGAGCCACCTAGCCCCTCTCCGCCGCCACCGGAGCCGCCGAGCCCCATCCCTCCATCTCCTGAGCCACCTAGCCCCTCTCCGCCGCCACCGGAGCCGCCGAGCCCCATCCCTCCATCTCCTGAGCCACCTAGCCCCTCTCCGCCGCCACCGGGGCCGCCGAGCCCCATCCCTCCATCTCCTGAGCCACCTAGCCCCTCTCCGCCGCCACCGGAGCCGCCGAGCCCCATCCCTCCATCTCCTGAGCCACCTAGCCCCTCTCCGCCGCCACCGGAGCCGCCAAGCCCCATCCCTCCATCTCCTGAGCCTCCTAGCCCCTCTCCGCCGCCACCAGAGCCGCCTGCGCCGATCGCGCCATCAACCGATCCACCAAGCCCCATGCCTCCATCACTTGAGGCAACAAGTCCGTCGCCAAGCTCCTGATGCCGCCTTCAAGCCCAACATCCACGCCCTCACCGCTGCCGCCACCTCCCACCGAAACATCAAGCCCCACCCCTCCCACCATACAGCCTGCCAGTCCAACGCAGTCCAGTTCCGATCCACCGAACCCGCCACCCTCAAGCGCTGGGCCTGTGCCGCCTCCGTTCAGCAGCGCGCCACCGGCGTCTAGCAGCTTACCACCAATGCCGCCGCCAGTCAACAACACAACGCCACCTCCCCGTAACTGGGACCGGCTTCTGGACACTTTCCTGGAGACCCCTCTGCAGCGTGTGGGCCGCCCGCTCGTAGTGCTGCTCCGCTCGCACGACTCCCTGGACCAGGCGAACACCCAGAACTGGACAGCTGCAATCTCCGGTCCCGGCAACTATATGTCAGTGCAGTCGCTGGGGCCCATGTCAGGGCCAACCCCTGTGGCTGCCGAGGTCCAATGGAACGTGACGGTACCGGGAGGCCAGCTGCAAGAGGTGAGTACTCGATCGCATGAGGGTGCAGCGCTGGAGACAAGCCATACACTGGAGGCTATGGGGGCTATCTTGCATGTTGCCTGATGACGGGTTTGTGCAGCACGGAAGCTAGGATCTGCAGCGAATTTAGGTCGATTAGTGGCTCTTCTTGACTGTGGGATGACATCTCTGATACGGCTCTGGTTTGGCTTTCACTCTCTCTTGTTACAACTACTGCTGCCGTGTCTGTCGGTGTACCGGTGCCTCCTGTTGAATATAGGCTGGCAACTATACGCTGTTCGTCTACTACAACGGCAACCTGTCCATGGCGCCAGCGGTCCAGGGAAATGGCAGCACTGTCAGCATATACCCTGGATTGCCCCACCCGTCGAACTGCAGCCTGCAGGTATGGATAGGGTTGCTTATTATCGGAAAAATGTGATAATGCGTACGGGCAATTACAGTCAATTAGCTATGCAACCAGAGTCCACTACTGCACGTTAAAATGCCAGTCACCGGATAAATCAACGACTGCGCTATGCGCCTATCGATTTTCTCACCCTTTTACTGCTGCTGTTACCGCTCCCAGGTCAAGCCGTTTACGAACACAACAGCTGTGGGCGATTACGTGGCTGTTGACCTGCGCCTCCATGATGCTTACGGCAATCCAGCTCTTGCCGCCCGAAACGTCTCTGTATCGCTGCTGGGCTCTGTTTCCAAGCACAAGATTGTGTCGGGTGCGAACTTCACCAGCCTGGAACCCGCCGGCAGCGGGCTGTTCCGCTATGTGCACGTCCTGGAAGCCAGGGAGCAGCTGACCGTGTGGCTCAACGTCTCGGGGACGGCCGTCGCCAACGTGACCCTCAATGTTTCCGCCATCTCCCCTGCAGCGGTTGCATTCAATGAATCGATGAGCTCGGCGGTGATGCAACTGTATGGTAGTACGACGGTGCAGCATCTGCCGCCACAGGCCGCACTGCGGCTGCCTGTGCTGGTGGTGCACCGGCTCGAGGTACCCGTTTTGCGATCCCCTTCCACCTGGTCTTCTACGAGCCCCAGTTTTGGTTCTGACCCGGGCCTGGTGGCGTCCCTGGAGTTGATGGCACAGAATGGAACACAGCTGATGTTTAGTGGCAGTTGGCACGGCGGCAACCACTCATATGTTATCTTCTTTCGTGTCCTAGCAGTTGGGCGGTATACGGGCACCGTCCGATTGCAGCACCCTACCAATCAAACTGCGCAGGTAGGTTGGGAAATCCGGACTTCACCAGCGCACGGGGCAGAAACGTGCATTATCGCAGCGTGCTGGACTACTTGGGGAAGAATGCACCGCAATGTAGTGTGATCAGGTTGCTTAGCAGAGGAGCTTAGTAGTGGGAAGGAAATCGTTCTAAGCTAAAACCTCAAGAGGACTGGAAACGTCCTGACAAGCCCTTCTCTGGCCATGGACTTCCCCCTCAGGCGTCCCTCACCCTGCCGCTCAACGCGACTCTTTCACCGGTCGCCAGCTTCAGCCTGGTCGTGGCTGCGGCAAACCAGTCGCGTGTGGGTGACTGGGTGTACATCACCCCCACTTTGTTGGGGACATTGGGTGAGCCAGCAGCAGCACCTACCGGCCTCACCCTCACTGCTCGTGGCACCTACAGCGGTGCCCAAAGCCTGAACCTCTCCATTGACGGGATCCGGTTCTCCCCTGTACGGTACACGTTTCAGATCCAGGAAACCGTCACATTCGTGCTGGCAGTTAATCAGGTGGCGGTTACAAATGCAACTGTTATCGTACAGGGGGTTGCACCCTCACAGCTGGACCTGCCACGGTCGCTCGCTGCAGCTTGTTTTCTTGATGTCGTCGGCGGCGCGGCGGCAGGTGCGTCAGGCAGCTGCTCCACCACCGCCTCATCTTCGGCTGCTGTGCGGGCCAACACGACGTTCATGGTGCAGCAAGGCCGGCAGGCGACTGTGGAAATGCCAGTATACACGGTGGATGGGCAGGTGTGGCAGTCGGACCCGGGTCTGAGTGTGGTGCTGACACTGGTGCCATCAGCGCTTGTTGAGTACATCGACAACGCATACCCGGGCAGCCTGAGCGAGGCACGGCGGCGAATGCTGATTCTAGCTGTGGAGCAGAACAGCGGGCATTCGGTTGAGGAGCTAAGTGCTTGGGGAGGCAGCCTCAGGGCCGGCCGGTCCCTGCTGCAGGAGTACGGCAGCAATTACGGCGGAGCGCAGCCTTACGATTACCCAGTGTATTACGGTATGTTGTGAGCAGTCAGTATGGAAGGGTTTGGGCGTGTCTACAGAACAAGCTACTGCAAGAAAGCGCTTTCTTGTTCTTACTCATGGTTGGCCTCGTTAGGTGTGTCTTCAACATGACGCTGGTGAGCCCGGCTTAATGAACTTGACATGCACGTTTGCAACGCCTGCAGGCGAGTACGCAAATATAAACGCCGCCGGTGCGGGCTACGACCCGGACTCGTACGATCTGGGTGAAGAGCCGCTCAGCCCTTGGCCAGCCTCTGGCAATTGGAGCTTGCCGGGTGCTGCATCGCTGAACATTGACTCCCCGGACGGCAACAGCACACTGCAGGAGCTGCTGGCCGAGGAACCCCAGGTCATTAGCATTCGAGGTGCGTTGGTGGTCAGAACGTGATGCTGGTCGGTGATGGGGACTGCAGGGAGTAGGAAGAACAGCATGGCTAGGGCTACACTCCCTTTGGTGTCCACACGCCGTTCAGTCGTAAATTTGGACGCTTGTGCATTTGGCCCCACCTTGGCCCACATGCTGGCTTGGCCCATGTACATTCCGCCTCACAGGCAGCTTCTCGACCTACAAGCAGTCCTACCAGGTACCGGTTCTGCTCAATGACTCGGACACGTACCGGGCTCTGCTCTCAGTACGAAGCCCCGCACTGAATGGCTCACTACGTCTCTCACGGTTCTGGGTTACGGCCATGGACGTCGCCAAACTCAACACTCTGGGTGAGCCGGCGGGCGAGAGCACGATAGCGGGACTTAGCTAGAGCTGCTCGGCTGGCATCAGGTGGTGGTTGGTGGTGATGGTGGTTGATGATGGTGGTTGGTGGTGGTGGTGGCTGGCATCATCTGGTGGTTTCGGACCGCTGTGTACAAATTGGCAGCCCGTAACCTTCCTTTCCAAATCCCTTTTTTAATATTCCGCCTTCATGCCTGTTTTCTTGCCATTTCGTAATGCATCTTTCCCTCGCCCTTCCCTTGCTACTCGCAGTCAGCAGCAACACTACGTCCTCAGCGTCATCCGCGTTGGACCCGGCGGTCAACCCTGTGGTATCGCTCAACCTGACGCTGTCAGCCGCTTCAATAACCTCGTACCCCGGAGGCCCCGAAACCATGCTGGCGGACTACCGGGCGCTGCTGGCATCGCGGGCCGGCCTGACATCCACCGACAACGTCACCGTCTCCATTACTGCCGGAACCATTGGCATTAACAGCGGTTCATCAGGCACCGTCATGCTGTCGTTCCAGGTGGGCTGACGGCCGGGCTGCATATTGGAAAAAAGGTTGGGATACGGCTTTGCAGAGCGACCCGTCGGCTGCACTAAGTTGCAGGCACGGGCAGGTTATTCCCCGGCCATATGACGGCCGGAGGACATCACCATTCTGCCCAGGAAAAGGCGACCGCTTGATGCTCTGGATAGTTTTGACAGTCTGGCCTTGTAGCATTCAAGATGGGATTTGCCAAATTACAGAACGTTCGCCGATGGTGATCCCTTGGCGGCCCCCCCTCTGTCATGAACAGGTCTACTTCGACGCGGATTGGGCTAATACAAGCAGCAGCTTCACATCCATGACCTCCCTGGAGTGGTTTTACTTCCGGATCATGAAGTTGCCGGAAACCGTACTGCAGGATACGGCAACTTACCCTGCTCTGAATGCGTCAACAGTGCAGGTAGGCGGTTTGGCAAACCCCGTCCCTGGCGTCCCTCCTTTCGATCGACAACAGCTCGTGTAGCTGTCCGCATTCCTCCAGAAAGCCTGCATTTTGCTACTTATATTACATACACGAGCTGATGGGACTTTAAACTTTGAGTTCATAATAAGTCTGCGCGAGTTGGTCTCCTTCGGGGACGCTATGCGGCACCGCATGTTCCATGTTATAGTGTGCAGTACCTGCTTGCAACCATGCGCCCGGATATGTCTCGCATCTTTGTGTTATTTGGATATTGCCCTTCTTCCTTTGTGGTAGGTGACTGCTGTTTCCCTGGACGAAGCGACTTCATCAGCTCTGGCTTCCAAGGCAACTGCCTCAGACGTCGCTGGCAGCACGGCCGAGACCTCCATTACAATACTGTCCGAAGACCTGGACAGCGATACTTCAGCCGCCACGACATCCTCCTCGACGTCCGTTGCGACCCTCCCAGCCTCCTCTGTTTCTTCTCCTCCTGTGATTACGTTGATTGGGGATCCCTACATGGAGGTTCAGGAGGCGGACACCTTCTCTGACCCTGGCGTGTACGTGTACGACTCCATCGATGGCTTTGCCGTGAATGCGCGAGTGACAGTGCGCATCTGTGCCCGGACACCAAACCTAGAGGCGATGATGTATGCTCTCGATGCGGCGGCGGCCGCAGCTAGCACTGTCGGTACGGCAGCAGGGAGCGGAATGTCCGTTGCGGCCGCAGCAAAGGCAGCGGCCCAGGCGGCACCGCCGTCGGTGTTCACTTGCGTTGGTGGCACAGCAGGCAGCAACTCCACCACTGGCCAGCTGACCATCTACCCCAACGGCGGCCTGACGCTCGACAACAGTTTTATAAACGCTGTGACCCAGATGTACCTACTTTCATACAGTGCCGTCAATTCCCGTGCTACCGCCGCCACCCCGCGTTACCGGGCTGTTGCTGTCAAACCGCGATGCAGAACCGCCGATGGGGAGTTTTGGTGCCCTTCGCTTTCCGCCTGCTCGATTCGGGGTGTCTGCAACAGCACCCTGGTAGCTTTGAGCACCGCGCTCCAGAGCGTCGCAGGTGGTTCAACCTCCTTATCCGCCGACACCGCTGTTAGCGCCGCATCTAATGCCATTCCTGGAGTTGACCCCTCCACATTGACCGTCACGTATACTCCTGCGGGCGATATGACCGTCGTCTCACCTGACGGCAGCCTCATCATCGTCGACCCGCTGTCGTATGCTCGTTCATCATTGGCAAGTCCTGATTCTGAATCCTTCGGTATCCTGGGTGCCATCATGTCTGGCGGCATTGGTGCTTCAACCGCATCTGCAGCGGCCTCACAGCAGCAGCCAGTGTACATCAAAGACACCCTCCCCCCGGTCATCACTCTCCTTGGTTCGGGTAAACTCGCACTGACCCCTAGCGGTGCAGCAGTTATGATTGACAGCGTGTTGGTGGGTTCGGAGTGGACAGACCCCGGCGCCACTGTGTGGGATGCGGTTGATGGCGACCTCACGGCCATGCTTCAAACGTTTGGCGCTGCTGCGGTGGACACGAGTCGGCCAACGAAACAGGGCTCCTTGTACTCCTACATGGTGGAATATCAGGTTCGTAGGGCTAGGCTCTTGGAGGCGGCAGTGAACACATTATGGGGTACCAGGGTTCCTACTAGTAGGGTCCCAGGATCCTACTAGTAGGGTTCCTACTAGTAGTGGACAGTACTGTCCACTTTGAGGTTCAGAGGTGCAGTGGTCTCCCTTCAGCGCACCAGAGGCGGATATGCATCCTTCGTTGCCCTCCATCATGTCGCTATGTATTACCTTGACTCATAGACAGGATTACCTATCGAAGAGGGTGTAGGATCCTTGCAAAGGATGGACTGCTAGTAATAGGATCCGCTCCTTCGCACACTAAGATGAAATCGCAATTTTATCGGTTAATGTTTTAGTGTTTTAGGGCTTTAGGGTTTTACCATTCCATGGCTCTGCTTGTTCTCTCCGCTTGCAGGCAACCGACCTGACTGGCAATGTGGCACAGCTGGCGCGTCGTCTAATTAAGGTAGTCTGCCCCAGTAATGAGAGCTACTGCACCGACAAGGATGATCTGCCATCCTGCACAAGTCAAGGCATCTGCGGCGACACCCTGGCCACCGTCTCCAGTGGTGCCACTTCTGGCTCGTACAGCACTGGGTTACCCCAAATCACAATTGTGGGGCCTTCCACTATCCGGGTCCAGCAGGGCACCAAGTACGACAGGTGTACAAGTTTAATACCGCAGAACCAGCCGTGCGACCCAGGTGCAGTGGCCCTTGACGCTCGGGATGGGAGCCTGGACCTGAGGGTGCAGGTCTGCGGCATTCCACTACGTGCGGCAAGGGCAGGTCAGACACTGCTGCCACTGCTGATTGCATGCAACGTGTCTGTTTCCAGACCTGGCAACTACACAATCACGTACTCGGTGGCCAACAGCGCGGGACGCTCTGCTAGTGTGTCACGTGTCCTCATCGTGCAGCCTGTCTGCCCTTCTGGGAAGATACTCTGCTCGGATGGCATATCCTGCTCCGAGGACGGCGGTGTCTGCAGATCTAATGTGGAGAACGCCAGCGTCACAATCTCTTCAACAGCTGCTTCTCAAACCGCTGCAGGAATGAGTGTTGCTTTGAAGCCGCGGTTAACTCTAATCACAGCCACTGCAGCCCCAGCACGAGTGCTGTTGCCACGCGGCAGCACTTATGGCCCATGCACTATTGGTGCTGATCTCGCAGCCGCCTCGACCCCATTCTGTGAGCCAGGCGCTACGGCCGTCGACTCCGCTGGCACAGTCAACTTAACGGATCGTGTAGTGGTGTGCCCGCCATCGTCCTGCCTATACGGTGGCGGCTGTTCCGCAGATCTGCTGCGAAGGCATACCCTGGCTTCCAAGGGTCTAGCGGGTTGCGGGATTAACACACTCGCACCACCAGGTGCAGTTTTCCACATAAACTTTTGGGTATGGGATTACGCCCGTCCGCCGAACAACGCCACCGTCCGCCGCACCATCGTCATTGTGGATCCATGTGCAAATAAGTCCGCACCTTACTTCTGCTCTGATGGGTCCGGCGGCTACCTATGCTCCCCATTGCCCTGCACTGCCAGTGCATCCCTCCTGCCACCCAAGGTTCCTGGTCCCAATATTACACTGCTGCCACCTGCTGACGTGGCCTACGTGGAGTACGGAAGCGTGTCACCTGTGTACCTGGGGCCCTGCACCTCCATGTTTGATACACGCAGCTGTGGCGCTGTTGCGACTGGTGTGCTGCTCCCCACATCCCCCGCTGCCAACACTACGACTGTAGACCTGACAGCCCAGCTCAGCGTTATCAATACGACGCCGTGCAATACGACATCTGGAGGCAGCACCACTTGCCAGTCTTGCAGCTTGGAGGCACTCGCTATGGGCAGCAGCAACTGCTTGCCTGGAGTGTACACATTCCAGTACTCGGTGACTGATGACCAGGGCGTTACTGCGACTGCAAACCGGACCGTTGTTGTTTACCAGCAAGCGATCATCAGCGTTAACCTGACATGGTTGGCTGACAAGCTGACCGATGCTGAAGCTGCCGCACAGCTCAGTATTAATCTTCTGAACAGCAGCCATCCCGACCATGCATCTGCAGTACAGGACCTTGCGACTCGTATGGCCAAGTACGGTGTGCAGGCATCTGATGTAGAGATCTTGTCAGCGACAGTATCGCCCACTTCCCCACCTCCTACCAACAGCTCGCCAGCGAGTATGCTGGTCGATGTAGCCATACACATCTACAACCCGCGCCGTGTGCACCGTTCTGCGACGGGCCTGACATTGTCAACCCCCACCAGCAGTTCTGCCTGGCGCAGGCGCCAGCTCCATAATGACGACGAGAACTCGACACCGTCGTCGTATTTAATCTTACATGGTTCCAGTAGCAATCAACGTTATCACTGGGACGTGGGGAAAACGAATGGTATGGTAAAGCAGCCACTCGAGGAGGTGTGGGAAGTTCTCCTTGCGGCACGTATGCAGGATCTGCAACACCGGCACCAGCGGTTGCTGCTGCAACTGCAGCAGCCTGATGCCATGGACCGCGCCTGTCGGCATGTGGAGACCGCAGGATTCCGTCAGGGTGACTTCTCCCAGCCTGCCTCAGCTCTTAAGAACGACATGGCCATGAACCTGGACCAGAGGCGCCATGGCCTCCGCAGCCTGCTCCAGGCCGCTAGCAATACCAGTGCCAACAGCACATCGGCCCTGGCCTCTCTGGCTACATCTGCGGCGTCCTCCCTCAATGCCACCTCTGTTATTATCACGGTCCCATCTGCACCGGACCTGACTGCCGGCTACCTTGAGTCACTGGTGGGCCTTGTCCAGGCCCTGCTGCAGACATCAGATGCCGCTTACACGAAGGCCAGTACGCTCAATTCTACCCTTCCTTCAATCCTGGGTGACACAGCGGCGACCGCAGATGAAGAGCGTGGCACAGCCATTAAGACAGCAGTGGGCGCTCTTGCGGTGGAGGCAGCCGATGCACAGAACCGCACGCTGGTGGTTTCAGCGCAGGTGGAGGCGGGGTTCGACGCCCAGTTGGCAGCCGAGCAGCAGCTGCTGGAGCAGAGCAGTGAATTGGACTTGGAGCTCCGTGAGCTGTCTGCGCTGACACGTGCCCAAACGGACCGCGCACTGTACATGGCGATGGTCGCGGCGGAAGCGGCCAAGGACGCAGCTGAGATAGTAATGGACCAAGACTGCTACCGGCTGCAGTTAACAGGTTTCCAGGCGGCCTTCACGCTGTCCCGGTTTTCCTTACCGTCATCGGCGGGGTCTCCTAACGCAGGCAGCAACGCGACTGGCAGCAGCTCCATGGCTACGGGTACCCGCAGGCGGCTGTACCGCGGCACTGAAGATGAGAGCAGCAGCAGCAGTGGCAGCGTGGTGCCATGGCTGGGTTACTATTTGTTGACCCAAGGAACATCCGCTCTGGACACTCTATTGGCCGAAAGCGAGCTGGATGTTGGAGCTGACCTGCGGGTTGCTGTTGCGCGGCGCTATGCCGGCACACGAGCTGAGAACCGGGTAGTGGGCGGCCTGCTGTTGCATACGACACGCCGAACTTTGCGGTCGCCAGCAGAAGCCGTGGGGCGGAATGTATCGTCAGAGACAGACTCATGCAGCGGTGTGTTCTCGGGCTTGGACGCCAGCTGCCACTGGTTTGACGTCGCGTTCCTTCGGGACGTCGCCTCGGGGTCCAGCTACCTGCAACGCTTGTACGCCGGGACAAACAACAGCGTGGCACCTTATGGGGTTGACCCTGTTTTCCTTAGGTAGGTGAGGTATGGGGCCGATGAGGCTTGCCTTTGGCATTGCCTGAAGTTACGGGAAGGTCGCGGTTTGCTCTATCTCCTTTCGGCAATAGGTCGTCGCCTGACAGTCGATGCATGCACCTGCATACGTTTATTCATCGTCCCTAGCCCTCCTCCCTGTGTCGCGTTCCCCTGCATGTCACTAAGCCTTTTCCTGTGCATATCATCGAAATGCCGTGTTGACCTGCTGCCGCGGCAGGTCCTCCCCACTTTACCGAGAGGACCTCACCTCGCAGCTCAGCTGGTACTACAACACGTCGGACCCGGCGCAAGTGAGTGTCACGGGCACACCCTACGGGTTCACTTCCCGGGCCCTATCCGGCCGCTCACCCGGCTTCCCCGTGCTGCTGGAAAGCGGACTGTCCGCCAGTCGTGCGGCCCAGATGATGCGCTATCTGGCGGATGGAAATTACTTGGACCATCGCCAAACCGTGGAGATGACGGCCGAGCTGCTGGTAAGCTTCAGGCAGGGAAACCATTTACTTGGGGGCCGACACTGTAAGGAAGGATGTTTCAAGGAGTTTTTTTCGGGCAAGGGCCTCGCATTGGAGAGATAATCGTTTATCGTTTGCACTTGAATGGCTGTCTGCGAAATATTATAGGTTGATGTTGTTATTATTTTGTAAAGCCAATCGCTAATGCCGTTTCCTTGCCTGTTAACCTTTCTCGGCTCATTGTATCTGCACAGGTCTACAACCCTGGCCTCCACGCCTTCGCCTACTTCCGTGGTGACTTCCAGTGGTCGGAGGCGGGGGCCATCATAGGCCACCTCTCCACTGTGGGCTTCCCTGCCATGGCCTACCTCGAGGAAGGCGAGGCGCTGACGAGGAAGGCTTTGCCTCGCATTTTTGCAAGGGAGTTACTGCCGCTGTGGGTGCTGACAGTCTTCTTTTCGGTGGTCACCATTGTCTCGACTGTCTCGGCGACTATAAGGGCTGCACGCTTCGCAGCTGCGGCTGCCGCGGCAGCCGCTCGTGAACGCGCTCTCACAAATGCTCTCAAGGCCTTTGAGGGGCCTCTGCAGCGCACCTCGGGAGGTGGAGGCTTCGAGAAGGGCGCCAGCATCGCCATCATTGCCGCCAGCGGCATTGCTGAATCTACTGAGGGCACTGCCGGGGAATTGCCGGCCTCGCGACCGGGCGGCTTTGCCGCATTGGTCGCCGGAACAACAGGTACCGTCCCATGGGCGCAGACGGGATCCAGCGGTGGCCAGGCGGCGTCAACTGCTATCGGCGGCAGGGGTGGCGCCGGAATTGCCAGCGCTTTCGGTGGCCGTGGCGGGGTTGCTGGGTTGGTCGGTGCCTTTGGGAGTGGCGGCGGAGGAGCAGCTGCCTCGCACATTCGGATCCTGCGGGATGAGGTGGCGGCGCGCCGTGAAGAACGGCTAGAGCTTCTGGGTGCCTCCAACTTCTCGGCCCGCCGCGTCTGGTTTAGGGAGTTTGTACGGCGTGATGGTGGGCTGCTTTACGACATTCCCTTGGCACTGCTGCTGATTGCTGTGGCAGCGTACTGGACAGTCTATGTGGAGCGTCACCTGGTTCTGTACAACGCTCGATCTTATTACCGTGTGTACGATGCATCGGCGTCGACATCGGCTCGGTGGCTTCTTGCAGCTCGGCAAGACCCTGGCTCGGTTTCTAACTCTGCATCTGTCTACGCTGAGGCTGCCAGTATGGGCATCGACCTGCCTACAGGCGCTGGCGACCCAGGCCGGTGGTTGCTGCCTACGGAAGACTCGGACTGGGACGCACTGAACGACGTGCTGCGTAACGCTCATACCCTGGTGGACATGTGGACCACATACGGCATGCTGCAAGCGGTAGTCATTGTTGGCTTGGTTGCAAAGTAAGCAGTGCGGGGCTAAGCACGTTGGCCAGATAGTCCCTTGGGAAATTTGGATAACTAGTGGCTCGTCTTTTCGTTTCCATGTATAGCTTGTGTGTGTGCACGATCAGTGATAGTGTTTTGAGAACTGGACGTACATGACATCAGCCCGCAAGGATGGCCCGTAAGGACAGCGTCCTGATGCGAATTCATTACTACGGAGCCTTTCAGATGTTCACATTCAGCGCATGGTGGCTGGTGGACTATAACGGCAAAGTTCATACAACCATCACCCCCACGGTGCCTGTCCCTGCGTTCGCAGGCTAATCACGGTGATGTCCTTCCAGGCGCGCCTGGGCATCATCTGCCGCACCCTCATGACCATGTTCACCCCCGTGCTCCACCTGGTCATTATCATCGTGGTGGTAGCCGTCATGTTGGCAGCAGCCGCTAATACCGTTATGGGCGACCGCATGGCGGCGTTGTCCAGCCTGGGGGGCGCCATCAGCGATACCATGTCTACCATTTTAGGCCCAGCTAGCATGGACAGCGTCGACCTGCTGTCCAGGGGCCTGGTCATGCCGGGCGTGCTGCACTTTGCTGTCGCTGCCGTGCTCGTCACCAAAGTCTTGCTGATGCTGTTCATGATGTTCAACTTCTTCGTCGCCGCCATGGGGCATATCTTCATGAAGCAGAAGCACAGCATCGACTGGGCACGCGCTGCGTCAGTGCCGCAAGACCTGATACAGGTTGTAGTCCCTGATTTGATGCGTCGGATCATGGGTGCGATACCCGGTTCCGAGTCGCGGCGCTGGCGGCGCCGCGGCGAGGGCGCTACTGCTGCCATCACAGCCTCCAAGGACGGAAGAACATCCGGCGGCGGCGATGGAGATGCCGAGGCCGCTGCCGTCGCCGTGACTGGCTGCACGCGGCTGTACCGCACCGTGGATACACCCACCAACACGCAGGTGCTGCATGCGCTGGCGTCGGGAGGTATACATGAGCTGATGTGTGCCGCGGAGCTGCCCAAGACTTGGAACGGCCGAGTACGTGCTGCAAAGGTATCCGGCGGACGGCTGCTAATCGACAAGGCCACCATGCGCCAGCTCATCGGCCTCGTCGCGTCCAGCCCGTCCGCTGCAGCGGCCAGGCTTCCATTGAACGATGATGACGAATCTGAAGGAGATGCTAAGCGTCGCGCCGCTGAGCGAACCGTGGCGCAAAGGGAGCTTGCTATGTCGGTGGCGCGGCGTGTGATGGAACGCGTCGGCCGGACTTACGGCTCAAAGGCGCCTGAGTACCTGATTCTGGAGAAGGCGGCAGAGGCGGAGGCAGGGGCGCGTCGGCGGTCCAAGGCAGCGCCGACGGTCGTCGGTACGGGACTCTTTAGGGCGCAGGCGCCGGTTTCGCAGCAGGAGGAAGGTAGTGATGAACAATTGTCCTCCGAGTCGGCGTCTCGGCCACGGCGCAGGCTGAGCAGCGAGATCCAGATCCACTTGTCCATCTACGACGCGCTCAGAGCTGCGATGGAGTCCATTGTGCGGTGGCAGAGCGGCGTGCATCGCTGGCAGGTGAGCTGATCTTCGGCAAGCTGCATGTGCTCTGGAGGACAACGTAATTCAAGATGAAACACACACATATATGCGGTACCGCGACCGTGCATTTGGGCCAGTGTCACCCCAATCCGTGGTGCAGGGGTGAAACTGCTTTCATCCCACAAGCTCTTGGCGCTGGTTGCACGAAACACATTTATTGCACTAGTCCTTTTCATGCTCCCCTCGTCCATGGCCTCAACACCCATGCCTCAACTTTTGCTCTTCCGCGATGGCTGAACACACTGTGCTCCACAGCCTTGTCATAAGTTAGTTACAAGTCCCGCACGAATGCGGGTGTCTCCGCCCAAGCCCGGGGGCCATGGACTAAACATATTGAAAATTAGTTCCACCGCACGAACTGAAACTCGAAGGCGGTTTGGGGTCCTGCTATCTAGATCCCTCCTCATCCAGTCACCCGACATCCGCAGAGACATATCGGCAATCACCACCAATCCAGCTTGCGAAACTTACTCCATCAACTAGACCTCATCTCCGCACCTCAGTAGCTAGCCGTAAGCTCATCCTCACGATCATTGTCGGCGTCCACCATTGACCATCGCACCATCACCGAGCCCTTCCCCGCGCCTGGTTAACGCGACAGGTTCGCACCTGGAAGCAAATGGCCTCCGCTTATCTCTTTAACCAGCAGCTGCTGGCCGGTCTAGGTGTGGCACCTGGTCCTGCCTTCGTGGAGCGGCCCCCCGATCTGCAAGACGACGACTTGCCGCATGTGGCACGCGTGTCGCTGCAGCGGCAGCTAAGCCCAGCACAATCCATGCAAGTCCCGCCTTTGCCGCTTCAGGGCTCGATGAGGAGCTGGATGGGCGATGATGCCAACGGCATTCTGTCGCCCTCGCAGCTGTCTGTAGCGGATATTTCGCGGCGCTGCAGCCGGACCAGCGACAGTCCTATGCAGCTTGGCACAAGGCGCAGGACCTCGCGTTCACCGGCTAGTGTCTGGCCGGGCCTGACACCCAAGCCGATGACACCACCCTCGCCGCGTGTACAGAGTCCAAGTCAGCGACAGTCGGCGTTGCTGGAGGCGCCGACCGGCGCCCAGGGCTTTGAGGAGCCGGCTGTTGAGGTGGCTGCTCTAACTGGGTCTCGACCATCTTTCCCGCCGTCATCAACAGAGGCGCCATGTCTCGCTGCAGCTGCACCAAGCCCCGGGTCTGCTTCGTCATCTGTGCACAACCTCAGCGCCGCCGAGGTCCCGGCTGTGTCGTCCCGCAGTTATAGCATCGGAGGCGTTCCAAACACGGCGACGGCAGTGCCAACACCCTTCAGGGCGTCGTGGAGTCCCGGAACCGTCACTGGCGATGGCGCTGCCGCCGCCACCGTTATTGGCGCCGGAACGGGCGGCAGCCTACCGTCCTTGCCGTCGGGCCGGTTCCTTGCGTTACGGGCGCCTTCCCGCTGGATGCATGCTCCAACAGCGGCAGACGGCGCAGTCAACGCGGGCTTGAGTCGCGGCCAGAGCTACAGCTATGGCTTCGCTATGGTACCGGAGGAGGAACCTAGTAGCCCCGAGCTCGACGAGGACAGCGGCAACCTTGAAAGTCTGCGTGCAGCTTCCGACGTGGTGGCGCGAGCGGCAATACAACCCAAGGGCCTGCCCTCGGCGCGGGATCGCACCCGCTGGGGTGGCGTCGCGCCTATGATGGACGAAATGCGTGAACGGCTGATGGCGCTCATGAACCGGCGTAACAGCCGCACAGCGACGTCGGCCGGCGCCGGCAGCGGTGGCCGCCGCAGGCGTAACTACTCGGGGTCGGGGTCGGGACCTAGCTCACCCATTTCGCCCGTGTCGGCTGCCCACAGCAGCAGCGGCGCTATTGGGCCGAGCGAGCAGCGGCAGTCTGGGTCTGGCGGTATGCAGGACGACCCCAACCTGGTATATGATATTGCCCCCTCGAGAAACAGGCCTGGGATGAGGGATGAGGAAAGTGCTGTAGACAGTGACTTGGTGCAGGAGCGGGGAGGCCGCCGGCCGAGCGCATGACGTTCCGCTTAGCATGGATAGATTTTGACGGGGCATGCCTAAGGACGCGTTTTATGCCGGAAATGACAGGTAGGGCAAGCTGCGGGTACATAGGGGCGTTGCAACGTTGATGTGTGCAGGCTAGGTAAAGGAGACCGGGTTAACCATGTGCCTTGTACTTGTCGTTTGGTATGTGCTAAGGACACGTTACCCCTGATGCTGCAGGGAATTTTTAAAATTTTAGGCGTAGGTGAGGGTCCGGCCAGGGGGTTAAGGCTTCTCCGTCTATGTTGTTGTTATGAACGTCTATACTGTTCGAGAATTACGCAGAGAGGCCCTATTAGAAGCTGCGCGGATCTGCATGCAAATAAGGACTTGGGGGCTGGCAGGTTATTGGATTATGTAGCACCCGGAAGTACTGGCGGTGAGTATGCGTATGCACTTGTTTTATCCGTGATGTGCAATTTTTTTTCGCTTCTTTGTTACGGTTACAGACTGTATGCTGGCAAATTATGGTACAAATTATTCCTTTACCCTTATTAATATCTCCTATGCTCTTTTGATTGGCATTTATGACTGTCGTACAGTGACGTGTATGACCGTGTACGCGGCGGCCAGGTCACGATGGTCACGCTGCACTGCAATACGTTGGTTGTGCCTCTTCGACGTGCTTAATACGGGCGGCCGGTTCTTGACATGATAGTTTGATCCCGTAGAAGGAAATTCATCCATATGCCCTTTTTGTTGTCTTTCTCCCAGATGGATTAAGGCACAAGTTCAGTGCTGTATGTAGTTGGACTGTAGGTTCCGGGCTGTACATAGTTGGTTACGTTGTGTATTATGCAAGCAGCTGTTGTGGAGACATGACCACACCTTTTCGTGGTTTGGCTTTTGTGACCTGGTCAATCAAAGCTGCCGTGCTCTGTTGATTTACATGTTATTAAGCGGTCGTTAGAGACTTCGCAAGGGAGACATCCTGGGGCTTTAGGGAGGGCGGCAGTTGCAGTATCCCGCATGCCGGCAAATTCCCCAGACGTAGCCTTAATGGAATCCTCCTCTAGTGAGTCCTATAAACCCGACTGCCTGTTAAGGGAGATTCAACGCGGTTACCAACGCAATAGTTGCTGCTGTGATGAGCGTGTGGCGTCCGAAAGCTTGTCATCATAGCATCCTAAACGTTTACCCAACTGCCCCATAGAGCACCTCTTACAGATCGGCAGCAGATGCAATCCATTAGGGTACCATGCTATCATGAAGTCACGGAAAACAGTAAGGGCCAAAACCTACGTCAAAAAAGAGGAAGTAAACAAGCAAGCTGCGTATTATGAATGGCGACCATTCGATGCAGACATGCACAATCTCCTGCCATACGCTCCAGTCCCCGGGACCCTCACTGCCTGCCCCTGTTTCACCTTCGTGGTTACGTATATGCATTCTTAACATACATGCCATGATGGCTACAGCTACTGGTTCCTACACGTTTGGAGGGGCTTGCTTGCGGTGAGTGGGAGCCATAGACGTATGCCTAATGGCGAACATAGCCGACCGCCATACTTACATATGGACAAAGCACTTAAAACGTACTACAGATGCGCAGAGTTTCCATGATAGTGCCACCGGCATGGCACAGAGAACGCCCCGCTAGCGCACGCACAGTCCGGGCCATTGCACTCTCTGTAACAGACGCAATTTCCATACCCGTGGCTGCCGGGCCACACGCCGTGGGTCTGCGACTCGTGGCTGCCACAACCGTACGAATGTGTCTGGGCAGCGCCACCAGCGAAGCTGCTCCAAAACCTGGAGTGCTCGCCATACGCATTCACACTACTTGTCGCAGCTATGAGAGGCCAAGGAAGTAGCGGCGGTAGCGGTGGTGGAGGTGGCGGCGGAGGCCGGCTCCATCGATGACTTTCCGGCCGCCGCTGATGTTGATGCTGGGAATGCTGCTGATGAGGCAACGCTCCGGCGTGTTTTGCTGAACCATCAAACGCAGGCTTCATGAAACCATGTGCAGGGGCCGCTGCTGTCTGCACCTGCGGGACTGCGGCTGAAGCTGCAAGCGGCGCTTGCTTCGCTGTCTGCTGCCGCACTGCGCTGGAGGACTGCATCTTGTGCATTGATGCCACCGCGTGCTGCTTCGTGTTGTATTGTTCATGGTGCCCATTCCTAGCGATTCCAGGCCGGGGAGGTAGGGTCCCGCGGCGTGGATCCCCGCCCGGCACGGCGGAATCACAACGCGAACTGGAAGCAGCCCGCCCTGAAGCATGTAAGGTGGCCTTACATAAACCGGATGCAGTCGCCAGGCCAGTAGCGGCTTGTCCTGAACCTGACACGGCTGCCTCACATGCGGCCGCTTCTGAACAAGGTAAATGAGCACCCAAACGTGCAGGCCATTCAGCGGCGGATGCGCACGGGGCGCCGTCGCTTGCCACGTCGTCAGCCTCAGATTTGGCTTCAAGCGTGCCGTTACAAGGGCTGGGTTGCAGGCCCGAATCCTCAATCGTACAGGGCTGCTGTCGGGAAGCCTCAAGAATGGGCCCTGACCTAGGGGTCGCAATCTTGCCGTTGCCTACAGGTGCGGCATGTGCCGTTGGCAGCCTGCGAAAAAGTTAACATACAGTGACTCCCAAAACCTGATGGGCGGCGATAGTGGTCCTACGAGCCTCTTACGCTTTGGTGGCCGCTCCGTGATATTGCTTGTATTTTTGAATTGTCAGTAGGTAGGATCTGCAATCGCTCACGAAAGTGGAATTAGACGCCTTCGCTTTCGAGCTGAATCCGAAAATGCTTTACTGTTCTGGGAATAGCCTCTCACTTTACCAAGAAGTCATTTGCCAAGTCCTCCAATTGGCCGAACATATTGCTTCAGCCCTGATGGTATCGACTTGGGCACCAGCAGGCAAAGATAATCTCAAGGCAAACCCTTAACTAATAGAATGCCAGGATATACTCTATAATACTATGCTAACAACATCAACAACGGCTGACACGCGTGCACAACCTCTGCGATCTAGTCAGGTCCTGAGGATTACAGGAACCTCGTTGACATAAGACCAAATTTAAGACGCGTATCACTGCATCACGTATCGCTAGGAATCATAACATGAATATCCCCCATGCATAGTAAGTAGGACGGCTATACAGCACGGCACGGTTGTCCGTTGGCATGGGTTTTACTTCACCAACGCTTGGTCAGGGACATTAGCAGCTCCAAAAACTCCAGGGGGTTTCCCCTCTTGTCCCTTCGTGTTTTAACAGACGGGGTTTCCTCCTGTTAGGCAATGCGGAACGGCACCCACTCAACAGGTCTCGTAGAAGAACAGCAGAGCGGCTGTAGCTGCAACTTCGGTGCCTGTAAGCTGCAAAACGGAGAACGAAGAACAGAGAAGAGCAGGAGAAGAACCTATAGCTGCAAAACGAAGAAGAAACACTGTATCATTTGCTACGGGCTCGGAAAGGAGGCTGAAAAGTGGCGTGAGGCGGTGAACGGGGTGCTGAAACGACGTCATGACCTACACGCAAACCCACCTGCTTAGTGAGGGCGGCGAGCGCGGAGCGCCAGCCTACCAAGAGCACCCCATTAACCGCCAGTCCCACCACGATGAAGGGCACCGGGGGCACGTAGCCGCGGAAGAGGCCCCGCAGCACCACACCCGCGGGTATACCCACCGCCCAGCACTTGATGGCTGTCAGGGCGGCGGTTCGGACGCCCTTCTTCCGCGCGTCAGCACCGAAGCCTCCAAGGAAAGGCGCCGTCACAAACCAGCCTAAAGAGCACAAACAAACAATTGGTTGGTTAACTACGCAAACCTGGCCGAATTGTGTTCAGCGGCATTGGACTGGTGCAGGCACAGAGGGGGTGGCTCCACAATGCACTGGTTGTGTAACGCCAGGCAACATCATAAACCCCCACAGGGATACAACAAGCCTGTACCGGTTTCCGCACGGGCAGCATGCTTTACGCTAATCCCCGTCACATCTACATCCTAGGGCCCCTGACGCCACCACGAGCAACAACCTAGTACAAGCGAACATGCCGCCGACGGCAACCCGTTGGATTGTTGAGGGATTGTTCAGGCCACTGACCCAGAATGAAGGGAAGCGCGGTCGAGAAAGTCTCCCCGCTGATTGGTTCACCGTGATTTGCACGGCCAGCCGCTGCGAAAACCAGCAGGGCCGCCAAGTCACCAGCGGCCAGGATGGCAGCGCTCCTGCGAAAGAGTTCGCAACAATTGAATTTCCGTATAAAAAAAAGGCCCGAGACTGAAATAGCGCGCATGCGGGTATGCCTTGAAGCTTTGGTGGTGTACGTAACGGGCCTTCTGCTGTCAGCGGTGCTCTGGGCGGATGCTCCTGTTGGATTGTAGACTTGATCAATATGCCATATGCGTACGGTAGGACCTTTCCGTGCTGTTTGGCGCAATGGTCCCATAGCGTCACTAGTGTACAGGGTGGACGAGGGCTTACAGCCAGTCAGACTCCTGCTTATCACCGCGGTCCACACGTGCAACGCCGGCCCAAGCATCATCGCCCGTCTTCTCGACGGGAACAACCTGCAGGGGAATTGATGGGAAACAGAATTAGCCTGAGCGCTTGAATGTTATGCTCTGCCGAGGTTTCGGGTGCCGGGGCCATCGTACCGATGACCCGTACCCTAAAAGGACACGAACAGCATTTCCCAACGCGCACATCCGGGCTTGGGGCAGGACTTTACCTCAAGAGGCTGTCCGTCTGGTCCTAACATGACACCAGGCCTTGGAGGTATACCAGGAACCGGCCGCGGCGGAGGCATGGGCCGACCGGTGACCGGTCGGGGTCCCGGAGCTGGCCGTGAGGGCTGCGGAGGTGCGCTTGCGGGACCACCTTCACTAGCTTGTAATCGAGCGCTTCGGCGACTGGAGTTGGCAAAAGGTAGAGCACGCCGCTGTGCGCAGAGAGTTTTGGTAATCATACTTGTGGTGTCTTACTGATGCCAATCTATGATACATCAATTAACACCTTGTATCTCCTGTAAATCTCTTAAAAGTTGTGAAGCAGGTTTTCAGTGCTCGGTTCACTAGCTTGTCAATACCGTGTCCCGTACGCAGGGCCAAAATCAATGACGCTCCAGCCGTTGGTATAGCCACAAATGGTGTAAAGTCTACAGGTATACCCAAATTGTTATACACGTGCAAAATTGCACCCTCGTAGCACTTACGATAATTGAGCTTTGAGGTAACTGACCGATAGGGCCTGTACTGTGTCGTGTCAGAGCATAAGGGTCCTACTTAAAAGTACAAGTGGTCAAGAGACCTTCATGGGGATTTAACCCTGCGCCTGACCCAGCCCAAAGCTTCTGGGCTGGGGAAGGCTCGGTGCAATTTTCGCATAATTCATAGGCTTTAGCACTCTGAATTAAAGGGGTTTTGAAAAATGGTGCTCGCGGAGCTAGGAACCCGCATATCCAAGGCCATCTCGTCGATGGGCCAGGCGATGATCATCGACGAGAAGGTCTTGGATACAGTACTCAAGGAGATCTGCACAGCCTTGCTTCAAGCGGACGTTAACGTTAAGCAGGTTGCAAACCTACGCAACGGAGTTAAGAAACGGGTGAACATAGCTGAGCTGGCGGCCGGTCTTAACAAGCAGCGTGTTATTGAGAAGGCGGTTTTTGATGAGCTCTGCGATATGCTGGACAGCGGGGTTGACCCGAAGAAGTTGGAGCTGAAGAAGGAGAAGGGCAAGCAGCACACGGTTATGTTTGTGGGTCTGCAAGGCAGCGGTAAGACCACCACCTGCACGAAGTACGCGTATTTCTACAAGAAAAAAGGCTGGAAGCCTGCGCTGGTATGCGCGGATACGTACCGTGCCGGTGCGTTCGACCAGCTAAAGCAGAACGCCACGAAGGCGCAGATCCCCTTCTACGGCAGCTACAAGGAGACGGACCCGGCGGCGATCGCGCAACAGGGTGTGCTGCGTTTTAAGGAGGATGGCCGGGACCTGATCATCGTCGACACTAGCGGCAGGCACAAGCAGGAAGCTGCCCTGTTTGAGGAAATGAAGCAGGTAGCGGCGGCGGTCTCGCCGGATCTCATTATTTTCGTGATGGACGGCAGCATTGGGCAGGCGGCGTTCGACCAGGCGAAAGCCTTCAAGGAAGCCGTCGAAGTTGGGGCCGTCATCATTACCAAGCTTGACGGTCACGCCAAGGGTGGTGGTGCGCTAAGCGCTGTGGCGGCAACCAAGTCTCCAATCATTTTCCTTGGCACGGGTGTGTTCCTGACGGGCTGCTGGGGCCGGGGTTTGGTTGCCTGAGGTGCGACTTGGGTTCTCCATGTATATCAGGGGTGAAATGGGATGACAAACGGCCTCTTATAGAGGGCCGTCCCCTATCCTTAGCAAGCGCGTGGTGCGAACACCGCCTTCCCAAACCGATTCTGTGTTTTGTGCCTGGCCTTCGCCACAATAGGCGAACATATGGATCAGTTCGAGTCGTTCGAGACCAAGCGTTTCGTGCAGCGGTTGCTCGGCAAGGGTGATGTTAGCGGGTTAATGGACAAGATCCAGGACGTCATTCCTGAGGATAAGCAGCCGGAGCTGCTGGACACGATCTCCAAAGGAAACGTCACGATGAGTGTATTGAAGGACATGTTCGAGAGCGTGCTGGAGCTAGGCCCCATGAGCCAGGTGGGGACTTGGGCGGTTCTGGCTTGGATGCAGATGTGGATGTGCTAGGGCCAAGGATTAAGGGAAGGTACGGAACTACATGAAGGCGGATGTGGAGCGGATAGAACATACCTCCGTGGGCGTTGCTCCTGGGGTGATGGTTCCGTCGGTTGACGGAACTGGGTCATCTCCCATGGCTCATATGTAAGCGCTGTGTTACTATTCGGGCACTTACAGGGTGACGTCGTAAGTAGATGGGCGGTCCCAGGATAGTGGATGGATGGCTATCTCCAATATCTCCACGTCAATTGCTAATATGGTTATATGCATGCGGCACGCGTTACAGGCGCCATGCCCACCCAAGGCGGTCAGGAACATTTTGATTCCTACCTGCAAGGAATCAGGCTTATATGCCTGAACATGCAGGTTGGAACGGGGTTGTGCACACTGTGCCAAAGACCGACGCCTGCGCGTCTGTCAAGACATCTATCAAGGCTATCCTGTCAAGCTGTTAACGTCCTTACCCCGTCCCTCTGCAGATGATGTCGATGCTGCCAGGCTTTAACAGTGACCTGCTGCCTAAGGGTAACGACAAACAGAGCCAGATGATGATCCGCCGCTATATCACAATTATCGAGTCCATGACGGACAAGGAGATGAACACAACCAATATTAAGATCCTCCAGGAGCCATCGCGGGTTAACCGCCTCGCACGCGGGTCGGGGTCGACGCCGCAGCAGGTACTCGCGCTGTTGGAGTCGTACAAGCACTACTCCAAATACGCCACGCAGGTGTGTATGGTTGTGGACAGTCTTCATAATTCATGGATAGCATGGGCACGACGCCCATGTCACGCCCGAATTTCGCGCATGCTGTGTTGGCACCTTGGACAACTGAATCCGTTGGGGGGGTTGTTGCACGAAGTGATGTTCCGTTACAGATGGAACAAAGTCGGATGAACCTCTCCTTGCCGATGATCCGTGTGTCTGGTGCAGGCCCTCAAGGCGGCGAATCTCCCGAAGAACCTGAAGTCCATGAAGGGCGACGTTCAAATGAATCCGCGTCAGATGCAGCAAGCTCTGGGCAAGATGAGCCGTGCCTTGCCGCCGCAATTGCTTCAGCAGCTTGGCGGCGTGGGTGGCCTGCAATCGCTGATGAAGGGGCTGGATGGGAAAATGGGCGGACTTGGAGGCTTGGGCAAGTGAATGTTATTGACCACTGGGCTGTCGGGTCTCGAAACGTTGCAGTTACTTGATGGTTCTTGTTCAGTGTATCAGTGTATGACCAGACAATTTGTGCTATTACACAAGTTGAGGGATATCATCCTCGCAGTGTTTTCCGTGTCGATCTGGCTTTGTTTTTCGTTGGTGTGCTTGTGTTCCTGGTCAAGATGTGGTCTGATCAGTCGTAAATTGTAATGTGTGGAGTTGCGAAGTGGAGTTGAGCTGTGCATTTCCAGTGCCACTTCTACATGTCCTTGTCTCTGGGCCAGTTTGGCAAAAGGCCTCGGGGAGTTTCTTAAGGCGAAGTTACAACCATTGTGGCAAAGATCGGGTCAACAGTTTAATTTGGCTTGTACACATTCAAATTGCGTGCGCCATGCGTCGGCCGGCCTTCCACTGAAACTTTACTGCTGCATGGATACGGGTAACTGCCTGGCTGCATGCTTGCATAATTTCACCCTAGGTATTCAACGGGGACATGCAGCATATTCACGTTACAGGTTGCATCCGCTTAAGCCGACGCCGAGCCGCTGCGCAGACGCTTCGCCAGCTCCACCTTGGTGAGCTTGCGCTCTTTGGTGTCCTGCGCACAAAGGAACAGTAGGACACATCATAAGTAGCACACCTTGCCCTGCATGCTTTCACAAAGCCCGAATGGTTAAGCCAGTCCCGCAATTTCTGCATTGACATTCGGTCAAGACTTCCTGGCTGTTCGTCCCAATTGAAAGCCGGTGATTCGTTTCAAATCTCCAAGATTCGCCATTTCAACCAGCTTGCACATTTTTGCGTTTCAAGTTTCGCGGAAACGGCCCCTCAAATCCTTGATTCTCCATGGGATGGCAATTAAAGGTGACAGGTCGATATGCACCTCAGTGTCAACAGGCATCGTCGCCGTAATGCACGCGTAAACATGGCCCCAATCCTTCAGGCCGCACTAAAGACGCACACGCAAACACCATACCATTAGGACGGCGCTTGCAAAAATTGAAGCCCCCGTTTGATATAATGTATGCAGGTTTCCCTTTCCCTTATCTGCAAGATGACTCATGTTACCCTTGGTCCACAGCAAGGCTGTATAAATTCGGGTCCTCACTTGCAACACCATTTGGCAAACACCTCCCAACGACCAAAGAACTAGTTCCGAAGATGGTCTAGCGCCCCAACGCGCTCCAATTTCCTGTACCCACCTTCTCGGCCTTGACGCCGGAGGACTTCTCCGAAATCATGAGCTCGATGTGGCACGGTGAGCTCATGTATGGGTTCACACGACCGTGAGCGCGGTAGGTCCGGCGGCGCTGCCGCATAGCCCGGTTGACCTGGATGTGCGAGATGTAGCAGTTGTCGATATCAAGGCCCTTCACCTGTAAGGCAGCATTTATCGGGTGAGGAAAGGCAGCACTAGGTCACAACGTCTAAAATGGCGGCCAAACACACTCCGCGTGGATGTGCCCCGGGTGCATTTGCAGACGCGGATTATCCTTCCTTGTCGGATAGGTTACACCACTGAATCCGCTGACCCTTATTTGTAATGGGCTCGTGCCTTCCACCAGAGTCCGGCCCCTATTCCCCACGTGGCGTCCTATGGCATAGAGTTATGCATCCATCTGCCAGTGCCGCTGTTACCAATGCTAATGGCGCATAACTGTCGAATCTTCCACAAATGGCTCGTGAATGCGCCGGAACCTCTGGTTCCCAATACGACGGCAACAAAAACCAGGTGATCATGGCCCGCAGTACTTGGTAACCCCCACTAGCAACGCTATAAAGCCATGAGCAGTCGGAACCCTGTAAGCTGCTGAATCCACTGCCGGCCACCTCCAACACGTCCAGGGGGTCGCTGCCATTTCTGCTGCTGCTGCCTCCCTGCCCCTGCTCAGCTCCGAAATGCCCGGAGCCAGCTCCAAGACTGATTATGCTGATCTGGCGCTGCTGATTTGCTTAATTGGATATCTATGGTCTCTCCTTGTATGTACCTCAGCGTTGCTCTCCGCGTTCTTCAGGAGGTTCAGGATGAACTCGGCCGACTTGACCGGCCAGCGACCCTGGCCGCCGGGGTTGCCCTCATTCTTAGCCTGGGCAGTGCGGCCAACAGCGCCCTGGTACCGACGGAACGGGATGCAGCGCTTGTGCGCAATCACGTCCTCAAGGTACTTCTTGGCCTTGTTCAGCGACATCTTGCGAAGGGCAAAAGCGGTTTCCCTGGTGTTCTTGAAGTGCACACGCAAGTCCGACCCCTTGGCCTGCGAAATTGGGAAGAAGTGCCGAGTTCATGCCGGCGCCAAAGTAAGAAGGCTTTATCTTATGTTTTTCGAAGAGCAAGCACTAAAAGCCTCTACATCTTCTTGGCTGTACTGATACGAAGGTACTGCTATAGAGGCTTTCAAGGTGCAGGTAAAATGACGGCCGCAGCGCCGCACCTTAGCGGTCTTGTCCGCGTTCTCCGGCTCACGCGCGTACTTGACCATTTTTGCGTCGTTTCGCTACGTGCAAAGCGCGACGAAAGAGGAGGATACCTACTCCGGTCGGGCGCTCTGAAGGGAGCCGCCCGGATGCGCATGCGCCGTACAGTGCTGCCCCGAAACCCTTCTGGACTTCCTATTGTTTTGTCTTCGACCAACCATGTATGCACAAGTATTCTACCGGACGGCTGCCTTTTCGCTGAATTTACATACCTAAATTACACTCTGAGTAGTAGGATTATTCGTTTGGTATCCAATCATGCAGGCGCTTGCCGCTGCAGCTGCTTCTACCTCTGAAATTACTTTACGAAGTTTTCCTATGCTGGTGCAACATCTAGGCCGGCGTCTTTACCACAAGAACGTTGTGGAACACTATGAGCGACCACGCAACGTGGGCTCCTTTGACAAGAACGACCCTGATGTGGGCACCGGTCTTGTGGGCGCACCAGCGTGTGGCGACGTCATGAAATTGCAGATTAAGGTGGACGCGGAGGGTAACATCGTGGATGCGCGGTTCAAGACTTTCGGTTGCGGGTCTGCAATCGCCAGCAGCAGCGTCGCAACGGAGTGGGTCAAGGGAAAGTCGCTGGACGAGGTACTCCAAATTAAAAACAGCGACATCGCGAAGCACCTAAGCCTGCCCCCTGTGAAGCTGCATTGCAGCATGCTGGCAGAGGACGCTATTAAGGCAGCTGTGAAGGATATCAAGGCCAAGCGCTCGGCTAAAGCTTAGGTTGAGAGGGCTGTTTTAAGGCCCAGAGGAGCGGGCTCAGTGGATTGATTGAGGCTGTAGGCTAAGCTTTGGGGGCAGTGGATTGATTGAGGCTGTAGCCGCAGCGCTTCGTATGCTGGAGCGTGGGCTGAATAGACTGTTGGCACGCAGTCGTTGTGTTTTTACTTAAGCACGCAGGGACATGAAATGTGCACGTGTATCACGTGTATAAGAATTGATGTTGTGGATGAACACTGATTTTGGTGGCGGGCTGTTGTATGCTGTGATGCTTGCAGTTTGATGCTTGTTGTGTTTTAGGTTTTGGGGTATTATGTCTTAAGCCTCATGGCATTCGCATGCTTGCGTCGTGGGAGAGACTAAGCTTGGGAGAGGAGAATTTCATACAACCTGTTACAAACGATCCGTTTGACTGACAAGATACGTTCCGGGTAAGGACCAATGGTTCCGATAGTTACCTGATACGACATGAACGCAAATCCCCGATTTCGACATGGCATGTGCCATACAGACTGACGCACTATGTAACCTATGGCCATGTTACTACGTCAATTACCATAGCCCCACGTCGGCAAATATCCTTGACCGTGACCCGCGTCGACACGAACCCCTGAACCCCATCCACATATCAGTAAGCGATGCGTACACGATGTGCCGACCAGCCACCATATTAGATCCGCTCGGTCCGCAAGCCTGATGCATGTATGAAGGACATATCCCACCACCGCTGGCGCGCTCCTATTCCCATGATCTTCATTTCTTCGCCTCAAGGACAGTTGCTGCGTCCACGTAGTCTACCACGGGCACCTACAGGGCATGTCGCAGCATTGCCGTGTAAGCCGGAGCCCAGGACATCCCCGCAGCACAGAACAGCCCCAGGACACAGGACAAACACCGGCCCTCACCCACCGAGTAGTCGGCCGGCACGTCCCAAGCCTTGCTCTCTGAACAGTCAGGGTAATATATCGTCATTGTCTCATATATCGTTCAAAAAGGCGAACATCAATACGCACCAAGCATGTAAGAGACCAGGCGTTCCTCCTCCTTGCACTCCTTAATGAGCTCCTCCAAGTGCGCATCCAGGACTTCCTCGATAGCAGCATCTGACTCATTTTCCTGGCACACCTTCATGCGATAACTGCACGTCGCCTCAACAGCCTTCCGGTAATCGGACGCCTCGGGTGCTGCCTTAATTGCATTCAGCACAGAAGACAGCGCTTCAATGAGCGCTCCTCGTGTCCCTGGCTTTTTGCTGAGATGGTCCCTGATGCCAACATACTTTTTCAGCACCTCCCGGTTATTAAAGTCTATCTCAACATCGGCCACCGCCTTGAAGCTGCGCGTGAATGCAACTGGAGCAATACCACAAGAGCTGCGGAGCGTTCCCGGAAGAAGAAAACTTAGCTGCCTTAGCATGTTCTTTGCAAGCGGTTGAGCAGTTCAAGATAACTTAAAGGAGAAATGTCTAGCCGCTGCGTTCTCCGGAAGCGCGCTAAGACCGACACTGTATTAATTACCATTTCTTCCTTGCATGCGTTGGATGCTTTTTCCCAAGAACTCATGTGGTCGTACGGCGTACGAATACGCACTTGCATTCGACATTCATGCCCAAGTGCCACCGCGTGTAATCCACATTAAAACTTGAGTGCTTCAACGCATCTTGCGCTCGCTAAAACTTTCATTGCTGTATGTCATGTACACCTGAGACGCCGGTGAAGACACAGCCGTGTGTTCGCGATGTCGAAGATGTCTGCCAGAGCATAAGGTTTCCCGCGACTCCGCGCAAAACGGACATGAGGTTCCTATGCCCATGAGGAGGGCCCCGTGCAACAGTTAATTTACCCCTTGGTGCACCCAAAGAGCAAGGCCTCCATGGCCATTGACGATTAATTATCGTTCCCAGTGGGCATCGATTGGGTCCTGGAGTTTTAATCAACGTGCTCATGAGCATATCCTGCGCAGGAGTGAAGGTGTACTGCCTTGTTGTTATGATTAAGGACGAACATACTCTTACAGCTTGGCAGATGTTAGTTCGCGACGCTACGGTCAGCAAGCTTGTCGCGTCAAGCATACGAGCAAAATTGGCCTAAGTGTGACATGGCATTGACGCACGATCGATGAAGTGTCACGACATGCCAAGCGGGTTGACCAGCCGTGACTAGGGCCCATTATCTGCGACGCTTCTGCATTGGAACACAATGGTTGACGCCCGCTGACCCGGTGACTAGCGCACTACCAATATTTGCTCAAGAGGCAATCTATATGCACTGGGGAAAGGCTCTACCAGGCTACACTGCACACTTACGCACATCAACTGCATCATTATTTCGCGGTACTGGGCTGCCAAGTGCTATCACATGTATGTACAAAGCAATTGACTTCTTCTTGAGCGAGCTGTTCAGTATTTACTGGTGCCACGCCCCAGATACTTCCCTCCCCAGCGGACGGTTGCAGGCATCAGCAGCATGGCCTCTAGAAATTCGGACATCAATATGTAGATATCATGTCGCATTCGGTCGAACCTTTAGAGGATAGTTCTTGCTGGAGGACGGAAAATAAAGCCACCTAGGTTAAAACCACCATCAACCGATGCGATGTTAACCTCAGTGGCCTACCAGCCGCATAATTGCTAGTTTTTAACTTTTTGACGTGTTCGAAGCTTTCGATCTACATTGCCCTAACTGAGCCGTCCACGTTTGGCCTGCGACAGCGTACGGCAGGAAGTGCTCAGAGCGGACAATTCAGCAATAACAAGGATGCCAATTAACTGCCTAGGCGTGAGGAGTATGGCGCCATGAAGGATTCATCTTACTTTCATTGCAAATTAGGAAGGTATTTGTAGCAAACCATTCTGGGGCCCAGTTAAAGGCACGCACCGCAAAGAGCCAGTCCTTTTTGGTGACCGTTTTTTACAGTAAATTAATAAAAATAGCTTGTATGAATAGGTAGATGTCGGCGTCCCCAAGGAAGCAGGTATTAGTATGTTATATTGTAACCTCTCCTAGGTACTCTTCCGTAGATCAAAATTCGATGACGGTAGCCAAGCTTCCTTGCTCCTGACTATGTACATTGACAGGCGTCAGTGCCGATCGGCGGCAGGTATCTACCTTTCCTACCGAAAGACAACCAAGCGTGGCAAGCTAATGAAGTCATTGTATCAATAAACGATGATCTAGCACACCTGCTGAGCTTGCCTGCGGAGGACTTCTGGTCGACCGTTAGAAGGGATGACTCACTGCATGTATGCCTCGACACTTACCTTCGGTACAAGAGGTGGGAAGCTGGCGGGACATTGGCGCCCATCGCCAGGGCCACTAAATCTTCGGGAACATAGGCAGCCCCCGGGGGAAGGGGTTGACTTGGGCACTCCAGGACGGTAGGAACGGATGCGCTCCACGAATCCACATCTGATTCTACAAGGGGCCCCCCAACAGCATCAAAATTATCGTACTAACAACAAACTCACCTGCAGCAGCCTTGTCGCTCCTCAATCGCTTTGATCCTGTGGTGCCCTTACGACAGGCGTGTATATGATGATTTTCGGGAGGAGGTGGAGGGCGCATCCGCCACGAGCCAGCAGCTGGCGCGCAGGGTATTCATGGTCCTCCTACGAATGTGGGTCTTATGGCAATGCATTTGACCCCATCGCCGCATGTTCTGCTAGGCAGCAGGCCCACCATCACCCCACATCAGGTTGCCTCACCCCACTTCGCATACGCAGCACAGGTGCACAGCATGGCTTCCCCTAACGCCACGCCACAGCATCAACTTAACGTGATGGCACGGTTGAGGGCAAGGGCAAGGGCGTGGGTGGTTCCTGGAGAGGAGTTGTGATAGACCTGGCTGCCGCGCCCGTACGAAGTGAGCTACGCTGACCCCCCTCCCTGGAGCGCAGCACCTCCGAACTAGGCTACTGGTTCGGATCTTCACTCTGGAAGCAGCCAGAGGCGATCCGGATCCAGATCTGGAGGCCATGGCAGGCGCGAAATCCTGCGCAGGGCATCTTTCCTGCATAAGAATTTTCTGTGCCAAAAGCACACGCCCAGCATCTATTCCGGTCTCCCTGCGTCTTTCTGCATCCTTGTGCTTGCTGCTGCTGCTGGCCGCTGTCTGCGCTCAGGGTTACACCGCGCGAACGTGACCCGGGAGGCCCCCCCCGGGACCAGCAGGCGCAGATGTTGTACGACATGTGGCTGCTTGACATCCCTAAGCTCATGGATGTGGCCGTACTGTACGGCACCCACAACTTGGACCTCACACGCAAGTTTCTATGCCAGGCGCGTAGGATCTTGGGACACGTGGGGCCCTGTAACATCTTTTTTCGTGTAATACCTTGATGGGGGTACAAAATCACCTTAGGCGGGGCCCCCGGTGGAGGTAACCTGGGCGGTGCACACATTCTGATAATCCTGTAACTCGCTGGCTGGCGGAGCACGGGTTTGTGGGGCCGAGGTGGAAGCTGACGCTTGCGTGGGTTAGTCTCTCAGTGTCGCATTGAGGCGGGCATGTCCCCGCCGCAACCAGATGCGCAGCGCCACGAACCCCACACAGCTGATCTGCAGCTGACACGGACAGTGAGACCGCCAAGAACCGACATCCGCTAATAGTAGGCACTCTGGCATCCCTCACGGTTGGCCCTGGGCACGGCCAAAGCCACCCACCATGTCCTGTGGAGTGTCCTGCACGACGCTCGTGCTTTCTGGACCATACCCCGGTCCGTCTGCCTGGATCACCCTACTCCTGCCCCTGTCCCTTGTCACTTCACTCGGCCGCCTGCCCGCAGGTGTTTGAGCTGCAGCCCCGCTACAGTGACGACCTGGCCGCCTCCGCTCCGCTGCTGGTGGGGAACCTTGCGGAGGTGGTGAGTCGCTGCGGGGTGGCCGGGGACAAAGCGCTGAAGACGGGGTCAGCAGCTGCAGCCGCGCACGCGAAGGAGCTGCGAGGTGAGCAGGGGGATCAGTGAAAAGGGGGGAGCTCGGGACTTGGTGTAACCGAGGTGCCCGGACGGTTAGGGCGTCGGTCGGTCGGAGTCCGCGTCATACCGATACCGATTGCGCCGAGAGAGCAGCACTTTGATTTCCGACACCACCCGTGTTATCTGGCTGGAATGAGGCTCGTAAACCTCGGCACAGTGTCATGAAATGCGTTTCCTCAGGCCCAACTCTTTTCCCCCCCCCCGGTCCCCTGCCTTAAATATGCCCCTCGTCCTTGTCCACTGCCACCTAGACGCGGTGGACTACCTGCGCGACGCCGCCGTGACGCTGACGGCCTTCGTGGCGTGCTACAGCCCCGCTGCGGCCGCATTGCTACAGCCGGATCACGGCGCGTTGCTCTGTACTCTGGCATCCGCGCACGACAGGTTGCTGCCGCAGCTGGCCCGAGTGTTCTCACAGCCCGGAGCGCAGACGCCCAAGCAGCAGGCGGCCGGCAAGGCGGAGGCGGGTGGCGGAGGCGGCCGGGATGACATGGGTGCCAAGCTAGGTCAGGTGGCGGCTGGTTTGCGGCGGCTGGGATACCTGCTGTTGTTGTACGGCTGCTGCGGTGTGGCGGCCCCAGGGTCCAAGCGGCAGCCCAAGCCCTCGCAGCAGGTAGGCGCACCCAGTGTGATTTGCGGGACCTGCAGGCGGCATGTGGGTCCCATCTCCCCAGCGGTTGGGCGACGCTGCGTCCCGGGTTAGACCCGGGTTGGACTCGGGTTAGACCCGGGTTGGAGAGGTTAGACCCGGGTTGGACTTCGCCACGTGCAGCTCCCGGCAAGCAGCTGGAGGGGTTGCTTTGGAGCGCAGGAGGGTTGTTGAAAACAAACCCCATTGGGAAAGCAACTGCTGGGCATCATGGGAAAGATGGCGGGCAAGGTGAACGTCCCTTGCGCTTTACATGTTGTGGCCACGAAGCCAGGACATGGCAGGGCAAGGCAAGGCAGGGCAGTAGAAGTCGCGAGCGAGTCTGTTTTTACAGGTTTATGACACGTCACAGCGGCGTCTGCGCAACAGCTTCCGCAGGTACTCTTCAGCATGGGGCACGTCAACGCGATGGCACATGTCCACAGACCTCTCCGATGGCGAGTGGGGTTCCTTCTGCGCGGGAGTAACATTGCGAGAGGAACCTACCTCCCTAGCTGGTCCCTGTCCTCCGGTGCAGGTGGCGGAGCTCCGGGGCAACGAGCTCATGTCGTTGCTTATGGCCGTATCGTCTGCCGGTGCGGCACCAGGAGGAGAAGGGCAGGACGGCGCTAGTGGCGCGGGTGGCTTCCTCGGGGTTATCAATCAGGACAGTCGTTTTGACGCACAAGTGGCATCTGCCCTGTTGGAGGTAAGATAAGGGGGCTGCAGTATCGAGGAAGACGGGACCCAGGCAAGATCTAATCCGCCGGGGATGCCAGTGCGTTACAGAGCTGCAGCCCGGGCTGAACTGCAGTTGCGCCGGATGCTCCTATCCCTGGGCCAGGGTTACGTTTTTTGCCAATTGAGTTATCATGTTGTGAGGCATGTGGGATGCAGGTGTGCTTGCTCACCGTGTTGCCAGCTTGAACTCGTGTCTTTGTCACCATTGCCCAGGGCCTTCCTGGCGGCCGCAGTCCCGCCAACACACTCACAGCCTGTGAAACCTACTCCCTCACAACCCGCCAATTTCTTCATGTGACGTCCCTAATTCCCCACGTGCTATTCAGGGCACGATAGCGCTGGATGATGCGCAGTTCGATTACCTGCTGGCCCTTGTTGGGGGTGACCCACGGGTCATGGACCGAGTCAGGACGCAGCGCCGACATGGGGAGCCGCAGGCGGGGCCGCATTCTACGGGAGCAGGGGCGGCCTCCTCCTCCGCCGGCGCGGGTCCATCTGGTTCTTCCGGCGCGGGGCCGTCCGGTTCCGGAGGAGCTCCTGGTCGCAGCGACGACGACGCTGCAGCCGCCCTGCGGGCCTCCCTCGTCAGCCAAATCAAGGAGCTACTGGGCGACTATGGGGACGGCTTCTTGGCGGCCTGCCTGGAGGTGCTGGATAATAGCCCGGAGAAGGTAATGGATGCGCCTTGTCACCCTTCGGGTTGGTGAGACTTCGGCCTAGACCCTTCCTGAATCAGTGCCGCACGGCCGGGGCCTGCTGGTCCCCGGGGCGGCGGGCGTGCAGTCGTTGAGTGCGTTACCGCACCGGCCACAAGGCAGCTTCAATGTAGACTTTGCGGCGTTTTTGGTGTGAGCGCGGCAACGTCCACGACTCTGGATGCCCTATGCGGTACCCGCTCTCACCCGTTTGGGGTATGTGAAGTATTTATTGGAGCGGGGAGGAACGAGCCATTTGGCAGTGGCGGGATAACACACACCTCTCCCGGGCCCATGGGGCGGTGCTGTAGCGGCCAATGGAATGATACGCGCCCCCACCTCCCAAACCCCTGGTGCAGGTGATTAACGCGCTGCTGGAAGACAATTTGCCACCCCAGGTCGCTAAGCTGGACAGGAAGCTGGCCACGTGGGGCGGGACAGAACCCAAGGTGGGCAACTGCGGCTTGGAGTGCGGTTTACCAACGGCTATAAAATCCAGTGCCTCGTGCCGGTGTGAATGCAGGGAAAGAAGCGGTCTACCGAGTTCCTGCACACTTGATGCAAACTTCTTGAAGTTCGGAGCTTTATCTTCCTGGCTCTGCTCGGTTTTGACTTGAGCGGCTTTTCCTTCCTATGCACGCACGCACTTATTCTACCAATGGCAGCTCTGCGAACCCAGTCTCGCCCGCCTCATCGCTCTGCAGGCAGGCGCTGGTCCCTCTGGCTCCGGAACCAACTCCGCGCCACAGGACGCTCTGGCGGCCATGTCTTCCTGGAACGCACTGGCGGGACTGGCTTCGGCATCAACGTCATCACCGGCGGCGGCGGGGCCAGGGTCCGCCCAGGTTGCAGGAGGCGGTTCCGGTTCGGGGTTCTGGAGGACAGCAGTCGGCGGGAGTGGTAGCGGTGGCAGTCTACATCGGGGCACACTCAAGATCCTTGACCGAGTGGATAAGGAGGTCAAGGCGCTTACGTCACGGCTCGGCGACGAGCTACAGTGGGAGTACGACGATGAGTACGACGATTCCTTTGACGACCTGGCCGGCGGCGGTGCTGATGGCGTGGCGGACGCAGAGGGCGACGATGAGGACAGCGGTGCAGGTCGGCGGGTGGCTGCGGCTCGTGGTGCCGGGGCTGCGGGGCTTGGCCCAAGCCGCTTGGGCGGGCTTGGGAGAAACAACCTGGCGGCGTCGACGGCCGAGTACGAGGACGAGCCCAACGACGCTTCGTACAGCAGCCGCGGGCCAACGGGCACGTCCAACGCCTATAGGCCTGCACCCAGCCGTGGCGATGCTGGTTCAGCTGCGTCGGGGTCGTCTGCAGCGGGACTGCGCGGTACAGGAAGACCACCCGCGACGGCGGCTGCGGCCGCTGCAGTGGCCGCCGCGGCGGCAGCCTCCGCAACGACAAAACAAGACGGCGCACCTCGTCGTGCTCCTACGATGGTCGGACACGGGCCTACGCCGCCGCCAACAGCCGGTGGTCGGACTGGCGGTCGCGGCGTCGGGGCCGCGGCCATGCCAGTTCCGGGTGGTGCAGGTCGGGGAGGTCGCGGAGGCCGCGGCGGGGAGCGGTTGTGGGTGCTGGACGGCAAGATCTACAACTATGCCAAGGAGGGAGCGCAGATGGTCAGCAGCCGCCAGGAGGCGGATGCGCTGATGGACGCGGCTCGGCAGGCGGCCATGGTGAGGAAATGGGGATTGTAGCTGCTTCTTGCTGGCTCTGCTGAAAGGCTGTGTCTGCAGTGGCAAAGAATCCGCGACATTTGCGTCCTGCCTCTAGCTGTAGGAGGGATGTGGGGCATACCATGGATGCAATGTGGTAGCTTGAATTCATGCGTCTTTCCTGCCCAGCGATCCGCAGCGCTGATCCAGGCGACTCATGGTACGGTCAAAGCGAGGTTGGGCAGGTGGTCCAGCCCAAACGATCCTCTCGTCGCGCAATGAGTCGGCGCCATTGAATATCTCACTTGCTGCCTTCAGTACATTGCACCTCTCCCCAACAAGTTGCCTAAAACCCCACCGGTTGCACATCGGTAAACAGGTGCTTTTGCACTCGCGGGGTCAGTGCCCTGGGAGCTGTGACGAGTCTTTACTCGGGTTGGTCGCCCCCTTCCATGTAGGCGATCCACGGGCTGGGCCCTGGTGGCAACAAGGGCCTGATGCGGCAACAACAACAACAACAACAGCAGCCGGCAGCGGATGGGAGCGACAGCAGCGAGGACGAAGGGCGAGGAGCGCAGGCAGCACATGGCCGGGGTGGAGGTGGTCGCGGTGGCCAGGGTGGCGCGGGAGGCCGCGGCAGCGGTGAGGGAGGCGGGAGTGGTGACAGACGGCAGCACGACCGGAAGGAGAAGAATAAGGCGGCGGTTGCAAATCACCACCGGAAGGATCGGGCGCTGCGCAAGCAGGGCTTGCTGTGACATCCAGGTGCTGGGCTGCGACGCGGCGCCCTGATTAGGGCATCATTAGGAGGTGCATTCGTGGTTGAAACAGCCGGATACAAATGACTTGCGTGGGTTGGGTGCCGGGGATATGTACTAGGTAGGCAGACAGACGACGCCAGCTCCGCAGCTAGTTTGATGCAGAGCCCCCGAGCAACCGTATGCCTCGTGAGGACAGTAAAGCGCTTCGGTGCCGACATGCGCGGATTGAACACGAGGGCACGGCGGCTTTGGAGAAATCCCCGGTTGAGGGAAAAGCCGCCGGGGACGGAATGGCGGTTGTTCCCAGCTTAAGGCTCATGTGCTAGGGCACAAACCGTAAGCTGGAGACCTAATGTTGCATTCCTTCTTGGATGTTAGGTTAGTTGTAGGCTGTGTACAGGCTGGACATACGCATGTGCTGGGGCTCTTCGGATACGCTAGAATGGCCTACTGCATAGGAGGCATGGCTTCTGGGAGTTTTGCATGGTCAGATTCTGTGGACGCATGTGGTCGTGGCCCGTGGCAACAGGAAAGGCAGGACCGCCCGGCCTTCTGCGATGGCAGGATGGCGTAAGGATGGCTATTCACTCTCTTTGTCGTTACCTGGTTTATGTAAGGCACTGACGGTCGGGACACCTTGGGGTATGTGAAGTGGCATGACGTGCATGCGGTGCGCCAATCTGTATGGAGTTGCTGAAGTAGGCGGAAGTTAAGCGGGAGGTATGGGGCGTACATCTGGCTCCATCTTTCCCCACCCGCTTACCCTTCAACTCGCGAATTGCATCGCTGCTGAAATGTCCTACAGTGCCGGACATCCGGTCTTAAACAACCGTGCACGTCGGAATAAAGTGGGCGGCTCTTCGGCCGCCCGGAACACACAGCCGGGTCGTTGCCATGGCTGGAAAAGCTATCTGAGGAGCACTGCACCAACATATGCAGCATCATTGGAGAGCGCTGAACTGCCAAACCTGCGGTGATGTTCAGTGGCAACCGCAAAGCCCTGTAGCGTAGGGTTGCCACGTGTGCACGTCCGTATGTACATATACCTAATTGCTGCATTCTAGCTGCGCCCCAGTCCCTTACGAAGAGGGCCGCAGTCTAAGCCGTCTCGGAACATGAGACCCGTAATCGAGACCCTCAACACCCCGTCTGAGATCCCTCCTGCCCACTCCCGGTTCGCACCATCTCCAGAAGCCAGGAATTGAAGTATGAATCCAGCGAGGATGGGCAAGCAAAAATGTACAACGACATAGCGACATGCTCTTCCAGTAGCTCGTTCCTGTTTATGCGAGGAGCGTGCAGTGTGTTGTTGCGCCGCCCTAGGGTGTCAGCCACCGCAGACAGCTCTTTCCCCCCAGCCATGCGACTCCGATCACATCCTACCACACCGTTACTGGCTCTCGCTCTCGCTGCTGCTGCTGCCACTGCTGCTACTTCTACTGTCTTCGCCGTCCTCGCTGCTGCTGCCGCTGCCCGTATCACTACTGCTCGGCACAGCGGGCCCCGGACCATAACCCTTGCCCTGGCGCAGGTGCCGGTCCATTGCCATAACTTCCGCAGCGCAGCCGCCCAGGCCCGCAGGGGCCGACGGACCGCCTAGCTGCTCACCAGCGCCCCTGGGCCTCCCATGGCCACCAGGCTGGCGGACGGGAACTGATATCTCGTCATCATCGAAGCTGCGGCTGCGTTGACGGCTGCGGCGGCTCCGCTTCCGCTCGCGCTCCCAGTCCTCATCGGTCTCCTCCGCTGCCTCCCGCTGTTTACCCCGCCACTCTTTCCTGCGCACGTCCCCATCGCCATCCCTATCCTCATCCCGCTTGCTCCGCCGCCTTTTAGAGCCCCTTCCTTCCCCTCTATCCTTCTCCTCTTTCTCCTTCTTGCCCTTCTTCGACCGCCGCTTCTTGTGCCGCTCCTTACTGTCACGGTCCTCATACCCTTCGAGGTCCCGATCCCGGTCCTTGCCCCTGCGCTTCCTCTCCTTCTTGCCCTTTTTTTCCTTCTCCTTCCCCTTGTCCTTATCCTTCTGCTTCTTCTTTTCCTTCTTCCGCTTGCGGTCCTTGCTCCGATCCTTCTTGCTTCGGTAGTGACTCTGGAAGAAGCTCAGCGCGGTCCGAATGCGGTCCTGCACCTCGGGGTCCACGGGACCCAGGATGCCGCCTGGGGCCATTACGGCCCCTCCCGCGGCGGCGGCAGCAGCGGCGCCTCCGCTGGTCGCCGTTGGTGCGGCACCCGCCAGCAGCTGCTCCTGCAACGCCTCCGCCTGCCTGCTCTCCCTCGCCTCCTGCGCGCGCTTGGCAGATACCTCCTGAGCCCGCATCAGCGCCTCCGCAAGCGACTTGGCGGGACCGACTGTGGTGCCGCCTCCGCTTGCAATAGCGGCCGCTGGAACACCAACGGGGCCCCCTTCAGCGACCTCGTCGCCTGTCCGGCCCCCTGCATGCTTCCCTGCGCCTGCCTCCTTCTCCTGCCCTTGGCCCTCCTCCTCTTCGTCTTCCTCCTCAGACTCAGCCTCAAAAATAGCAGCGAACAGGTCCAGGGGCTTGTCCAGCGGCATCGTTATAAGGTCATCGTCCTGCAGCACTGGTGGAGGCTGTTGCTGCTGCGCCACCTGACGGACGGCCGCATCTTGCTGTGGCACCCCAGGAATTCTGGATGCGGGAGCTGTTGGAGCCGGCAGCACCTGCAAGGATGATGACGGGGATTGCGGATGCAGGCCAAAGCCTGGCTGCGCGGCGGCAGACGAGGGAAAGGGCAGTGGCGGCGGTGGCGGCAAGGGCAGCGGCGGCACCATGTTGTCAGCAGAACCCCCGCCGCTGCCGCCGGCTGCAGGTGGAAAGAGGCTCTGCCCAAACGCTGAAAGGAAGGCGCTGGCTGCATCGACTGCTGAGTGCCCGCCGGCCTCCGGAGGTCGTTGCCCAGCCGTTGGGGGTATCAACGACGCCGACGTAGTAGCCACCGCCGGCAGCAAAGACTGCGCTGCCCTGGGCAGCGGTGGAGGCCCTGGCAACGGCCCTTGCGGTAAGGTGTGGCTGAGCCCAGGCGGTGGCGCCGTGGCATAGGCCGCTGCCGGACCTGCCGCCACACCTGCTGATAGTCCGCTGGTCGGGCCTGCTGGCAACGGCGGCGGTGGTGGTAGCGACAGCGGCTGCACTGCTGCTGTTGGTGACGTTAGCAGTTGAGAGGGCCCCGGCGCTGTGGTGATCGCAGCAGCGGCGATTGTTATTGAGGTGGAAACGGTGGTGGTGGTGGTGAGGGTAAGGTTGCTGGTCTCTGGGAGGGCCAGCAGGTCGGTTCGGAAGCGGGGTGCCTGCGGCATTGGTGGTGAGGTGTGGAGCGGCGAGGAATCAGACAACCGCACGATGTAATGCGGGAGCAACCTGGGAAAGTGCAGTGTGAGTGCCCGGTAAGAGCACACGACGATACGCCCAGTCTGACCCAATGCTGATGATGTGCGTAGTGTGACGGGATGGGCAGCGTTCAGCATGGCATGAGCGATTCGTGAAAGGCAGGCATGTCGCTGCTCTGTTTACGATTACAAGAGCAGCTGGCAAATCGATCCAGTTGAACCAGCCTCTGTGAGCCACACCTGTGACTGGCACCTACCATAAAGGCGGCTCCCCTGACGCTGAGGAGAGTCCGTGACCGCCGCAGGTGCTCGGCGAGCCCTCAATCCAGCCAACAGGACATGCAGCCGCCCGACCCCGGCCCCATACCCGAATTTTAATTTCACCCAGGCCCAGCCACCCACGCACACCTGCAATGGCGGCGGTTTTCCCTTGTACGGGTCAGGCACGTTGAAGCGCTTACACACCAGGGGCTCCGGGCGCCACTCCTCCACGCTGCGAAGTGGCTCCTCTCGGGGCGCCGTTGAGACCACTTGGGCTTGTTTGCCACCACCGTCACCGTCCTTGCCGGCCTTCTGTTGCTGAAGCCCACCGGCACCGTCAGGTTGCAGTACGGCGGTTTCGGAGGAGGACCCGGTGGTGAAGCGGGACAAGAACGCCGCGGCGGCTTCAGCCGGGACGGTCTGCGGCGCGGAGTCGGTAGATAGATCCTGGGGGAAGGGAAGAAGCGAGAAGGTAGACGGACAAGAACGCTTCTGACGGATGCGGGAAGGGCGCGGAAAGAGGTTTGTGACCTGCGCCACTGCCGCAGTGTGGCTGGATGCCACCAATCTACACGCCTAGAAAGCATCAGTTACAATATCGCTATTCATTTAAGGATCAGTAAGCGCCTCCCGCATTGGGTTACCTGTATCTCCCCGCGTACAAAGTTGCTGCTGAGGAGCGCTTGCAGGTGCTGTCGGTCCGCCTCGGCCACTTGTGGGCGGGACGGCGCCGCCGCCGCCGCTGCTGTAGGAGCGCCGCCGCCGGCTGCCGCTGCCGTCACCGACGTCCCCGCCGCTGTGGCAGGCAGCGGTTGCTCTCCCAGCATCGCCATGCGCTGCTCCACCGTCAGGGGCTCGGGTCTCCCGCCGGCCGGCCGTTGGGCTGCGGACCCAGCGGCGATGGCCGCGTTGGCGGGACCAGCCTCGGACGGCGGAACAGCGGCGGCAGCAGCAGCAGGCGTAGCTCGATGCGGCTGCGGTCCGGCATTAACTGCTGCTAGTGCCGTCTGCAGGACCAGCACGCGCAAGGTTGTGTGTTGGGGGGGAAGCACCTGCAAGTGATACCGAGTGCAGCTGCCCAAGCAGACAGGGAAAACGCGTGCGTAGTGGCAAAAGCACAAACTGCTGATGTCCATCCTGCAAAGCATCCAAGCTTTAAGAGACGCCAGCGGATGGTCGTACTAAAATCCAGAAGGTTACTTCTGCACTGCCAATATGGGCGACCCGGCAATACTCCTCACGTGGACTCAATGTCAGGTGTACAATATCCAGCATTCTACAGCAGCAACACATCGATACACCAATCGCCGCCCGGCTCCCCCCACCTGTATCTTGTGTAGGCGCCACAGGTAGTACTGCAAGCCCTCCCCAGTCAGGAAAAAGCTGTACTTTGTGCGTCCGCCGCCCTCCACCGCCCCTTTCGCACCATCGCCGCCGCTAATGACCCCTGCTCCCGCACCCCCTGCTGCTGCGGCGGCTGCTTGCTTGCGGGCAATCTGTTCCAGAGCGGAGCCGCTCCGGGCCACCATAGCTGCCAACACCTCAATCTCCCGCCGCAGACCCGGGTCCGTGGGCGGAGGTACTTCGGGCGGCGGCGGCGGAGGAGGAGGACCGCCGACAGCGCAGGTTGCCGTGATGGCGGACTGCGACGCGGCGGACCCTGCACCACGCAAGACGAGAGGAGTTGTGGCCCATGCGTGTTGTAACAGGGACAGCAGCGCCAGTAGCCCGCAGAGAGCGCCCGTCTGGGGCGGAGCGAGGGCGCTGCGACCGCGTGAAGCAGTAAGCGTGGTGAGAACTACGCATAGTCACCCGCGTGGGGGCTAAGCGGCAGGCAGACGAAACTGACTCGCTCCTGCACGGCGGCCATGCCTTAGGCGGATTGGAACCCTCTCTCCTCTGCTTCTGCCCTCCAGCCGCCGCGTTGGAGCATCAGCACGCATTTTTTGCGACCTTGTCTCTCAGCTCTCTACCCGCTGCACTCTGCCGCTGGCTGCCTGCCTACCCCCGCCTACCCCCACCTCACCCTCACGTCATATTCGCCCCATCCACTCCGCCGTACCACGTTCCCTTCCCCAACATCTCGTCCTGCGCACCTTCACCTTCACTCTCACCTTCAAGACGGAACTAACCCTCGCCGGCGTACCTGCTCCTGCAGCCGGTAAAGCAGAGGTGAAGGCCGCCCGCAGATAACCCGCCCGCAGCCCCGCCGGGAACACGTGCCGCCCGCTGAAGTCCGGGGGCACCTCGGGCGCCAGGAAGTACTCAGGCACCACCACACCGCACGCGGAGGAGGAGCGACTGGGCCGGAAACCGGGGATGAGGCTGTCGGGCGCGCGGCCGTGCCCGCGGGCCTGCAGCAGCGGTGGTGGCGCTCCCTTCCCGCCTGATTCCAGTAGCAGCGGTTGACGCCGCCGGCCGGGGCTACGAAGAACACAGCAGCGGGTAAAGGCCGTTCAAAAGAACCCAACACGCTCGACCTTGTGCTATGTTCGAGATGTCCTGTCCTCCGGTGAGCCGGACAGCTCCTATATTTGCATCAGCGCCAGTGGACATGGACCCCCAGGCGTACAAGCGATCAACGACTAGCTGCACAGCCGTGAAACACATCCTCCAACCCCGGGAGCTCTCACCCACCGCGCGGGGCCCCCACGGCCGTCGTCGTCGGACTCGCCCTCCGAAACCACCTCGTACGACAGTGCTAACTGCTCCCAGTGACGAGCTACACCCCCGCCGCCGTCGTGGGCGCTGCTGCCCAGGGCCCCAACTGCGGCACCTGTTAGACCTCTGGGTCCCTGCCTCCCATCTCCGGAACCTCCCGGCAGCCGCTGCTGTGGTTCATCGTACACCTCCTCTACGTAATCCTCCAAGTAACCAAAGGTATCCGTATCCTCCAGCACTCCTGGAGTCGGAAGCAAGGGAGACGCGGGAAGGGGAGAGAGGATCAGAGCCACCGCTGCATCCGGACGAGGGCCAGACGTGCACGGCCCCAACCCGCGAGTTACGAGGGTGTTGGACTGAGGAGGTGCATGAAAGTGGCGACGCCCATTACGACATTGCCATCACCGTCATCACAGCGAGTGTGTGCAGCTATGCAGCTGCAAACTCGACGGTCCGTCATTCATATGTACGTGTAAGTACTCAAGAACGGGTGGTGAGGATGGCTGCGAATGCTTGGTGGACATTCTCTATGCCGCAAGGAGGAGTGTGAAAGGAGAGGCAGGAGGGTGGCGCACCAGTTCCAAAGGCGATGCGGCCGCGCCGCTGCGCTGCAGATCCGCCAGTCCCCCGGTCCGTGTTGGAAGCACCACCCGCAGCGCCCTCCCCCGGCGCCCCGCCGCCCGCGCTGCCCCGCTCCGCCACTTTCCGCCTCTTGGCCGCCTGTCGGAACTCCTCCGCACCTTCGAAGGGGTCATAGCCCAGGCCGTGAAGGTCCGCCTGCAAAGCGGAAGGAGACAGGAAAGTATGACATACACGTCCGTCCGTACGAGAGTGCAGCTGGAAGCATGGAGTGGGTGGACTAAAAGGGCTTAAGGGGGCCAGCCCCTATTCCCGCATCCAGGGTGGTGGTGAGGCTTTACATCCGGACTCGGTATTCGTCAATCAATCGAAATGGCCGGGTGATGGCCGCTGATGGCCGTACTCCAAACGGCAATCCCGTCTGTTCGTCGGATTCGACATCCAGATCCCAAGTGAACAAATGCCTGCAGGACACCCCCGTGCTGAGCCTCACGCCTGAAGGAAACCCCTTTTCCTGAGCCCCACGCACGTACAAGCGCAACTCCCAGCACCAGCAGCTGCCGCGAAGTACTCACCAAACCTGTACTGCTGCGGCTGCCGCCTTAACGTCCCCCTTTTTGAGTCCCAGCAGTGTGGTTACTAAGAACCCCGGCCCAGCCGGTCCCGCTCCCCCTGAACCTCTCCCGGCCGAACCTCCACCTGGGTCAGTGGCTCCTCATATAAAGCCCCAGAGCACTACCCCAGTACCTCACCTTGGGCTCCAGTACGTAGAGCGGCGTGTTCTCCAGACTCACTCCCGCCACACTGCCCCACTTGCTGCCGGCCTCTTCCGCCTGCCGGCTGGGCGCCGCGGTACCCACACCCTTACCGGGCCGCCAACCCAGCTTCTGCAGCAGCCGCATGCCTGCCAAGTACGCGGGTTAGAGGGGGAGCAACACAAGCGACATGGAGTCCACCCAGGCGGGGGGAATATATGGGGCATCATCCAAAAGTGCGAGCGGGCGAAGGAAGGTGAAAGCAGCAGGGAGTAGCGGCAGGATGGCGCGTCAGCACCTGGTAATGCAGATGGCTGGGAAGAGCACAACATGGCCCCTCTTGCCAGAGACAAACACACGCGGGCTGCCCAGGGAACGAAAAGACGGCCTGGCGTAGGGAAGCCTGGGCAGGTGCTAGGGTAGGGGATTGGTTCAAAGACCCCACCCCGCTCACTCAATCGGTGCGGCACACACGTGCTACAACCCTAACACCCCTGCAAGCCAGCAACCCCACCGCCTTCCGAAAACGTACGATACCAAATACCACCCTGTCATGCGTGCTCAGAATGGCGTAGAGGCCCCGGGTCGCAAGGGGCCCCAGTCCCCCTTTACAGAATCATAGCAGCACTCATAACGTCCACCACACTCACGGGCTGTCGGCCCCTCTCACCCACTCCGCTGGCCACCGGCACCACCAGCTCCTCAATGATGGGCCCGGGGATGAGCGAGGGGCGCTGCTGGGCCTCCCGCTGCGCGGCGGAGCGCGCGGTGTCGGCGGCAACGGTTCCAAACGTGTCGTAGTCATTCTGTCGTGTGGAAACATGGCGCAAAGGTAGGGCGGTAAGTTCAGTACGGGTGGGGAGACGACGTGGTAGCGTCGCCAGGGTTTATGGGCTCCCAGGCGTGTGATGCCAGGGGCAGTCGTCTGACTACGAAGATAAGCCTATGACAAGAACCAAGGTGGCACCACATGTCCTGCAGACGTTAATTCTATGTAGCTTCGGGCCGTGATGCAGTGGGCCAGAAAGCTGCTTGAGTTCATCGAGTATGTGTACAACTGGCACGTTCACAGCATGGTCCAGTGGCCTACTCCACCCGAGTCAGCACCCCTCATGTACGATACAAGCCAGGACATCTACGACATCGTACCTTAACCGTCAGGACAGTTCGACTGCGCGCCTCCCGTTCATCCTCGTCTAGGAAGTCGTCCACGCTCTGCTGTACTACCGCCTGTCGGGAGCTGCGTGAACTCTTGAAGGAGGCGGGCTGGAAGCCCTCCTGGGGTAACAGGTAGAGGGGGGCGAGGAGAGGCAAGCGCCAGGAGGACGATCGCATCAAGGAGCGTCAAAGTGCTATAGTACCTACGGTGGGCTACGCCAGCGTCTGTCCACATCAGCAACAGTGGGGTACCGAATGTGTTTTTGCTCCCAGGCAGGTACCCTACGTGAACGACATGCCTACCGAGCTCCCGACGCTATTGTAATAGCCGGCGCTGAAGCCACCCGTAAAAGCGCCATGGAAACGCTTCCGTCCTTGCTCGTCAGTCGCCTCCTGCTTCCAGATCGGCAGTGTACGTATCTGAGCTGGATCCTTCACGGGCCTACGGTATGCGCTAGCCCTGCCCTCTTGCTCGTCCTCCAGGGGCGTCCCGTAAAAGTGGTAGTCTTGTTCCTCTGATTCCGCCATATTAGCAACACGGGCTAATTCATGTTAGATGTCTTGACATAGGTGAATAGGTAACCAGCAGAATTGAGCGTTCCGATGAAGGCAGATAGGAGCAGCAAGGGCCGACAGCTCGATCCTTGTTTCGTAACATACGAAGCTTATTGTCAACTCAGTAGGGTGAAAAAAGCCGTTTGATGACTACAATAGAGTACAAGGGATGGTCAAGTCGATGGCAACTTGCAGATGGTTCGGCCCATCTGGACCCTATGTAATAAAAGTAGCTAAGGTTCCTAGGTCATCTTCTCATGTCATGTCTAGGCTATGCACGCAATTTGCTTCTGCAAAATGGTAGGAGTACGGAGTAATAGTGTTCAGTATCCGTACATGGCGAACATTGGGTAAAGTACGTACGGCTGGCGTGCTTGCGCCACCCAGACAAGCCTGGACCTATCATCGCGGTGGCGTCAGAGGATCGCTTTGCCAAACTTTTCCCCGATGACAAAAGGGCGGGCAGGCAGACAAGCAGGTCCCGCCTAGGCATCCATTCCTGATCCCTGGGGCGTACTAGTACAAAGCCCTTTCGCGGCAGCGGCTAAGACACCAGGCGCTTGCCTTTCCCGTCCTTCATCATCCACGTTTTTTATCTTGGAGCAAGCGATGTTTCCGTCGAGCAAACGGTCCTAGTGACCCCGAAACCCGGAGTTTTTAACGGACCAACCAAAGCTCAAACGTCGGAGCCACCTCATCCCTGCCTTAGGGATGCTGCCTCCTAATCACGACTGCCACAACAAGCCCAATCTGGCACGCTTAATCCTATTGGGGAAACTCCCAGCCGTACAGCTCCTCCGTACAGCTCCGCCAAGTAAGGGTCAAGCAACAGGGGCCAAGAAACCCCCGGCTCAACCGACCCTGTGCCATGCAATTCAGCTGTGTGGTAAGCAAGCTCAACCGCAATCGCTGACACCCAAGGCAACGAGAAAATGCACACGCCGCAAGAGCAAAAGCAGCACCAAGCAATCAACTATGAGCGGGCGACCGCACGGGCCTTTGGAGATGTCAACCAGCTGCATGACACTCACATACGGGACGCAGGTGAGCCGCAGCCGACAACACCCTACACCCGTTTAAGCAACCTGTCCAAACAGATTCCTACCGCACGTGATTAGCAACAATACGGGCGACAGCCCTTGGGCAAATCCCATCAAAACCATTAAACACAACCTGACACAACCCATTCGATGATCATGGACATGCTTGCAGATGCTCCGCCGCCGTCAGGCCAGGCCGTGCAAGGGCAAGGCCGTCGGGTGCACGAGCAGCATGCAGAAAAAAATAAAGACACGAAACAGAAAAGAGGGCCATTACCAAACGATTGTCCATTGCTAGCAAGTCAAGACAACGCCCTGGCTGCCCGAGATCCGCGGAGGGGACGTTTAGAAAGGTTATTAAGGGAGAAAGAAAGCCAACACTGTCATGGCGCAGGGAGGGCTTGCATCCGCAAAACCCAGTCCCTACCCATCCTGGCACCGCAGCGTTGACCAACACAATGAGATTCATGTGAGCCCAAGGCCCGGTTGGTCCAAACACACCCGATCCAGTTGTACTCAAGGAAGCTTCGACAACAATCACAACAGATTGTTGACGGGCCGAAACGTGTCGCCAGGTTGGCGCTACCCAGAGGTAGCTCCCCGCCCACGAGACGCCTCATGCAACCACAGGTTCGCCAACAATACTTCCGCATCCTGCATGACGTGTCATATACGGCATGGCGACGTCGCGCATACCGTCAATCACTTTCCATCATTGCCTTCCCCCCGCACAGCAGCTAACCCACTAAGCCCACCAACCTACACACCTACGTACCTTTTTTTGCACCCCAACAACAAGGCGGGCGTGCCGATCGATGCACTGAACTAAACACCATGCCGCCATTCCAGGACGACGGACTACAGCACCGTGTACTGACAACTAAAGCCGCACATCTTCCTACACAACGCTCTGCATGTCCCACAGCACCTGTAACAAGCTTGCATCAGCACCTGCATCTGATGCCTACTCCGCCTAGTGCTGAGCTGGCTTGGTCCGATTCTAGCATGAGGATGCATGACCCGGCCCTTACCGCATCTTAAGCCACAGAGCCGCACTCTCCTAAGTGGAACCCTAAGCAGCCTAAGCAAGCCACCTTCAGTCCCTGCTGCAGTTTGCTACTAAGTGCATTTGAAAGAATCCCCACGAACGCTAATATCCTCGATTTAACGGGCTGCGAGCAAGGCATTCAACACGGCTTTGCGAGCAAGCTCGCCGTGCCTTCCTGCCGCCGCCTAGCAAACGATATGGAACTTCACAACCCGCCGCACAACTACAGCACATTCCTGGCAGCGGCGCTCCCCAGCAGGCAGTCCGTCAGAGCAGCCAGGGACATGGTCAAGGCGCACAAGTTACCAGCATATAAAGAGCAACAGCCCGTGAAACACACGTAAGCAGTGTGGTGCGAAACACAACTCCAAGTAGGCTAAATGTCAAGAGGACCATGGCCCCATAAGCAGCAGCCATGGATCCGCCGCCTAACTACCGTCAAACCTTCAACGGGGTTCGGACATTGTCGATGTCATGCCGTCTTTCCCACCAGGGTTACCCTTCAAAGTGCAGCTGAAAGGGACAGAACCTCCGACGGACCAGACACGGAGGCGACGGGATGGCCCCGAACATCACGTACATTTCCACGGCGAAAAGCATGAAAAACTCAAAAAGGTACATAGCCAGGGGTAGATGTGGATTACCCGTCCCAACGCCCCGCGGTGTTTCAGGCGGTCTAAGATTTTCTTTGCCACATCTCGAGTGTTAGTTAGTCCGGTCAAACACAAAAGAAAGAATTCTTCGAAACCAAGCAACTGCAAAACTGATACCGACTATTAAAACTGCTATAGAAAACCAAAATAGCCAAAATGATGCTAATCACGCAAGAAAGAGGGACACGAGGACGGCCGACTCGTTACGTTTGGTCTTTGGATATCCCCTCATCCATTCGTTCGCCAATGCCTCCGCCGCATGTATGCGATGATGCGCTACGGTCAATTCTCCAAAGACAACCTCCTCATGAAGCCTTAGCACGACACGCAGGCGAATGAGCTGGGCATTAATAGCGCCGCATCACCCGCGGCAGCGGACCCGCGGAATGCACAGGCCCACCACACCACGCACTCTCATGCAGTCCCATACCCCAGTTGCCACAGGCATCCAAATGAGGTCGAAGGCAATAATGCCCGCAGGACACGCGCGGTGCCAAAGGCACGACCCGAAAGTCGGCGTGAGGTGGGGATGCGCGAAATTTGGAAACAACCTTACTATAACCATTACCACGCTGCGGGGAAAATGTGGTGTTCCTTAAAAGTCCTGCAGCCAGTTGGTCGGTGGCTGCTGAGGATGTGGGCGGTGTGGCGCCTGCACCTGCTGTTGCGGCTGTTGCTGCGGTTTCCCCGGTGCCGCAGGCTTGGGCACCTGTTCCGGCACAGAGCTGCCGTAAAAGCCGAAAAAGCATGCCACCGACTCGGCTTCCTGTTCGTGCGGCAGCGACACCGCCTGCGACCCACCAAACAATAGGCGCCTCAACCACTCATTTCACTCCGTCGGTCAGCTAGTCGGCCAATTCGTCAATCAGGTAGGTGGCGCAGACGCGAGAACATGCTCGGGCAAAGCCTTGGCGACGGGGCCTGGGTTACGGCTTACGGGTCCCCTAGATGACCTCGCTGTGGCAGCTCCCGATGCAATCCGTATTGCGGCCAGCAGGGCTGAGGGCCGGGGTACATGGTCCCGATTTAGGAACGTGGCCACAAAGTCACCGGAAGCGCACGCCGCGCTCGCAAGTAGACGGCCTACCCGACCCCATCCCATCTCATCCCACCCCATTCCATCCCATCCCCTGACCGCACCTGGATGGGGTAGGGTGGCGCCATCTTGCGCTCCTCGTAGGCGTCCCAGTCGAAGCCCTGCGGCGAACAACGCAGGGGACGCAGGGTCTTGGAAGGAAACCGACGGGAGAACCCACCCGCAAGCGGAAAGGCATGTCGCGTGTCGAACTTGCTGGTGGCATTAATGCCTGGCTACTGCTTCCCTGCGGCTGGCTGCTGCTGCTACTGCTGTTGCAAGCAGACGCGGCAGGCGCTGGCAGGATGCAGCCTGGAAGGAGCCCACCTGGAGCCACCAGCGGGCTCTGGGAAGTGCCAAGATGGCGCAAAAGGGCATTCAATCGCAAGACGGCCGCACGGTAATTCCATGAAGCCAGGTACCTGGAGCTAGGTACCTAGACACATATTTAAGAACACGTTACACAGAGCTCGACGCCCTCCGCCTCCTCCTCCTCACCCACAGGTCTGCGCCCACCCATCACGCTTGTAGCCACGAGGAAAGGCGACACGAGCCCTGCACATGTCCTTACCGCGAAGAAGGGATGCGCCCGAATTTCTTCCGCGCCCCCGCCCCCGCAGCCCAGGCGCCACTTGGGTTGCCGCACCAGCAACCGCCGCAGCAAGTCCTTGGCATGCGGGCTGAGGTACACGGGCAGGGGCACCTCGTACCAGGGATTGATGATGCGGACCAAGACGCGGGTCGGGTCCTCCCCCGCCGCCTCAGCCTCAGGCGGGCAAAAGGGCTTGCAGCCCGTCAACAGTACGTACAATACGGCACCGTACGACCACCTGGATTGGGAAAAGCGGGGTGGGCCAAAGGGGCGTCACACGGGATGCACAGTGTTATCGCACAAGGTTCCTGCGTGCTTCATACCGCAGCAACAACGGGGGGGGGAGGCGTCATGGCCGGGGCCAAAGCAAGCTGCGCTCTCGTCAGCGATTCTCCAATCGTGCAACTCCCAACCCCCGCCTTCAGCTGTTGCAGCATGCTCATATGCTGCTGCTTATCGCCTGATCGGCGCAGCAATGGGTCATATGCCCTGCTTCCCCAAATAGACAAGTCACGGGACGCAGAATCCCCCAATCTGAGCTGCAAATTGCTCACCAATCCACGCCAAGACCGTACGCGCCCTGACCGCTGTCTTCGCGTCGCCGCCGGCCGGGCCCTGCCTCCCCATTGCGGCCGCCGCCGCCCGCCGCCGCCCCTCCCGCCGGCCCAACCCGTCGCAGAGCACGCGACTCCACCAAGTCCTCCAGCACCTGCGCCTTGCCCTCCTTGGCCAGCTGCTCGCACTCCAGCTTGACGATCTCGGGAGCCTACAGGGCGGGATGGAACCGATGAGGGGCGAGCATGGAGTACCCGAACTGGCGGTAGGAACACGCACATTCCTTGTCCAGGTCAGGTGCAGGTGCAGCTGCGACACGGATACGGTCATAGACACACAGAGGCAGCAGGGCAACCAAGGGAGAAGCATGGCAGGCAGCTACCCGGGAGCCGCGGCAACCCCCGGATCAGAGTAACCATTAGGCAAATGCACCAGTCTCTGATTTTCCTCGCCTTGAGCTAGCGGCACAGTGCACGCTGCGCTTTCCAGGGAGTAGCTCTCCAGCAAAGTATGTGGGTCCGTATCCCGACGGCAGGATCTCTCACCATGTAGTCCAGGGTGCCGCAAGCAGACGTGGCGCGACCCGTGGGTCCATTCAGGACCTTGGCCATGCCGAAATCCGCCAGTCGGGGATAGCCGCTGTCGTCGATGAGCACGTTTCCAGGCTTCAAATCGCGATACACGATGAAATGCGAGTGCAGCTCCTGCCGGTGATCGGGAATACGGCGGGGAGACGTGAGGTTGGCTGGGCTGGGCTCGGCTTCAACTTCTTAGTTATGGGGGGGGGGAGTTCGGGTGATGAAAGGAAAGTGTCTGCGGTACGCGTGTGTGTTTTGCAAGGGGAGCTTTTCCACGCATGACCAGCTGCAAAGTGGGAATGTGCTGGGAAGTGCTTTCTAGGGGTCCGGCATCCCAGCGCGCCCAAGGCATGGCATGCAACGCCAGCGCCGCAACCTGGCCACTGACAGAGTTAGGCCCTGCGCCTCAAAGGCACATGCACATTGACTTCGTGTTGTCCAAATCTGCCGTACATGCATTCAGGCATAGGTACAGGCACACATGCCCCCATGCATGCCCACAGCCGGCCCCCTCTCGCCCTCTCGCCCACCTCCAGCGCCAGCAGGATACCCGCCGCGTAGAACCTGGCAGCCGCCTCGGGCAACCCCCGCCACGCCACCGCCGGGCCCCCCACCACCTGCGCCAGCCAGCTGCTGCGGGGCACCAGTGTCTTGCGAGCCATGGTCCGTACCAGGCGGTCCAAATCACCTCCCGAGCAAAGCTCCATCAACAGATATAGGTACTGCTCGTCCTGTCGAGGGAAGCATAGGAAACACGACGCACACACGACGCACACACAGGCTCAGATCACTGGCCGCAACACCTCCTGCCATTTCCACCTAGGCGGTGGTGTGGATGAGGCTCTACAGCAGGCTGGTCTTCCCACATGCGACTACACATTCACGGCATGCATCCCCAGCATCTTGCCGCCAAAATGGCTTCATGAACAACGACCTCGAATCTTATAGCCCGCTGTGCTCCCGTGCGCCTCAACCCAAAGCCTGGAAGCTAAAAATCCTGAATCCTAAACCTCGGCGGCTGAAACAAGCATTCGACAGCCATTTCCAACCCCTCCGACTCGCACAGCCGCATGACACAAACGTCTGCCCACTTCGTGCCTTACAAAACCCCACAAGCCCCGCCACCCCTGGCACTCAAATCTTTCACACAGACGCGGATACCTGGAATGTCCCCAGCTGTCGAACGCAGAATGATGGGCCCCGCCGCCGTCTGCACCAGCAACGGCGTAGCTCCTGCAGCTGCTGCTGGTGTGTCTGTTGATTTTGCTGCTGCAGCAGCTGCTGCTGTTGCCTTTGCTGCTGAGGAGGCGACAGACCCGGCCAACCGCGCGCCTGCTGCTTAGCCAACCACGCTGTACGAGCTGCGCCCATCGTCTGCACAGCGGCATCACCATTTCCCGCCTGGTTACGACCACGCCCCGCCGCTGCCGCAGCAGACGTGCAGAAGCGACACTGACACGGCCTCTGCGACTGGCCGCTGCCCACGACCGCGGCAGCAGCGCAGCGAGCGCTCCCGGTCCGCTGCGCCCCAGCTGTAGCGGACGACCCCGACGCCGACGACGTTAAGGAGCCAGCGGATCCCGCGCACACATGCAAACCATAGCGTGCTGCAGCACCCTCATCACCGGACGCATGCGGTCCTGTGATGCCTCCACAACGGCTGCAGACGCCGCGGCCTCGCGGCAGGTTTTCCTTCTCCTGCTGCTGCTGCTGGCCACCATCAGCAACTTCCGCGGCGGCTCTCGATGCGGCAAGCTGCTGCTCCGTCATCAACAGACGCAGGGCCTGCTGCTCCTGCATCACATGCTTGGGGCTGATGGCTGAGCGGCGCAGGCGTTTTAGGGCGTAGGAACGCTCCGTGACCGCGTCTGAGGAGGGGAGGGTGGGTGGCATGGGTGTAGGGAGGCATGAGTAAGAAAGGGCGGCAAGTGGATCATCCGGCGTGGTGAAGCCCGCACCCCAGCAGAGCGGGGCTATAGAACTGACGCGTGGATCCAGGACTGGAACAGAGGACTGCGTTGGGAAGAGTCAGGGCAGGGCAGCGGTACCTGGTGACATTGCCGGGCTCACGGCGTGGGTGCATTGAAACGGATAACCGCCCACCCCACTCCAGCAGCCCGCTTCAGCCTCCGGCGCTACCGAGTGCTAACCAACCCATTCGACCTGCTCCAGCCGCCGGCGATCTCCATCCAGTACCCACATCCCTTGGGAGAGTCCTCCTCATGCAACCATCCGAGTTCTAGCTGAGTGCCTATACTAAATGCTCCCTCATCCTGGTCCCCATCAATTCCATCGCTCACGCGCAGCTGCTCTGTGCGGTGCATAGCCCCAAACAGAAGCCGCTCACCAGTCACCAGCGTTACGAAGCCGAAGGCGCCGCGGCCCAGCACTGCCTCCTCCACAAACAGCAGGTGACCGGGCTGGGCGCAGGTGCCCTCGCCGGCAGCCGCCGCTGCCATGTGCCGGGCCCGCGGGCGGCACAGCGGCAAGCTCGCATCATCCACATGGCCCCGTGCGGTCGCCAACATGGAGCCGGTTACAGGGTCGCGAACGATGCAGCGGAGACGTAGCGTTGCTGGCCGCCGGTGCGGTAGCTGCAGGCCCATAGAGCACAATCCCACGTCCTGAGCCGGCAGCTGCAACCGTGGCTCCCCTGCATTGTCCGCTGCCCTTTGATCTGCGAGCAACCATTCCCCTCCAGCAGCGCCTGCCACCGTCGCCGCTGGCTCCACCCGGAGGCCCTTACCCTGTGCCGGAGCCTGGGGAAATGCCTGCTGCTCGCGCTGGTCATGGCTACTGCCGGTGGACAGGCTGGTGCTGGAGCCCGACCTCACCGGAGCAGAGGAGGTAGCTGCGGTAGCCGCAGCAGCTGCTGCAGCACAAGGAGCGGCCTCCACATCCGAGGAGGACTTGCAAGCTAGGCCGACACCGTTATGCAAGGTGACATCTTGGGTGCCGGGCAGCGCGGCCAAGTTGGAGAGGGAGCTGCGGCGGGAGGATGGCGGCGATACGGGAGATAGCACTCCGTCGGGGCTGGGACCCGGGGCTGCAGCCTCGGCAAGGCGGGAGAACGCGTGGGCTGTAAGCGCTTCTGCGACCGCAGGCACAGCGCCTGCAACACCAGCGGCGGCTCTCCCATCCCCTGCGCTGGTGGGGTGAGCACAGGAAGGTAGATGTATATCGACAGCCGGCGCTGCTGTGGTTGCAACAGCGGAGGGCTGCGTGCCTTTGCCCTGACGCGGGCCCCGTGCAGAGCCCTGGCACAGGCCTCTAGGGACTCCCGCCAGGGCGTCCGAGTTGGAGGCCGCGGAGCAATGCGGACAGGAAGAGCCGGTGTCTGAAGCTAGGCGCTGAGGTTGACCGAACTCCTGTTGCTGCTCGCCGTTGCGACATTTCGGTCGCAGGTCCAGCGTGGCCAAGGTGGTTTGCTGAGCCAAATCACGCTCAACCCGCCGTGCGAGGTTCTCCTGTGCGATACAAACGTTTCGGTGAGCGAAGGAGTGGGAAGGGTGGATTGGTGGATGGTGGTAACATAAAGATGAAGTAAGTGGGGAGCCGTGCGACAAGAAAGCAGCTAGCATATCCAAAACCGCAATAACTTAAGCGAACAAGGGTTCGACATTTCATTCCAGGATGCACTTGGAAACAGGTATCGCGACAGGATAGCAACAACCGTTACGCAAGCAGACGGACGACAGTCATGCGGCTGAACCGTCACCTGAAAGGCATTTACAATCGCTCTCCATGGCAACGCCGTTGTGTTGAATATGTTGGCCATCAAACCGATGAGAAAGGTATTGTTGTGCGCTCAGTTTACACCTCCCGTTGCGACCACCGACTAATACGGAAGCAACACAGCCCACCGCCACTTTATCTTAGTTCAGACGTGGGGGAGCTGCTCAATAGATCAATAACTAGGTCAAGTCGAAAACTTGGCAGTGCCATGGAGAAAATGTGTGGATGCTCCTACATTGACACAGACTCCAACACAGCCTCAGCTATCAGCTGTTTTCATGCGATGCTCAAGCCCTGTGGCCATGCCATTTTTCGCCCGTGTAACAAGAACTGCCTTCCCTGTGGCGAGAATTCAATATGCAGTGCGAAGCTTTAGATATTGTAAAGCATAAGAACGACGCCATTTAAAATGTATGCAAGACACCGAAAGCACATAAGTGCGCCATAAGGTTCACGGCTCGAACATCATCCCGCATCAACAATCACATGGCTCCGTGACATATCGCATCCCTGCACCAATTTGGCGCTTCTTTCTGCTCCACCAACTCAATCTGCGCTGATTTCCCATATTGCAACCCTCTGAGAAGTCAAGTCAGCCGTTCAAATAAAACTTTTGTTACCTTTCTCAATGACCGTCAGCCAACATCGCGGTTACTTCACCTTTGGAAATAAGCAAATATTTGATGAAGCAATTTGCTACCCGTCCCCCGCCGTAGTCCAAGTCCTCACCACAGAAGTCGTACATTTCGAAACCCCGGACCCATTAGAGCATGAGTACCCAAGCAGGATACCCAAATCTTAAATTCTTCTCTTTCCATTTATCCACGTGTCTGGATTTCAGCATCTGGTCTGGCCTCATCAGCTAGCCGCCGCTGAGTCCCGCGTCTCAAGGCCCCCAAGCCCTGTCGCTCCCTCGTACATTTTGGCCGCGCCGCCGCTCCCCAGCACCACCTCCCCTTCACTGCCACATAACCGCTCCAGAGCATTCGGATCAGTCTTGTCCTGCAAGCAAGGACACAAGAAGGCGCCGTGCGGGACCAAGTAACAACGCAGCAGCGACGCCATAGGCATGCAGGGCCCTCCCCAAGCCAGATGCAAGAAGGGAAGAGATTTTGCTGCCACCAGCACCCCGGCCCTAGGCCCCAAAACAATCCTCGGGGGTTTGAGATACCGCAGCGGGCGCAGTTAAAGCGGAGATCATCATAACCTCACCGCCCACAATGCCCCATGTCACCAACAAATTCACCGTCAGCGGCAACCCATCCCCTATGCACATCACATCACATCGCGAAGGAGCTTCCCGACCCCAGCAGACCTCCCACGCTATCCACTGAGTACCCATGACCTGCCTGCCGTGCATCCCCTCCCTACCGTACTTTCCGCTGTAAGCACGCAAGGTCGGACCTGAGCGCCACCCCCACCGTCGGCATATCCCACACACCTCAACTACCTGTCCTTTCTTCGCCTCCTTAGGCCAACTTCCCAACACACACCACTAGGGCTCTGTTCTGCCCCACTGGTCCTTTCCCGCACCTTGACCAGCTGCAGGAACTCCTCCAAGTCGCAATCCAATGACTCGTCCGACCCCTCGCCCCCACGACCACTCGCGGCGCTGCTGCAGCCAGGCACTGGCAGCACCTGCTCGTTGTACAGCAGCCGTACCAGGTGCTTGGGCCGGCCTCTGGGGTGGGGGAATGAGGGGAGGGTGCGGGGACGTACGGGCGGATGGAGGCGCCCGGCGGGGTCCGACGTCAGTTGCAAGCTGGTGGGATTTCAGTGGTGGTACCCTTGGAAGCACAATCCGGCGTCCAGGGAAGGCACAACTCGCCACCAATCATACTTCACCACCTTTTAGTGGCGAGGTTCCGAACACCCGGGACTCTCCATGACCCTAAAAACATGTTAAATCCCGTTTCCGTGGCGGCTTCGCCCCCTTGTCGACGTCTCGGCGCACACCCTTTGCCGCCCTCAGATGGCGCGGCAGTCCCCACACAAGCCAGGCGAGCACTCACAGCCGCACCCCCCTGGATGCACCTCCCACCCAGGGACCCCGGGCGCGCAACCTCCCTAACGCCGTACACATGCACTCGTCAGTCCTGTTCGCTGTAACGACTTCCAGGAAAACAGTCCTCCGTCTCTTCAAAAACCTTTGATCATGAAATTTTCACTACTCACGATAAGTTCTCAGCTTGAACTTCTTAACTTATTTCCCGGCGCCCTCACAGCCGGTTGTTCCCCTCCCCCACGCGCACCCACACACCTACACACACCTTGCAACTCCAGTTGCCAGGCACACCAACGTAAACCATTTCGTCAACACCCCCACCACCACACACCCCAGTCACCTGGGAGCTCCATCGCCCTCCCTCCTCCGGTATAGCACCAGCGCCATGTTGGCTCCGAAGGGCGCGATGCGGGCGCCCTTGAACATGCGGTAATCGTCGCAGGTGAACATGGGGTACCAGCCCTCGGGGGGCTCCACCCAGTCAGTGGGGGGGGGAGGACGGCCCTTGTAGCACACGTGGGAATCTTCACTGGCCATGCTACCGGGACTGCGGCCTCCGCCTCCGCCGCTTCCTGGAGATCCCGAGCCGGGGCCCCGCCGCCCAATGGCATTCAGGTGCTGCAGCCTGTACAACCGGTGGCAACGGGGGAAAGACGAACCACGAACGAGTGAAGCTGCTGCCAGGGCAAGAGTGTACGGGGCAACGGGGGACGGGACAGGGCGTCTGTTTGTCTGTCTGTCTATCTATCTGCCTACCTGTCTATCTGTTTCACGTGCAGGTTATTTGGTTAATGTTTGGGTTATACCTGGAGGTTTGCGTGACGTGACGTGGGTTGTGAGTCCTGTCTTGAGCCGCGACGAGGGAAACTTGTATGTGTGTGTATGTGCGGCGGCTTACCCTCCTGGCGATTCCCCCCTCTCTAAACACCAACCCCCCCTCCCCCCAACCCCCCTCCCCGGGTCACGTACCCGGTCGCCATCATGTGCAGGTCCTCCAGGGTGTCCAGCCTCCGCAGGTGCCGCTGAGCGGCTGCGGGGGACACGGAGGCCGCCAGCTGCGCCGAGGTGGCGCCAGGGGGCGGCGGGACAGGGGGCCGGAACAGCCCCAGCAAGCTAGCCAGAGGAACCAGCGTCTCGCAGTGCGCAAACAGGAACCTGCGTGTGAAGCCATGTGTGCGGGTGTGTATGTCTGTATACGTGTGTGTGTGTGTGTGTGTGTGTGGAGGGAGTGCCGGTGGTGGTTGGCGGTGGCAGTGTCCTAGGGAGGAAAGTGGTGGCGTGCTCCCTCGGTGCCCCTCGGATTTTGGAGGTGCGAACCGGAGCAAAGCACAGCGAGGCAATGAGCAGATGCAACAAGAGTTACTTCATACACAGAGATCAGAAAACAGCGACGAATGCTGTCAGCGCCCTCACCTAGCCACGGGCGCCATCGCGCCGTCCGGCGTGTGGGCCGCCGCCGCCGCCGCCTTGAGCGCCTCCGTCGCGTCGTGCAGCAGCGGTGCCGCTATTTCGTAGTTGATGGTCGCTCCGTAGCTTTGCGTCTCCAAAAGGTGGATGTCGTCCACCCACTCGAGCATCATCACCTCCTGATCAATACGGCCAGGAGGGGCGGGGGGGCGTGCAACGTCATTGTTATTGTCATGGTCGTGTGGAGGAGGTGGCGGCGGGATGGAGCGGGCAGGCCCTGATGGCAGGCCCTTATCTCCCCTCCTCCCCCCAACAGCCTGTAAGCGAGCTGCCCTGACGGCCCCGACCCCGACTCACTTCGCCCGATGACATCAAGCCAGCATGACCTGTACTAAACCGCACAAGCCTCCTCTCTCTTGCAATGCCGCCTCCGGCTCCCTACTTCCTGTCCTGGATGCCCTCTGACCAAGCTAAGCAATTTCTTGCCCGTTCACATGCCCATCTGACAGTCAGTCTGTCTATCTGTCCGTACTTTTCCCGTCCGTAGCTTGTACGGATCTGTCAGCCCCTCTGACTCCCCTCCCTCTCCCACTTGCCGCACTGCTGCCAGCCGGGACCCCTCGCTAACAGTACTCCTAACAAGCACCACATCCCCCCTCAGCCTCATCACCCACCTCCGGCTCAAACAGGCTACACGCCTGGTTGGTTATGTCGTACAGCCCCGCCTCGAGCAGGCAGAGCTGCCACAGCGCCTCCACTTCGCATGGGCTCATGTCACGAGGCAGATCCAGACGCTGCTCCAGGATGGGCACCAGGCGGGACCAATTGCCCTGGGGACGAGGCGAGGGAGAAAAAAATCCAATTGCCGCCTGGTTCATGGATAACGAGGCCAGAAATCAGAAAGATGACTGGATATGCAATATGAAAACTCAACACGGGCCAAGTGGGAAAAGAAATTTAAATTTTGACCTGAGTTATGGCAAAAACCTGGAATGCGATATTGGCTTAATGCTCCGGGTGCTGCGCGGCGGCGCAGGGCTACAGGCCCAGTGAACGTGTTCCGGTGCCGCAGCCCGGCTCCTTAGACCTCCTCTTGCCATGTTAGGGGGTCACCCACCTGCATCCAGGGGCCGATCCACTTCTCCGTGAACTCGTCATGCTGGGCGTACGCGGGACAGACCTCGAAGAAGCGCAGTAGCGGGTCGGCGTCCTTGGGGGCCATGCTGATGGCCACCGCCTGGGCCCGGGGCCAGGGTGCGGGGTGTCGGAGCGGAGTCAGGGGGTTCTGCCGCGGTCTTGAGAATGGAAAAGGACCCTGAACCGCACCGGAAACGACTTCTCTTCCTCACCCTCCTCCTCCTCCCGAAAGGGCTCCCAGGTTTTCCTTCTGCTCACACACACCCCACAACGATATCTCATATGACGGGAGGCTGTGTCAAACGGCACCGTAAGGCCCACCTGGGGTCTTCGGATCTTGGGCGAGTCCCGCAATGTCTCATCCAGCTCCTCGTGGAGAGCAGCGGCCGCCACCAGCGGGGACTTCAACCTGCCCACAGCGGGGAGGGGGGAAGGGAGGTACGGGGGCCAAGAGTTAAGGGATCCCACGGAGGCAGGGAGAGGGGGAATACTGCCCGGGAAGATTTCCAGGGAGCAAGACCTGCCGACGGGAGCTGCAGAGGAGGATTTGGGCAAAAGTCGTGGGGATCACCGTAGCCATCTCATGTACACAGGCACGTACAAACGACTACAGGCGCAACAGGGATTCATGGGAATGAACGTGCGCTCACCTGCCTCCCTGCAGGGCCACTCGCCGCGGCTGACCCGCCGGGTCGCTATTCATCACCTCGCCGCCGCTCCGCACCGCATTTGCATCCGCCGGCGCCCGAGGCGGCTCGGGGTTGACGTCGCGCGAGTCGTCCGCGAGGTCCTTGGTCCCCACGCCGGGGAAGAATCCGGACGTGAAGGCGCTGGCGCTAGCTGCCGTACGGGCAACCTGAAGGGGACGGGTGGGTAATCGACCCGCCGGGGGAAGGTGAGAAGGGGGAAATGGACCAGCTGGTACGGCAGGCAGACACGATGGACGATGCATGAAGCCCCGATATGTTACTTCGGACGTATACAGCCATGCCGTACTGGTAAGTGACAACACCAGCTATGGTGAGCGCGCATGGTACGGCACACATGCCGTCCCAGACAGCTCGCCCCTCATGTCCCCATATCCTCTCTCTCACAGAGAGAGGAGACTTCCGACCCGCTCTTCCCCCCACCCCTCCTCTTCCCCCCACCCCTTCCCTTCCCCCCTTACCCCACACACACACACCTGCGTGGACACCACAGGAAACCGCTTGGGGAGGTAGTCCTGGCTAGAGAGGGAGGGGAAGCGCTTCCGCAACCGATAGGCCAGGTTCCAAAGCTCGTCCGCCCCTGCCCGGGGGAGGGGAGGAGGGAGGCTGTGAAGAAGTTCTGACAGTGAGCGGGCAAGACGCAGCTGGATAGAGGAAGGGAGTTAGGGCCCGGAGCCCCACAGGGAGTCACATGAGGCGGGAGGGCAAAGGGTTCAACCCAAGAATTAGCTCGAAGCAGGTCCTGCGCACGCTGGGAAAGGAGTCAGATGTCTCAGTCCAAACCCCTGATGTATGAGGTCGTGATCCCCCGCTGATCTTCGCTGTTACGGACTTTGTGTTGTGCGGCCGTGAGACTGTCAAGATATCGCTGCTGTCACATTCCGCCTCCCTGGCGAGCCGCCACGCCGTCACGCAAACCAGTTCCCACTCATCCATCCCTTTCGTTGTTTTTCCCTTCCCAGAGCCTTCACCCCTTCCCGCCTACGCCGCCACTGCCGCCACACCAGTGGGGTGCAGCTCGCCGCCCATCAGAGCCACATTGGAGAAGGGCGCCGTCCAGTTGCGGATCCACGGGTGGTCGGCGGTGTTGCGGGCATCCTGAGGGGACGGGGGGTCCAGCGGTGATGGTGAAGGGGGATGTCATTCGACTTGCCGGGCGGCTTGCATCACTGGCTGAGACGTCCACTCGTTCACGGGGGAGCAGCATGGTTAGCGGTATTCCCGCCCGGGCCCACGGGCTGCGTCTCACCGCAAACAGCGCCTCAAGGCTGTTGATTTGCCGCATGCGGTCGCCAGTGGGCCACCGGGTGCCATGGCGGGCCAGCAGATAGAGATGCACCGGGTCGTAACCCTCCGGATCCGGTGCTTTGTAGACGGAAGGCGAGCTAGAAACTGCCAGGCGAAAGGCGTAGCGAGTCTGCAGGCAATGGAGCGGACTGAATGCTGGGTTTTAGGAGATAGGACTATTACCGAAGTGCGCAGCATGCCTTACCTTCGTGCCTAGGTGACGCCTGACGTCGAAACCGCGGGCTGCTAGTGAGCTGAGACAAACCACTGTCAGTATTAACAGGGGAGCAGCGGAAATGGGCCCCATTTTCAGGTCAACCGTCGACATAGCGCTTGCAAGGTAATCATGCCCAACCAGGGCTGCAAGCCGCAATATCCATCCATAACATACAGATCACTAAAAGTATCTAGATTCACTTGCCAGCATATGCGTTAGAACTGATGCTCTCTATGTACGGGGATTCGTACTCACTTGGCGCAAACCGGAAGACGGCCCCGCGTGTTCAAATAATTAACAATGAAGCGACCTATGACATTCGAATACACCAGCAATTTTCCAGGAATAACATTTGATGCTCAGCGTAGCTCTACATAATGCCAAATTCGGAACTTATGGATGGCGCATCAGAATCATGAGGCTGTGCTCCAGAAGAATAGTAGTTGTCTAAAGGTTGAATTTCACAATCTCTTTGATATAGTGTCGGGGTAAATTGAGCAGTAGAAGTTGTAGGTGTCATGAACAGCGTGTAAGCACAGACATTCCGTTTAGGATGCGTTGCACTGCAATTGGACCACTGTAAGTGCTGTACATGTGAGGTTGCTTTCTTCCTAAAGCTGAAACAGCCATAAGTAACTCGCATAGTACGTCTCGTACGTCGGCTCGCAATCATTGCCAGTGTTGGCGGTGGTATTTCTTGTTGGGGAATATTTGACTATGTTGGTCGCCATAGTTTATCGCCAATTTTTCACAGTAGCCCCTAAATGTTCGAATCAATACAAAACTGCGTTCTTTGCTGCCAACCGAACCCTATCCATGCTGTAAGGCATCCCTCTTCAGCTGAGCTGCTAGGACCTTCAGATTCCACCCCGATTATGGATCCCCTGGGCAATGTTGCATAATTTGAACCCATAAACGGCGTCAAATCGTGGCTCGTATCCCGTTACAATAGCAATCCAGTTGCGCTGCTGGCCCAGCCACTGCAGTTCTCCAGCTCCACCTCCGCCCAGGACGAGCAGGGCGCAGCAGCGGCACTCAGCAGAACCCGCCCAGCTGCTCTGACGGGGCGGGGGCCTCTTTACGCGGCGGGGGCCTCCTCGCCCGCCGGGGCAGCCGGCCGGTCGAGCTTGGTGCCCACCTCCTCCGAGTAGTCGCCGTGCACCTCCATAAGCTTCGTGATGTCAAACTTGGGCGCCTTAAGCACCTTCACCTTACGGATGAAGGTGTTCTGCAGAGCAAAGCAGCAAACCGTTAGTGAAACACGTGGTAGAGCACGTGACAATAGAGGACGCTGTTCACGGCCCCATGGACAGCAGAAAGAACTCGGGGAAACTACAGCGAACCTCATGTCCTTCACAGCGCAAGACCAAGCGTGCGCGCGTCAAGGGTATCGGAATGACCGCAAGCCTTGGTGTGCCGAGGAAATGCAGACCACAGCGACCATATGGCCACCCAACGAATCGCCTAATGCAAGGTCCCAAACGACAAGAGGAAACTATTGTTTTAAAACCCACCTGAAGGGGGTAGATACCCTGGCACGACTTCTCAATGTCCTTGCCGATAGCCTCCGGGATGAACTTAGCCACGAGGTCCTTCAGGTCGCAGCTGGTCGCCTCGCGGGTGATGATCTCCGTCATCTTCTTGCGGATTTGGCGGATCTACGAGGGGGGAAGGACGAATCATATAGGGCGACGGCTAGATTCGTGGGTTCCAAATTTCCAATTCCATAATTGCCCAACATGGTAGGCTTCCTCTATGTGTCTATCGTGTTTATGCATGGTCCATACTACATATGGAACAGCAAGGATCACAAATCCATCCTTGGGACGCCAACACACCCCACTCCTTTTCAGCCGCGCATCCGAACGGAATGCATGTAATTCGGCTTGAAGTTAAGCTTGAGGGCGCCTTTGATGGCCAACGGCAGGGTGAACCCATTTCAACGTACAGGTGGTATGCCTCTGTTGACACGAGACCGCGGAACCATTGCATCGCCCATTGCAGCAATACTGTCGTGGCCTAGCTTCCCAAGATGGCACGCCGACTGGTTTACGGAACGCAGGTACCCGTTCGGTCATAAGCAATTGCTGCCACATCAAAGGAAATGCCATCCCAGCCACCTCACAACCCCGCTTATCCGGACTGCACGAATCCGTTTGAACGTTTGATAAACAGTTTGGAAAACCCGCGCCGGTCCAAAGACCGATTACGAAGGGCTGCGGATCACAGCATATCAGGTCCCAAACAACATCACCGTGCTTATTGGCTATTTCCAGATTCCATGTAGGTGGACCAGGTGAATAAACCAGGCCGGAGCTTCCTAGACATTCTCGAGTCGGAATGGCACGGATCGTGCCTCGTACGCCCATGCATGTGAATTAAGATTGCGTGCACGTTTCCCCGAACCAATGCCCGTCCCTTCCGAGCCAAAACCCTATCTGCGGGCGTACCTGCGCGCTCTGGGCGTAGCAAGTACGCTTAATTTGGCCCTGGCGCTTCTTGGTGAACGAGATGCAGAACACGCGGAGGGTGTAACCGTCTGTGGTCTTGACGTCCACGTGCGCCTCAATCAGCGTCTGCCACTTGCGGACCAGCGAGCGGAGCTTGTCCGTCGTGAAGTCCATACCCTGTGAGTGGCAGCACCACAGCACCCAGATTAACACACCTAATAAAAAAACTGGGTCCGAAACCTGTCGTAACCCCCTCACGTTGCTATGGGAATACTCGCTTCCAGAGTACCCGTTCCCAAACGCCAGCCTAGGAGGAAACCCTGCTATGCAGCAGGCCGTAACAACACAAATATGTTGTCCTCGACAGCCTCCGGCTGGGATATCAGATGATAGCCTACTGATGCTGGAATCCCACACTGGGGGTCTACTGCTGTAGCGCGCCCTGTCCGCAAGCCCCAGCTCCAGCTGCTGCAGGTCCTTCTACAGCATCCTCGGCGCAGCCGAGCTGCTGCATTGGCATGACTTATCCGTACTTGTATCAGCAAGCGAGTGTAGGCACCGATGGTGCCGAGAGCTGCTTGCCTCCAGCAGCTGCTGCACCTCGCCCCGATGCAAGCCCAGTTATAAGCGCGTCCAAAGATAAACTATTGCTCGCAACAGCTGCTTTGGATTGGTGTTCTTCAACGGCGCCGCCGTGCACCCTGGTCCCTTGCGTGGGGCACATTCAGGGCCAAGATATGTTATCAGCCCGTAAACTCACCCAGAAGTTAGTGAGGCAGTTGCGGCCCTGCACGTCCTCAACGCGCAGGCGCATCTTGCGGAAAGCATCGTCCTCATTCTGCAAATCCGATGAATAATTAAATGTTATCAGACCTGGACATAATCTTCTGTTCATAGGTGTTTTAAAACAAGCATTTTCTGCGTTTGTGCGGGTAGGCCGCCGTCATCACCTTCTGCAGGTCGGCTAGGGAGACCTCGAACACGCGGCCCTTCAGCGCCTCAGACGCAATCTGCAAAGAAATTTGTATTTGTTGGCCAAGCAGAGCATAAGTCGCTAATGACATCCCTGCGCCGCCCCATGGCTGACCTTGGTACCCTGAGTCCTGGTCACCAAGGTCTTGCCCACATTGCGGACCGTGAAAACGGTGGGAGCCTTGATGTCATACCAGTCCTTCTTGGCGAAGGGGTCCGAGCTGCGCCGCGGCGGGAAACGACGTGAGAGTGGGCCTGAGCCTGGCGCGCTACATGGCGTACTTACGCCTTCTTCTTGCCTCCCTTCTTCCCCTTGCTGATGCGCTTGTTTTTGCCGACAGCCATGGTTGCTGCGGTCGTCAACAAGCAAGCTGCTGACCAAAAGAGGGAGCCAGTGTATGCAAACGACCTGTAACATCATGCCGAAAATTGGTTGGCTCCAGGAGAGCGGCTGCAACGGTCATATTTGCGCCCTGTTACATGTATCTTCGTTATGTTTAAAATGATAATCTCATTGCTAGTATTTCTTGCATGCTATAAACAAAAAGAAATTGCTGTCGGCCAGTGGAAAAGCTCCCCCCTATGGAATAAAGTTCTGGAGTTGCAAAACAATGTATTTTCAGGGCGGATCTTTCGTCCTGTATTAAGGCAAAGCGCTGGACAAGCCTATCGTTTTTCTGCTTTACGCCGGCGTGTAGAACAGCGTCGCCTTTTGCCTCTAAACCTTATGCCGCACGTTCACGGCAGGGATTGGCGATAGCCACTTAGCAAAGGATTCAGTGTATAGAGAAAATAATGCCCGCTGTGCCGTAACTAGCTTGCATCGGCATCTTGTGATTTCCTTGGTGCCGCGGAGGACGTTTGCGAGCAGCGGTCCTTAGCGGGCTGTTTCAGCGCAGACGGAGCACCGTATGGCCTCATGGCGCTAAGGATAGCACTTCTATGGATGCCCGTACGGTACCGTTGTTTGTAACTGTTTGTAGGCTGTGCCGCGTTCCGATGCGCCGCCCCAACCCCGTACCATGTGCTTGGCTGTGACTTATACACGGGATTACACACAGTGATACAGCAAATGGTGCCTAAACCTTTGTGCTTCGACGGACTTGACATGACGCAAAGCACGCATTGGGCTGCTTATCTGCAGTCGGAGCTTTCAGCCATCCTGAGCAACGGGCTTTAAGCACAGGCAAAGGCTAAGTTGCTCTCCTGCCTGGGTAAAGAGGATAGGTGTTGTACCCTGGAAGGGCTAAGCTACCTTTCAGATATGTGCGCGAAATGACCTTAAATCTATGGTATGCAGTTTTACTTGGAAAAGGGGGCCCCCAACCTTGGCTGCAGGTCGATACGGTCACAGGAAGGGAAGCCTTTTCGGTACGACAATGCAGAATCACCGCAGGCTTCGCAGGAGTCACGAAAGTAGCACGCAGTACATGTCAGGCCAACTGGTATACGCAGGCCCTCGTAAACACAGTGAACTACGTGCCCAGCTACCCCAAGCTCGCATCTAGTTCGTCGCCTGAAAGGTTTCCTTCGCGTGCGTTCTGTTTCCCTGTCCGAGTGTAGGAGGACACTGCGACGCGATGAACCCCACCGCAATATCCCGCCCTCGGGATGTCACACATCCTAGGAACCATGGCCTTATTTACGGTCGCGAGACACTCTTCCCCCTCCTGACCAGATATGCCGCTGGGCGCTGGCCTGAAATTACACCTCTATGCAGCATCGCATGTGTGTCGGGAAGGCTGCTTTGTCACGCCAAATAATCTGGTTTGTTACGATGTTAATGGCTTCGTTCTCAGATTGCCCCACAGTGCGCATGGGCATCGGCTAGTAAGCCAACGGCATCTGGCTTTTGTTGACCTTAACGAAGCGTCACACAGGTCAGGGCACATAGGGCAGGTCAGGATCGGCAGGGTATTTCAAACTTCGCCAGACTGCGAACTCGCGCGTAACGGCAGGCTGCAGCCCATGGAGCGCCGCCGGTTAATTGCGGCACTCATCGGGTTCTTGTTTTGAGAGTGGTAGGTTTCAGTTGCGTGTCAACCGTTCGTTTGCGGCTGCCAGGGTTTGTATGCTCTATTCGTCACGGGCAGGTACGGGTAGGTACGGGCACTTCGTCACGTGGATTAAAACTTGCCACGTGGATTCAATCTTGCCTTGTTTGCCACGATGCCCACGGGAGCAAACGGCAGCCAGTCTGACCGTGAATTATGGTAGCAAAACGTGCGAGATTATTCCTTGTCCTTGTGGGAATTTTGGAGTTTTGATGATATTTCCAAAACGACAAGTACAATTGTCATAAGAATGGTTATTGAGCACAGGACACAACAATCATGTTGGCCGTTGCTCTGGTTGAGCTGCCTTCGGAGCGGATCCGCCGGTGCCACAGGTCCATGCAAAGCAAATAGTTCCATAGATCTTGCGATGAGACATTTTATTGCTTATAGATTACTCGCTTCGTCATTATAATACTTATTTAATTTTCACAATGCAACTCCGCAACATGGGAAGCGCTACCGCGCTCAGTCGCGGCCGCGTCACTGTCACGCCGGTGAAATGCGTGGCCCGTCCGCAACAGAAGACGAAAATTGCGAATGGAGAGGTCAAGCTGATGTCCTCTGCGGTGCCACGTAAGTGGAATTATGAAAACTTGTTAATGCCAGTTTTGATGCTGATTGGCCCGATGTTCACTTCCGCCACAGTCTTCAGTGTTGCAGCCGTGGATGCCATCTATCAATATCTTAAGCCTCAGGCAGAATACTTTAACACTCTCAATATTCCTGAGGTACGGGGTCACGTTGCGCTGTGGCAACTCGGAACCAAGAAACACTCTCAACCTCTTTCTCGCCCTCCCCGCCGCTTCCTAACGGACGCAGGCCATTGTGCACTGGGGTCATCCGGGCAATATGGCCGTGGTGCTATTTGCGATGGGTGGCTACGGCGCCGCGTATCTGGGCTGGCAAATCCGGACGTCAACCGACGGGGTGAGCAACTGGCAATGCCTCAATCCTCGGTGTCCCTTCTGCCTCGCTACATGCAGCGGCAATTTAACGTGTCAGTTAACTGAATGCGTTAACTTTCTGCACGCCCTGCAGGAGGTAGTGGCGAGGGCTAAGGAAGCGCACCCTAAGGTACGGCGCGCCTTGGCGTGCGCCGTAATTGGTTGTTATCGTAAGCCTGGAAGGCGGTTCAGTTTCCATTCCGCGATACTCGCGTCATATTGCAATTTACTAGTGCGTTAGGCTAATGGATATGGCGTTCGGCATTCCTGACTGGCCGCCGAAGATGGAAATCCGACCTATGTACATTTCATTGCGTTAGCCTGTGCCTTCTGCTGTCTAGCCCCTGCTAACGGCTGCCGCCGGGCCCTCGGAGTCCCGAGGCACCCCCTGTCGCCCTAGCTGACCTTGCCTTACCCTTCGTTGGCCGGTTCGTGTCCTGGCAGCTCGCCGCAGGCATGTTCTTCTTCTTCACCCTGGGGGCCTTGGGAGGGATGCTGTCCCTACTCATGCAGGGCAAGCCCATCTTTGAGAGGTACGGCGCTGTCCTGCTGCGGATCACCCGGGGGTGGCCTAACTAGGCATAGGCTGGTGCCTGATGCGGTGTATGCATGATGACACCATGACTTGGAGCTGGGAGCAACTGTGTCAAGCTGAAACCAGAGTTGAACCCGTTTGTTTATCTGCCCTTGTGAGCTACTTCGGCTCATGTATTCTCCAACCTCAACAAGCGGTCCCACGTGGCCAACCAAACCCCCCTCGCAGCCCCCACGTATGGACGGGTCTGGTGGGACTGGGCCTCCTGGGCTTCCAGTCGTTGCTGCCGCTTGCCTTTGCGAGTGGTACCGGGGAGGCCCGCACTGCGGTACGTGTTCTGGGAGTTCGTGATGGGCAGGAGGGGAGCTTCTCAGTGATGCCGCTGCAGCCGGATTTGGGACCGTCGTCACGTCATTCCCATTGTCGTTCGTAGACGAACAACAATAGAATTGTGTCACCATGTGCCGTAAAGGTCCAAACGTGGCTACGGCATATGCGTCATGATACCCGGGGTGTGGCCCCAGCTGCTGCCAGCATGCAACTCGTCATGCATATCATTGCATTTTGCATAGGAAACTCCGCCTCCGTCGCACGCTGCTCTTATTATTGCCTGACAGCCCGCGTTCTGGTATGCTTAGCCTATCGTTCCGTGCCCGTGAGCTTCCCGCCGTTACTACTTGTCACTACCGCCGCCTACTTCGTTACCGCAGCACGCTTACCTGGGTTCTGCCATCATGGCGCTATTCCTGGTGCATGCGGCGCTGGGCCTTCAACTCGGTCTCAGCTTCTGAAGGACAAATAATAACCGCCCTTAACCGCTACGGAGGATGGTCAGTGCGAAAGCTCTGTTTGCCGGGTATTGCTATGGGTTCCTTTCCTGCATGCACATTGATATGCTGGCCTGGTTATATTACCGCATATTGCGGTTCTGAGGGTTGATAGCACAAGGCAAGCAGTTCGCACAGTCCGTGATTGTGGCGATGTGATGTGTTGTCGGGTACTATCACTCCTTATATAGAAACTACCGAGAGCTGAGAGATATTGCGATCGGCTGTATTATGGTGCTCGGGATTGTAAATTTTTAACTGAGTGGGTTTTCACTATCAACTTAGGTTAGGACAGCGAGTGTGCGTAATCGATATACCTCTTCCAAGCAAAACGATTAACGAACCTCGCGGAAACGCTTCCTACGGCTTGTGCAGCTGCTACAGAACGTGTATTTTTGCCTAAAACAAATAACACCATCAAGCATGCATCCTAGTCAATAATGTACTGGATATGACAGCCTAACTATGCTACGAAAATTCCTCATGGCCACGTTTGTACGATGCAACCTTAACTTCCCTTGCCAGTTCAGTCGTTACATTGAACTACAAACATACACACACATTTCACCATCCTACAGACATTATCAAATTGAAGGCAGATCGCTCACCTACAATAATCAACAAAAAGATAGCATTAGCGTTACAGAAGAATGCACTAGCATGCCAGCCCGTACCCTGTAATATAGGTATAACCCCTGAACCTCCCAGCACTCCGCTGCCGCAACCTGTTATAATGCTTGCAAGATACTATGCAAGACGTTTCCCAACCGTACCAAAATATCCACATTCTCCTGCGTCATCCCACATCATCCCACATCCCTCAAGGCCAAATCCCCAACACCGCCCCACCTCATCCTATCCAATCCCGATGACACGCACAATCATCCTCATGCTCACAAGGCGCTGCTGGCCGCCGCAGCGAGCTGGTTCACGTGGCCAATCGCCAGTCCCGTCGTGAGCAGTCCAAACACCAGGAATGGCTGCGCACTGGCCTGGTACTTGACATCGTTTGCGATGGGATCAGGAATGAAGTACTTTGCTTGAAAGTACATCTGCAAACAGACATGCAAACAAGCATCCTTAGCACAAATCATCCACTCAAGCAGCAACTACAAACAATCTTAATGCATGCCCCGATGATCCCAGACCAGAAAACCATGGCATAGACCCACAAAATCATGACGAGTACTTCAACCCCTGCACCGCGCATCTGTTCTCCTCTGTTCACATGGCTCCTCCCAAACTCCTTCCCACCGGCTCCCGCACCTGTGGGAGGATGAGCCCCAGCAGCACACCCGCGTACGTGTACTGGTGCAGACCAAAGGCCAGGTAAGCTGCCACACCCAGCTGCGTTACGTCAATGGTGGAGACGCAAATCCACTTGGCGGTGTCGACCCCAAATGCGACTGGCAGCGACTGCAGGCCCATCTTCCTAAAAATCAACAACAGGGCGAAGAACTCAACCGTGGTGATCACATCCAGAGCTCTCAATTAGAATTCCGATGGCCGTCCGGAACAGCTTCCCGCGGTGCTCAGTCCGCCATGCAATATGGGCGAGCGCGCGATTTTATCCCACGGCGAAGTTTGCTATGCTGGGCATGGACGCCGCACACGACCAGAGCACATTAACCTAGCGCCGCAGTGGGCCCTATGTATTTTAAAAGCCATGTTTCCTAACCATGCGGGTTCTTCTGCTGGCGGCATTCCGTCATTACTATTGATTGGTGCTGCTCGCTACGGCACCCAGAGCCATCCCCATGCCTAACCGTAAACTCGGCATTCCATATCTTCCCCTGGCCCAGCTCCGTACCTGTCACCCTCAATGCTTTTAAAGTCATTGACAATGGCGATGCCGAGACCCGCCAAAGAGTAGGCCACCGTCAGGGCCATCACGTCCAGTGTCAGGGTGCCAAACAAGGCCTGGAAGGAACCGACAAGGTCGGGGAAGGCAGTGGACCAAATGGAGCACTGCTTTGCCAAGCTGTCCGGTTCCAAAAAGACAGTGGCTACTCCCATGCCAAGAGCTAATGCTGTCATTTGGTAGAGATCCCGACATTGCCGAAGAGCAGATTGTCCACATATCGAGACGTTATAGCTCAGTGGAGCGACTAATAGCCGCGTTCGTTTCGGGCGACTGGACGCGGACCTCCCATGAACTGAAGTCACGCACCGAAGCAGGAACACTTGTGTATCGGCGTGACGGCAGCAGCGCCCCTCCCATTTAGGTGCTGCAGCTGCCCAAGTATTTCGAATGCCTTTACAGGACGCTTATTCAGACAACTCTCTTATTCGTCATTACACAAACCAAACCCATCCTCGCCACCTCCCCCAATCCGCCTACCTGGCCGGCCCACCAGGGGAGGGCAATGTATGACGAGCCCAGTGCATAGTTCCCCGCCCAGCCGCTCTGCTTAAGCTTCAATGGTGGAGCAGAGTAGATATAAGAGATGAAGGAACCAAAGATGGCCAGGTACAGCAGTGTCGGCTGTTCATGTCCTGCCCACGTATCCAGGCCGTAGGAGATGCCCAGTCCGCCCAACAAGAGCACCCAGATTTGGATAATCACATCACTCTCAGAGATGCGGCCTGTGGCATCGTTGGTTCAGGCAATGTCACGGCACGCGAATGTCAGGGGCATTGACTGCAGGTGAAGCCCGTTACAGGCTAAGGTCCTTAAGGGAGCCTTGTGTCGCACATTCGTCTGGATAGCATGCTGAGTGGATTGAAGTAAGCAGTTTGCGGACCGTATGCGGACCGTATGCATGGGCGGTCAATCAGGCGCGAGCACGTTTTGAGATGCTGGAGTCACATCCGATTCCGGTGCGTTACCTACTGGCACCAGAGCGGGATGTGCAAGTGACAGCGTGGAAAGGTGTCCGATAGAAACCTATAGGATGGAGCCACACAAGCCACTTCCCAGAACCTGAGGTCTTACAGACACTCGCGTTTCGATGTTCGCTGTCGCGTGCAGCCTAAGCACACCACCCACCTGAGGGAATAGGACGATAGGGCTCATTGATGGCGTCAATCTCCCGATCATACCAGTCGTTTATTGTCTGGGTGTAGCCCGTCAGGAAGGGCCCAGACATCATCATGCATGTAAGCAACTTTGCGATATCAGTAGGATCATTCCACTGGTAATTCCCAGAAGCAGCAGCCCCGCAAGCGACACCTGCACGTGGAGCGCCCAATATCGTGGTCACGCAAGCTAGGACAACCCAAAACATTCAGTGCGGACCCTGTGGCACTTACCCCAGATTAACGGAATCCATGTGACGGGCTTCGTCAATTGCACGCGGATCTTCCAGATATCCGTCTCCAGCGCTGCACCCTTCATACCAAGGAGCTGGCGCGCCGCGCTGTCAGAGTTCTTCTTCTCCTCGGTCGCTTGCTGGTTAACGGCCTTAAGGGCCACACGTCCTATCGATATAAATGCGGACAAGCGGCGCAGCGTTACAATAGCGTTTCAATCCGTTTCCGAGGTCACACCATAAGTCGCGCAAATGAACCAAATAGTTTGCTTACCAAGGGATGGACGATAGCACACCGATCCAAACGGTCGCGACGATACAGCCCGCGCGGACTTCGCCGCCACAGAGCGAACATGATGGCGATGGGAGCATTGGAGAGCTTGCATTTTTGAGCAAGCAACTTGCAAAATCTTATCCTGGTAGACCTAAAGGATAAAGAATTTAACTCCAGTTTTGTAGTAATAAAAGTTACAGTTTTACTGGCAACTTTGGTGAGTACGGTCTAGTACGACAACAGATGAGATGGACTCCGTTTCGACGCATGCTTCTTTGGACTCCATCAAAATGATGTTTGCAGCGCACGGGAAATCAAACGCTTAACTTTGTTGGACGAAAGGAACCGGGTTTTATGCTTTGGTACCTTAATACTGCTTTAAGACTCGCCTGGCCCCTGAGGCTTCTCGCACTAAGAACAGCGTTGCCTCCTCCGTGCACTCGCTGGAACAACTTCCAACTGTATTTCCCTAAATGCTCGAACAGAGCATAAGGGTGCCATGTTTTTTCGCTTTCCCATACACACCCTTGCGGCCTTTCATGCCTTGACCTCACCTTTTGCCTGGGTGCTGTTTTCGCTGCACACGTGTGCCTTGGCCTCGGTTCGCAGCAAACTAACAGGCTGTGTCTCTCGATCGGCCAGGCAGCTGCCATACGTTGTGTCATGGCACAGGACAGTTGCCAACCCCGGCGCGGGATGGCCCAAGCCGCGATGCCATGGGAATCTGGGCATGGCGCGTTTTGGCCGCTGGCCGGCGGCGAGGATAGAATTAAGCGCGGAGACGACACGCTTCAGCCGGCGGTTTCTCACTGAACTGCGTTACCTTCATCCCTTTTCCCACTTTAACTTTAAGTTTTGGGGACGACTGCGTTACATTTGGGTTGGCATTGGTAAGGCCGGTATCTTGGCTTGCCATACTGCAGCGGACTCCAAAGTACGCGTATTGCTGACAGTAGCAATGCCTTGCACATCATCAGGAGTTGGCGAGGCCTAAGGCGTGAAAACCACGGCTGTAATACACCTCATGCGAAGGGACCTCCTGTGATTCCACGCCTACATAACGTCGCAAAATTCTTAGCCAATGGAAGGCCCTACTCTCCTAGCGTGCGTGAGTAACACATGGCCTGCGGTGCCGAGATGCGAGTTAATGCAGGAAAAAGGCTTTCTCGCGGAAAATTCTACCTGTGCCTGGGTCGTTGCGCTTATGAATTAGCTATGAAACCAGCACGCACGCCGCTCACAAGTCACACGCATGCGTGGACACACATGATCATGTCTGATCACCGGGATGCCGGGACTTAAGGAAGTCAAATGCCATGTACGAATAGTACCTCATGCGTTCGGGGAGAGGAATTGCCGAAACCTCTTACGGGAAACCGAAATTTCCACTCAGCGACTGTGCAAGTTTCGTCCCAAGCTTGCTGAGACGTTGGTTGATCTTGTCGAGCTTGCCACGCAGGCCTGCCCGCTCCGCTTCGCTCAGGTCCCTGTAGTAGGAGGTGCAAAATATCAGTAGGCAGCGAGCGACACAAAAGTGCACTACGCGGCTTGCATCCCAAGTCGGGCATCACTTTAACTGACGGCAAATTGTAATTACCAAAGCGCGAACACGTCCTGCAGTGCTGCCACAGTTAGATTTTCTGCACCTCACGAGCGGCGCCGGCATGCACACGTGTTACTTTTTCCCCTGCCGGGCACCAAGCGTCCTCGTGACGAAATTACGGGTCCATATCAACGCATCCCGGGGAATCATACCCGGGACCTTCATATCATAAAGTGATAAAGTTATCATGGCTCATACGCGCACGTTACAGCAGCACCATGCAGGGTGGAGCTTGGACACTCATTTGCGCCATGCAGTACCATGCAGTACAGACGTATACACCTGCCTATCATGCATCAATCATGCATCCGTTCTCAATTTCAGGTACACATGGAAGTTACCCATACCTCGTTCGCCCGCCCAGACCCCCATGCACGTACCTATTGGCCGACAGCTGCGTCTCGTACTCCCGCGCCACCTCGGCAAGATCCTCGCTCTCGTCAATGCGGCTAACAGACGGCTTGAGCACCAGGCAGTTGCGGCGACCCTTGCGCAGCACACACTCGGAGTCCGGGTTGCGGAACACGTACCTGGCCGGGCGCCGCAGCGGACATAGCACAAGGAAAAAAGGGTGGCCGTGCGGGGCTAAATGGGAGCGACATGCAGAAGGATGCGCCCTGTGGGTCCGTGGCGCTGCAGCGAGGAACCGCCCTCGGACTAAGGGGCCATCGGACGCTGGCTGGCATGCAGGGCGAGGTCGTGTGGCAGTGGCAGTGGGGCATCGCTTGTGCAGAAATGGCATTGGGTCACGTGCTTCGCAAGGTTCGCAAGGTTTCCTGGTTGCGTGGCGGCTGTAACACTGCGAGCCCCAGGAAGTTCCCACCTCGTTGTGCACGGGCAGAGGCGGAGCCTGGCTGCCGAAGCCGCACCCACCTACCTGTTGCCCTTGAGCCTGTCGTCAATGACCACTTGCTCGAACCCCCAATTGCCGGGGCCCAGCGTCTTGCCCTCGTGCCAGATCTGCATGGGCAGTGCGCAGCAGGCTAACCAGCACGGCGGGATAGGCAGCGGCTGTACAACAGTGTCGCTCTGCACCATGCTGTATCGATGGCCCAAGGCACATAGGCAGATATAATCCCTTGGGCCAGTTATGTGGTACTATGGCGGGCTGTCGGGCCAGTGCAGCAAGGCCTGCTGCACCCACCTTGAGCGCGAGGAGCTGACCCATGTCCCCGGTGTTGCTGTACAGCGTGAAGCGGTCAACACAGCCGCGCTGGAAGGTGCCCCGCTCCTTGGGCAGGGCCTGGGCGACGGTAGCCTCCCGGCCTAACAGCTCCAGGTGCACCTGAGAGGCAAGGAATGAGGCAGGGAGTCGCTGGAAAGACGCTGGCAACGCATACCGGAAGGTATGGAAGGAGGTTGACGCAAGCAGCCCATCGATTCGCCTGGTGTCAGAATGCCATCGCTGACAGGGAGCCACGTGTGCAGGGAGAAGGAACGTAGAGCGCAAGCACGCAAGCCTACCATAGAGTTTCCAAGACCCGCGTTGAGCTTGTCGGCCGTGAAGATCTTGATCTTATAGCCGTAGGAGTTTGCATGCGTGCCCCGGCGCGGCTTTAGCGGCACCTCCGTGAAGCCGCCACCATCCTGCCCATCGCTATTCGCGGACTGGTGCTGGCCAGCTGTTAAGTCCTGGCTTGCTCCCGCTACCATCGAGTCGACTCCAACGGCACTTGAGCCGCGCATGAGGTCATCATAGCCGACACTTGAGGAATCAGGCCTGTACAGCACAGGAACGACGCAAACTAGCACATCATCTCCCGAAATCTTCCTTTACCACAGTATCGCACGGCATACGCCTGCGCATGCACCCCTGTATTGCCCGTGCCCTCTGCAATCCCTATGCCGCGTGGGGCGTACATGCAAACAATCCCCCAAGGGTTCGCAATTGCAACGATGCCGCCTTTCTGGTATTTACGTTGCGAAGGGCCCCAGGCAGGTAAGGCCGCCGTGCCAGCTATTTGACCGCACCGACGCACGCACCTGACCGTTTCGCCTTGGGCCTTCAGGATGTCGTCCTCCGTTAGGGAGGCCACGGAGCCGCTGCTGCTCGCGTCGTCGCGCAAGAATTCAAACTCCTGTGCGTCATGATAACATGTAAACGGATTCACACACATCCTAAGCGGTTGGTACTGCTCGCGACTATTGTTTGAAGCTCGCGTTTCTGGCCGAACATCCGCCACACCACCTGTGCTTCGCGCCTTTTTTCCGGACTGGCGCCTTTTTTCCAGACTGGTAGGCACGCGGATTAGATTCAGGCCGCAGATCGCCCTACTAGGGTAAAATGCCATTCGCTTGGGTAGTGCGGCGGCATAGCCTCCATTTTCTTATCCGCTTTGACACTGCTAGCTTGGGAAGCAGCAGGGCCCTAACAGGGTGTTCACATGCGTGCTCAGCTGCCACGCTATCTCCCCAAGGCCGATACATCAAGATGCCTGCCACGCAAACTACGCCTTTTCAATCGCCCTTTGCTTCCCAGCACCTTGCCACAGGGGGTAATGTGACTTTGCACCCCTGGATTAATTTATCCTCTTCCTTATACCCAGTCAGCTTACCTCCGCGTACTCAGCCCAGGAGACGCGTTTGCGGCTGGTGCCCACGTAATCCACCCCAATGACGCAGCCTGACAGCGGTGGTGGCCGCACGCCCTCCGGCGCATATAGTGACAGGGAGGCTGCCGACGCAATTGACAGCTCGCTACCCTCAACCGATAATTCCGACGCTAGGTCACCGCCGTCCTCGCCGTTTCCGGATAATCGCACGCGCCGTCGCGTATTGTAACCGCCGCCTACTCCCGCAAGTGACTCCAGTGAGCATTCCGTCTCTAGCGCAGGGGCGGATAGACGTCGGCCGGCGGAGAAGCTGCTGCTGCTGCCGCTGTTGCGGCGGTTCAGGGGCGGGGTGGGCGGTAGCGGCTGTCGTCGGGCTGCGGCGCCGCTGCCTAGGTCCGCACTGCCTTCCTCGAAGTCCTCAGCTAAGGAATCACGGCGGCGGGGCGCACCCGGGGGGAGCGGTGGACGCGGGCTGACTAGCGCGGGGCCGCTACGGGAAGGTACTAAGCCCATGCTGAACGCCGCGCCTGTGGCGGGCGACGGGGAGGTGGCAGGTAACGCAGCTGTAAGGAAGCCTCGCGTAACACCGGGTGGCGCAAACCGGTACGATTTGTACGTCGCTGTCAACGGGACACCATTGGTGGCGTCACGTTTGTTACAGTGTACGACGGGTGCTTGTGCAAAAATGGAGGTTTATTACTCGAAAGGCGTTAACATTCACTCTGCACTCCTTAAGACGGCAACAGCCATGGCTGCAAATCGTCTCCTTTATAAAGTCGTCCAGCCAGTCCGGCCAGCGGCCCGGCTACAGGTGAAAAGGGGCAAAGTAGCCCCAACCTTACAACCAGCAAGGAAAGCCCACCAGCCACCAAATGCGCCACTTAGCCCCAGCGGCGTCAAGAATGAATAAGCATAAAACGAGAAGTGAACGCACATATTCTGTGCGTCGACCTCCCGCACCACACTGCGTGCACCCAAAGCTGCACCCTGACATCTCACAGGGTTGGTCAATGTAATAACATCATTGCCGTCTACTTACTGGTCGACAGCATTCCATCAACCTCCTCAATGTCTTCTTCAAGTACCACGCCGATACCCTGTGGGACATTGGCGGCCATACGGGGACGCGCCGTGGCCCCCACCGCGGCGGTCGCTGCTGCCGCCGCACCCGCGAACACCGACTGGGGCGTGCTAGCGGGAGCCGTAGCCGCGCGGCTCGTCCTCCCTGAGCCCATGCCGGGCAGGAGATCGTCCCCATCATCCCCGTCGCTGAAGTGTACACTGCCACTCGTGTTCGTCGTGTTCCCGATGCTCCTCTCTACCCTGATGCGTGATGAGGGAGCGGCCGACGCGGCAACGTCGTGGCTCTGCAGGGTCGCCTGCGCCGCACGCGAAAGGCTTTCACTTAATGAGCCCCGTACGCTTCGGCTACCGGTTGCGCCAGCCATGTCAACGGGCGACGGCATATCCGAGGAAACATCCATGGACTCATCCCCTATTGCCGCCAAGCCGCGGCGCTTCGGAGCACCGCCACCGCCGACAGCCGTGCCCGGCAGTGGCGAGGGTGGCTGCGAGCCAGCCAACCCTGCACTGGCCAACCGGGCCAAGCTGTTCTCCCGGCTAAGGCTTAAGTTCGCGCCGGGCAACCGCACGACACGGCCGCCGCGCTGGCCGCCGCGCACCCACTCCTGCACAGTGAAGGCCCATTCTAGGCCGGTCATTAGCTGCTCCACAGTGACGGTCTCCACGTACCAGGAGGCACTAAATCCTTCGCCTGCGATATAGACACCGCGTATAGGGTAAAACAAACCGACTAACGGACATGTGGCAAGATTAAGTGCTGAGAATCCTTAGATTAATGACGGATAGTGTATAGCACCTAATTAGGCTTTGGGTCCTCGAAAGCAGCTGGGGACACTCTACATAGGCTTCTACTCGGTGCGTTCCTGGTATTGCACGCGCGTGGGCTTACCCTGGTGCCAGATATGAATGGCCGACAGGTCGCCTAAATCCTCAGCGGTGTCTATCATGAAATCGTCGGTGGAACCCTCCCGGAGGCACTCGTCTTCATCAGCGTTTTGGCCTCCAGAAGGACCGTGCTTGGCGCTACGCGCAGCTGGGCGCAGCTGCGCCACGTGGGTGCCCTCGCTGCCGTACAGAGTCAGCCGCACAGTGCCCTGGCTGCAGCCCGCGCCGGACCGACTACCAGTTACCACCTGGCATTAGGGAACGGGGTTGGATTGGGAGAGAGGGACTCGTGTCTTTGTTGTCAAGTGACAACACTGCCTCCAAGCGTTTTGTGCTATGCCATTAGCTGTTGGGCCACTTAAGATCAGGTCACACACATGGCGCTATAAATGGCAGTAAGAGGTAGGCGTGCTCTCTCACATATGCTCGTTACGTACAGATGTTGACAAGGATGTGCATCAGGTCTAGGATATTCACCTATGCGGTCAGCGCCAGCAAGCAAAAATGGCCCAACCGCGTCGTCACGATTCGCTGCGTTTGTCTAAAAAGATGCCGCCCTAAGCAGTGAGCATGCACACTTAGATTCCACGCGCAACCTTACCTGTACCCGGTACGCCCCACTGCTGGTGCTCAAGTCACCCAGTGAGTCGGCAAAGGGAATGGCAGGCACGGCACGCCGTTCCTGCTCTTGCAGGTGCATCCGCAACGAGGACGCGGACGTGTTACTTTCGTTGCTTAGCCTGCGTGCCCGGTTCCTCCCTGCCGGTGCTGGCTGCTGCGGCTGTGCTGCTGACGCCGGCGGTGGTGGCCGAAAAACCTCCAGCTCCATTGAGTCATTGCTGTATGTGCGACTTAGTCCGGAGTTACCTGCTCTGGATGCATCAGCGCCGCCGCCTGCAGGGCCGCGACTGTAAGCCACCGACATCCCTTCCTGGCGGCCACCATCGCCGCCGCTACGACCAGCGTCGCCAATGTCGCCATCGTCGCCGCTGCTGCTCACCTCCTCCTCTTCATCATAAAAGTCCAGGCTCCCGTGCACCCGTGCACCTGCCTGGACGGCGGCTGCTGCAGCGGCCGTGCTGGCATAGATGCTGCGAACGCCGCCTGCGGTATTGCCACCAGCGCTGGCACCGGCACCGGCTCCTGTGCCATCGGTGATGCCAGGCCGAGGCGCGTAGATGCTTCGGAGGCCCGTCATCGGCATGGGCGGCGGTGAGACGATGAGCTCGTCGCTATCGGGCAACGGCCGCATGGGCACGATGACGCTAGGCTCCATTGTGGCAGGCCCCTTGCTGGTCGAGGCTCCGAAGCCCGCGATAGCACCACTCATGCTGGTGGCGCCGTCCGCGCTGCTAGCACCGATGCTGGGCTGTGCGCTGGACAGCATGGCCGCGATGCGTTCAGCTTCAACGGACAGCTCCCCGTTCAAGTCCATGGACGTGCTGCTAGGCTCGATAGCCAGGCCGCCCTGCCAAAGCACCCGCAACCCAGCCCAGCGAACAGGTGATAAGTGAAGGAGAGCCGTTCCTTGGAACTCCACCCAAATTAAGTCTACGCATAGCTAAATCACCACAGGCGCGAGCAAATCGAGCAAGCGCACCGGTACAGAGGATACACGCTGTTACGCCTAGCACCAAAATCATGGCTTCGAGCAGTAGACCGCTGGCAACTCTTAGACCCAGCCCTAACATTAACAGCTGCACGTAGCGGATTAGGCACAGCTGCTATCCTTTGGCATCGTGAGGTGAGGTTGGACACACCTGACGCAGCCCGCAGCAATGCTTGCAGCATACGACCTCCTTTAGTCGATTCACGAACCCTGCAATGCTTAATGCCGTCGGACGAACCTCCTACCCGCAAGCCCTCATTGGGCTATTGCACAGCTTATACTTAACGAGCAATCCCAAAACGTCCAGCCGCTCCACTTACCGCATCCGACTTCCGCTGAGCCGATACCGACTCCCCCGGCCGCCCGCGTGGCTGGCCCTGGGGCAGTGACTGATCCTTAGAGCCCTGGCTCTGAATGGGGTTGCGCGAGGAACTCCACTGCTCCGCGGTGCCACCAACTGGGGCCTCCACCATGCCGCCCGTCGCCTCAGCGTCGGTGCTGTCCCCAAAAATGTCATCCTCATCGCTGCCATCCTCGAGCAGCCCACCACCAACGCCTTCCGGCGGTGCAATTAGTGCCAGGCTGTCTTCCGAAGTCAGAAGGCTCATGCGGCTGCTCATTGTGGCTGGCGGCGGCGCCGTCACCGGGTCGGCGGTACGGCGCAGCCCTGGCGGCAGCGGCGGCAGAGATGATGCGGGAGCAGCAGCACTGCCTCGGCTGGGCAGGGGTGGGGCAAGGGAGGACAGCGAGTCGCTGGCGCTTAGGTTGCCGCGGTTGGCGACACTTCGAGGTACCTCCAGGTCCGCGTTAGAAGCACCGTCATCGCTGTCATCCCGGGGTAGAGCAACCTTGAGGGACGCGGCGGAGGGTGCATTCGTGACCGCTGGGGACACGCCGCGCGGCGCAGAGCTGTTTGCACCGTCATCAAAATCGTCATCATACTCCTCCGCCACCTCCTCCGCCTCCACGTCATCGTCGTCCTTGTTGCCGCCGGCCGGCGCCGATTCATGGACAGTGGCAGTGCTGCCACGCAGCGGCATCTCGGCGCTGGGGCTTGCTTCCTGCCCACTGGACGCGCCGGTAGCCCCTGTATTCTGGCTTCCATGTCCACCATCCATGCTGCCTGGTGGTAGAGCAGCAACAGCGTGCCCGGGGGAGTTGCCGAGCTGGCTTGCATTTCCCGTCAGGGGGGAACCTGGCGGAGATGAACCCAGCGGCGCCAGGGCTCCGGCACGCGCAAGAGGAGGCAGCGCGCCAAGCCGGGGAAGTGGTGGCAGCACCTTGGCGCCCACAGGACTGAGAGGAGGGAATGGCAGCGGCGAAGCGGTAATGCCATCTGCGGCAGAGGCATCGTGTTCGCCACCGCCAGCATTAGTAGCTGCGGCGGCAAAGCTGTTCCCGCTATCAGCGACAACCGTATCACTGACCGCAGCACCGCTGGAGTGTTCACCGTGGAATGACTCCGAATCCGAGTCGAGCAAGGCAGCTAGGCCTCGGTCACTCGGCCCCGACTTCACAGTCGGCAATGGGGCTGCCCCGGCACCCAATGCGTTGTTTGCTGGATCTGCTGTTGGAAGCGGCGCCAAGGGCGCCTGCGAGGACACTGCTGCGAATGGGTGCGTGGACGTCGAAGGTTCCTGTGATAATCCGGACAAGTCGCCCATGTTGTCCACGTAAGGCATTGAACCGCTTGTGTCAGTATGCGCCTCCGGCATGGCCGGTGCAGGCAAGTCAACGTCCACACTCTCGGAGGGGTGCGGCTGCTGCACTGGCTGAGACAGCAGGCTCCGAAGGGGGCTGCCGGGCTCCACCATAGTGCCCACAAATGGCGAATCGCCTGGCAGCGCCTGCTTGGCAGGCCCACTGCGGTTAACAGCCTCGCCGGTCGGACCTGCCACGGGCGGAAGACCGCCGGCGCGCTGCAGAGGCGCAAGGGGTGCCAGGGTTCGGACAGGGGGTAACTCACCCAGGCTTGCCTGCGCAGAACGGCGGATGCACGCGCTCAGGAGACAGAGTGCATAGAGTAAGGGACCATGAAGGGCGGGGAGGAGAGAAAAACGGGGCTATAGACATGCGCTTCACCCGAGAGCCTAGCAGGCCAAAACCTGGATCGAAGGCATCTGGTGCTTACGTACCGCTTACGTACCGCATCCCCATATGTTACGCACCACTGATTGATGCAAGTCGACCAAGAAAGAATGCATTTACCTAAATTGGCCTCATTGCCCTAAAGACTCTGCCAGCTAGCAATGCATGATGCTACAGGTTCTGACTCGGGCTTGGCACGCACCTGCAAATCACCGCTGATATGGCCGCTTATGTTCCCGCTGTTCTGTAGAGAGGCCAGCGATGGCCGAAGCAGTGGTGGACCTAGGTCTAGGCCGCGGCTACTGGAAAGGGCGGGGTTGAGACCACTGCCAGTAGGCCCTACAGGCGGCAAGGAACCCAGTGGCGGTAGCTTGCGCCGGCTGAGATTATCTCCGCTGAGCGAAAACATGGCAGCGGCGCTGCTGGAGAGCTGCAGGGGCGCCAGCTGCGGGCCACCAAGGGCGCCGCTGGTGCTGAGCTGGTTAGCAGGGCCCTCAGCTGCCGCCGCTGTGTCAGCTGGAGGTGCCACGGACGATGCTTGGGAGAGGGTCTTGGGAGCGTTGGTGCTTGGGGAAGCGCTCGCAGCTGCGCCGGCAGGTTGATCTTCTGCATCAGCAGCTACTGAACCCGGCTGCAGTGCAGGCGGCGGTGAGGTGGCGGCGGTGCTGGCCGCTGGTCCCGGCCAGGCAGAAGATATGTCCTCGTCGTCATCGAACGCAGGCTGGTTGACACCAAACTCGTCCGCGATGTCCTCATCAATGTCGCCGCTGTCCGAGGAGCTCGAACTTGAGGAGCTAGAGCTGGAGCTGGAACCGGGGGCGTCCTGCCCCTCAATGGCTCCTTTGTCGCGAGGCTCATTCGTACCGGGGTTTGTGGATAAGGCAGCTGCAGCTGCTGCTGGTGGCGCCAGACCGGCCAGGTCCAGGTCATCATCATCATCGAAGCCCTGGGTCGTCGCCAAGTTGATGTGGGGCGCAGGGGCATCAAGCGCATCCTCGCCGCCATCGTCATCTGTCGCACCCAGCCTAACCTCGCCAGCATCATCGCTGTCACTGCTGATTGACACCTCCTCGTCCGCATCACCCCTGCGGAATGTGCGCTCGCGGTTCAGAAGGCCTGGCCCGCCCACCCGTGCCCCGCCCTCATCATCATCGCTGCTGATGGCGACCTCTTCATCTTCGACACCCCTGCGGTATGACTGTTCACGCCCAAACACACGCGGTGTACCACCCGTTGAGAGCGGGCTTGCGCCCGTAGCCTTCTCATCATCATTGTCGGCAGTCGCTCTGGGAGAGGATAAGTCACCTGAAAGCCCACCGGAACGAGCAGCACGCACGGCGGCCAGTGCCCCGGCGGCAGCCACAGTGGAGGCGGCTTGCGCAACCGCGCCGGTGGGCGTCTGGGGCAGGGAACGGCTGTTGCCGGAGGCCAGTGCCGCATGCCGCAATCCAGCTAGCCCTACGGCACCTGCGGCTGTAGTGGCGGCTGCGCCGGGTGACATCGGCTCGGCGTCCTTCAAGTCGCCCAGAATCGCAGCTGAGGAGGCGAATGGGCCGCCGGCATCACCCGTGTCTTCGCATCCAGTGACACGCAGGGGCTGCGTACCCATCATACTTGAGTCCTGGGACGGCGCCCCGTCAGAGGTGCCCAAAGCACCCCGGGCGCGCCTGGGAATTACACCAGCCTTTTCAGTTTTGCTGGCCAAGTTTTCATAGAACTGCGCCTTGTCGCGCACGGTCGCCTCCTCCAAGACGATAGGTGGCCGTGCAGCCTCACCTGGAGTATGCTGTTGTGAGCTCGGCTCGTTGCTACTGGTGTGCACATCTGTGCCCGACACGTGCACATCTCCTACCGTAGATGAAGGCACGATAGCACCAAAGACATTGTCCTCGCTGGATGCTGAGTAAAGAGGGTTGAGGATGGCCTGCGAAGCCCCACTGCGGGTTGCCGGCAGCGTCATGCTCAAACGCGCCCCGGTGTCGGAGGCCTCTCGGCTGGGCGACTGGCCCACACGTGGCGTGTTCTCCGCCACCGCCGCTGCTGGGTCTGGTACGGGTCGGGGCGGAAGGGGCAGCGGCGAACGGGCACCTTTAGGTGGCGGCGTGGCATTCGGCCGACTCTCCATACGCTGCAGACCGTCCTGCAGCTTGGCGATCGCTGCACTGTGGCCTTGTAGGTCTGCTGTGATGCGATCCACCTGCCCAGCGGTTTTCTCGCCACAGGAGGCTACTTTTGCAAGCTGCTCCACAAGGCGACCTGAGTCAAGAGCGAGGGACTCCAAGGACGCCTGTGCCTGGGAAAGCTCGTACGCGAGTTCCTCCGCACGTATGCGAGTCTCCGCAGCAGCCTGTTGTCGTTTGGTCAGGTGGGGACACAGATGTCTATTTTGCTGTTGGGAAATACATTACTACTGCTGACAGTACATCGTAAAGCGATACCCTGCTGACTACTTGGACGAAGCTGGCATGCTGCAATTCAGAGCTTGCTGGATGAAAGCCAGGGATATCGAACGCAAGACGGGTCAACGCTGTAGCTGTACCAGTATAGCGCGGTCCCAACACAGGTTCTACGGGGCCAAACTCCTTGGTAAAGCTGAAAGCCTGCCTACCTGCGAGTCCTGGCTGGCCTTTGTGAGCAACTCGCTGAGGGCATGGACCTTTGCCTCCAGTTCCTCCAAATGCCCTTGTTGTGTCGCAGCGTTGTCTGACACCTACGGAGCCGGACGCGTGGATAGTACAGTGTTGACCGCCGCGTACATGCATGGGACACATGAGCAAGATTCCCTAAACAAGAACGCATGAGCAAGCAATCATGGCAGGGGCCAGAGTTCGCTTTAGTCATCCAACACGTTACTTACGCGCTGTTGAAGCTCGGACATTTTTGAGGCAAGGCCCTGCGTCTTGGAAGCTTCTGACAGCGCCTGCGCCCCACACAATCACAGGGAAGGACAGGGTATGAACCACATTAGCACTCAATCACGTCTGGGACACTACAGCATCTTAAACGTGTGCAGCCGCCTTATAGTGCATGTTAGAATATATTACTGTAGCCGCCTTATAGTGCATGTTAGAATTCTCCCCCGGCCGTTCCCTCAACCAACAGACTTCCCCACCTGCAGCTTTCCGTCGTGATCCGCAGCTTTTCGCAAGGCATCTTCTGCAGTGTTGGAAGCGCGCTCCACACCATCCTGCATACGCGTCAGAGCGGGTTCTTACGAAACCGAATCGTTCCTACTTACGATATGCAGGAGACTAGCATTATAATAGTGGGAAGCTTGGGGAGGGCTTTCACTTTGCACACCTGCAGTTCGACGTAACTCGAAAGGATCTCCTCACGGAAGGCCAGAAGCTCCCTGGTCTGTGCATCGAGTACCTGCGGGCCACAGACCCCAGCAACCGCATGAACGACGGCATTTGCCACCCTTACGGTTTGACTTCTAGATTCTGATCTACGCCCACCCCAGGCCCGGTGGTTCCGTCGCCAAAACCTAACCAAGCTGCTTGCTGCAAACTAACCGTCCCGCAATACTGACCGCATGCGGCTAGCCAGTCAAAGATCTGTTTCGGCCCACCGCCACATACGTATTGGAACGCACCTGGACCTTGCTGCCGAGCTCCTTACGCACGTCCCCGATGCTAGCGCGCAGACCCTCTAGTTTCGTCCTCAGCTCGTTTCCAAGCTCCTCTGCACCCTCCTTGTCCATTGCTGTCCCGACGCCGGATCCTGGCAGCGCGCGGCTAACAGTACCAGCACCCGCGCCAGCCGTCGCCGCTGCTCCGATTGCAGTCTGTGCCACTGCCGCTGCAGCAGCACTCGCAGCCTCGAACGCCTTTCGCTGCTCTTCTTGTTGCTCTGCCAGCTCTACCATTTTGTCCTCCTGCGCCGCCACACGCCTGGACAGCCCCTGCACGGCCGCGTTCGCTGTTGAATTCTGCTCCTGCTGCTGCTTCCGCAGCTCTGCGACTGCCGCCTCCTGCCCTCCCAGTCGCTCCCTGAGGCCCTCCACGACCTTCTGCTGCGCCGTCTGCTTTTCCTCCAGCTGCTCCAGCTTGTTCTCCTGCTCCTCCAGTCGCTCCTCAAGTTTAGCGGTAGCCCTCGATGAGAATTGCTGCCGAAGCTGCTGCTCCAGCTGTTCCAGCTTGCCGTCATGGTCGTCCAGGCGTTCGCCAAGCTCCTGGATCGTCTCCTCCTCTGCAGTGCGCTGCCCTTGCTGCTCTGTTTGCCGTCCCTCCAAGACTTCCAACTTGTCCTCCTGGCCCTCAAGCCGTTCCGACAGCTCCCGCATCGCCGCATCTGTGTTCACCCGCTGTTCCAATGCTTGCTGCTCCAGTGCCGCGACTTGGCGTTCCTGCCCGCCTAAACGCTCGGTGAGGCCCACCATTGCCTCCGACACACTGGCGAGCTGCTCGTCAAGCCGCAGCAATGCTGCCAACTGGTGGCGTACGTCATCTGCGTCAACGTGCATCTGGCCGATGGAACCATCCACGGACGTCATACGCGCCTTCAGTTCCGACATCTCGGCCGCCAGGCCGTTGCGCAGCGCTTCTAGCTCATGTTGCAGCCGGTCTAGGTGCGCCTGATGACGCTGGAGGCGGCCAAAGATGCTATTATGGTCCTCCATCGCGCCGCTCAGCTCCTTGACCTGCAGCTCTAGCATACCAACACGCTCCTGGAACATGGTTGCAACGCCCGAGTTGGAGAGATCGCGTGTATGAAGTTCTTGAGCAGCAACCTCGGCCACCTGGGCGTCCAGCGCATCGACGCGGTCGCTGAGGATGCGCAGTTCTGTGACCATCTTGCCGGCGTCGGGGGAGCCCTATGGGGTGATACCCAAAGGTGAAATGCCATTTTAGTCAAACGCATGTGGACTAAGGAGGACTTACACTGGTCCAAGAAAACGGCGGGTAGGCTGGTGCGAAGATTGAGCTCGAGCATGAAACCGTCGGGGCTCGTCAGAAATGGTAACAAACCCATCGCTCCCTAAAAGGGGTTGCGATGATCTGCTCTGGGCTGGGCTCAGTGCACACAACAGTCGCACGAAACACTTGGCTTTGCAATTCTTTGGCTTGGCATTGCACGCGTGCAGACATCAATATAACCCGGCGTCCCGTCTTACCTGATTTTGCACCTGGCCCTTCCGTAGCTCGGAAACATGCGCCGCCAGCTTTTCCAGCGTGGGTCCAACCACATCCTGGAAGTCCTTACGGAGCTCCAGCACAAACTCCTCGGCCACAGCAAGTCGGGCTTCCTGCAATGCAAGTGGACAGGATGCAGCCAAGTGACAAGGGATTAAGTTGGCCAAACCATCCAACCCCCACTTGGAGCGCTATGCAGGCGGGAAACCGTTGGAGCGAGGGATTCCCATATGGTGGGCTTCACCAGTAATGTGCCGCGTGACAGGCCGTCTAGCCACATGCTACGGTCTGGTCTGGGTTGACACTACTGCAATTAGCGGTTTAAGATCCTGGATTCGATTCCTGGGGAGAACCCGAATTAGTCGGGAGCGCGAGATTATGGCTAGCTGTTAAGATGTGAAGTTGAGGTCACAGTTGATGGACCAGATTCGCACGCTGGATTGGTGGTGATTGCCGAACCCTACGTCTCATCGGGTGTACGGGTGAATGGATGAGGAGGGATCCCTGGAGGCTGGATCCGCCGCCTTGGACTTACAGTTCGTATGGCGAAGTACAGTGTGGTAGTGGTGGATGGTGCTATAAGGTGATTAATGATCGCAGAACTGACAATGTGATAAAGCGGCCCAGAAGCCTCCCACTCTGTAACATTACATTACATGCTACGGAGCTGGGATGGCATACCTGCGCCATGGCCTCGATGCTATTTTCAGCTCTTACGATTTGCTCAAGCCGCTCCATGCGCGCCAGGATGGCCTGCATAGATTTGGAGGACATACCCTGCCCGAAGGAACCCTGAAGCACCGTCTCCTCCAGCACCTTTACCCGCTCAAGGATATCCTGCACGGGAGCCGCGCTGGAACGTCAGGCCGGCTCCGCTTCCTCAAAGAAAACAAACAACATGAAAGCGCTTGGATGTGAAGGCGGGACGGGTATCAATCCACTTGAACTTGAACAATTATTACCTAAATCAATAGCTATCAAGGAAAACGCTACCAAACCCTAAGTCGCCCAGCACATATCGACATTTGCGGGTGTAACATCTGCATTTGCTGCCTCTACGCACCTTTGGCTGTCCAGCCCCGTACTGCTCGGAACGCCGCCGGTCAGCCCCACTGCTGCTGCGCAACCCAGGGCAAAGGGAACCAGAAACCTGTTAAAAACATTGGCCATTGGCGCCGGCAAGACGTCTGGCAATCTATTGACATTGACATTGACAGTCCAGCAGCCCCGCGTGCACAGCCTTCATAGTAAAATATTGTAGCGATCGAACCGTAGGTGATGCACAGAACTTCAAGCAGACACATGTGCATCAATCCTTCCAAAGTCATATCCTGGTAAGGACCAGGAAGCCCTTGCACACGGCAATCGATGCCCATGCCCCGGCCCCCAGGTTTGGATGTGGCACGGCGTGCTGGCCTGATGCAAGAATCGAAGACATACGCGCTCTAGCGCGACCTCGTCAGCGCCTTTTTGCTATGCTGTATACGAAGCCAGGCCGCTTCTGGACTAACCTTATCGAGGCGCTGTCTGTCGAGGGGTATCCGAGCGGCGAGGGCCCTCTTCGCCTTTCCTGTACCTGGCTCGACTGCTCAGCTGCTGCCAGGCGGGCCATATGCTGCTCCAGCGTGGCCAGGCGGCGCATAACCTCTTGGGTGTCGAGATCGGAGCCCGAGGATGGAGACGCAGACATTGGTGTTGACCGGGAAGCTGTCGCAGCGGCAACTGAGGTCTGTGCGTGGGGCAGAGTGAGCGCAATATCTTCGGGTGCTCACGCTAGCAGATAATAGCAAGTTGGTTGAGGAACTGTCCGCTGAATGCCCAATGGGTGCTACAGGGTTGGATAACCGGTGCTACCACACCGGTGCACGGTGCGTTCTCTGTCATAACAACGCGGTGATCAAAGGGCGGGTCCGAGACCTAGAGGGAACAGTTCGGCCTGCGGCACAGCATGAATGGGCATACCTGTAGCGCCAATACGCGGGCCTCAAGGTCGGCTATTTGCTTTGACCGCGCGTCTGCATCTCCCATCCGCGCCCACCGCAGCTCCATGTCGGCGAGCCTAGCCAACTTGCCCTCCACGTCGCCCAGCCGTGCCATCTTCGCCTCCACATCCCCAATCCGGGCCAGCTTGAACTCTGCATCTGCCAGACGGGCTAACCGCTGTTCCACGTCGCCCAGGCGTCCCACACGCGCCTCCAAATCTGCGAGGCGCGACAGCTTCCCCTCCAGGTCACCCAAGCGCGAGAACCTGGCCTCCAAATCGCCCATTCGAGCCACCTTCACCTCCAAGTCCGCAAGGCGTGCTATGCGCGCCTCCACGTCCGGCAGGCGGGCCGTGCGCGCTTCTAGTTCTGCAATTCGCGCGAGCTTGACCTCGGCATCGGTTAGCCGGGCCATGCGCGTTTCTACGTCACCCACGCGTGCCATGCGTGCCTCCAGCTCCCCCGCCCGCGCCGCGGCGGCCTCCAACTTGGCGGCCAGCTGACCGTGGCGGCTGGTAGATATTGCATGTTCGGAGTCTGCCTCCTGTTCCAGCTGGGAAAAGCCATTCCATCCGAAGACATTATCGTCATGTTAATGTTACGCTCCTGGCAGTATGCACTAATGTTTCAATGGCTTATCCGCCAGCTTAATGGGCTACTGGGCACCTGAGGGTGGTCGAATGTGTTTCCGTCACCACCACAAATCACCAGTTATCACGCCTACTTTAGTTCATATTTAGACTTGTGACGGTTTCATCTTCACCTTCCCTCTCGTCACTTTAATCTGCCTCTCAAGTGGCCGAAAATGGCCTTGCCCTACTGTGGGCGGGCGTTGCCACCCAAATGCCGGAAAGTAGTCACAGTCGCGGCGTTGGGCTTGCAGGTCCAGCATGCATACGTGTCGAGCGGCATACATTCCTTTGGACCTACCTTCTGCAATGCAGTTGTCATTTGGCGCATGAGGCGCTGATGCTCATCAATGCTTGTCACTGTGCGGTCCTGGTTTGTCTCCAATTGGACCAACTTGGTGGCCACCCGAGCAACCTCCGCCTGGAGCTCTGCTGCGCCTGCAAGTCCCACCAATAGTAACGATAGCGCGTCGGCGAAGCAGCCAGCAACAAAGTGGAGGCATATGACAACCAGTTGGATGGAACGGCAAGCGGCGAGCTATGGTTGAAAGACCTTCAGCCGTCGAAAACGGAAGGCTGGCCGCAAACTCCTATAGTTATAACGCCAGTGCATGTGGGTTCCGGACAAACCCACGGGCCATGACTGTGCTCACCTGAGCGCTGAGTTAACAGCGACTCGACCTGCGAGGAGACATGGCACATTTTCTCCCAGTGCTGCCGCGACGCATCCTGCAAACAGTTAGAAAGTACACAAATTTACATGACACGGCGATATGCCTCGACGTACATGCATTTTCGGGTACATGGGACTGCGATGTTACCAGCAAGCTTGCTAAGCGCTTCTCCACGTCTTCAGCCTCTTTGGCGGCCGACTTCTGAAGCACGTGCAGCTCTTTGCTGATATCCGCCGACATCTTCTCTGCTGCATCTGCCTTGTTCATCGCCAACAATACCAGTGGCGATGGCCCCGCGGATGAGCCAACGCCTCCGCTGCCATTGGCGGCGGCTCCTCCTGCAGCTGCGGGCAATGATGCCACGGTAACCGGCGCTGTAGCTGCTGCTGGCGCCTCCAAGGCCGGATGCGCACCGGCTGCCGCGGCAGCAGCTGCCGCAAGGTTGCCAAAGCCGGTGAATAGCTGGGGGGGCGCGCTACTGCGCATGAGCATTTGCTGCTGTTGCTGCATGGCTGCAGCGGCCTGCACTGCCTGCAGCTGAGCCCGCAAGCTCTGCTCCTCCAACGAGCGCTCAATCTTGTGTCCCAGCTCCAGGAGCCGCTGATCGATTGTCTTGACAAGCTCCTCATTCTGGGGTGCAGTGGAGCTGGATATTGACGCAGGCGGCGTGGAGATGCTCGCAGCCAGGAGGGCCGGCGGGGAAACCGCGAGACCATCAGGGCCTGCATCAGGGAGCCCAAGCAAGTTGTTTTAGTTGTAAAACCATACTTGTACGGCATTCACTCGTAGCAACTACCGTTATTGCAAATGTAGTCAGGGAGCCATGACACATGTGTGCCATTAACCAGGATTTGCAGTCTGTGCGCTGAACGCTGATCCCTGCCCTTCGGCATGCTCTACAAATCGTCCTTGGTTGTCAAAAATAGGGCCGGCCCGTGCTTAATTGCGGGCCCCCTTCATCTGCAACCCGTAAAGGCTACGTACCTGGCGGGGACGGGAACAAGGGGCCGAATGGTTGCCCATAAGGACCCATCGCAGCTGACGTACGAAGGTGCATAGGAGGCGTAATTTCGCTTGCAGAACGGTGGTCCCTTGGCCGCGACTGTGCCGATCCGGATCGGCTGGTGGCACCCCTGGTCACCGGGGATGAGTACCCGGCAACCACCGCGCTTGCATTAGTAGAGATGCGCTTAGCCGCTGCGACCTCCACTCTTAGGTCGGCCAACGAGCCCTGTGCATGTTGCAGCCGCATATAATTATTGCACTTTTAAAGAAACGTGGACAGCGAGCAACAGCAGGTCATGCCGACGCCAGCACGCAAATCAGCATGTCGCAAGCTAAGCATGCTGCTTACCTGGACGGAAGCAAGCAAGGTGCTTAGTTCAGCACGAGCAGTTGCAACTGACTCTGGATGTGGAGCTGATACCTGTGCAGGAGACCCAGGTCTCAGCTGTCAGGACATTGACGGTCCCGCTTTCATGTTAGCCAGAACCTTACCCGACCACCAACAGGCAATATCGAGCTCGCCGAGAGCGTAGGCGCCACATCTTTTCGTATGCTTCGCAAATTGCTCTCAGTTCCCTCCACGAAGCCAGCAACTTGACTCCGCCAATTCGTGGCTTCGTTCCGGTTTGACATGTCGTAAGGTAATACAAGTAAATAACGAAAACAGCAGTAATAATCGGCTGTTAACCCAGCCTTCTTCCCCTCAGGTCAAGATGGTCATCTTCAAGTCACAATACTACAAGACACTGGTTGCATGCAATACAGCTCGCGCATAACATACCCTAGTCCATCTTTGTCCTATGAGTCTAATGTCAGTCCACTCTAGTTCCAGGTAGCAATACCGTTTTGAGGGACAGTCGTTGACGCGCCGTACAAGTTGGAAGGTAACTCAAACCTGTGTCCGATGGACAAATTTGTCCTGTCCTGAGTGGTTAACTGTGGCCGAACGACTTACAGTCATGAGAAACGCACAAAAGCTCCTTGCACCTGTGTTAGAGACTCTCGGCGCAAGAGGTTATGTCGCTCCTGCGCGTTGGGCAGCTCGAGCTGCCGAGGAGGTTGGCACTGTAGATAACTCGCACCGTGCACCTGCGAGCGTCATTGAGGTAATGCTCCTTCTTGTTCAGCGCCCACCTAACGAGCCTGTCGCCGGTTAGCCACGCGACGGCTATATAGGGCAAAGATCAGTTGATGCGTCCCTCTTCTAACCATGGGGAGTGCTTTGCAGGTACCGAGTCGGCTGTTGATGGGACCTGGTCCAGCAAATGCGCATCCGCGTATATTGGCCGCTCAAACATTGCCGCTGCTGGGGCACATGCATCCGCCTTTCCTGAAGGTGAAAATTATGTCGCTTAGGCTCATCTGCGTTAGCAGCGATCCCTGGAATTGCGTAGTAGGGGTTGACAGCCGCCCCAGTCTAGTCCATTAAGGCTAGCTTGTGCCCTTATCTCCTGATTTACTTAGGTGTGTGAATACACGGCTTCACATGAAAACACTGCTCTCGGTACAGCGCAAGGTATTGGTTTCTCGGTGTTGCAGCCGTGTTGTCCGAGCCCGCGACTCGCAGCCTTGGAATATTGAAGATTGTTCTTAGTCAATGGGAGTAACGCTGTCAACGCGAAGCGCACCCAAATCCTCCCGGATGGACGTGTGGGTTGGCATAGCCCGGGACTTGATTATCCTATGACCCTTCCCTGCACGGGCTGTCCCTTCCTTTGCATGCTGCCTCTATTTCACCTTCTCCCTTGCTGAACGAGCGTTGGAATTGCACAGTACACATGCTGCACAGATGCCTGGTCAAAAGCAAGATGCATTATTCGGTTGCACACCTGGCACAGATCATGGATGAGCTGTCGGAGGGCCTGCGCTATACCTTCCAAACCAAGTCCAAGTACACGCTCATGGTCAGTGGCACGGGTCATGCGGGCATGGAGGCGGCCATTGCGAACCTTGTGGAGCCGGGCGACAAGGTGGTGGTTGGCAATGCAGGCATCTGGGGCGAGCGTGTCGCCATCCTTTCGCGCCGCTACCAGGGTGAGACTCATCCCCAACCCCTCCCCCTGCTACTGCTCCCCCCTTGCTACTGCTCCCACCTGCTACTGCTCATACTGCTTTCGTTCCACTGCTCCGGTGCAATGGAAGAAAGCTCCTCTCTCCCCTTCCCCCCTCTTAGTACGCCATGCAATACCGGAATACACAACCCGGGCATTGTTGGCGCAGACTACGCGTAGTCTAGGGCATCGGAATGCTGGGAGATCCGCAATGAGCTGGTTGGGTATGTAACTGGAGGCTGGCTGCGTAGCCGGAATCCGGATTTGTATTTGAGGGTCATGCGATTAGCACGACGTGTTGCTCACAATCAAACATCTCATATTATGCGGAAAGGTAGGTGCCAATGGTCGCTCGGTTTGCTGACATGCACGGCCCCGCTGCGGCTTTCACACCTCTTGCTCCTCGTGCGCCTCGCAGCCGATGTGGTGGAGATTAAGGTTCCCGCCGGGCAGACATTCTCGTACGATGCATTGAAGCAGACGCTGCTGGAGCACAAGCCGGCGGTGCTGTTCCTGTGCCAGGGCGAGAGCAGCACGGGCACGCACCAGGTGGGCCAGCGGCAAGCAATGCCGGACCAGATCAGGACAAGGATTGAAGTAGGCCTCAGTAGGTTCTTACACTGCTTAGCATGTTGTTTGCCCTGCGGCTGACGAGGCCTTTTGAGCTCCTGTACAAGTCTATCCCTGCAGCGCTGCATTGTGGGCCTGATGGGGGCATCAGGGAGGTATGCAGAATTTCGAAGACGCCGGTATGGGCTGGGTGCACACCCAATTTTGTGCCGGAATGCAGCTGTACCAATATCGGCAGCATTTTCCATTAAAGGTCTAGCGGCTCCCCCTGGTGCCCTCAGTCGCACATGTTCCCTACCAACCTTTGGCGCCTCCTGCGGCTGCGTACAGTCGCTGGCCGGCCTGGGCGACCTGTGCCGCCAGACCGGCACCCTGCTGCTGGTGGACACGGTGTGCTCGCTGGGTGGTGTGCCGCTGTTCGCGGACCAGTGGGGCGTCGACTGCATCTACAGCGGCAGCCAGAAGTGCCTTTCAGGCCCGCCAGGTAGGGCGGGGTGGGACGGGGTAGGGAAGCACGAAACAAGAGAAACAGAGCATCGTAAGCGTGATGGGACAGGGAACGATAGCGCGTGTAGGGGTACGTGCGGCCTTGGCGCCAACGTGCGCTACAGAGTGATGCCAGTTGCATTTTAGTAGTTGCATACCAAACTCTGTCTCCAGCATGATCGTTACAAAGTCCCCTCAACACCCTGCGTTAGGTAATACTAGTATTCTGTGTCGGGGTAATTCGAGAGTAGTTCGAAAGTTAAACGATAGGCTACGCACATTGTTCAGGATTAAGAAAAAACAGCATTGGCATGCCAAACTGGACGCCTGTCGGTCATGTGTTCTGCTGGTGCAGGCGCTTCTCCGTTCTTCATGTCGGATCGCGCGATGGAAAAGCTGCAGCGCCGCAAGACGCCCCCTGCCACCTATAACCTGGACATGAACCTCATCGGCGACTATTGGGGCTGGTTTGGCAAGCGCTCCTATCACCATACTGGTAGGCCTGGGGGGGACGGATACATGGAGAGCTAGCATAACGCTGCCTGTCTTGAAGGGGTGTGGAGGTCACGGGCATGGCTCGGTGAGCATCATGAGTTGGCGAATGCCGAAACGGCTGTGACGGTACCTTCAAGTGAGGGGCTGGATGCAGGCGCGGTTTAGGGTGGAGGGCATGGCATCAGGCCTGCCCAGCTATGTTCCATCCTTAAGAGGTTTGATACAGCGTCCCGGATTGCAGGGCTCCCTATCCCTCTCCACATCGTGTGAACTACATAGCACCAATCAATTCCTGGCCGATCTTGCCCTCTCGCACCACCTTTGCCCTCGCCCTTAGCCCCAGTGAGCACTTTCTACGCCATGCGAGAGGCACTGTCCCTGGTATCCGAGGAGGGGCTGGAGGCCATGTGGGCACGGCACCAAGAGCTGCACCACAGGTAGGGTCGGGAACCACTGCCTGCTGTTGGGGTTGGAGATGGCTTCTTTCTTTTAGGAACGCATCTGCGTTTGTCAGCTTGTACTGCGTGTCGAAATCGCCAGAATCCGTTCTGTGCCGAGCCGGGTGCTGGAAGAGTTCGGCTAGCTGCCATCCGGGCCCTGCTGCTGCCGCTTCAGCCATTCGGTGTTCCATTCGAGGGTTATTGTATAGCGTCGGCATGACGGCACGTGTGCTTGCTTTGGGACCTGTTCGGGCTGCAGTTCCATGTTGGCCTGCCTTTCCCCACTTGCACCCCGTGCTTCTGCAGGCTGTGGGACGGCCTGCGCAGCATGGGCCTCAAGCCCTTCGTGGAGAAGGACGAGGACCGCCTCATCACTGTTAACACGATCAAGGTGGGTCATGTGCGGGTTGAAACTCTGCTGGGGGTTCAGTGGACATGTGGGGCCAAAAGTCACGTGTTTCATTCTCCCTGGCATGCCGCCTTGGTGCCCGTTCCTTGCAGGTCCCGGAAGGAGTGGACTGGGCAGCGCTGGTGAAGAACGCCATGGACACGTACAGCCTCGAGATTGCCGGTGGTCTGGGCCCCACCGTGGGCAAGATCTGGCGCGTGGGAATCATGGGTTTCAACGCCAAGCCGCAAAACGTGGACCTAGTTCTGGACGCTTTCAGGGACGGCCTGAAGCGCCAGGGCAAGCTGTAACGACGTATGCCCCTTCCATTGTGCGGTCATTGAGATGAGGCCTTGGTGGCCTTCTGGATAGATGCGCCATAGCTGGACCCGCTTGTATGGCTCGTGGGTAAAAGCTATTGGCAGTGGTGTTCGGGGCATGCTTTGCTAGGTCGGGAGCTCTGCTGATTGATGAGGAGGCAATAACATACGTATGCATGGAAAGGAGGGTGTGGTGACAAGGAGGTTAGTGCGGTGATAGCAGTTATGGGATCCAGTGGCATCTCTTTCCTTGCGTAGTAGGGTTATGCTGGACAGAAGTTGGTCGAAGGTGCGTCAGTGAAGGGTTGCATGGGTTGCCTTTTCCATGGTCGTCGAACATACGCTACTAGCGTTCGTTAACCCACGAGGGGTTTGGTGCAAGCAGCAACAATTTTCGAATGCAGCTCAGGTGGAGGACTGGTAGTGGTCTCGATCCTCGAGGGAGGCCCATTTTGAGGCGGTGGCTAGCATGTTGGTGGCGAGGTGCACGTTTTACATTTGTGATTACCTTCGTCTTGCCAAGCATGGCGGCCGGCGTCGGGCATGTGCATGTGAGATCATTCGGCGTTTTAAGGTATTATGGGTCTCAGGTTTTGCAATTACATGCCCTGGTTCTTTCATCAAAGCCTTAGGCTTTTGTCCGTGTGCCGATTGGCAAAGCGTTGATGCTGCATCAAGCTATGCTTTGCTGTACACCCCAAGGCGAGGTGACGCTGCTGAGGTGACGTCCGTAGCTTGCAGACCCTCACACAGCGCTAGTTAAGGCCGCTGCAGTCTACCATCGCTACCACGAGGCCAGATGCAAAATTTACTGAAGACACCTAGTAGGGAAGGTCTTCCCTGTGAACGGGTATGCCAGGGATACGCGCACTTTCGGTCCAGGGAGATCCCCCTTGGTGCCAATTGATGAGATCATGGCACAGCCAGGGCACAGTGCATCGAAGCAAGGGCCCCAGGGCAGAGTTAGCCTTACCGAACGACTTCCCAGTTCCATCTGCCTTATTATTGCTGCAAGCAGGTATTCCGCAAACACAACTCAGTCCTAATTAGTCACTCCATGCACTAAATCCTCTATATCCGGGAAGTAATCTCCAATCACAGGGTGTTGTCTCAACGAGGGCTTCCAGATCTCACTCTTATATGAGTTCAGCACCTGAGCTGCAAAGCGGCCATGCACCGAAGCACGACCAAAACCGCTGCACACATCTCGTGAACTTACGCGACATGCCATCAAACAGCGTCAGCGCCATGCAAGCCACATAAATAGATACAGTTCTTGCGCTGAGGACAGAGCGCACGAAATGTAATGAATCTAAAAGAAGACACCACCTCATGCCGCGACTTAGAGCTATATCCAAAATGTCCTGCCGTACATGCGCAGCTTATCCAACCTTAGCAACGCATCCTAGCCCAGCACGAATGCCAGCAGCTACGGCAACCTTGCATGACTTGTACGAGGACTAAAACCCCTGGACTGACGGGTAGGGGATGTAAGGGAGGAGGGGCATCAGCGGTGAGGGACAGCCCCTTCACCGCTTCCTCCGCCTTCATGCCGTGTTGCTGTTGGGGCCCCTGGAACTCTGCCGCATGACAGCTAATGCCGTCTAGCCGTTTTGGTTCTGCAGCCGCCTCCATCACCACCTGCTAGCTGTTTCATCACCGACACCAGCCAGTCCCCGGATGGCGGGCGGGATGGCGGGATGCTCCTTGGCTGCCGCCGTCGCGCCCGCGCCCTAACGGCCAAACTTACGGCCACCGCCAACCCGACGGCAGTGCCCATGGCCACGCCGCAGGCAACTACAGTTCCTTTTGGGAGGTCCTGCATGCCCCTCCTGAGCCGCTGTCTCACCTCCCGGACAGAAGCTGCACACGAAGCCCATAGTTCCTGCAACCGCAGGCCCGGACCGCCACCGCCTTCACCATTCAGCCTCTGTGCAGGTTCCACCTCCCCATGCTCCCCATGTTGCCTCTGTTGAAGCTGCCGCTCCCTCAGTGCCCGGGGGCACAGCGCTGCGATGCTATCCGCCAGCGCGATGCAGGGTGCCAGGGCCTTGCTTTGTGACAGCGGATGGCGGCACATGGGGCAGTGCAAGTGCGAGGAGATGGAGGAACTCTCATCATCAATCCGGCGCGACGCCCGGTAGCCCTGAAGCAGAGAAAGGCATGGGACTTAGGTCGGGGTCGGGGCCACATGCGGTGCATCTGCTGGAGGAATCGATACTGGGGTAAGCACTTATGGTCTGTTGGAACATAAGTGTTATAGTATTCGCATATTTTCTTCTGCTTGTTAAATGGGCATCTAGCTTTATGCCTTTAACATACTCTTTACTGGCTAAGCCACGGTAGTTGAAACTTCTCAGGAGCAACAGAAAGAAACAGAGAGGCTTAACCAAATCTTCAATCATTGGCCCAGTTTCACACAGTCATTCGCAGTGGCTCCGGAGATGGCCTCATCTGCACCCCAGTGGTAGTGTTGGGGGGCCGCGGTGTGCAGAACGCAGCCAGAGAGCTAACAGGCCAGGATAATGACAGGCTTTGTAACTGTAAGCTGTAAGCTTTCCCAGGCCGAAATGGAGCTGGCGGTACGAGATGGGGTTCCAAAGAGATGAGGTTCCGAAGAGGCGCATGGGGATAAGGGGGGATGAACGAAAGCATGGCAAACGAGCCCATCCGCCTCGCGCTTCCGAATATCGACCACTACCACCATCATCACCGCCCCATACACCCCCCCACCTCGAAGCAGTCTTGGCAGTAGGCGTGTCCGCAGGGTGTCACCACCGGCAGCAGCAGCAGGTCGCAGCAGATGGGACAGGACAGGGACTGGCGGACGGAGGGGGTTTCGAGGGGGCCAGGTGACGATGGGGATGGCGCAGCAGAGCTCCTGGCTGTCTGGAAGGGGGAGCTGTGTGCTGAAGGAAATGATTTCATGTTGGGTCCAGCCTTGGCGTGCTGTTTGCCGTCAAAGTGGCAGAAAGGTTACGCAGTGTCTGTCGGCCCCCACTTCTGCCATTTCGTAGCTGCAGGAATGCACATCGTGAGTTAGCTGTAGGTTAGTATCAGTCCGTATTATTATCGTGAGGGGTTTCTGCTTTTGCGCCTGCTTGCGTGTTGCAGCCCGTTAGAGCGTTACTGTATTAAATCGCAAAGCGATTAAGACACGACTTGATAAAAACTGATCTACGAACAGTCTATGAACATCTTGGAGTTTATAAGTGTTTCCTAATTAAGGAATAACACGCATTCGAGATTCCTACAGACACATCGGTTTGAGCAACCGATGGTGATTTGAAGAGACACCGTACGATAGAAGTTGTTGCGGCCTCCTAAGCAACGAGTGTTTATACTCGGGAGGGAGCCTGGGTTGGAGGGCAACAAGATAGAGAGATTCTAGAAACACATGTTTCTATTACTCTTTACTTTGATAAAAGCCCAGACCTTGACGGAGCGAAACCGACCTGTAACCTGTCGGCTCTCGCCGATATTACGCGCTAACATTGCGGGTTATTGGTCTTGCGATGCGGTACGGTCTGGTCGTGCATTCAATTCCACTGTTTCCCAACAAGCTCTAAGCTTGGACAGCAACCGATATCCTTACATACCACCAATGGGTTTTGGCTTGTGAAGTCCCTTGCATGTGACAGACGGTTGGCCAACGGTCGCATTTTGCCGTTCCAGCAAAATAATTTGGGTCGCTTCGTTCCGGAGCCAATGAACCTCAAGACGGTCTGATGCAAGAGGCAACACCTAGCTAAATATAAAAACATAATATAAACTATATATATTCTATAGAATATATAAGCTAAGTATATATAAAAAATATATATTATATGTAAAGTATATATTATTTAGCTTATATCCACTTGTGCACCACAGGTTATTGCTCCACTCTACGCTGTTGGGCGCCAACCTTTTTTTCCACCTGGGTCCATACCTTGTTCCACGAGTGGAACAGTATACATAAACAACACAGAGACCACAGCACTGTATAACTCAATATACGCCGCACCTGTACATCGATACCTGATAAGCTTGCACCAGTTTTCACCATTTCCTGCACATTATGACTTTGCTTTCCATTTTCGCCATGTGGTACAACGGATACCTCCTTAATGTTTGCGCGGTTCCAGTTCCCTTTTGACCGACAGCGTAGAGTTCTCTTGCTCGTACACCTGGATTAGCGAAACGCGCGAACTGATATTACAGTCGCCATCGACATTTTCCACGCCCGTCTAGCTAACCAGGTGTGCAAATTTTCCTGCTCCATGTCGTGGGATCGAAACTAATACGCACATGAGGCACTTGTAAGCGGTCCCCTTGCAAGGTTTTCTGTAAATTCCTTAAAAGTCATGTGCTTTTGGATGCCAGCCCGCGCCAATCCTGCCAACTCGACAGCTAATTCGACACCCTGAACACGCTAATTCGATACCCTGCAAGGCCAATTTGACACCCCGTACAGGTCAATTCGATACCCTGCAAGGCTAATTCGACACCCTGTCAGGCCAATTCGACACCCCGGACAGGCCAATTCAGGCCCAGCACAGCCCAATTCCGGGGCTCCACAGCGCAATTCGAATACCTCCGGCGAGCCAGCCAGAACAATTCAAGACCCCGACGGACCAATTCTTTTGTCAGGAATAAAATCCAGGCTAATTCTGCGACAGAGCTCTTCCCTAATTCCAGCCCGGATCCTACCCTCCTGTCTAGCTCACCATGAGCGGTTCATGCTCAACCTATATCCAAGTCCTGTAATCCGGCACTTTCAAGCCCTAACGGCAATAACTCTGGACCTGTCCAACCCTAAGCCAAGCAACACCTGGACATAATCCACGGGTTCAGCTCGAACGGCCATGAATCGGCTATTGCATAGTGACGCGGTCGCTTAGCTGTGAGTGAACAGCGGGCGCCGGACAGCCCACAAACCCCCGTGCTCCTCCGTATTTTCACGCTTGCGGTGGAGTGCGGGAAAGCGACCGTCGTCGCTCGGCAGCTGCAGCCCCCTGGGCGGCAGCTGCCCCTCTGAGCCAGCTGGCACCGCCCACCTGCGCCGTGGGCTAAACCCACCTTGCCCTTCAGCCACCTCACCGCCACCGTTGCCACAGACGGCCGCAAGCGCCCCCTGCACCGCCGCGACCCACGCGCCCACACCCTGCACCCCAGCCCAGCTGCCGCTACCCGCTACGGGGCCCTCATGCGACCGCATCTCCACAACCGCCAACCGCAGCTCTCGACAATGAGCCGCCAACCAGCTGCCGAACCCGCCGTCCTCCCGCCATCGTGTCCTCCCCCTCCGCTCTTCCCCCTTCACCAGCCCCAGTAAGCACCCGCGCCGCCTGTGACGCGCCCGTGTCGACCTCAGCCCCCTCCAACACGACGAGAAGTCCCGCAAAGTGCCCGCATGCGCGCTCCACTTGGTGAGCCACGTGTACCACCAAGCCAACACCCCCTGCGCCGTAGCCATCGCGTAGCTGAACGACACCACGTAGAGGGCGACACCGCCGGCCACAATAACAACTTCCAGAACGGGCTGCTGCAGCCGCTCAACAACCGCCGAACAAATCCTCAGAATTGCTCGTAGCCGTTGACGCAGGCCACGGCCGGCACCTCTGAAGCCACCGCCAGCTCCCCCTCTGGGGCGTTGCTGCTGCTGCTCGTCGTGATTGTGGTGTTGCCTCTGTTGAAGCTGCCGTTCCCGCAGCGCCCGGGGGCACAGCGCAGCGATGCTATCCGCCAGCGCGGTACACGGCGCCAGGGGTTGACGGGTGAGGGAGCGAGGCAGCCGCCCTCGACACATGGGACAGTGCAGGCGGCCGGCGGAGGGCCGGGCATCACTGGCCTCACTGGCGTGGTGTCGATAGGTCTGCGTGCACACGGAATAGGGCCGCAGCCCGCGGTCAGCGCAGTTCAGACGCAGTCCTAGGGAGCTCCCCACCGCAGCTGCGGTTCTGCACCCACGGGGCCACCTACACCCGAGCTCTGAGAACTCTCCGCCACAATATCACCCAGAACCCGCATACCTACGCACACCTACCGAATATCGACCACTACCACCATCATCACCGCCCCATACACCCCCCCACCTCGAAGCAGTCTTGGCAGTAGGCGTGTCCGCAGGGTGTCACCACCGGCAGCAGCAGCAGGTCGCAGCAGATGGGACAGGACAGGGACTGGCGGACGGAGGGGCTTTCGAGGGGCGAGGGTGCTGGCGAAGGAGCCGGCCGAGGCTGCGCGCTGGCCGCGTTGGGCCGACCCTCAGCCGGAAGGCATAACGCCATAACGCTGACAGCTCGTCGCGGCGAAGAGCCCTACGAGCTGTGGCGATGTGACGTGTCGGTCTCGTTACTGTTCTTCGGATAGCGCCACGGTCGCGAGTGACGATAAGCTGTAGAAGAAGAGTGACTATTATATTTTTAAGTCTTTGGATACACAACAGCGATCGGCGTCAAAGAGATCATATGTGTCGGATATTACGTCATACACAAATCATTTCACAGCAGGAACTTGGACGCTATGTATAAAAGAAGACCGTACCGTGGGAGGCTTAAGCCTGAACATATAACAAAAGATATTATGTACATACAACCTAGAACTGGTGCCAAATTACCGCCACTCCAGGCATGCTTGCGACAGGGAGAATGGTCGTGCGCGTCTTGGGCGACCCCAGGGTCGGCCCCCTGGCCGAGCGTTAGCCGCTGCCAATAGAAGCTCATAGAAATGGAAGCAAATTCGATGGAAAAATCTTTGCTTAACAATATTGAAAGGACAAAGTTAGCTTACGTACCATACATGACATTAGCATGCACGCACCAGCACTTTGGCAAGCAAACCCTTCGCCGCGCGACAACTACAAATGCATTCACCATTTCCGCTTCGTAGCGTACCCAAGTGTAATCAACAAATAAAATTAACAAATTGTCTCTCAAATCAGTTCGCGACACACCCGTCGCAACTACGCTTCCGTCCCTGCCAGATTGCCCAAGTCCCGCCTCACTCCGGCTCGGCAAACGCGAACACCACGCTGTGCCGCTCCAGGGTCGGCCCGAACAGCTCATCCGGCCGACCAAACCAATGCAACAAGCCCCCTGAATTCCCCCCTCTCTCTGTCCCTGCTCCGCCTCCTCCCTCTTCTGCTCCTACTTTTCCCCCTCCACCTCCCTGCCGGCGCCGCAAACCCCCCGCCACCGGCAGCTCCACTCCCAGCCGTGTCCCGTGGGCCCATTTCCACCGGGCATCACCACTGAGGTGCAGCAGCGCCCCCGGCGTAACCAGCACGTCAATGTCGTACGATGTCCACGACTTCTCGGCATCACGCCGTACCTGCTCCCGCTCGTCCTCGAACGACAGCCAGGATATCCAGCGAGTAAGTCGGTACCAGTTGTAGGGACTGAGGGTGAGCACCGCCGGCGCATCGACGGACAGGATAAAGATGTTCTCTCCGTCATAGTCCGGGTCCAGGTGGGGATCCAGACGGAGGAAGGACGAGTGGCGCCAGTTGAGTGTCACGTCGCGCAGGCGGCCCAGACGCAGGCCAGGGAGAGCGCGGATGCGGTCCACGGTGGCCTGTGTGCATGTATCCGTAGGTGCGTGTGTTTCATTTGCCATCTTATCATTGTTACTTGCTTTTATCGATGTTGCTGTTGTTGTTGTTGTAACTAATCTTGCTGGGTTCGGTCAAGGAACGGGGTTGGGACGCAGCACCGGAAGCTTTGGAAGGTATGAATTGGACAACTGGAGGGACGAAGAAACAATAGGAATAGTCAGAGCCCTAGTGCGTGAGGCCATCGCGTGAACCCGTACGGCAACGTGGCATGTACATGCTGGGATGATAGAAAGACGAAGAGTGGGATTGAAGGCTGGATGTGTAGCGTACCTTGATCGTGGGCGGAAGAGCGGATTCGTCAAAGGTATCTCCGTAGCCCCAGGGCCGTTGCTGATGTGCGTGCTCGGGGCGGCCCGTTACACGGAGCATGTTAACTGGGGGTGGACGGGACAGGTAACTCATCTGCCATCTGGGGAACGTTGGGGTAAGGAAGGGGGCTTTGACCTGCCAAATCTATACTGCACAAAGGTGCTGCTTTTCTATTTCAAAAAGCTTGGTTGGGCATATCTGCTACATGGTAACGAGGCGCTCGGAGATTAATGTCGGTCCTCGAGGCACAACTTCATACCCAAGAACAAATTCATAACGTCGAAGGCTTTGTAAAGGATCAATGACATACATCATCATATAAAGCACGAATCCAAGCGCGCGCACGCAGAAAATATGTCGACTTAGCTCCTACACGATGAAATAGTCCATTGATGACAACGACCAAGTCGCGACCTGCACACCTGTAAATGGCTGCATGAATAGGTTCAATGAGGTTAATCCCAAACTGCCTTTTGATGGGCTGTAACTCCTCAAGGAGCGGCTGTGTGTCGTCCAGAAAGCGTGGAAAGACCCGAGCGCCTGGATTGTGCGCCGGGTCAATAGGGGCCCCATAGGGTACGGATCGGATCAGAGTGCATTGTTCCGGGGTGATTGGATCATGCTTGCTAGGTATGGATTGGTAGGTTGGCCATGCCCAAAGCAATGTCCCAGCAGTCGCCGCGCTGCCTAGGCCTAGGACTCCCACAAGCAGGCGCCGTCTCGACATCTATTCGGAGAGCGTTTTTGACGGAGAACTAGGCCCTACGACTAGTGCCCGGTGCCTTACGGCGACGTTGCCGGTAGCTGGCAAGTCGTACAGCGGAACCTGCATCAACACTACTCGTCACACCACGCACCCGGCTACCAGATCACTAGTAGATGCACATGCACATGAACATGAAAATTGAGCTGCAAGCTACTCTGAAGGCTTTAACCTAGCTCTATCATCGACAGCCGGGGGTGCATTAGGCTTACAAAGCGCTACTGGTGAAAGCGCAGGACCAACCGACTAACCGACCAGAGGTTACACGGACTGGGCCCTATGCGCTGGTGCTCCTACTGGCGTAATTCCAAGTAGCACATACACGTCAGACTTCCAAAAGGGAGTCATGTGCGGCATGTCGTCTCCCTCCACCCTGCTGTCCCGAACTTCTTCACGTCACTGGGGGGACGAACTCGTTCTCTCTAAATCCTTACTTGCACCTGCCTCACTATTTTCACCGCCAGGGGCAACAATACTAATAATGAAGCAGAATTGGCGGGTCCCCTTCGGTGGTGAAAAGTGGCGCGCGAGCAGCTGACTGCAGGTTAGGTTTATCGAGGTATCCACTTGGACAAATTATCCTTCACCTCTCGGCGTTCGAGACGTGCCGCCCTTCACGCTGCCGTGCAGCTTTGGTTACTATACCCGGGAAAAAAACCTATAAAGATTGAAGCGTCCGATCCCGGCTGTCACTGCTCGTGCTGGTTATAAGAAGGTCATGTTTGTGAAGGCCGGTCAGGTGAAAAATGCAGCAACTAAGCGCCCGGCGTCGTCCGAGGACTTCGCCTCCGTTACCATTTGCCACAACGACGCCGACGCGGCCCCAGCTGTCCGAGCATGGGCACTGAACGGCAATGATGGCCCCAGCGTGCAAGCCACCGGACCAAATCCGGCTGCAGCCAGTACGGCGGCAGCAGCGGCGGCTGTAGTGGCAGCGGCATGGCAACGCCTCCTACTACCGTTGCCGTGTCAGCAAACCATGGGCCAGCTGAGCCCCCAAAGGTGCAATCAGTGCTGCTATGGCGCTCAGCCTTGCACCTCTTGATACCAGGGCGGGCATGCCAGGACATCGAAAGCAAGAAGGCGTGCGGGTGCTGGACTAAAGGCCACGCCTCTTACGAGCACTAGTCCACGGCGGCAGCGGACTGAGCCACCGCCTGACGAGCGCTGCGCTCATCAGCGCACACAAGTGGAGGCCTCCGCGGGAGGAGTGGGCGGCGGCAATAGACTTGGCGGCGGCAACGGCTGTGTGTAACAGCAGCTAGCGGGAATCCTCTGGGGACTAGCCAGCTGACATGGCGACAGTTCGGGCCAGGGGCGTAGTGAGGCCTCAGGCAAGGGCCACACGTAAGTGCTGTGCATTAGGGCGCCTTTTCCTAAGGAAGCGCAGCAGGTCTTGCTGTATGAAAGGTGACAAGTTGAGGCTTAAAGGCAACCCTAAGTTGAGGCACAATGGCAACCTGCGGATTACCCGTTCCTCTGCTGCGTGCCTTGCACAACAATATCATAACATGTTTTGGCCGTTCCGACTTTGTCGAGACTCTTTTCCAAAAGCAAAGCATCGCATGCTCGTCATCGCACACTGGGAACAATCGCGGATCTATGAAGGAACATCTTCCGCTGCTGGCGCACGTGCAGCTAGTGGCCATGAAATGGGTGCCAGAGGTGCGCAGCAAGCTGAGGTCGTCTAGATCTGAGGGTTACAGCTTACAACGGAAGTCAAGTCTGCAGCTTGCGCCGCAGGAACCAGCGGTCATGGCCTTCAAGCTGGGCGTTCATGCGGTACCGTCGATGTGCCAAGTTCAACTTCACGTCGTGTCACAGGTGCGCAATTGTTACTACTGCTGCCCTCGTGCCAGCTCGTCCTAGCAACGTTCGCCCGATCACGTGGCTTTCAACTTCGATGGCGTCACACCGTCTTTCCTGCTTGTTGTGATAGGATTTCGACTCGGCGCCGCTGAAGAACAAGAAGCGCTGGAACAGCTTCAACACAGCGGCCTTCCTGCACCTAAGCTTTTGGATACGCTGTTGCGAGCGAGCTCGACTCGAATGACCGACTCAGGCTCATAGATTCAAAAAAGCAGACGCAGCTGGGAAGCCAGGAGCTGCGGTGACCATGGCTGTACCAAGCTTATGAAATCCTGACAAAAGCTGAGGCATATTTTTAATTGCGGTGCCTTAAAGCGAATCTGAGACGTTTTGAGTAGAAATGATTTGGGGCAGAATGTGCAGAAGGGGCCCGCCATGGGGAGCTTGTTGCATTTCCGCTGCCGGGTTATGGAGGCATTTGCGGGGCCTTAAGCGATGCGTCACCCGGGTTGAAGGTGTAAAATGGCTTGGGTCACATTGCCAGCTGGCCGAGGTACGGATTTGGTGATAGGCCGGCTGCTTGGAATAAAGTCCATTCCAGCTCACATACACAACCTTCTTTTCACCGTTATTTGTTTACAAGCTCAAAACAAAACTGCTAGATACATGTCTATCGGCTCTGTGCCCGGTGGAATATTTAATACCCGTCCTCGGACATTGGACCAAGCTTTTGTCATCGATCCTGCGGTGTCGGTCCCCAAGGCCCCTTTTCAGCAATGCCTGCGACATCAGCTGTGGTAAGTAAAGTAAAAACGGACAGGCGCTTGAGCTCGTGGAGGCCAACTGGCCACGGTATGCCTTTCAGGGACTCGGACGCTCTGCCGCTGCTGCGGCCCCTAGAAACAACATACTGCTAAGTGGACTGGTCAGACCATCATCAGCCCCTACGCGCCTAGTTTGCCGTCCTGTGCTGCTAGCGCCAGGCCCTCGCTCTCCCAGGTGAGCTTTCGGTATGTATGGGCATGCTTTCATACCTGCAACACCTTTCAACTGCCCTTGATTTTCCCCAAAGTTTACGACCTTTATCTTTAGGATGTGCGCTGCTCAGCCGTGTCCGTCCTTTTTTCGATCCATGGCGTTTTGCAGGCGGCACCGTGCACGGCTTGTCACAAAGAACTTCAAACAGTCTCATGAAGGTACTGATGATTCTCCAGTTCTGAAGCAAAAGCCCTTGCGACACCCCCTCACGGTAAGTGCTTTGCGACTGATGTCGATTCTTCTGCCAATTGACGCGGCGAAATCCTTTTCAGGAGGATCCGTTCGCCGGTGCCAGTCCTTCTGAAACTGCTACTCAAGAGGTTCTTTTCAGTGGGGCTTCGAGCGCGGCTGCTGCGGCAGCAGCCCCACAGGTGCGGCCCGACCGGTTGAATGATGACTCAGCTTTTGTCTACTTTTTGGGCCAAGAATAGGAATTGCTGTAAAATAACTGATAATACAAAAACTATTTTTTTTGCAGACTCACGGACTCTTCGGGTCCACGGCTACTGCTGCTTGGCAAATGGCTAATCTCCTTACGCGGCCGCGAGCGCTGCTTCGAGCGGTAGCGCGGAATGTCGCCCCGTTAGGGTGTGCTATTCGCATGTCCCACGTTTCGACTGTGAACAGTTATTAATTGTCTGATCATCTTTTCACCTCGGCTTGCCTTGCAGGGTCCCGTTGCTGCTAGTTATTTTCGCGCGGGAGCCGCTCATTTCCTTTTGGGCCTTCTACTGCTTGTCGTTAGACAGCCATCCACTCCTCACAAAAGTTGCGACAGGTACGAGTAGGCCTGCGCTTTCCTTAACGTACTAGAGTACGACCTGCATACCATAAGTATGGAACGTTCTGAAATTTGGAACTTCCTGATGTGCGACAGGCGTTGTTGGCGCAATACTCGGCGACTACGTCGCGCAGAAGATCAGCTATCAAAGAGAGGTTCAAGAAGCTAAGTTGCACGGCAAGCCGGCTCCGCCTTTCGCCTTCGACGTTATGCGGACTTCGCGCCTAGCCATCTATGGAGCGCTTGTGGGCACCCCGGTGGGACACGCATGGTTTCAACTCCTTGATACGGTGCGGAACATGTGGGGGTGGTGACATTGGAAAGCGCTGTCATACACTTGTCATGTTCCTCGATCAGAACTAGCATGACTAAAGAACGGACAGATGCCTGGTGTATAGAATCCGCAGCGTTGCTCGCGAAATTAAGAGCATGTTTTCGATTGTGGTTATAAATTATTATGTGCATATTTTCCTGTGCCCCTTCTGCTCCCTTCGTCCTTTGCCCCTCCCCGTTGCTTTGTAATGTTTTGCAGCATATCATGCCCGAAGCCATGACGTGCCCACAAGCTGTGCTCACCAAGATGATTATGGACCAGGTGCTTATGAGCCCGGCATCTACAGCCCTCTTCTTCGTGGTCATGCGCTGCTGGGAGGGCCACTCAAAGGACGCGGTCCCGTACATGCTGGTCAAGATGGTACCGACGCTCAAGGCAAATTACCTGCTGTGGCCGATTGCACACATCATTAACTTCGCGTTCGTGCCGCCGACTCAGCGCATTCTCTATTGTAATGCGGTGGGCCTTGTCTGGACTGTCATCTTGTCTACAATATTGAACTCTAGCACGCCGTCTACCTCGCAGTCTGTGTCTGCCACAAGCGGCAGCTCAGGTACGGGTCCAGCGGCCTATGGCGAAGATGGTGCCTGCGGTGCTGGCACGAATGTGGGACAGTTGGATATGCCCAGGCACGCGCACGCTGCATTCACCCCAGGCCTTGCTATGGGGACGGCCGACACTGCCGGCAGCAGCGCTGGGTTCAGCGTCAGCCCGCAGCAGCTGCGCGAGGGTCGCAAAGGCGTTCCCCAGCCCGGCATTGCAGCAACGGCATTTGTGCGTCCTGTGCAGTGGGACGTTAAAAGCAAGGATGCGTGAAGCGTCGGTGATAACAACGCGTTCGGCGCAAATAGATGCCAGCAGCAACTGCTCCAGCATTGCATTTGCGTGTCATGTATAACTGCCCTTTGTCGCGCGCAGGGGAAGCATTCTCAGGGGGGTAATGCGCCCCCCGGACTCTTGTGATTGCAACCAGGAACCGGGAGCACGGCTGCCTGCATGCGCTCTACGCAATGAGGTCGGCCGGCCTTCGTATGCTGTCCTATGTACAGTGAGGCTTTTGATAGGTTGAAAAAGGGCCTAAACCTCTGGGTTGCTGTATGCACCGTCTTGCATATCTCCGCGGCCTGGGTTAGTGCGTAGATTGGTCGGCAAGGAGGACGTTTTGTTGCTTGGTTGGAAACTGAACGGCTAGTGACCATCTGTGAATTCATGCCGGGTTGAATTTTGTGAGGAATTGTGAAGCGATCCTAGTCTACGAGACATGGGGTCGAGCGGGCAGGAGGTTTCTGTGCACCTGTCCGTGTTCCTTTGCAACTGGGCATCGTTTTGGACTGCTGCTCACATTGTAGGGCATAGTAGGCGCGCGCCGTGCGTAGTATGGTGTCAAGTGTTAGTACATGAAGGCCCTTTTTCTGTCGTATACAGAGTGGACATGGTTTTGACACGTGTGTGACCAAAACATGACGCAGAATCCCAATATCAACGCGTGGAGTCGACGTTGGTATACACGTCGTTCGTTTATGCGGTTTGACTTATTGGATACCGCAAGGAGGGATGCAAAGATCTTTCCTTTCCTAATAGAATGGTGTAAAACCATGCAGCATGACGTAAATGTGCAGGAAGTGTAAGATTGTCTATCCCGAGGACAGGTGCATGATTTGGTTGTACACAGAAAAAAGTGAATGTTGCACATCATGCTGTGGAAGTTCTGTTAGGCACTTGTGCTACGAGCCACGAACCTCGTTGGGTTGCCGGGCTGGAGGCGAAAGCAAGTATCAGTTAAGGGGAACTTACGGTTATATAAAAGGGAAGACAATTATGTAGTCTCCAAAAGTCACAACCTCCTCAGATAATGCCACACACGGGCCGTTGCCTGTTGACCGGGACCAAATAGCTGGTTACCGCACTTAAAACTCATATGCACAGGTCATACGTTATTGCTACAAATGATCTACGGCATGAACAAACAAAAAACTATGCCCCTACTGCCTGTAGCTGGTCTGTACAATTCCATTGCATGACTCGAATGGCGTTCGGGTCCACCCGCAACTCCAGATACCGCGCACGCCTCCTAACGCTGATATCTGCAATTCGCTTTGCAGGTATCCATATTACGGTGGATTTACAGCCGGTCAGCACCTCAAATATACAAAAGGATGTAAACCTTCTCACGCACGTGACTGTGCTAACATTAACCATTAACCGCGGACAGAATAGGCGAGTACGCGAGTTACTATTTTGCCTGCTTTACAACTTTGCATGCTGTTTTACCCGCAACGCTATCTCTGCGCAACAGGAAGCGGTAATGCGCATTCCGCATCTAGGCTAGATAAAGCATTGGAATGGAGCAGAGAGTACTGTACCACATCTTGTGCTGTGCTGCTGAGCTCATCTAATCGCGCACGACCAATGTCACTGAGGTTGCGTGAGTTGCAGGTTAGCTTGTGCATTGTCGTACCTGCCGCAATGCTGTGCCCACCACGATGATTCGGTCCATAATGACAACGACCGAGGTCGCGACCTGCACACCTGTAAATGGCTGCATGAATAGGTTTAATGAGATTATCCCAAACTGCCTTTTGATGGGCTGTAACTCCTCCAGGAGCGGCTGTGTGTCGTCCAGAAAGCGTGGAAAGATCCGAGCGCGTTGCCGGTAGCTGGCAAGTCGTACAGCGGAACCTGCATCAACACTACTCGTCACACCACGCACCCAGCTACCAGATCACTAGCAGATGCACATGCACATGAACATGAAAATTGAGCTGCAAGCTACTCTGAAGGCTTTAACCTAGCTCTATCATCGACAGCCGGGGGTGCATTAGGCTTACAAAGCGCTACTGGTGAAAGCGCAGGACCAACCGACTAACCGACCAGAGGTTACACGGACTGGGCCCTATGCGCTGGTGCTCCTACTGGCGCAATTCCAAGTAGCACATACACGTCAGACTTCCAAAAGGGAGTCATGTGCGGCATGTCGTCTCCCTCCACCCTGCTGTCCCGAACTTCTTCACGTCACAAGCCCGCTTCAGTGTACGACACGGCCGAAATATGACCGGAACTATGACGTTCGTGCCTGCTCATGAAAACCGCCCGATACCGCGGGAATACCAGCCGAGCGGATAAAAAGCTGCCGCCCCGCTTGCCTGTAATACGCATACATACATACATACATACATACATACATACATACATACATACATACATACATACATACATACATACATACATACATACATACATACATACATACATACATACATACATACATACATACATACATACATACATACATACATACATGCTTTTAATCCAACAAATTCAAATTTTTCACAGAAAAAAAATTGCGCACGAGACTGAGGAACGCATCTCTTTGCTACAGCCCCAAGGCAGGCAGACAGACAGACAGATACACACAGAGACAGGCGCAAGGAGTCACAAGCAGTAGCAGCATGTAGCCGACGCCTCTCCACTCGCATTCCACGCTCCAGTACGTAGGTCCACCGGGAGGACATTACCTCCCCTCCCTCTCCTCCCCTCTCCCTCCTCTCTCCTCCCCTTCCCACGCTCTGCTCACCAGTTCTCCTGCGGGATAGGGAGACACCAAAATGGAACCGCGGAGGAACGGAAACACGTGCACAGGTTGATAAGCCGCTTGCAGACATGCATACATACACGAGATGTGGATAATACACGTTTAGGAGGTCATGCACTACTGGTAAGGCACATACTCATGCCCCCGGAGGTTCCGGCATTGAGACCTGTCAGGGTCGAAAATCCTTCCGACGATGGGAGGTAAAAGTGCCCCTAGTTCGTTGATGGACGGTGGTGACCTGGGATAAAGTTGACCTGCGAGCTGACCAGGAATGGGGCCCCGTTGATTCGGCAGATTCCGTTGGATGGCGGTGGTGGGTGCTGAACCTGAGCGATCTACTGAGAAGTTGGCTAGGGTGACTGGATGAGGGTGCCCCGAAATACCTGGGAATGCAGGGTCTGCCGGGTAGCGGCCGCAGGGTGTAGATCAGGGTGAAGATCACACATACACATCATACACGCACACGGCCAGCAGCACCCAGGCAGGTGACACCACAACACCCACCCGGCCCCCCACAGCCACCACGCCTTCAACGACCCCCTACTATACCTAGATACCGACTTCACGTCGCAAGCAGCAATGCACCTGCACACACACCGCCCAACCCCCAATGTCCCTTAGTCCCACCTGGCAAGGCCGCAACAGCGCCCGTACCGGCCCGGCGGGTCAGTGAATAATCCCCCTCCCCCACGAGCCGCCCTTCCCCCCTTCGCCCCGCGGGCCCCCCTATAATTCCAGCAGCTTGCGGATTTGGACGTCGACAGCCGGCTTCAGTTTCTTCCGCACACCATCAACATCATCACCATCAGCATCGCTGTCATCAGCATCATATGATTCCCCTCCCCCCTCCCCCCCCCCACACCGACGCACCACTGGGAAGCCCACCCCCCGGGGCACTCTGCTGGACACAGCATCCAGGTCCGCCACCTCCCCCGCACTCAGCCGCCAGCCCAGGGCACCGGCTATCTCGCTCAGCTGCCGCTCGTTCTTGGCCCCGGGTATGGGCAGTGTGCCCTTGCAGATACACCAGTTGAGAGCCACCTGTTCGAGTAGGCGAGTAGGGGGGAAGGGGGGTGGCAAGGAGGGGAACCAAATGATCATGCTGATGATCATCACATCGATGGAGAAGGAGAGGAGGGCAAGTGTCGTCGACACATACAAGGAACCAGCGCCCCCTACTCCCCACCCCACTACTCTCCATCCCTTACACCTTCCAACTTAACCACATACAGAAACACATACACACCCACACACCTGCGCCATGGTCTTGCCCCGCTCCTCTGCCACCGCCCTCACAGCCGCCAGCACGGGCTCCACCTCTCGCAGCCTGGACTCGGAGAACACCAGCTGCCGGGGCCCCGTGGGCTTGGGGCCGTCGGGGGAGTACTTGCCTGAACAGGACACGGCCGCGCGTGTGTAGTGTGTGATGTGTGTGATGTGGTAGTGGGCGCCAGGCGGGCCTGATAATTCATTGCGTGTCCCAATACCACAACACCACAACCACTCCCTTCCCCTCTCTCCCCGTAAAAACCAACAACATCATACGGTCTCTACATACATCATACGTGTATTCCCCCCTCCCTCCTCTCCCCTCTTCCTTCTCCCCTCCACTAACTCCATCACCAGCAATTCCCTCCGCAACCCCTGCAACCAGCCATCATACACCGTTTACCCCGCAACCCTCCATCCCGCCTCCGTTCCCGCACCGGTCAGCAGCCCCTGGCAAAGCGGGCTGTACGACACCACCGTCACGCCCGCCTCGCGGCATGCCTCTAGCACTCCATTCGTTTCGGGGGCGCGGTACAATAGACTGTACTGCACCTGTGCTGGACGATCAATTCAGGGCCGCACGGCATTGAGGAAGGGATGGGCCGAGAGGCGGGAGGAGAGGCTGTGTTGTGACATTGTCGTACAGTTTACGATAAGTACGGTGCATCAACGTTGTGTGGAAGTGGCTGGCGAGGAAGGCTCGTGACCGCGTCCCGTAGTGGGGCGGCAGATGGGGATGGGATGAAACGTATTAAACCTCCTAGCGCCTAGTTAGGCAAGGTAAACCAGAGTAGCGCGTTGGCCGCAAACATGCGCGAGCACAGAGGAAACTCATACAAAAACCAACTACTGGCTCATGCAACAAGTGATGCACAACATACGCATAGGCCTGATTAGGCCACATACAAAGGGCTGCACCGGGAACGGCATGTCCTAATTAGGCTCCTTTTATGACTCCCACTCCGCTACTCCGCACGCCCCCCTCCCCACCTGGTTTGAGGCCAGCGGTATCCCTCGGGCCCCAAGCAGCTGTACGGCCCTCCGCACCCTCTCTGCGTTGAAATTGGACACCCCCACTGCCTGACACAGGCCCTGCTGGTGGCAGTCCGCAAGGCCCTCCAGGTAGGAGTCGTTGAAGAAGTACTGCGGGCCGTAGCCGGGCCTTGGAGCCGCAGCAGGAGGAGTTGGCGGCAGGGTAGGGCGGGTAGGGGGAGGGCATGTCGGAGGGAGGGAGCGCGGGAGGGGTTGTATATGTGATGATTTTAGTGATGATATTGGTGTTGGTGATGTGGGGAGTACTAGCGAGCAAAGTCATGGTGTGGAGCCGGGGAGAGGGGCCCTGCGTTGATGATATGCACCCCCCTAGAGCAAACGCCAAACACCAAACCCCGCAACCGCAATCCCCACCAGGACACAACTCCCCCACCTCCATTCCCTCCACATCCACCTCGTAGTCTATTCTGTCCTTTGCTGCCCCCCTTCCCCACCAACGCGTCCCAACACTACTGTGTTGATGCACCCGAACACAACGCCGCGCACGATGTCCCCCCCAGGCCCTCGCACCGCACCTCTGTACCCCGACCTCTCTCTCCCTCCCTTACCAGTGCTGCATGTACAGCCCCATGCTGCTCAGTCCCATTCGGCGCAGGGAGGCCCTGGCCGCCTCCACCACGCCGGCGCGAGTGAAGCGCCAGGGCAGGGGGGCGAACTTGGTGGCGATGACGGGGGCGGGGGAGCCCGGGGGGGAGGGGTCGCGGAGGAACTCACCGAGGAACTCCTGAGGGTGTGTGTGTGTGTGGGGGGGTAAGGGCGGGGTTGAGGGGGGTTGGAGGGGGGTTGGAGGGGGGGGGTGAGGGGGCCGTGAGGGTGTGTGTGTGTGGGTGGGTGCGGAGGTGAGGGTGGGGAGGGCCGTGAGGGCGGGGTTGAGGGGGGTTGAGAAGGGAATGTTCCCGGACGGCTGCAAGGTAGCGTAGCTGCGAGGGAGCTGACAGGAGGGGCAGTCGCGAGCAGTACGGCACATGCAACTACAGCAACATGCAACTACAGCACGTACCTCACTCTTGCCGAAGCCGTACACCTCGGCGGTGTCAATGAACGTCAGGCCTGAGCGCATGAGCGCCTGTCGGGAATGGAAGGAAGGGTAGCGCGTTGATTTGGGAAGTGGAATCTGTGAGAGGAGAGGGAGCGCAGCACTGAAGACGGGGGGAAGGCCGTGCATGCAATCCCATTGAACATAGCCGTACACCACACGTACGGATGTACTGTACACCGTAATCATATTCCTCCCACTCGCACACACACATGCAGTATGACAATACGAATTAAAGCACACAACTTTCCTAGTCGGTTATTTCTGAGGACCTCGTTTTCAATATTGTTGAATGCAGTCTCCCAACCGCATGCCGTGGAAAGCACCTCGTCGTGAGAGGACTAGGCAGGAACTGACGAGGGGGTTATCAACCTCTCTGACGCGGCACTCAATCCGACTTGAGTTCCGCCAGCCCATGAGGGCGCTTCTGTAGACTACAATTCTCCAAGGGGAGATTTTCAAGTTGGGCTATTCCCGGTTCGCTCGCCGTTACTAGGGGAATCCTGGTTAGTTTCTTTTCCAGCGCTTAATGATATGCTTAAGTTCAGCGGGTAACCTGCTGCGGCCCCACCCGTCTTTCCTTCCCCCACGCTTCCTCTTCCCCCTCATCCCGTACGCCCTCTCTGCCGCCTCACGTATCCCGTGTTTGCTTCCCTCCAATTTGAACATGGCCTTATGTTAGCAAGCATTGGGTAAGTGTTGTACGTGTGCCGATGGAATCCGTAAGGGGGGATTCGCTACAGGGGCCCGGTGACGAATATCCACCTTGAAAGCTGCGCGACTCTCCTCCTTGCCGTACTCGCGGCCATATCCCCAGTAGCCGCTGCGGTCACCCCAGGACCATGCTCCGACGCCCATCACCGGCACCCGCACGTTGGTCTTGCCCAGCGTGGTGTAGTCCGATGGAGAAATTGAGATGTTCGGCGCTGCTGCGGATAAAGGCTTAACTGATCTATGATGTCTGCGTATCGTGCGTTGCACATTTCCCTGGTTGATCCCACGTGCCCGCGTCATTTTAACGTGTTGTGAGTACATGCTTGCACAAGAGCTTCACACGTTTAAGGTTTTACGATACGTGTGACTTTTGATGGCAAGACGTTCAGCGTAGTCGTCTTTCCCAAGACTTCTTTATTAAGGAACGCAAGGCTAGGAGAAACGCGCTCCGAAACACAATGTGCGATATAAAATACCGCATGAAAAACATGTATCAACCAAACCCAACATATTATTTTCCCATGAGAGATTTTTTGATCACAGCAATCAGGGTTTCGGTCCAGAGCCGTCTAGGATGGAATCGCTAGGGTTAAGGTGCGACGGTTTAGCTCCAAGACTCTTCACCTTGTGAAGAGTACAACCTCAATAACGATGCTGCCGAACTGAGCAGCGCATCGCCACGCCCATTCCTGGGTCAACCCCCTCGGGCAGTCCACCTCGCCCGGCGCATCAGATGTTATGGTCCAGGCCTCAGACCCCGAGGACGCTAACAGAATTGTGCCGGCACGCAATATAACCATGAATTAAGCATGCCAATTCCAGTCTATACGCCGCACAGGGTGGCATTTCTTCTCCTCCGGAGCAGGGACAGGCCAGTGATGTGGTATCGGAATGCCGCAAACTGTTTCTGAATGGCTATGCGATAATCGGCGAGACTGCAAGATCGGCGATGCAGGCTGGAGGAACGGTACGGCATAGAGTACGAGCGGCGTATGGTGGTGGCCGCGCTGGCCGGCCTTGTCGCCATCAAAATGTGACAGGTAAGACTATGTGTCCTTGTATTTTCAAAACAGAGGGACAAACCTACTAAGTCCTAGCTTCCTCCCTCATGCACGTACTCGCAGGTGTCGCCCTCCATGTCAGGAATCGAAGTGGCCAGGGGTTCCCGAGTTTTTGAACACATGCCTCGCATCATACACCGTGCATAACGGCATGCCAAACGGCTGCCGCTTTCTGACTCAACGCTCGGCACATGCAAATTCGCGTTTGCACGGATAGACATTCGCGCAAGCGCGTTTGGAAGTAGGCGGCAGAAGGCAACATTCAGCCCCACTCTCTTCTCGGGTTTTCTCGATTTTTGGTCTGCACGCGTCCTCAGCACTTGTCACCCTCTCCTCATTCCCATGGTGTTCCTGATCTCTGGCAGGATGGGTGCGGAGAGAACAGGAAGTAAGGAAGAGTCGCTGTGTATTGGTATCTGCGGGCCACGCTGCACTGCACTCTCCCCTGTGTGGCAGTGTTGGCCAGATGTCTTGTAGGGTTCGGCCAACGGTTGAGATGAGCGACGGTCAGGTTGTCAGTTCGGGCTGTCAGCAACGGCACCTGGGTGATGGGAGGTATCGAGAGTGTTCATCGTCAGATATGTCGCCGCCACCCCCTTCGCCTTTGCGTCGGGCACAAAGGCACGAACGGCTGCTATGCGGTGTGAACCTCGACCTGCTTTCCTTAAGTGCAACACGTGATGCCATAATGTGCCACCGACAGCATATGCACCTTTTCCGTTGAGTTAAATTTGGCTCTAATGAATTGCTGGCCTCTATATCTGGGGCGATATGCCCTGCAGCTTGTCCGGCCCTGACCAATACAGCAAAACAGTGGTCTGTCCAGTTCCCCCTTCACAGGGTTCGCTCTACTACCCAATACGCGTGGCGGGTCTTAGCTAGGCCTTAAGGAAGCGCCATTATATATTATTTTGCATAAGCACGGCACTGCTTTATCCTTTCCTCCCGAATTCGTCTTTTTGGGTCCCGTAGCACGAAAGTTCATATCATCACCGTCACCTCACAGATGCGGCGATTATGTTGCCCTGCAAGTTTTCCTCGTTCCCTAAATCTTTCAAGGCTAACCAGACAAAAGCGTAGAACCATCAGAAACGCGACCCCAACGGGCCGATCGTGTCCTTATCTATGTTTGCTTGACACGGGACAGCATGTTATAATCGCCGTCTTTGTCTTATGTACCTGGCATGCACAAGGGCCCTTTCCACAGATTTCGCCGTGACGCTGATGTTGAGACGGTTAGTACGCGTACTCCATCGATGCCGAGATGCCTAGACGTACCTGCTCAAGCTAAGCTCAAGCTCAGCTCAAGCTAAGGATGTAATTGCTTTCGATTTTCCAGCATTAAAATCCCCCCTATGCGGACTCTTTGGCGGCACCGCAGGTTTAAACGTACCAACCACTCGCGCCGTTGGCCTGCGACTTCCAGCTATCCTCGTCTTCCGAGCGCCGAAGATAGCTTAAGACACCATGGGAAACCAAGCAAGCTCAGCAGGCAATTTACTGAGCGCTGGTAGTCACAAGCTGAGCTTTGCGCTGAAAACTGGGGACGCGGAGCTGGAAATCGTAGCCAAGGGCCCGAACGGGAGGGACTGGGAGCCCCGCATAAAGATTCCTGTAACTGAGGTCTGTATTGATCTGGTGTTGGGAGGCAGCTCTCAGCTGACGGTGTCAGGTCGCAGGGCCGTGACGTCCTTGAGCGCTGCAACAGACGGCAAGAAGGTGAGGCGAGGTGAGAGACCACATCCGCTGAGAAACAGTGTCCTTTCAACCAAGAAAGGCGCCAAAGGGGCGAGTGCTCCCACTGTCCAAAACTTTGGGCGTCGTGGCCCCAAAGTGGTCGGGTGGAGGGAGGTCGGGGAGGAAGCGGAGCGGTCAAAGAGGCCAACAGACCAACGAACGTTAGGGCCCTCTCCTCCACTCCTTTGTGGGTTGGATAGGCTGAAACTCTGTGCATGTACGTCGATATGAGCCTCCGCCCAGTTTGGCGTGTCCAGCGCTGTCTGACATTGCTATACTAAATCGCTCTTGCACTGCACTGCCGCTATTTGCGTCTTTTTGTTTTGCGGGAATACATCGCAAGTTAACGTGACTCGGTTGGTTGTCGGCCTTCGCCAGTTGTCTTATTTCTTTCCTCCTGGCGGCCGAAGCAACCACCCGGTTGGTTTCCAAATCCCACTCGCGCACACGCACGTACTCCTCGCTTTCCGATATATTGCTGTCTCTCCTATTGTGAAAACCTCCTCATCAACTTACACCTCACACAGATATACATACATACCTCACTCCATCTCCGCCACCGCTGTCGCCGCCGATGCCCTTAGGCCTGACTATTTTCCTTCTTAGCTACCCCTCTCCCCCAATCCCCTACCCCCTTCCTCCCCCGCTACCCCCTCTCCCCTGGCCCCGCTGCACCTCCACTGCCGGGCAGGTCTCCGTCCCCCTCCTCACCGTCACAAAGGAGTTCACCCTCCGGGAGCACGAGGGCGGGTTGTTTAGCGAGCGCAGGGGAGCGGGAGATGGGGGGGATCCCTCCCTGCAGCCCCAGCAGCAGCAGCAGCCGCTCTCGGGCCCCAGCCAGGAGTGCAGCTGGAACCGCCAGTCCACCACCGCCACCACCACCACCAGCGAGTGGCGCCGGGTGAACGAGTACCTGGAGATGCGTGTGTCCGCCACCTTCGCCGCCGCGGTACGGGCGGGGTCCAAACTCAGCTGGAAGGGCTTCTGGACCCGAGTGCAGGTGGGTGGCGGCTCAGCCGGGGAACCGAAGGGCTGAGGGGCCAGCGAGCGGATACCTGGGGTGGAGGGGTATACCTGGGGTGGAGGGGTATACCTATATAGCAGCACTTGCCACAGCCTAGGCGTGTTGCGGACGCATGACCTGCATATGCTGTACGTGCCGTACATTGCCGTGTAAGCGCGTATGTATATATGTACGTATGCTGCGTGGTGCCTATCGTACAGGTCGTTCGCGAGTTCCTGGAGGCGGAGGCGGAGGTGCAGATGTGTTTGGAGGTCCGTTGGCGGCAATCACCCACCGTGATGCGCGAGCTGCTGCTCAGGTACTACCACAGAGAGGTGCCGCTGCCGCCGAGGGTGGAGCCGCCGGCGCACCCGCAGCTGCCGCAGCAGCGACGCATGAGCGCACCGCTGTGGGGCGACCCCGGCCAGCTCGGCCGCGCAGCCACATTGATGCGGGAGGACAGGTTGCGGACGGAGGAGGACCCGGACCGGCGGCGGGTGGGTGAGGCGGTTGACGTGGGGCTCATGGCGGCTGTGTGGCCACGCGTGGCTGCGGCAGCATACTTGGGGCGGGTGCAGGTCGAGGGCTCGGTGAAGTTGCTGACGGTAACTAGAGGGACCAGCTCGGGGTGGTCCAGCCGGTGGGTGATGACGGCGCTGTGAAGGCCCCGGGGGAGGCGGTCGGTGCAGAGGAGGAGGGAAGGCCCCGGGGGTGGCTGTGGGTGGAAGAGGGGAAATACCTTCAGGGGCCCGCACTCCCACGTAGTGCCTCGTGTTGTGGCTCAGTTGGTGTGTTTTCAACTCCACTGACTGGAGCGTCGGGGGAAGGTGGGGGGTAGCGACCGACCCTACGTATATGGGGTTTTGGGGTGGGGGGAAACCGTGGTGGGAGCAGAGCTTGAGGGAATGGTGCAGGGAGTAAGAGGATGTGCTGTCCAGCCGCGGAATGGCGGTCAAGTGCCCGGAAGCAGCTTCTCGAATGATGCGTGTACAGGGTGGGTTTCCATCAATACGGTTTGGGTGTATGGAGAAAAGGAGAAGCCAAGAAAGCAACGCCGCGAGGTGGCCAGGCTGACACGTGGCTAAGGTGAGCCACTCGCAGCGGATCCTGCAGTCGGAAAGCACAGGAGCCGACCGCTGATGACGCCGCTGCATGTCGGGTTGCGTGTCCACAACTGCACATAAATCACCATCATCACATGATCGCACAAATAAATGTACTTTTTTCGACTGGACGCTATTGCGCTGCCCAGAAAAACACTTTCAGTCTGTCCTTACATCATATCAACAGTATTTTTAGTGCTGCTGTGGTCACTGTGTGCACTTGTTGTGCAGTTGTTTCGTTGGGCTGCGCTGGCCCGCATTGGGTACGGCAGTGCCAGTTGCTACAGTTGGGTTGAGTTTGTCGTACGTGCTAGCAGCAGAGTATAGTTAGAGCTCGTATATCCATCAGAGGTTATTCGAAGGATCGGCGAATCCTTAATCGTAACCCCATTTAGAGCGAGGTCGGAGCATCAAAGCATGTGTCCGCTTCAGTGCCGTAGTGCAGCTCTTCCATTCCTTGCGTGTTTGTACATTACATCCTGTTATTCACGTCCCTATCAGATTTTGGCGATTGTGGGCCCTCTTAGATTTCCCATGCGGGGTCGTTAAGAGGCGTGGTAGGTCTCCGGGGTAGATGGATGCGGACGCCAAAGCGCCCGCCGCGAGTAGCTGCTGCCGCTATCATAGATGATCTTCAGGCGGCAGGGCGCAGGAGACCATCCGTTTGGAGCAGTAGTCCTGACCGGACTGATGGGCGCTGGTTTAATACTGGGTAGGAAAATACGTTACTAGTGCGCCACCATTCGCAGGTGTTTGCGAAATAAGCAGGACATCAACCTGCCGGGTATGGCAACCTATACCTGCCGTATTAAAAGATGATTCAGAGTTAACAGGTTGGGTTTGGGATCTCAGCGTTTATCTTTTAGATTTCTCGGTTGAGTTTTGGTTAGTTGACATTAGTTGTGCTGTCGATTCTGTTTGTCGGTTGCCAGTTATTCCTTGGATGGTTGGATCCTGTTGCGCCGAAACGATTGCATGCCGTCCCTGCCGTCTGACGGCGCCACTGCCTCTCACTCCACCATGTATAGCATAGACCGGATAGGATCATTATAATCTTTAATACATTCCTTGTGGAGTAACCTTTAGTTCACATACTTCTATGGCAGGCAGCTAGCAGAGGTTAAGGCCTGACTTCTGCTCCCGGAGTGTCCAAGTTCAAATTCGCCTGCCGACCTTTCGGGTGTGTGAGAGGTGTTGAAATGGAAGGTGGCCCCCCATCTTATGGACGGTGTAGGACGTGATAATATCAACTTGCGAGCTGAACCAGGAACTAAGTTGAGGCGCCGTTGATCCGCTAGATTTGGTTGGATGCTGGTGATGAGTTGCTGAACCCAACGAATACATTCTGAAGTCGGATGGGGTGAACGGATTAGGGTGCCCCTCTAGCAGGGGAGAGCAGGGAACTGCCTCTGGAAAGGGGGCCGCTGGTGAAGCTATACCACCCTGTAACAATATACATATTTCTGCATCGTTCGCCGATACTGAAGAGGGGACGACGACGAATGTCGCACAACTAGCGGTGACGGCCCGAATCCAGACTCTTCACCTCCACCTCCACCTGCACCTACGTCCCGCCCGAGGTATCCGGACGCTCTCTGTCCCCAACAGCCGCACCTAGACCAGCCGATCTCAGAAATGCAGCCTCCAACTCCAACAACCTGGCAAGGACACACCCCTCCGCTGCCGCTGCCGCATCCCCCTCCTCCCCACCACCACCACCGGCGTCGCCACCGCCACAAGTGCCATCTCCCGACGGCGGCAACGGCAACGACAGCAGCACTTCCCGCGCCGCCGTCAGCAGCTCCCGCCGCCTCTCATTAAGCGCCCGCGCCACCGCCGCTCGTTCCGCTGGCAGTGCCGCCGCCACCGCCGCCCCCAGCGCCCGCCGGGACCGCAAGTCCAGGGCGTGCAGTTTGCTGGCTGCATTGGCGGCCCGACCCTCCTCGCGCTGCCGCAACAGATCCTCCTCGCATGCCGGTGTTGGCGGTGCGGAACCCCACAGCCGCCAGATCTCCTTGCACAACCACCTCGCAACGGCCCCCGGCTGTCTGTCCTGACGCCCTCTTCGCTCCTCATGTACCCCCTTGTCTTGCTCCTGGTGTGCGTGATCGTGGTGCGGATCCTGCTGTGGCTGCTGCCGCTGCTGATATTGAGTAGGCATCGGCGGCGGCGGCGGCGGCAGTGACAGTGGTTGTGGTGGTGTGGGTGGGTGCAGGTCGGGAGGGTCCTGCAGGTTCTCGCTAGGGCGGCGGCGAACATGAGGCCCGACATCACCGCCACTGGCACCGCGACTGCAGCCGCCGGCGTCCACACGGCCCTTGCCTGCCTCATCATCACCATCGCCGGCAGTACTACTGCCATGCCCAACGGCGCCAGTGACGTGGCATCCGTACGAGGTCGTGGTTATTGCGGTTAGCGAGGTTGCCTCCCAGGCGAACCGTTCCGGCTGGGGTGGCTCCAGGGTGGCGGCCATCCGCAGGAACGCCTCCGCCGGCACCGCCTCCAGTCCGCTGCGCAGCTGGTTTCTGGCCAGGGCCTCCGGGACGCTGCAGGACACGTAGAGCTGCAGGAAGGCGGCGCGGGCGTCGCGCGCGGCTCGGAAGAGCTCGTGTCGCATGCTGCATATATAACCGGAGAGTAGGCAGGAGAGAGGTGTGACGCGGAGGACGGAAGTTAGAGGCGGGTGTTTGAAGCAGTGGCGCCGCAACGCGGGGGTGCATGGGTCTCGGGAGCAGGAGGGGGACGTAGGAGCTCCGAAGTTTTCTTCGGCTAAGGATGATCATCGGGATGCCGGTGTACGGATGCAACTTTTTTCTTTGAGCTCAGAACTAAAAAGTCTGGTTGGTAGTCTGAATGATAATCGATAGGGATTGCTACCCAGGTAAGCCCGGTCCAGGCTCACAGGTCCGTTGAAGGAGGTTGTGCAATTCGCACCTGCGCAGGTGATTATTGTCGTCTGCGATGATGAGCGTGTAAGCCCCATCACCATTCTTGTTACATTCTGCTGAAGATTTTAATAGATTTCTCAGCTTGGTGAGGGCCGCTTGCCGGCTTCGTTGCCATGCATCCGCGCTAAAGTCGCCCGCCAGCAGTTCGCTATGAAGCCAATCGTCATATGTGACAACGTGGGTATTTATTAAAGGTCCTGGTGAAACAAGTTGACCGTTATTTTGTTCGACTTGCTGCAAAACCTCCGTGACAAGCGTCGTCTTGCCGCTGCCCGGCAAACCGCAGAGGACAAGTAAAGCACATTTAGCCCGATTATCCTGCGCACAGTCCATAGAAAGATCTGACGTCGAAGCGGATGCCCTCCGATTGTCAATAGTCGCAGTAGCAAGCATCCATTGCCGTACACTCTTACTTCTATTATTTGCAGCAATATCTTGCACTTTAGCTTACTCTGCGACAGCGTCCTATCCGCTTTTGCATTGCCATCAGAAGTGTTTCGTTTCTTGCTTTTTTGCCTTTTTTCCAAGGAGACTGCGCAGGTCCTGACACGCCATACCGCCTTCTGCGTGATACTGAGCCCCCGCAACCCCCAACACACAAACAAACGGCTGCCAGATATCCCCAAAAATAAACATCTGCATTCAAGTGTTGCTCAGCGTCCTCGAGCAACCTGGCCCCGGCAGGAACTGGCAGGTTATGGGAGCGTTTATATCTAAAGCGTGTGGCGGATCTGCGCGGGTGGCGGCGGATCCCGACTTCACCGCGATAGGACCACACAGAGCCGCGGTCGGAACACAGTGCGTGTCCTGGTGGTAGTGGTTGGGGCCTCTGCACCAGCGCCTGTCGAAAAGATTCCTCGAGGTTTCGGAGCGGACCCAGCGCCTGGCTGGCTGCGCGCCTGACCTGCTCGTACACCCCATCCCACCCTTCGCAGCATACGTGCGAACAATCGTTTCATTTGACCGTTACAAGTCCGTTGCAAGACCGTTACAGATCCCTCCTCCAGGAGGGGCTCCTCCGATATCCCGCCGGCATCTCTGTCCTCCCCCTCCCCCTCCTTTCCCTCTCAATCGCTGTCTTAACGCCCTCCAACAGCGAGGAAAGGGGAAAGGGGGAGCGAAGGGGGAGGGAAGGGGGACCCGCTGCGCACCGCCACCACCTAGGGGAACAGGCACGGTCACGGAAAACAAACGTGGGACAACTACATACACACATGCACAAACATACATACACAAACGGCCTCGTCTACCCTCTTATCCCATCTTCATCCGGGTCCTGAACATGTCCACGGCGTGTTCGGTGCGACGTCGGCGTGACACGGGTTACAGGCACGATCCCCTGCCGTACATTAGGCGTCGCGGGGCCAGCAAGCAAATCCTCCACGTGGAAGGGCAAATAAATGCTGAACACCGCTACCATCAGCCCCAACTAACATCGCAGCTCAAATGCAAAAACAGAAGAGAAACAGAACAGCTTTGAAAGTCGTTAACCATGTACTAAGAAGTACTGTCGTTCTGCTGTTGTACAGGATGTCGTACTGTGTACGAATTCGGTTGATACCGTTTACGCAAAGGCGGCAAGCAAAGAAAGGTGCACACATGACGACGACAACTGCCTCAAACGCCTTTAAGTCCTCGAATGAGACCAAGCACCAAGCAATACCACCACCACTGGTACTGTAAATCTGAATGTGTGGATATGTGTCTTTAGCTGTTTGTGTGCTGAATGATGCATCCACAATGATCATCATACGCCCCAAAACGTACATACATACGAACAGACACCTTCATAATGGACAGGAGGTCCTCTTTCACCCGTGGGTCATATTTACCAACACCCAACGCGCAATTACGCGCGGACTCCACCTCCTCACAGGTGGTAAAGTGATATCACACCTTAGAAGAACTCCGCCCGCACTGTGATGGCGCCATGTGATGTGATGTGATGTGATGTGTGACTGCGCTGCGGTGAAGTCCTTTGCCGCCTCCCAACCTCAATATTGAGACTTGAGAGCTCTCACGGCGCCAGGAGGCTGCTGCTGCTGCTGCAGCTGCTGACTTCGTAGCACATTTGTACAAAAAATATCAACCAAGGAAGTTTTTAAGCACTGCCTGGACTGTCTCCCCCAGAGCCCCCCTGCAGTTTACCACCTAAACCACCTAAACCACCAAGAATGCCGGACACGACTACCGGCAGGTAAGAACCTCCTACCCCCTACTCACCCCTTCCCCGCATTCATCCACAGACACCCAAGCTACCAGACAGGATAACCCGCACACACTTAGAACGTGCAAATACAAATCTGCACGTGTATACATGCAGACCTACCATTCATCTTCAGATAAGATCAGGACAGGACCAACACCACCCGCATCAATACAACTTGATGAAGCACTTGCGTCGGCCATCAGATGCAGCAGCTATCCATCCAAAGCAGTTCCAACACCACCAGGGGCGCATTGCAAAGCAGAGCGGGGTGGGGCGGGTGGCGGCGGAGCTCGGTGGCGGCGGAGCTCGGTGGCGGCGGAGCTCGGTGGCGGCGGAGCTCGGTGGCGGCGGAGCTCGGTGGCGGCGGAGCTCGGTGGCGGCGGAGCTCGGTGGCGGCGGCGGCAGCCCCGCGGGCGAAACGAAATGAACCCACACCCACACCAAGCCACACACGCTCCCTTCCCGGTACACCATCCAGGGGGCCCCCCTCGGAGAGCACTTGCACGCGCCAGGGAGGGGAGGGGAGGGACGGCATTCCAACGGGAACGAAACCCGGGACAACCACCGCAGTTCCTGACCGAGACCGGCACCGTTGCCTATTCAGGACACTTCGCGTCACGTCACACCCTTGTCACGGACCGGCCTCACCGAACCCGCGGCAGCCCGCAGCCCCCGTCCGCACTCCCCCACCACAACACGTTCCAATGGGTCCTCTCTCGCGCCGTGTCCTATCTCATCACCACGATGATGATGGTGGTGATAATGGTGATGTGGAGGGGGGGGCGACGGGGGAGGAGGACATCGATCGGTGGGTAAGTGGCCGTCATAGAGTCATGACGGAGCGGGGTTTGAGGGATTTTGAAGATGTACCCTGGGAGGCGACATACCACGCACCCACACACCCACACCTTCCCGGGGCGGCAAGCCAGAGCCGGAACAGCAGTGCCACGTCCCACTTCTCATCACTACCCCATCGCTGCGCAGTACATACAAAGCGAGGCATACAGACAAAAATAAGAAGATGAACATATAGACAGAGAGATAGACAGACAGACAGACACGTAGGCAGACGTACACCACATCACATCACAACGCCATAAAGTGTGTTCTGATGGCTGATTGCTGAATGATGTGATGTGATGCGGCCCCAAACTGCCCAGTCCTTCCACCCCCAAACCCCCAAACCCCACCCCCAGCAGCCCCACTACCTATACAAAGCGACACCAGTCGAGGCCAGCTGGGGCGACAAGGCAATATTGCTCCACGCTGGAATCTATGGAGACCTGAGACCTTCGAATTCTGTTCGCTAAAACCCTCCCGGGGGGGGTTCCCCTCTTGTTAGTAGTAGTAGGAGGGGAAGGTGGCGTCAAGGAGAAGTGACACGTAATTCCCTATTACCACTACTACTGATACTGCTATACTGTTGGTAATGGTAATGATGGTGATGCTGCTATCAGAGATGCTACACCAACATACATACATATGCACACACTGAGGATACACGCTGGATGTCGTACTTCAGGGCGGCCAGCTCCAAGTCCTAAACAGAGCGAAACAAATGCACACGAACCAAAGCCACAACAGCAACAACTCCACCCCAGTTTTACGAAAAGAAACACGGACGTACAAACAGACAAACAGATGGGCACGCGGGCGCAAGGACCCGACACGGCCTCTTCACCACCAGGCTCTTTGGATAACAGCCTACTATTCGAGTCATACCAATACGCGGAGGTCACGGAGACTGTGGCGCTATTGGCGTTACGGTTCCGATTGGGCGATTCGCGGGCAAATCCCATGTCCAAGAATGCATTCCTGGACATGGCTGAGATTTGCTCATCCCAAACTCTTCCTACTATGTAGTACACCCCGCCACCCCTCAATTATGCTCCGTACAATAAATGCAATACAGTTGATCTTCTCTTGGGAATACAGCCGCCCCGCCGGGTGGCTGGAGCCCTCGTGAGACCCTGGGGGCCCAGCCGCCCGTACCAAGAACGTCCCCGCCTTGCAAACGGTTTGCGGCTTGCAGCGCGCGACTGGTGGTGGATTCCTAACCCCCTTCCGCAGGCGGCGGAGGGCTCCGGGCCGCCAAGGCGGGGTGTAGCGGGGGAGATGTGGGCGGATGCCCGGCGCCGCGACATCCACATAATGGCCAGCTCCAAACACTGCCGCACAGCCACTGCTACTCAGCGGCAGCTGCCGCTCCGCCGCTCTGCTGCTGCAGCCCTCTCCTCCGTACCCCGACTGGATAGGCTCCGTGGGCGGCGGCCGGGGCTCTCCTCTCTAGGCGGGAGCTCCTCCTCCCCAGCAGCAGCCGACCCCGACCCCAAACCCATTAGCAGTGGCGAGAGGTCAGGTTGCACAGGTCCTTGGGGGCCGGGAGCAATGGCGGCAATAGCAGCAGCAACATAGGACACAGCGAGGGAGGGCAGGGGATCGGTCGGTGGCGAGGAGTGCACTGGTGTCCAAAATTCAGCGTCCGTATCCAAGGGCACCGTCCGCAACAGGGAATTTTGTCTGTCTGTCTGTCTGACTGTTAACCTGACAGAATGGCTGGTTACAGCAGCAAGCAGCATCCCCCTCCGCTTCCCCGGCCCTCCCAAAACCTCCGCGCCGCCATTTAGCCCACCACGTCTCCCCCAACCACTGCAATTACTTCCCCTTCCCTTCACCTCCTCCCCCCCACCCACATCATCACCCAATCCCAGTCATTCGCAATCCCAGTCACACGCACCTCGTCATCCAGTCGGCCGACCTCCTCCCCCGACTTGACGTGTTCCACAAACGACTCGTTGGGCGTCATGAGCTGCAGACAGTAGAGCTTGCTGCCGGTGCTGGTGTTGTCAATACCGTGAACCGCGCGAGGAGGGAACACCACACAGTCCCCGGCGCGCACGGGGAAGCGCTGGCCGTTGCAGAAGGCGACCCCCTCGCCCGCCAACACAAAGAACAGCTCGTGTGCGGCCTTATGGATGTGGAGGGGGGTGTGGTGACCGGGCTCAAAGACCTCCACGCCGAAGGACAGAGACAGGCCGAGTTCTGTGGGATCGAACACAAACGCCTGAACCGGCGGAGGGGGGATGGGGAAGGTGGGGAGTGGGGAGGGGAAAGGGGAAATCATGATGCTGACGGTGACGATGCTACTATGATGGTTGTGGCAGGGGCGCAGTGGTGCAAGACGAAGCCAAGGCGCTCAACTGCCGACTGTAGTCCGGGGATCCGGCTGCTGGAGCCCGAAGCAATATTCTCCACGCCCGCATCTTCAAGCCACCAGCTCCTCCAGCGCTGTCCTGTCCTGTCCTGTCCTGTCCAGCTCGCGTGCTGGGACCCCGTCGCCAGACAGCCCTTCCCTCGACCTCTCAGGCGGTTCCTCTTTTCCCGCACAACCCACCGTCATCTCAAGGATACTCCATCCCGCGCCTCTGTCCCTGACCCTTCTACCCCCTCCCCCCAACCCCCGCTACCCCTAACCGGGGGCTACCCTGCGACTCAGCCCCCTGACCTCACTCACCAGTTTGTTGGTCTGCCGGGGGAACCGAAACGCCTTGAAGTCCTCCAGGGCCCTCTGCAGCAGCACACACCCCGAGGATGCAGTCCGGGAGCCGCTGCTGGGACTCGAACTGGGGAGCGACTTGGAGCCGCCATACAGACTGCTCGCCACTGCACCGGGCCCCTGCTGCTGCGGCAGTTGCTGCTGGGGGAGATGCTGGGGTGATAAGGTGCCTGCTGCTGCAAGGGACGGTCCCTGCAGGGGCCGCGGTGTAAAGCGGGCTGCTGCCCGGGGAACAAAGGCAGCTGCTAGAGCGGACTTCAGCGCTCGTATGGATGAGGCCGCCGATGCCGCAACGTGGCGCAGCAGCCAGCCCGGAAAGTGCGGCACCGAGGGGCGGAGGTCGGGGCTGGGGCTGGATGAGGGCGCGGAACGCGTTGTTGCGGGAGCCAGCGTGATATGCGCGGTGCGGTCTGGCATTGCGGACGCATTGGGACCGTTGATTTCGTCCAAAGTGGATTGGGATTGGGAATTATTATTGTTGTTGTAGAGGTGTGCAATAGCTTTAGAGGCGCGCTGCTGAACGCCGCTGAGCATGTCGGCAGCTTCTTGCTGAGACAGCTCGCCATCATAGTCGCCTTGGCACTCATTGACCAGAATTTGCAAGTCGGCATGGCTGGGAGAGGGCGCGACGACGCATCCTGGTGGCAGCATGAGAACGCTGGCAGGGAAATGGAATTTGAGGACAGCGGGCGGCTGGTCGTCGCTCGTGGAGCGCAGCTCGGTGGTGTTGTGCCATGCGATAAGGCTGTCGCCCGCGTGCAGCCTGCGGACTGTGCCGTCAGCTGTTTCGACACTTCCTGTGCCCGCAAGCACGTACAAGACGTCCAACATACGGGAGCTCGTAGCAACAGCGTCGTCTGTCCATGTACCGGAACCGTAACTTGTGCAACGCACGGACGCAGCTCCTGCAACGTGCGGCTCATCAAGCGAGCTCCTTTTGACGCACTCCAATGAAGCCCCAAATGGGAGCTCCGGCTGCCCAAATGCTCGGCCAGGCCCGAGCAACGGGATAATTTGTTGCTCGCCCTTGAGGAGTTTTGCACTGCCCGCGAGCTTGGCAACTATTGCTCCTCCGAAAGGCAGCTGACTTTGGCCCATGGCAGGGCTTGAGCTGGCAGGGCAGCTGTTGAAAGGGCGAAGCAGAACACATTTCAGTTTGCAACCGGGACCGTAATCCCGTAAGGAGATTGTAAGAATGCAAGAGAACCCGACTTATAAAGGTAGAGTACTCTTTGCGCACACGACTCCTTACCGAAAGGTCTGCCGGTGAACCCGGTTTCCCAGCCGGCACGAGCCCCAGGTCCTATCCGAATGGCAGCTTCGTGACGTGTAAGACATGGTAAATCCAGTTAGCAATATGCACGCGAAGTATGCCGGGGTTTTTGTAAAACAGCCTGTTGCGCGAAATGACTAATCCTTTCTATGGTCGCAGGTAAAGCACTAGGAGGAATCGTAGGTATCGGCGATGTTGGTATCGCGAAGAAGAGTTCGGAATTTGTAGGATTGGCTAGTACGACACACGTAACTTGCAAGTTGCGATTCGTTGCATTTCAGTGTTGCATTCATATACAATGCGCGTTATGTCTTCATTACGGCTTTTTTTTGAAGCGCCTGATGAGGTTCGATGTTAAGTGGTGCAGTCGCGGAGACCTTGCGGGAAGGTCGCTATCTACAACCTGTGCGTAGAAACAGCCATCAGGTCGTTTGCGCTTTATTCTCAAGTCGTTAAAGGGCTTTCTGACAGGCCCGGAATGCTGGTTCCTGAACTGGACCAACCGTCGCCTTCCCGTCAGCCTCCATCAGTCAGCATCATTAATTTCCCCGGCAATCATTGGGCCCGTTGGGCAGAAACAATTTATGGTGTAACTGACGGCGCGATGAGCAAAAGTCACAGCCTCTACTGCCCCCTTCAGCGGCAGCTTGGCGCTGCAGCCTTGCCTGGCCGCCATGGGATGCACCCAGAATCCTCACGCAAACCCGCAGTCCCGCTCATAGCTCAGGGCCCTTGATTCACGCCAAGTATGGAAGGTCCCCATCCCTTCCTCAGGATCTGGTTGTTTCTTCCCGTGTCCCCAGCGCACGTCATACACGCACCACCGGGCGTAGCCCCGCCAGCGCCGCTGCCGCCAGTAGGCGCAAGACTGTGGCCCCGTTCCGCCGAAAGGTTATGGTGTGAAGTAACTGATCGAGGCGCACACAACAGACATAGACAAGAACTAGAGACTCACACATGGCGGCGACACATATAGGGGACATGAGCAAGGGGCGGCATGGGGCGTGTGTATGTGTGTCAGGAGTGAATTGCAGAAATTCCGGGGCTTCATTCCCCAGGCTGTATCCAAGGTACACGGAACTATAGGATTCATCTTAAGCAGTCGCGCGCACAGTGCGAATGCTTCAGCTTGTAATGGCCAGCAGTTCGGCTTTATCTCACGGAGGTCGAAACTGGCGGATGTGGCGCGCCTGAGCTAGTTTCTCAGGGAGCCGTGATACCTATGGGCGAGCTTCTGTTCTGTACTCCCCCCGTGGTGTATCTGAGATATGCTGAGTCCACCCGACGTGTCAAGCTTTCGCATTCGTACAGAATTCGTACAACTGCAAAGCGGGAATAGCTAAACAATATTGCTCCAATACTTTATGATCTCGATTAAGATAAATGGAGACAGCCACAGAAAATGCCCCGGCGAGTGAGCCAACACCAGAGCAACGGCAGGAGCAAGAACGCAAGGAAGTCCGTGAACGAATACGCTTGCTTCGTGAGAGGCTCGTCTATAGATGTAGGGATGTGGGAAGATGGAAAATGTTTACGCCTGCATCTGTGGAAGTGCCACGAGAGCCGGCCAAAGCAGAAGCGGAGAAAACGCTGTTCAATATTATCACTGGATGCCTATTCGATCCGACAACGTTAATTCCTGTGGAGGTGCAGGCGCTGCACAAAAAGGTTCGTAAGCTGGCGATGAAGACTTTGACGCAGCCGATCAACTGACACCAGACTCGTTACAAGAGCACATGACGCAGTAGCTGTCGCTAAGAGAGACATGAAATCTCTTATATCTATGTGTCGTTCCCTATCACTCCCTTCATCCTGTCCGCGCCGTACGCCTCCCTTCCAGCCTTCGGCGCGCGCGAACATTTTTTCAATCCTCTCCGAAGCCCACATCCTACTCACACCCCTGGCTGACACACCTGCCGCTCGCCCGGGGTCCACCACCTGCCTCCACTCCGGTTCCTCACTCCTCCACTTCTGCCAGCAACCCTATCGACCCCCGCAACCGTGGCCACCCTATCCTTTGCCACCACACAGATCTTGGCGGATCCCGCCAGCGAGCACTACGAGGAGGCCCTTTCCGCTCTGGGGCTGTCCACCCCCGAGCCGCTGATTCACAAATTGTCCTCCATAACATTCAAATTCGGGAACTCGGAATTCAGCTGCCTCAAAATCGGCCAGCTGGCGTTTGCAGACGGTGTCCGGATGTACGTGACCCGCGTGGACCGGCCTGCGCTCACCAGGTGTGTGTGTATGTATGTATGTTCGTATGTGTGTCCGTTCGTATGTGTGGTTGCTTTTGTAGCGTTCCAAATTAGTGTGGTTTGTGGTTTGTGGGATTGCGGGTGTTTTGTGCCACGGTGTGCCGAATGAGGGGCGCTGGTGTGTCCGTCCCAGAAGTCTCCTCCGCCGCCTGCTCTCCCCCAACCTCCCGCGGCCCTCACACCCCCCCCCGGCCCGCGGCCCTCTTCCACGGTGCCGCAGGCTCACCGGCATTGAGGACCCCGACCGCCACAAGCAGCAGCAGGGGCAGCAGCAGCAGCAGCAGGGGCAGGGTCAACAAGGGCAGACGGGAACCAACCAGGCTGGATCAGCCCAGGCTCAGCAGCAGCAGGCTCAGCAGCAGCAGGGCCAGCAGCAGGGCCAGCAAGCCCACGTGCAGGTGCAAGGCCAGCAACAGCAGCAGGGGCAGCAAGGCCTTATGGGGATGGCGGGGCAGCCGGGACTGGGCCTTATGGGGCCGGATGGCAGCGGCGGCATGGCCGTAATGCCGCCTCTGGGTCCCGGCGGCATGGTGGGACTTCCCCCTGGAGCGATGATGGGGCCGGGGGCAGCTGCTGGTGGCGGGGGCGGGGGCGCCGGGGGGGGATTCGGAATGCGGGCCCCCCTCGGCCCCGCGGGTCCTCAAGGAGCGGGGTTCGGGTTCATGGGTGGTGGGGTCAGGCCGCCAGGTACGTGTATGTATGTATGTATGTATATATGTATGTATGGATGTATGGGAGCGTGTGCGGTAGATAGGCCTGAGTACGTTGGCTTGGACTTTAGGGGTGGGGGTGGGGGGTGGGCAGGTGGGGGGTTTGGACGCAGGTGCGCGGTAG